ATATAATATTTAAAATACCCCAAAAAATTATTCATTTGGTCACTTACATTTGTTATACTTTTAAATGGGTTTTTTGTACATTTGCCATAAAAGTTTAAACCCCCCCCCCCCCCCCCCCCCAATATCCCTTATTTCCCAGAGTCATGATCATGGTCATGGATTAATCACTAAAGCTTTCTGAAAGATCATCCAACCACTCACAATAAGCTTTCTATCTTACTGTTTCGCGGCTATTGTGAGCATGGTCGCAATGTATTTTCCACTCTAGTAAAATATTCCGATACTCAATCCCTGCTATAGACCTCCGTTCTTGTTAGCCCTGTTCCATTCAACATTTTATGATGTGTTTTCGTTTTGCTACTATATTTACTCCACAGTCGTTTACCTTGAAAACTATTTCAGAGTTACTACTACTACAAAGAGTCACATCCCTCAAGAGATACTAGTTCTAGTTCACCACCTCAGTCTACGACGTGGCTGACCAAGTCAGAGGTGAGTCATGGTTTGCTGGCTTTTGCGGAACTTCAGGCCAGTCTAGTCGATATCTTGAGCTGCCCTCGGGCTGTTCTTGGGCTGTTTAGACATCAATCTGCCAGGATATGGGCACCCTTGACAGTGGGTACTTGTAAGGGGTTGAATAGGAATTAGGACATCTACTATAAGCATTCGGGGGATATCACAAAATCAATTCAGAAGCTACCTAGGTACGTACTGTACGTTTTACTAATTTCTCAATCTACCAGAAGCTCAGAGCTCAAGTCACAAAGTCATCAAGGTCATTGTGTAAATGCAAGATCCGAATTGACTGTCAATGTAGCAGTGCTATGGTAATCCATTATACGCCTGTCCCCTCAACCCAGATTTGCTTCCTTGTCACAACAACCCATTTAAGCAGACTCAGTGAATGCATCAGGGAAACGCTTGATGTTCTGTGCAAGGTTACCGTGGTTGGTAAGGAACTGAACGTAGGCACCGTCAACCTTGACACGGCCAGCAGCCTTCTTCTCGAGGTACTCCTCACGTCGGAGAGGAGTGAAACCCCAGTTCTTGGAGATGATGATCTTTTGTCGGCCAGGGAACTTGTACTGAGATCGTCGGAGGGCCTCAAGGGCGAAAGCACGGTCTGTAGAAAGTGGTTAGATGATAGATTCCTCATAGATACGACATACGTCATTATACTTACTAGCATCACGAGTTCGGACACTCAGGATGATCTGACCGATGTTGACACGGGCAACAGTGCCGTTGGGCTTACCCCAGGCACCACGCATACCAGTCTGCAGTCTATCGGCACCAGCGCAAGACAACATCTTGTTGATGCGGACGACGTGGTAGGGGTGAGCTCGGACACGCATGTGGAAACCTTCCTTTCCGGCGGTCTTGACGAGGTACTTGTTGGCGCAGATACGGGCGGCTTCCAGAGCCTCGGAGCTCAGCTGCTCATACTCGTTGGAGACGAGGTGGATGCAGAGAGGGAAGTCATCGACGGTCGCACGCTTTCGGCCAAGATCGAAGATACGGATCTTAGGGTCGGGGACACCACGGTTGAAGCGAGACTTGGGATACGGCTAAAAAAAAAACATTTACGTTAGTCTATCCATCCTTGCTTTCGTTTGGTCTTAATTTAATGGATTTAATGGGCGCTTCGTGATAGTCGATGTGGTTCAGAATGCGATTTGTAATCGGGACGGATGAGAAGGAATCGCAATCAAGCAAGGCATTTTGCGATCAACAGGATAAATTTCGACGATATTATTTTGTGCAAAGTCGTTGAAGGTATTAGAGAAGTCTTGGAGGGCTTACCTTGTTCTTGCAGTATCGGTAACATCTTGCCGGACGACGCGCCATCTTGAACGATTTTCTTGATGAAATTTATCGTAAGATGAGGGTATGGTTGTTGTTGGAAAGATGATGTCGACGAAGGAGCAGAGAGGGACTGGGGCTCCTTTGAGGTCTGCGGTGAAATTCCTACTTTGATTTCAAAGCAAAGGGCGAGTCACATAAGCGGGCGAAGTGGGTTGGTGGCGGTGCACCTTATTGGCTCATTCAATATCAATTCGCCTGAGAAAAAGTGGAGTTAGGGTTTAAAACCATGAACCACCAGAATTTTCGGAAAGAGCCTGTATCATGTAACCCGAACCCCACTAGAACTTTTCGCATAGTTAATTATTTTCTTGTATCCTCTTGGTTGATTTTTATCCCATTCTTGACAACAACACCAACTCGACATCAACAACAAACGGTCAATTCATACCAACCTGTCAAGATGGCCCCCAAGAAGAACAAGAAGGATGCCAACAGCATCAACTCGCGTCTTGCGCTTGTTATGAAGTCCGGAAAGGGTGCGATTCATCTACCCAAACGAAAATAAAATGCCATTCTTACTGACTTATTTTTTTCCCCAGTTACCCTTGGCTACAAGTCTACCCTGAAGAGCCTGCGATCCGGCAAGGCCAAGCTTGTCATCATCTCCGGCAACACTCCTCCTCTGCGCAAGTCCGAGCTGGAATACTACTCTATGTTGTCCAAGGCCCCAGTTCACCACTTCTCCGGCACCAACGTAAGTTTCCGCATCTCCTTAAACTCCAGTATAGAAGATGTATCACTATATTGATACTCAATTCTTCTCTCTCTTTTATTTGTTTTTATCTCTACGGTTAGTAGACGGGCCTGCCGTGTCTACGAACCTACCCAGAGAAGAAGCCCTATCGGCTTTGGAGGGTAATTCAGTTGGCTTACTTTTTCGTGAATACAGATTGAGCTAGGTACTGCCTGCGGTAAGCTGTTCCGTTGCTCTACCATGGCCATTCTGGACGCTGGTGACTCCGATATCCTCAGCGACCAGCAGGCTTAGATTTAGATGCGGCATCATCTAACGGCGTTGGGGTTCACTGGTTGGGAAAAGGTCATGGTAGTCGGCCGTTCATGAATTATGACGGCTAGTAAACTTCCGCAAGGAAGCACATTTGTGAGGCTTCGCCTTAAATTCTCTAGGTAGCCCTTTAGACCAAATATTAAGTGTCAATCCAAACGAAGCTTGCGGACTTCGAAAAGAATATAAATGATACCCAACAATCATCTTTGTCTAAGGCTACCTATGACTAGGGATTCTGAATACTCTCCGTTTAATGGCCAGTTGTGACTACCAGGATAAGCAATCAATTCCTGTGATCAGTTTATTATTGTCACAATTCATTGCATCAGCAAGTTCAATCGTCAGCTCTTACATGTTGTTATTACGTCAACCATTACTTTCTAATAATAATTTTGTAAGAGGGCATCGCATAGGTAGGACTTTTTGGACCCTCTCCTTAGAATATCAACTAGGCGACTTCAGCAATAGTCATAAAGAAGATAGCGTTTGAAGATACCTGGGGTAGTTAATTATTCATTACTAAAAGATGTCCATCCAGTCCTTTTACTTTAATTCGATGGGACAACCAGACGTTGTTGAGCCTTCATCATATTCAAGCGATTTATCAAATGCTATCGACATAAAGTTTACCTATGTCATAAGTACCTCATATCAAGCTTAAGAATAGGTAGGTAAATCCCAATCCTATGAATCAAGCTTAGATTCTTTATTCCTTTTTGTGCGCTTATGAAGTTATGATGCAAGTTATACTATTGTTTTATCCGACTTGACTTTTTAGTACAAAGAACAAAGAAAGACCAACCAACTAACTTCCAAAACAGCAAATGTCGAGATATTTCGTCGGTCCTCCTATTATTGGGTCCGTCCTTCTGATATAAAACATGTTCCACATGGATCCAAGCAATCCACACCGTCCCTCGGTCATCTGTCATCCGTCACCCGTCACCGAGAATACGTACCTAAGTACCTTGAGAAGCTGCATAAACGTTAATTAAACTTTGCAAGCGAAAAGGGGGTTACGATATAGAAAAGGAAAGAGGGCCCAAAAGGAGTTCTAAAGTATGAACATTTAAATGTGAAATATTTAAAAAAGAACATTACATTTGAACTTCGACATCAAAGTTACCTACTACTACAATCTCGACTTAACTAGGTTAGGTACCTAACCTACGAAACATCTCCATTAACTATACTGATGGTACATGCTATTTTTGCTTCAAAATCAGAGACAGAACAAGCCAAGTCCAGGATTCGTGAGTCCCTGGGAAAAGTTGATCCCGCGTGGCTGAGTCTCGCCTGACTTGGAGAAGGACCGGAAAGGGTCAGAATCAGAAAATCAGAAACGGATAAGCCCGGATAGGCTAAGCGCTCTTTCAACAATTCAACGGTCTAAAGTCTAAACAACGGTGTAGACCCAGTCTAGCGCAACTCTAGCGCATCACTAGGAACCAGTCCCCTATTTTGTACGGAAGTAACGAACGGTCAACGGGGAATTTACTACTACCAGCTTAAACCATAGTACAGTACTTCGTACGTTACATCTTGGCTGCTTGAGCAAGCGTCTGTTGGAACTTGGAAGTGTCCTCCTGTATTGCAAATTCCAACTCCAACCCAAGACAAGTACAGTTTGGTCGTTGCATCCCGCGCCACTAATTCACGAACCACAATCGCATATGAGCCACTCGGACAAAACAACATAAGGTACGGTTCAAAAATTCAACCAGAAACACACCTGAGTCGTCTACCGGCCAACCTATTGAATTGTCGGTCTTGTTTCCTTGTTCCATTCCTCTCGATTGACATAACAACCAACTTTCAATACAACCCCCCCCCCATTATAACATATTCTCCAACATTACATTGGGCATTGCATTGTATTTACTGTTTCGGCTTTTGAATATAGCGACGAAACAGACCTACCGCAAACTCGGCTACCTACAGTAGCATTCCTGTATACCTCCTATACAAAATCGTAATTTACCCACCTGTCGCCATTAAACCGGACAAATGTCCGCTACACCTAAGAAGCCGCTATCCGCAGCGCACGGCCGGACTTCCTCGACCGAGAACACACCTCCTTCGAGACAGACTCGAGCGTCTACACCGACTTCTTCCACAAATGGTACAGGAACCTCTAACACCCCATCGAGGACACGGTCTACCCGAGGCGGTACACCAATATCAGCGCGAGCCGCTGCTACGCACAGGTCAACCTCGTCTCTAAGTGTTTCCAGCACATCTGGTAACACTGAGGCCCGCGCCGAGACGCTTGCTCTGATCGAAGACCTAAAAGAGCGGTTACAAAAGGCAGATATCGCTTCCGAGCAGCATAAGAAACAAGCAGAGGTTCTGCAGACAAGACTCGACGATGCCCTTAAAGAGCAGGCTAAATTAGAAGAAAGGGTGCACGAGAGCGAGGAGCAGATCGAGGCACTTAGAAACGAGAAACGGGACGCCGCGAGGCAAATTCGCGAGATGGAAGCAATCTACGAAACCGAACGGAGCTCCATGATGAAAGAGAAGGAAGAGATGGGGAATCGTGAAGAGGAGATGCAAACTGTGATCAATAGACTAAAGGAGGCCCTTAACCAGAGGAACGCAGAGGACGAAAATCGCCCGACGAGGCAATGTGAGCATCCGAACCGCGTTGCGTCATGTGTGCAATTGCTAATTTGAATACCATCACAGCGAGTAATCCCTCTCCTAGTGTAGAGAACGGGAATTTTGCTCCGCCTTCTTCGATTCAGCGTAGCGATTCTAGGAACAACTCCAAGCTCTTGCTTCAGAAGGATAAGTTGATTGAGTCCCTACGTCTCGAGCTCGCAGAAGCCCAGATCAAACTTGTGGAGACTGAGAATCAAGGCGGCGGACGCCTGCACGAAGTTGAACGCTTGCTCATGGAGGCCCGAATGGCCAACGCACGGCTGATGGAAGATAACGAGTCATATCAGCTACTTCTACAGGAGAAAACGCTCCACGGCGAGTTTGGCAAGGGCGACTTTGGCTACATGAGTGTGTCTGGCACCAATCAAGACGCACTAAATGCTCTCGAAGGTCGGTCCAACGCCGGGGACAATCCGCCGGCGGCAGGAGCTAGTTTGGCCGATGAATTGGGTGCTCTCGGTGGGGACGAGAAGGCTGCTGATGAGGAGACTGTGCGCCGTCTCGAGACTGAACTACGCGCTGCTAAGGACCAGAACAAAGCCCTTACGTTGTATATTAACAAAATCATCGAGCGGCTCCTCCAACACCAAGAATTCGAGCACATCCTCGACCAGTCCTCCGACTTTAAACCAGGCGCGAATGTACACAAGGATCTCCCACCACCTCCAGCGACTCCTCAGGGAAGTTCGTTCCTATTGCGCGCCAAATCTATCGCCACTGGCCCTACGGCTCGACCGAAGCCAAGGCCTCTGACTATGTCTGCGGCACACCCAGCCCAGTCAGTCTCTGCGCACACCAACCCGGAGACGGCTCCTAGCATTCCTCTTACCGGGATCGGGCGCTCTCAGAGCTCAGCGCGACGCCTCGGACGACCTATGAGCGAGCAGCTGTCGGGAGCAGCCGGTATTGTGAACGCCATGTACAAGGGGCCCGACGGTCCGCTATCCCCAACTCTAAGTACTACATCGTCGTCAGCGCGACATTCCCAGTCATTCTTCTCGCCTGGAGGTCGATCGCATTCGAGCACCAACGGCAGCTCAGGCAACTTTCCGGGTATGCGCAGCGAAACTAGCAGTGTGAGTGGTGACTCGGCCGCGGATGGAACGACAGCTACCTCCGCCAGCCAGAGCCCGCCTAGAACTATAGGCAGCATAGCTGAAAAGGGCACTACGCTCGCGGGTAACAAACCGAGACCATTGAGGCTTGTTCAGGAGAACAACGAAAAGGAGCGCGCGGAGAACAAGCGCGGGAGCTGGATCGGCTGGGCAAGCAGCGCCTGGGGGAAGAAGGATGAACATGAGAGCGTGCGGTAGTGTGGCATGCTAATGAACGATAATGACGAAATTGGTGTCGATGTCAAAATCGAATGGAAGCCTCCTCGAAAGGGGTTATGATGAAGAATTGTTATTCAACTGCAAAAGCCCTACCTATTGCGTATAGTGTAGATGGCATGCTATGTACGTAATGTCTCTTTCTTTCTTTACTTTTTTTTTTCTTGCTACGACGGACAAGCAATCAGCTATGTAAGTTGGATGGGCCAAGATGATGGAACGAACAGATAGTAGCCACGACCAACCCTGCTTACTTATAGTAGTTAAGTTACGATTATGCTCGGGATATATTTATTACCTTTTGATACATGTTATTTTGTTTATCTGTCCGTGCTAGCTACATTGTACGGCATGTACGAACTTGATCATAGTGAACTAGAAGAGAACGAGAATGAGAGACTGAGGAAAAATAATAATAGAGGAATATGTAGTTAGTTTATGTTACTATAGATTGAAGAGAGATACAGTATTTGGTGAGAATTATAATCATCTTGATTCTATTTTGATGCTAGTATGAGATCATTTGGTGACCTGCGTCTACGTACATAGTGGCGAGTTGCTTAAAGGGTGATGGGATGAGGGTCGAAATAGATAGAATCTGGTATATGAGCAAAATGGCTATGATAATTACTGCTATTTTTATCTTTATTTTTATTTTTTTCCCACTAGAAACAACAATTCTACGCACCTCGAGTCCCCTTTTTGCTTAGCCCAGTAGTTGGCCAGGCTATCAAGAACTGGTATTGTGTACGCGAATATATGAATGGTCACTACGAGCCTATAATTCAGAATGGTCATAAAAAGATCTCTTCACCACATCACGGGGGAAGTTTCAGCATAATGAAATACTATCCATGGACGGAAAGGAAGTATTAGGTAGCTTGTAGAACACAATCAAGCATCCGATAATGGTATCACGATTGCTGTTCTCGTTTCCCCTGAGTCTAATTGGTATCACCCACATAATATAGGACTTTTGTACGCTTCACCTCATACAACTAGTGAATCTGTATGAGCGAACAGGTTCTACTATTGTCTGTCAGATCGATATGTCCAACCCCAGCTTGCAGGATTAGCTTCTATTTGTCGACACATATCGCACATATTATGACGGAGGTCTGGTCCATTGTTCTCGACGGAGCGCTTCCGCGACATTAGGGGGGTTGGTCCGAACTCTAGAGTGTTACCTCATCCGAGACAAGGAAAGAAACAATCCATGGCTCTGTAGCTCAGGGGTTGTCTGACGAAAGACACACAATATAATACCAGTCTCATTTCACGAAATATACCACGTGCCTACCTCATAAATCACAGGCAGGTAGTTATAGTAGAGAATCACAAGCCAGGTAGTTCGTATCTAGGATACGGACGAAAACAACCCGCCTAGCTCCCTTATTTCTTCATATTCATGACTCGCTACCTAGTTCCCGTTCAGCTGAAAAACGACACGCTAGGTGTCACCAAGCGAGTGGTCGGGTCACGAAGCTATCGGGTAAGCAAAAAACAACTAGGAACCAAGTAATACCGATTGTTAATAATAGAGGCACCCATGAAGGGAAAATGGCTCAAAAACCACGTTGCGAATGGTCCGGATAACTCGCGTGGCCCCGATGTATATAATACGTATATACCTACATCAGGTACTTACCTACGTGTGTGGCTTTTACGGATGGGGTGGTAACACGGAATCTGTACCGAAAGCCTGGGAGAGAAGAAAGTCCGGGACTTGCGCTGAGAAGTTTATCGGTAATTATGCTTATGTGTATGACACATAACTAGTAACCGCTCATATATTTGAATCTACGAGTACCTAAGGTAATAGTAAAAGAAAAGAAAGAAGAGCGACGGGGATCACTCTATGATTTCAATGCTTTCCTGCTTTCCTATCAAAGAGCCGCACTGCCTATCTTTCCTACGTTGAGGGTTGATGTTACCCCCCACGCTTTAGGAGATAACTCATCGAGCTGTTGGCTACTCAGATAAACATGGAGGGATTAATGTCAGGCAAGCGACGGAAAAGGCGTGGTATTTCGTCACCACTCTGGACTTTCCATCCCCTTTCGTGAAATCAGGCGTCGATCTACAAGAAGCCTTTTTAACATATACTACGTACATACCTCATATATTCCAGAGCTAGAAAGGAATAAAGTGATGGTGTTGTATTTCTGACTCCCTAATAACGTCGAATAATACTCCTCCACCCCCCCTCCCCCCCGCATATACCAATACTGCAAGCTCTTTGTGTGAACGGATATTGGCATCAAACTGGGCCTATGGGGATGGCGGGTTCCTGCGCAGATGACCACCCAAAACCAGGCAGTCCCGGCCGTAGGTACGATACACTCCAGACTTTGCCCGCCCGTGGTCGATGACATGTCAACCTGGCGTTAGGGTAGAGGTAAGCGCAGGGCAGAGTATTCTAGGCTGAGAGAGACATATTCCTATCCGTTTGGACGGGCCGCTTATTATGTCAGATCGCACAGCGGCGATGTCTGACAGGGTGGCTGCCGCGTTGGCAGGTCTTAGTGAACAACATCCCATCCCCTATTACTATATTGGATAGGGGGGTATCTAAGGATGCCATTAGGGAGGAATTACTAGGTCCCTCTTACCTAGGTACCTAATGTACCTGTAGATGAGAGTACTATTTTTTGGCAGGTTGGGAAGAGGGTTAGTTTAGGTAAGTAAAGTATATTAGGATGTACATACATATGTGACCTATTTCTTAGTGGCGATTTCAAAAGCAGTAGTATACACAAACCGACAAACCGGATAACCGGGACGCCCCGTCGAAGTAAGTTCACGACTCGAAGGGTTTAGGTACACTACTTAGGTAATTGTCTTCGGTTTCTTTTTGTTCGTTTGCGTGGAAAACCCGTCAGCTACTCGTCACCAAGCGTCTACCCAGTGGCCACCCCCATCTTGATTTCCCAAAGAGGGGAGCGACAAACAAGTTTTCTTATTTCTTCAATCACATATTTGACGTCCAACTACCATCTCGGGAATTCCCAAATGGAAATTGTGCATATGCGATGTTCCCTTTGGGCGATTTATGAAGGGCCTAGAGAACTTGGGTGGTGATTGAGCTGTTTTGGGGTCACGTTCGTCAGACACGCATCAGCAAGAATCATTCACATGCGTGCGTGGTTAGGCAGCCTGTAGGTAGGTTGGTAGGCCGTCCACATGTCGATCTCTGAGAGGTCCAAATTTACCGGGTTCCTATTGGGAAAGCTACTATAAGTATGTTATCATAGGCTGATGCAAGGCTGAGTAGTCCAAGGGGGAAAGCCTTCCTCTAACATTGTTTTTCTTTAATTCTGATTCGACTTCGAACCGTGCCTAAAGCATTCCATAAGGAATTATAGGAACCACATACTTTACATAGTATACACACTAGAGACGGATTTGGTGCGCCATCCCACGGCGTGTTTACTCGTCATACTATGTACTCATCGTTAGGCTCTATTTCCATAAAAATATGAATACCTACCTCTAACATATGATATCCTGCAATAGACCGCTATTTTGTTTGCAAACGCTAGACTAGCTAAATTTGAAGGATTCCTCAGCTCAGCCTGTTGGAATAAGCGGTAGAGGAAGTTTAAGGTACCAAGGTACTTTATTGTAAGGATGAGGGGATCTGCAAGACAGACAGACAGATAAACTCTAGAACCCAAAAGGAAAAAGACGGTGCGGTCACTCGGGGGTCCAGGCAAGTGGATCGATTAAGAAAAAAAAGGATAAAAGAACTAAAAGCTGTACTAAATAATTGTGGAGGAAAACATCCGTTCAAACTTTCAACCCCTTCCGCAACTCTTGTAACTCTAAGTACCTTTCCGGGTTAGGTTACATTCATGTGAATTTGTGTTCCTGGATACATGTACATTTTTATTCCTCCGGGACTTCCATTAATATACTAACTACCTAATTGCCGCACTTTTTCTAAATGGTGTGTACATGTATAAGAGGTATCTATTTACTCCTTCTCTTAAGAATAAAAAAAAACATTATGATATGTTACTATTCCGAATGATCCTACGCTATTACATCTTATTTATTGTTCTATATAAGGTTAATTCTCTCATGACCTATCAACCCTACCATCAATGCCATGGCATGGCATTCATTCATATTGAGTCTAAGTACAATATTAACCTGACGATGAGTACCTAAACTGTAAGTACCTAACCTAAGCAATGGAATATATGAGGTAGTATTTGTACACCTGGCTTCATGCCTTTGGGTTGCACACCTATCTACCCTTATTACTACTACCTACCTAGATGTAGGTAGTGTAAAATGTTTTGTCTCGCAACCCTAGATACCTACCTAGGAACGGATCCCACTTAAGATGAGTCTACCAAAATCAAGTGCTGCAGACTCCAGTTGGTTTAGCTCCAGGGCAAGGTTAGTCCCTGAAGATAACTCTCTGCTTTTCGGCACACATGCCGACTTGCCTAATGTGAAGCGAAAAAGCGAACGGTTAAAAAGCCCGTGGATTACCGAGTATGTGAACGTCTTTTTATTATTACTACTATTTTTTTTTTGTGCATTTGCATCTGCATCTTTCATCTGGTGGTTTTGCCGGTTATACATACCTCTTATAGCGGACATGGTAAGATGTCTATATAAAATACCTACAGAACCTCGGTTACGTACCACAAGTAAGTAAGTTTAGGTGGGTTATGGAAAACAGCAACATCAAGTCAGCCCATGAACTCAAGGTTTGCTTAGGTACCTAACAGTAGAAATCAACTAAAAAATGAATTACATAAATAACCGAGTTCTGTTATCTACGTCCCTGAATGATGAACGAATTCCACTTTTTTTTTTTTTTTTTTTTTTTTTTTTTTTCTTCAAGACATCTCAACAGCTAGAGAGAAATGTTTCTTAACTGTATGTGTATCGTGCCCCTTGAATAGGTACGTCGAATTGACTTTTGATCGTACAGCTTGAACTAACCTTAATAAGCATAATTAGCGATTTCAACTAATGCGATTTACTATGGCTGTACATACACTAATCTGGCAGTCTGGCTATGCCTCGGCCTGCGTTCGTATTCAGTCGATGCAAACCTACCCTTTTTTTGCCACAATTCATACCTATTGAAGCTTCTAGATACCTGCTTGTTGCTTATTCAACGTGACCGGATAACAACGTATGTATGTACGAATTTATCTAGAATGGAATATCCTTTATAGCATCAACCAAGTGTCTTCCACGGTTGGGTTACATGTGTGTACATGTACATATGTACCTAGGTAGTTACATGCAGGTATCCCCCCGACCTGGGCATTCGATTGTAATGGCAGAGTGAGCGTGCTGGCATGTAGGTACGTACCAACTATGTAGCTCAATGAGGTGTTGTACCTAATTATACCTACTGGAGCTGGACCTTAGGGCTCTCTCCCGTAAGATTCTACCTAAATATATATATTATAGGTACCTGAGTACCTAGTAGGTTAAGTAACCATGTACAATACAATACAATACATCATTACCCTTCAAATCTGATAACTTATTCGAAAAAAGGACATACATCTCAACTCCCCGTATTTTCCCTTAACAAATCAACCTATCCCTCATTCACGCCTCAATCCCCCCATAACTGTTCAATACTCTATCTTTCGCAATTCGTCTTTTCGGCTGGTCTTTCTTCTATCTTATTACTATACCGCTGATTGTCGCCTTGCTATTACTTTACTCGATACGTGCCGGGTCCCCCATTTCTGCAGTACACCTTGAACCATCCGCAACTCTCCACATTATTGTGTCATTCAGACATTCTGCTTTCCGCGTCCCATCCCGCGTTTGTAGTCTTTTTGCATCCTAACCACAGCCCTGACCACAGCCCTAACCACTGATAATTGACCATATCGGCACAAACAACACATCCCTAGGTTCTATTCGTCAATCACTACTGCAAGTTCCTGACTGGGGCATTCGTCATACGAAATACATTAAGGACTAGACTATCTGGGCTTCGTGATAGGAGAGTGGACAGTGGGGGAGAAAGGTGCTAGGACCCGTACCGCATTACAACGCTCGTTTGGTTGTACGACCCTCACCTGGTTCGTCCAGTGTAGAAGCTAGTCGCATGCGAACCTGCTGCCACATCACGATGATCAACCTCTATCGACGTGCACCTGCCATCCTTTCCAGCTAATCCCATTACTGGTAGACGTGGTTCCATTGTCTGCGCCGACCTTAAACCAGGTAGTCCAGCACCAGGTCGAGCACCATGGCAAATAATTCTATAACCATGGACGCCAGTCTGTCCAGCCTAAACTCTGTCGATAACGACACTTCTGCAACTTCCAGCGCCCATATCGATTCCCAAGCATCAAAGTGGGCATCAGCCTCCACTTCACTTACCGCGTCGCCGGCACAGTCTAGAGATACATCACCAATTCGCCCATCTGCTAAGCCAGGAAGAACAAACCGTACACCCACAGCCCCCTCCCGGTCACGCAAGAGCAGTATTCAAGACCCTAGCCCGTCTAGATCTAGAACTACGACTCCTGCACCTTCAACTTCTCGACAACAGCTTTTCTCCGCCGCAACGCCCTCGTTACCTCCCCCGTCAAGTTCCGAGTCCGTGCCGCAAACTTCCGCTCCGCAGAAAGTCTCCGTTGCGTCCGATCTATCCAAAGACTCGCCTCGGTGGCCCGTGTCACCTCGGTTGAAATCACCGCCGCCTAATATCGGCCGACCAGCGGTGGCCGGTTCATCGTTGCGAAAACCCGAGCAAGAAATACCCGCCGTAAATGTTCAGCGAGCAACGCCTTCGCCTCACGTGGAATCTGCTTCGCAGTCTACCTCCGACAACGAGGCGGAAGAGTCGCAAATGTCGTCTGGTATGAGGACCCCGGCTCGTGGACCAAGCAATGGATCCTCGACCCTGGAGACGGTCCAGGAGGTTAGTCAACCCAATACCCCGCGACCAGGACTAGATGCCGCTATTGAAAAGCTTGCTGAAACCGCCGCTGCGCAGTTATCGGTGCAATCCAAAAGTTCTACGAGCACGATTAAGAGGACAAACTCTATTCACAATGCGACGAATAGCGAAAGTGGTAGCGATGGCGGGAACGTTAAGAGCACGAGAAGGACAGGCGCTGCTGGTCCTACACCTTCACTTGCTAGCAGGCAGTCAAGTACGACCCTAAAATATGGCACGAAGGGACCAACTTCGGCCGAGAGTTCGTCGAGAAACATGACGGTCGAGACGGAGCAAATCAATAACCTTCCAGGGCTTTCAATAGCCCCGAATACCAGGAACCAAGGAGCGAACGCGAGTTTGAGAACGAAAGCCAGCTCAGAAACGATAAAACCGAAGAAGGAAAAGAAGAAGCACACGAGAAAGCCGGCATCTGTTACTTCTGGCAATGGTGAGCTAGCCACCACACTGACACTTAAACTTCGACATAGTTGCTCGATACCATCCATTTCATCTCATCATTCAAGCATATACGGTCAAGGATCGTATGGAGAAGATTCCATCATAACACAGCTATCGATCAACAGTTCAAATTTTACCTCACATATGACCAATTTACTAACCAGAGGACCCCGTCCAGCATCCTCAAAAGCAGATATTTTCGAGGCCAAAGTCGCCAGCGCAGTGGAGGAAGCTAACTCTTCCGACTCGGACGAAACTTTCGTTTACGATTCGAACCCGCCAGATTTATGCGACCGCCCTCACCGTTACCACTCGCGGACACCCAGTGCGACCTCTATAGCCAGCCAAGTCAACCGGAACGGAGGACGCTCTGTGACAGGCATGGTAGAGACCAGCGCACCGACTATGCCAATAAAGAAGAACATGAAGTTTGTTAATAGTTACATAAGTAGCGGAACCGACGGCCCTCTTGGAGATGATGACGGTCGGGGCACAAGCCGGAGTAATATTGGTTCTGCACGAGGCACAGGCCGCCATCATCACCATCCTAACCGTTGGGGTCGAAATAACAGTAGTAATCACCTCTCGCTGTTCGATAACGAATCTCCCTTCCCCAATGCAGCTAAGTCGAAGTTCGGTGGAAATAATTCAAAGCAGGGCTCTAATCCCTCAAGCCCTAGATTCGGTACCGGTCGAGGTTGGGCAGCTACTAGTAAACGGCAAATGGGACTCCCAGGCGGCTATGATATCGACGACACCACCACCGGCGCTGATGACGAAAGGACACCTCTTCTCAACGGTGGGGCCAGGTCTATTAGATCTAATCGAAGTCGTCGTCACCCGTACCCGAGAAATCTCGAAGCGCAGACGTATCAGCGAAACCCTTCATTCCTCAACCGATTTGCGAGTTGTCTAGTCCTTACTATAATGCTATTAGTAGTTCTCTCTGGGGCACTCGGTTTCATGTTTGCGACATCCCAGCCGCTCACAGATATTGAACTTGTCAAGATTGGAAATGTCCTAGCCAGCGAACAGGAGTTGATGATGGACGTTACTGTCAAAGCGCACAACCCGAACGTCGTTGTCGTAATGATCGACACGTCCGACCTTGAGATATTCGCAAAGTCGCCACATGCTGGTACGGACTCGGAATGGTGGCGCCATCCTGGCCCAGACGAGCTTGGTACTCTAGACGACCCCAAGGACGACCCGCCAGTCGTCAAACTACCCGGTGAGGGCGAGGGTGATAATGACGGCAAACCGCCTTCTGAAGATACATCACCGAATATGCGTCTTGGAAATATTGTTGTCTTCGACAGTCCGTTGACTTATGAAGGGTCATTTTTCCAATCTGGCATTTCTACTTCCACGGGATCTTTACGGCTCACTCGACCTGGCAACGGTACCGACGGCGGCTCGGAGCGGTGGGAACGCATTATCGCGGACGAGTTCACTCTAATCGTCAAAGGAGTTCTGAAGTATACATTGCCCCTTAGCCAGAGGACTAGAAATGTGGCCATCTCTGGCAAAACAGTTGTCAAGCCAAATTCGGCGAATAATCCATCCTTACGACCTAACGAAACTGTGTCCGCAATAGAATAACACTTTACGATATGGGCCTCTCCTGCCCACACACATACACTTTCCTTTGTGACTTCTAATGATTGATTCTGTATACCGAGCGGGTACGGCATAGGCATTACCGGAGCTCTAGGCGTTGGATCCTTTTCTTCGAATGGTAACTTACATGAAGGAAAAGTTTAGGTCGTCGGTCCCCACGGCCTTGTTCATTTGTTCTCCATGTTGTAATCCAGCAGATTTGTTTTTTTTTCTTCTTCCAGCTAAGAAAGAAGGGGTTTCAAGTTTTCAACACAGAAGGACATTGCGGTAACCACGGTACCGGTTACAAAATACACTTTGCATAGGATGGACATACAAAAGCATACCCCCAAGACTGGACCTCTAGCCGACGAGGCTCCTCTGTCACCCCTTTTCTTCCGCACGGAGGACTACGCGAGAGTCCACCGTTGCTTTCTTTTTCTTTCTTTTTCCACTTTCATCCAAACGAGCATGGGAATTAGACGAAGGGCGGCAACCACCTTACTCTTACTTAGTATTCCACACCAGATACCCAGACAGACGGGGTCCGCATCTGTACTTGTAATGGCTTATGAAGATACTTGAGAAGACAATACTTAATCTGATGAAACGAAGGAATTCGTCCCGGTAGATGGTAGTATCAGAGGTGAAGAACTTTTAGGAATCCCTACGCGATGTGGCGTAGTCACCTCCTTTTTTCTATATATCCCAACTTATTGAATACCTAGGTATTTCAAGTAGATACAATATCGCTATCCCGCTTTTGTAATGTAACCCTGTTCTCCAACAACTAGCTCATCCTGGATCGCGGTATGTTTCACAACATAGGTAACCCAACTACCTGAGTATTAATTCCGTCCCAACATCCTACTTCGAGTATTTCATGCAGTGCCCGACTGTCGACGTCGATGAGACGAAAAGTGCTTCACCCAAGCACTAATTACTCTACCTTAGGTAAATAATCAAGCCAAGACAATATCACCAATACTCGAGATAGATAGGTACCTTCTATCTACTCTGGAAGAGAGAGATCCTCGCATAAAGCCGTCCTAGCCGCTGTCGCCACCGAACATCCAGCGGAGCCCTACTCGCAAACGCGCTTGTGGCTGATTTAAAACAAAGCTTACATGGTTGCATTTCTAGCTTGCCGGGCTGAAAAAGAAAAGCTAGAAGAAGAATCGACCATATCTGATAGCAAGTCTTTTCTATACGGCGCTTGTTGGAGCAGTTGAGATCGGTCAGTATATTTCTCGAGCGTTATACTTTACTTTAAGGTACCTAAGGTTAGTTTTGCTATTCATATTGAGCTGGGGTATATCGTCTTCTCGTCTACCTCTAGGTACCGTTTGGTTTATTCAACATAATAATACCTGTACCTAAGGCTATGTGGGAGCGCGTTTGACAATAGATCCTATTAGGTACCTACCTCTAGGTAGATATAGAGATATACTTGGCATAACTAACAATCCCGCCTTCCTCCTAGCCCTTTTTCCCCTCCTGAGAGACCCCCCCCGAGTACCTCGCGGCATACGGTTCTGGTGATAGCCAGCCACAGCAGCGGGTTTTCTGGTCCTGGCTGGTAGTGCGCCATGGTCGCGGCCGAGAAGCCAACGTCCCCGGCCCGACCCCTCGGCCCTGCTATCGCGGCGAACATGGCCGACGGCTTCTGCGGTGTCAATCTCCTCCACGTCACCCGTGTTCCGGTCGTGAGCCCTGGAAAGGCTGGGTGGTTGACGCTTTTGGCTATGTTGAACCCAGATGTTCCGGCGCTGGATGCGGATGCGGATAGAAGTGCGGATATGGCGGAAGCGGCTGAGAAAGGGGGCGGAAGAGAGTCGGCTGGTGGTGGTGGTGGTGATGGTGGTAATGCGCCGGTGCACAGTGCAAGCTGGTCCAGCATTGCGCCGAAGCCCCTTCAGACGCACCAGTCGCGCGCTTGCGTCGTCATATCGCGGACTACGCTAATAACTATGCTCGTCATGACAAATGCTCGCCCCGTCTTCCAGTACAGCGAAGCTGCTGGGTTTCGGGCCGGGTACGCGTCGTATTGCGGGCAGTGGTGTGAGTTATTACCTTAGGTACCTACCTAAACAGACTTCTCCATCCTCTGGTGTTAGACGTCCTTCCCCGCAGCGGTTGTCCTAACTGCCACTAACCAACCCCCCCTCTAGACATCACCTGGCCCATCGGCCAAGAAGCCATCGTCACCTTCGCCGCGCACGACTCCCTCGGCAGCGGCAAAGAAGTCTTCCCGCGCGGCTTCCCCCTGCGCGTCGACCGCTGCGCGCGGATGATCGCGGGCGTCGTGGCGTCCCCGACCTCCGACTTCGCCGTCGGCTTTGGCGGCCGCCAGGCCCCCGGCACCTACGTGCTCGAGCACGCGCCCAGGGGGTTCCCGGCTGCCCACTCCGGCCGCCACCTGTACAACATGCTCGGCGGCCGGGCCTTCGACGTCGACTACCTGTACGCGAGACCCGACCGCCTGGATAACACGACGGGCGCGGTGGGGACGAAAGGGGTTCGCTTGCACCTGCCGGACAAGACCGCTGGCAACCGTTCCGTCGCCGTGGTCGTCCCCCCGGCCGCCGAAGCCGTCCTCAAGCAAGCCCTCGACACCCTGCCCTGGACGAGCCTGTCGTGGAGCATGCACCGCGGTCTGCGGGACGTGCTCCTCGCGTACGGGAGACAAATCATGGACTTGCACCGCACGGCGCTGGCCGCGCTGCTCCGGCAGACGGTAGCCTCGCGCGCCGAGGAATTTGTGTCGCGCGGGTGGGACGGGGATTTCGTGCGCGAGAGCATGGGGCCGATGGCGGCGGCGGCAGTCCTCGCGGGGCGAGGGGACTCGGGGGACGCGGTGCGCGTGGTGACGGCGGCGGCGGCGGTGTACTACGATGCGGCCAAAGGAATCCTGGGATCAGGAAGAAGTGATAATGATAGCAGTCTGGACGAGCTGGACGAGGTGCGGTTTTGGCGGGCACAGCAGCCGCATCGCCGACGGGGTAGTAGCCCGCTGCTTCCCGAGGCCGTCGTCGCGCTGACCAAGTTCTTCGTGCTCGAGTGGAGCCAGGAGTTCGATTACCAGCTGTACCATCATCTGCCGATGTCTCTCTACTTCGGGTAGGTAGTACATGACGAGGCAAAGTAAGTATTCGCGGGTATAGGTGGATGGATGGATGGATGGGTTAGGTGTTGGAGGCTGGCTGGTAAGGTTCTATCATCAAAGGTTAGGTACCTACCTACATTAGGTATTTAACGAAGCTATGAAATACTGTACGTAACGACGACTATGATCGGGACATGTGGTATGAGGTTTAGCAGGCTAGGTAAATTGATATAATGCGTTACCAAAAGTCTGTGTGCACCCCCCTATTTTACACCAAAAGTCATCACTTTCAACACAACATATATAGTATAAATCAGTTTACTATGGTTAGTATATTAAAATAGCCTCCTATGACTTTACATATATAACCCCCTTGCAATTTTCTTTCAAATACAAATCGGACGTTGAAAGTGTTGACTTTTGGTAACGCATTGTACCTGCAAATTTACGTCTTATCACTTACAAGTAAACGAGGTTATACACGATTAACAAAGTTCACTCCAAGCTGCTCAGGTCATTAGATTAACGACTAATCCTTCGAATACAGATCCTAAGTTAAATACGTCCCAAGGTATGTAGGTAGCAAAGGGAATTAAACCCCCCCTCTCTAATGCAACTCAGCAGCCACAAGTTTCAATATCTCCTCAACACTCTTGCGCGCATTCTTCGGGTTCTTCGCTATAGCCTGCCAAACCTCGCCGTGCCGGGGCTCCACGCTAACACATTTGCTGACGACCTCTTCGCGCTTCTCTTGCGTCCCGTGTTCGAGCAAGAACTTGTAATACCACGCCCAGCTATCGCCCAGGTCCGAGTCTCGAACCAGCGCTTTCTCGAACCAGTTCTGCGCCTTCTCGAGCCGTCGCTCGCCCCAGAAGATGCGCGCCACAGCTACTAGCAAGGTTGGGTCGTTATCCACTTCCTTGATCGCCTCTAAAGCACGGGGTTTGCGCTGCGGCCGCGTCGTTAGGTGCCATATCTTCTCGCTCCATAGGATACCTTGGTCCGCCTTGGGCACGTCACGAAGAGCACGCTCCATTAACGACTCGGCCTGCTTCGTATTTTGTGCCCGCCTCTCCACACGCACCGACTCGCACCATAACTCGGCGGATTTGGGCACGGCAAGGCGTGCACGATCTAGGACCGAGCGGGCCTTGGGTAACTGGCCAAGCTTCTCTTCTAGGCGGGAGTAGAGTAGCCACAGCGGAACCGATTTCGGTACTGCTTTAACACCTGTGCTGTAAGCTTCGCGGGCTTGTAGTTGTTGACCTAAATCTTCGTAAATCTGACCCTTCATCATCCAGAGCTTGGCTGATGCAGGGAACAAATTGAGCGCTTGCTGGACAAGATCCAGTGCTGCGTCAAGATCATCCAGCTGCCGTTCAAAGGCAGCACTCTTCATCCAGACACGATCGGTTGGAGCCTCCTGTCGGGCTGTCTTTAGTAAACCTCGTGCTTGTTCGATATGGCCGTTCTCGGCCTCAAGCTTAACTGCTGCCAACCAGATATCCTCGTTGTTCGGGTTCTGCTGGAACGCTCTGGCCAGAACGCGACGTGCATTGTCAATCTCTCCAGCTTGCCATTTCTCCTTGGCAAGCATCATCCATAATACTTCGCTGCGAGGCACAGCATTGACAGCCTTCTCGAGAACTTGCCATAGATCTTCTTTCGAACCGTGATTTCTTTCGAGATCCGCAGCAGCCAGCCAGATCGTTTTGCTCGTAGGGAATACTCGAAGAGCATAGGCGTATATAGCTCGAGCCGTTTCATACATGCCCCGATTGATGCTCCCACGCGCATCATCTAACCAAGTATCTTTGCGGTCGTCATCTTCATCGAGGCCATAACCGAGCGTTTCCCGGATGATCGCACCACATGTGATTATGGCACCCTCCTGTTCGCACTTTTCTGCCTCTGCTATCCATTCCTCTCGCTTCGGCATCGCGGACTCCTTGACGAGAACTTGCGCGGCACGCTTCATGACATTGACCTTTTCTCCTTGTCCTAGCTGCTCCTGCAATCTTGCGGCAGCAATCCAAATCTCGTGAGATGTCGGACAATGTTTACGAGCCTTGTTCAGCACCTTCTGAGCGTTCTCGGGAGTCTCAAGCCTAGCCAAAGCCAGCCATAGGTCCACGGATAATGGGATAAGTTCTGTAGCTTTCGCTAGAAGTAGTCTAGCATCACCCGGGTCTTCCTCCAGGTTAACAGCTTCCTTCCACAGAGCCTCTGATTCAGGAATATGGTCTAAAGCGTGTCTTATAACTCGTTTTTTCGACCTCGTATCGTCTTCTAATTTCATCGCCTCAACCCATAACCGCACCGAGCGATTATTTTTGTGGATGGCTTGTGCTGCGATGATCTTGGCATTTCGGCCTTCATTAAGTCGGATGCTTTCGAGCCAGACATCCTCATTCTTAGGGCAGTGTTCGCAACCTCGCGCGATAACGTTTCGCGCTGCTACAATTTTACCAGCCAGTTCCTCAAGACGAGCAGCGGCAATCCAACCAGGACCATTATTTGGGTTAGTCTTGATGACGGATTCGAGCAGTTCCCTGACTCTGTTGATGTCGCCCACCTGAGCTGCGCTTTCTGGGAGTTGGGATTTTGCTAGACTCGTCAAGTAGCCTTTGGGATCGACACTTGTAGCACTTCCGCTTTGAGAGGCTTGGTCAAGCCTGACCTGAAGAACTTTGTCTCTGGCCTGTCCAATCTTGGCAAAATTTGTCATTGTTCCGTCCTGATTACTTGAACCGCCAGTCGTCGATGCCGCACCGTCCTCAACTATGGTGGTCCCAAGTTCACCGGCGCTCCCCGCGGCGGCTAACACACTATCTGGTACGGCGTAGAAGCGTTGCTGTCTCGCTTGCTTGCTCCGCCTATTTTTTCCCGTAAGATCTCCAACTTCAGGTAATGCTGCCCATTCTTCTTCGGTGACGCTTTCCAGTCCTCTCTTCAGGTCGGCGAATTGCTGTTGGATCTTTGGGTTTTTGCGCTCGTACTCTTCTCGTTCTGCCTTTTCGCGGGCTTCCCTATTCGTTTAAAACAATCGTCGGTAATCTGCTCAAGCTAATTTCGGGATGAATTGTGAACTAGCTGGGGGGAATAATATGGGATGGGAACTTTATAAACGGGAATTACTAACCTTCTCGCTCTCCGTCTTTTATCCATCTTCTCATCTATTTCTCGGTATATCCTGTCCGCCTCATCGTCATCTTTATCATAGACTCCACCGGCAAAGAGGCCAACCTCGTTATCTGGATCTTGGTATCGATCGTCATTGTCGTCTTCTTCGTCCTTTTTACCTGCGGCGTCGCCAAATCCTAGTTGCGCCGCACGTTTTGCGAGAGCTTCCTTGATTTGGTCTTCTGAAGGACCTTCTCTGGCTGGTCCTAAATCTGAGCGCGTAGTAAAACCCGTGGCACCACGTCCTAAACCTGCGACATAGTTCTCGGGCGCCGGCTGGCTCAGGAAATCGCGTCGCCCTGTCATGTCGCCTGGTCTGAAGCGAGATCAAACTGACAAACAAACTGAGAAATATTGTTTTTGTTGAAATACTTTAATGATATGGTTTGAAGGACTATATGCGACCGAGTACCTATATTCGAGATTAATAACGAAAGGGATGCTGTCCCTAAGTTGGCGTTATTTTATTTGTATACAGTTGAAAGTTGAAAGCTTTATAAAATGAGGAAGTACAAAAGTATCTAATAAGTCTAAGAACAAAATGACGGACCTGGCGTTAGCGCTACAGGGGTTAAAGTCGTGACTACAAGGATCTTGATAGACGATAAAGACTTTCGATAACGATAACGAGCCACTCTGCCACTCAAGACCAAAAATCTACCAAAAAAAAGTTACCAATCTCGCGAATCGCATTGCCCCTCTGCCCCCTCTACCAACGCCCGGCGCAATATTCTACGAGAGAAGATATTTCAACGCCAATACCTTCATTTTACTTGGAAAAGGAATAGAATGGGAAAGGCAAAGACATCCAAGCGCGGAGGCGCAAGCTCAACTCCATATGACCGACCAGCCAAGAATGCAGCGGCCAACAATGTCTTCAAATTCAGCAAGGATTTTGGTCAACATATTCTGAAGAACCCCGGTATCGCAGAGACCATTGTCGCAAAGGCATATCTCAAACCTACAGATACAGTCCTCGAAGTCGGTCCTGGTACGGGAAACTTAACAGTCAAGATTCTCGAGCAGGCCAAGAAGGTTATTGTAAGTCTCTGCATAGTTACGGTGATCAATAACTTATGGGCCATTGAACTCATCGTGATTTTTGAACAGGCCGTGGAAATGGATCCTCGAATGGCCGCCGAAACAACGAAGCGTGTACAAGGGAAGCCGGAGCAGAAGCGATTAGAGGTTCTCTTAGGAGACGTTATCAAGACAACGCTCCCCCCTTTCGATGTGTGCATCTCGAATACTCCCTACCAGATATCGTCGCCCTTAGTGTTTAAACTTCTGTCTCTTCCAAACCCGCCGAGGACATGCGTTCTTATGTTCCAGCGCGAATTTGCGCTGCGTCTTACAGCCCGGCCGAACGACCCCCTATACTGTCGCTTATCAGTTAATGCGCAATTCTGGGCGCGTAAGTTATCTTCTCCTCTTCGTGCATAACTCGTTATTGATGTTGATTGTTGCAGGAATAACGCACGTCTTAAAGGTTGGGAGGAACAATTTCCGACCCCCTCCCCAAGTCGACTCCAGCGTGGTCCGAATCGAGCCAAAACTCGGCTCAGAGCGTCCGAATATTAGCTTCGAGGAATGGGACGGCATGTTACGGGTGTGTTTCAACCGAAGAAATAAGACCTTGAGGGCTTCGTGGCTCGGCAACAAGGAAGTCCTCGCCATGTTGGAGCGGAATTACCGGCTCTGGTGCGCCACAAACGACATTCCGGTGGACGATACCGTGGCGGACGAGGAAGACGACGACAACGAGGAGATGGAGGTCGACGAGAACGTGCCGCCGAGTGCTGGCGACGAAGAAGAGGAATGGGGTGGCATCATGGATGTTGACGGGCAGGATGACGATATGCCATCGTTTTTCAAGGAATCCATGAAGACCGAAATACCAAAGACGAAGAGCAAGCGAAAGAAGACGAGGGTTGCTTTATTAGTCAAGGAAAAGGTCAGAAAAGTCTTGGAAGACGTGACCGAACTTGCTGATAGGAGAAGCGGAAAATGTGACGAGAATGACTTCTTGCGCCTTCTAGCGGCTTTTAACGCAGAAGGCATTCATTTCTCATGATCTGTTGAGCTATGCTGACAACGCGTACGCGGTACATGATTTATGGTAGTTTAGGCGTTTTCGATATCAGGGCTCATTATACGCATAGGACCTATGGGGAGTTACGGCTTTGTTGGGACTTGGACGGCGAGCGAAAAGACTTCATACTTGATATCCTGCCCGTCATGACGGGGCCGGCAAAATGAGGATAATTATTTTTTTTTTATTTTTTTGCGTATTAGACGTCAATCATATAGGACAATCCGTTCAGCCCATTTCAGATAATACTCCTTCACCAAACCTGACTCCTAATCCCATGTTATTTGATGATTTAGAATAACGAATAGGTACCCGTCCCCCGACTCGTTCACTTGCCTCCAAACCAGCTCGAGATTCCACTCTTGGCCTTGGACGCCTCAGTTTCGACCTTCTTGTCGAACTCCTCCACCTTCTTCAGAGCAGCGGACTTGGCTTCCTTTGCGTAGGCCTCCGCTTCAGCAGCGGCCTTTTTCAATTCGGCTTCTGTCTTGTGGATCTATTATAGGGTATCATGGAATCTGGTTAGAACTGACGAGCAGGATTATATATATAGGGAAGATGCGATTTTATCACTTACAGTCTTGTCAACTTTTGAGCCGGCTTGTGCGCCGTACTTCTCGGCATCTTTCCTAGCCTCTTCGCCTCGACCGGGCAGGTCTGATTTGAATTGGGAAGAGACTCTGTATGCGTCGGCTAATGTAGGGGATATACGTATTAGTGGACATACTCTACATTAAAGCATTGCGCAATATATCGCGATGCTCACGAGGATCATTGGAGAATGACATACCTTCAGCTTGCTTCTTAGCGACGTGAGTATTGCCGCCGGCGCTGTATAGGTAGTAACCAATACCACCGGCAGCGGTTAGGCCCAAGGCGAAGGGTAATTTGGATTTCGACGACATTGTGGCTTTTTTGGCGTATAGGTAAGGTATGTAAGCTTATGCTTTAGGTATCCTCAGTGATATATACTACTAAATCGATGAGTTGGATATCAAGAAGAATTGAGATTGTTCGTATCTTATGGATTTTCCACGGGATATGAGTTCGTGATAAAAACAAAGATAAAAATAAAAATATGGAAGTTTTTGGAAAGTTACCTATTGAAGAGTTATTAGACCGAGACAATGCTTTGAGGAAGAATGAAGGACAATTTTATTACGACGAATCACTTCGGTACCTACGAGTAATATATAATAACGTACGACTTTAGCTCCAGGTGCTTCCCCCCCGACCTTTACCTCATAGCGATTCGTTCAGAGGGTTACTGTCACTCTGTCACTTCTGTACTTCAGCAAAAGTTGCTCCATTGTCACAAGATACATGACGTAGCTCATATTCAAAAAGTACTATGTATTGATGGGTGGAGAGGAAGGTGTAACGATGATGAGAGACTTAGAAGTAACTTAGTTCAAGCTCTAAATATAGCGGGCCATTCAGGTTTCTTTCAAGTCTTTCTTATTAGTCTACCCCAGCTTTAGCCTGCAGCTCTACATACCTGTATGCCCCACCTTCGAGGTTGTTCAGTTGCGCGAACCTGCTTCAAATCTCCAGGTTAGTTATTATTATTATGGATTATTGACGAATTACATCATCAACTACGTTCCTGACATCGTGAATCCATTTTTTAGGTGTCTACCTTAAAATTGCTTAGAAAATTCAGTTACTTACGTTAGGTCAGGAGGTAGCTTATCCAAGCAAAAAGAGCTGTGCGTAATTCTGCGTGTCTGAGGCTCAGTTACCTGGTACCTTGTTTAGAGTTACCATACTATGATCTGCTATACTAACTTGTTAATCAACCGCTGTCAACAGTCAACTGCCTAATACCTAGTATTGTACAGTTTCCATACGTGAAGCGCACACAGCTTGATTTCTACCTAGCCTCCTTCGTCATCGATGTTAGCTATCCCGGTGCACTTACTCTTATGCTATTACCAACTAAACGACAATTTCCATTATGCTGGATTCCTTCATAACTAAACGATGCCCAAAACCAGCGCGCGTCTGCGCAGTTCTCGTCGCGTCCCTTCGCTGAAAGACAGCGAGATCGATCATGAAATTAGTCTAGTCGACCACTCTGCATCTATCGAAGAACTTCCATCTCCTACCCCCGGAACGGGCGACGATAGCAATAATGATAGTAATAATAACATCGACTCGTCCGTTTCAACCCAACCTCCCGATATAGATGTTCAGCCGAAACATGGTGCCCCCTCCGCCGAAGCGGGTCACTCTGGCGGTTGTGATGCATCTCAAGCTTCTGCGAAAGACGCCGACAGCTCGATGACGGGGAAAGAGCCTACCTCGAAAGATATTGGCCTTGATAAGACTATAACAAAAACTAAACCCCGTCCGCGTCCGTCTAAAGAGGCCGAGACGGCCATTGATATATTGTACGAGAACCAGCGCGGGGGATTCCTCTGCGGCATCCCCCTGTTTTCTTCCGCGGCCTTGGGCAACTTGGATCCTCCGCCCTGGACTAACTTTGCTCACAAGCCGAGTCCGACGGACATAAATACCGCCCAAGTGCCGGATCCGAGCTGGGAATGGGCCTGGCCCGAGTGGCGCATAAATAAGGACGAGACTATAGACACCGACAGTGACGGCTGGGAGTATTCGTTTATGTTTTCTAAGAAATTCTCGTGGCATGGCCCTAAGTGGTACAGTTCATTCGTGCGGAGGAGAACATGGATCAGAATGCGGATAAAAAAGGGTCACGGATACCAGATGAACGACCCGTACATGAGTCATGAATACTTCTCCGTAGTGTCTACGAGGACCGAGTCGGGACGGACGAGCACCAATCAGCTGGGAGCTCGCATTTCTCAAGAAACGTCGCGAAAGTCTAGAGATACTAGGCGGGATGAGGATGAAGGATTAGTTATGGTGGACATAACGACGGTTGAAGAACTGATGGCGGTTCTGCGGAAGTCTCGCATTGATCGGGAGAGGCTCGAGGCCATAGAAAACTACATTGAGCACTGCGCAGATGATATGCAGCAATTACAGGACTACATGCACAAGATCATGTCTTTGTTCGTGTTCCAGACAACCCGGAAGCTCCTTTTAGCACGGCTTATACAGCTCCACGACAGCCACGTCGATAAGAAGCAGAAAGGGAAATCTCTCGCTACGCGACAAAAGGACGAAAACCTGACCGCGGCTATCAAGCACGCTGACGAGGAGGTCCGAAGGCTGGAATATTGGAGCGACATTAAAGGGATGACAGAGAGCGGAGAATCTCGGGCCTGGATAAGAGCGGTCCAAGGGGTGTGAAGAAAGACGGCGAGCTTCCATAATAGGCTCCTTTTTGCTTTATCGTGAACATGCCACAGCGTTATGCATGGGGGGCTTCAGGTGCAAACGGGTTTTTATTATTATTTTCATTTTGAGATACCATCCAACAAGGCGTTATCGGTTAGGGAGGAAATATATGTGTTAGAGGTACCTAACGTAGGTAGCTACATACATATGTCGTCGTCGTACTACATAATATATCGAAGTCAGCTCCGGCCGTTTATGCCACGGGCGGTTTCCCCACGGGTGTTTATCATATTTTCACAGCTTACCTTTTAATTTAAAAGTTAATCGCTCGTCTGACAGCTTGTGGCGTATGACTTATCTTCTTGGCTGCCCCGAGACGGGCGTCAATGCAGCAAGCTCCAACATTCCTACGTTTAAGCATCTGACAGACCTACCAGTGCCTAAAGTAAGGAGGTAAAATATTAGGTATATAAATAGATACCCGATACACCTACCTACGCGACATAATGTATTGAGCTTGCAACATGCAGCCCCCCCTTACAAAAAAATCAATAATGGAACGTATGGAACTGTGGTTTACGTTCGAGACCGTTGCATTTTCGGGTTAGGCTGACATCGCCTCGTGGCTGATACGACCCCAAGCAAGCTGCGGAAGTAATCTATGCGGGCTCGTGTTATTTGATACGACGTTAGATTTTCTTTCGCGGAGATAAGCCCCCTAGCGACACGAGGGAAGATAAAAAGAAAGAAAGGTGAGAGATAGTTAGACAGATAGATAGAGGGAACTCATAAGATGGGCCTATATGCCGGGTTCTATATATCCCCGCGTGTTCGAGACGAACTACTGCAGGCTCGTATAACCGTGACCGAGTTGCTATTTAATATAGAGAGAGTTGCATATTTACCTACCTACCTACATATCTCATATCTCATATCTCATTAACTATCTAATATACCTAACACAATGGCTCGCTCAAAAACAACGGGTGTTTATCCCCTGAGCACCAGGAATTCTTTTTCGGCGGGAGTTACGTCGACACTTGATTCCCGCGTTCAAGCGGGTAAGGGAAATACGACCGTTCGCAAACAATGGGCAGATGAACCATGGCCGCTGATCAAGGTCCCGTCTCGAACTAAACTAACTAAACATGTACGTCTCGCTATATTCACGCTCTCCTACTTCCCTATGCTATTTCCCTCTTATCATTTATTTACTCACTTACATCCATTTTACTCTCTTCTATCTATCTATTTATATAGACGATATTTACACTCACTTACACTATGTACTTATATAGGCCGGGCACCCAGTGCAGCACATCGTAAGGGAGGTAACGAACACGCACAACGCGATGCTGCGCGGCCTTAACGCGCTGTACATCCAAGCCCCGTATGTGCGGCTCCCGGCCGACGTGGCCGATTTCTGCTTCCTGGGGCGCGTCTGGGCTTGCTGGGTAAAAGACTATCATAACCATAAGGAGAGCGTTATGATACCCAAGTTCGAGGACGCGCTGGGGTTGGAGAGGGGGAGTTTGAAGTTGACTTTTGTGTTTTCCGAGGGGGAAGGAAAGTGGATGAGTAACGGGAAAGGAGAAGGGAATAAGAGCAAAGGCAAGGGGAGGGGGAGGGGGAGGGAAAGGGGGAATGGTAAAGGCAAGGAAAAGGAAGGGGAATATACCTTAGAAGGAAACATACCAGCCCTTGTACACAACGTCCTGAAATACGTCGCCGCAACCCACGTCGAACCAACGTCCTATTCCTCATCCACTCTGCAAACCCTCCTATCCTCGCTCGCCAGCCTTCTCGTCCCCCATCTCCACGAACAAATCCCGCTGCTCCAACAAATGCAGGATATCTGCCTCAACTCGCTTTCCCCTTCCGGCTCTGTCTCCCCAATTCCAACCCCCTTATCGATCAATTCAACAAACTCAACCTCCTCCTCCTCCCCTTCCTCTCCTCCATCATCCGTATTTATACCCATATCCTCGCCCCCATCCTCCTTCCCCTCTCAATCCTCTCTCCCTAAACCCGAACCCAATCCTAATCCTAATCTTAATCCTAACCCCAAACCCCCAGCGGCAATCAAATCCGCCCTCCTAACCCAAGCCCACCTCAGCACCTTAACATCCTTCTCGCCTTCCCCGTCCCTATCCCCGCTTTACCCTCTCCTGTCCTTCCCCTCCTTTACTCCCTCCTCCCCCTCCTCCCGCTCCCCCTCCCTCTTCCCCCTAGACCCCTACACCTCCCTCCCCATGCTCGTCCGCCTGCGCGACGCCTCCTACGACGCCCGCCCCGGCGACGGCCACCCCTGGCCGCGCCTCTCCGTCCCCGCCCTCCACGCCGTCGCCGACCGCCTGTCCGCCCCGCACCGCGGCTGCTGGCGCTTCCTGCCCTGCGACGTCTGGGGCCGGCCCGCGGAGTCCGCGTTCCTGCCGGGCCGAGACGAAGAACAACAACAACAACCGCAATAGTAAGAACGATGGCAAGGAGAGAAGCGAGGACGTGGTGCAGGTTGGTGACATTGAATGGTGGAGGGAAGAAGGAAGGAAACAAGGGAGGAAGGAAAAACAGGGAAATAAACGGGAAATAAACGGGAATAGAAACAAGCGAATTCATGGATGAGCGAGGACAAAGAAAGTAAAGTAAAGTACCTAAAGAGATGATAAATACATCATACTACACGGAGCTGGGAGACTATTTGAATATACGTGTTGGCATTTTTCCTTAGATAGGGGGGGATGCCCTAGTTAGACAGACAGACAGACAGACATAGGCGGAGTAACATCTCGAGGGCGGGTAAGAAAGAGGTAGCTATAATAATTCAAATTACGGCAAAAGTAACATGCCAAACAAAGATTGGATCTTGGTATGGTATTGATTAATATATAGGAGGTATCTAACGTATCAATGGATATGTCAGGTATGTATATCCCAAGTTAGTTGCCCAGCTTCAGGGGACGATACCTCTTATACTCACTCATATATGAGGTATATAAAGCTACAATCCACTCGACACTCCCCCTACCCCATTCCATTTCACTTTATTCATTCAATATTCTTATTCTTATTTTTTTTGTTTATTTCTTTCTTCATCTTTATACATCATGGTATCGTCTCTCATCCTCATTCGCCGCATCATCGCCGCAACAACAACAACAATAACTACTACTACTACTCTACTTCATACCTGGTCTTATAAAAAAAACCCGTAGCTATTATACCAGGTAACTACCTCCTAGGTACCTAGGTAACTAACTTCTACTGCTGGGGCTCTTCGGCAACGTAATGCAGGTACGCACCCAGCAGCTTGATGCCCTCGATGTAGTTCCTCTTGTCGAGCTTCTCGTTGATCGAGTGCGCGCCGTCCGTCGAGCTGCCCATCGGCAACAGCAGCACGTTCTTGCCCGTGGACTGCTCGAACGTGAGCGTGATGGGGATACTATATTGTAGGTAGTACCACGTTAGCAACTTGGGCTTCGGAACAAAGGTAATAAATAACCTCTTAACTCTTTTATTCTTGCGACTTTTCGACAGAAATCAAAGAGCAAAAAGATGCAATGCAATTGGGTTGACAGCTTACCTTCCACCTTCCCGCGTGAAATCCGGCTGCACGCCCCATACCCTCTCGACGGCCTTGCTCGCGGCGCGGAAGTTCCAGTGGTTGGGGCTGGCGGCCCACCAGTTGCCCGTGTGGATGGGGTACACTTTGAGGGTGTTCTTGCTGCCGAAGGTCGCGAACGTGTCGCGGACGTGCTTGGCCACGATCTCGTTGACTTTCTCGATCTCCATGTTGGGCACGATGCGGATCGAAAACTTGCCGATCACCTTGGCCGGGATCACCGTCTTGGCTCCGGGGGCCGAGAAGCCGCCCTCGACGCCGTGGATCGAGAGCGACGGGAACCGCCACCGCGCCATCAGCGTCGACTTGGTGTCCTCGAAGATGGTCGTCTTGGAACCTAGCGAGTCGTGTAGGGTCTCCATCGTGAACGAGATGCCGTCGTACAGCGTTTCCTCTTCCTTTGTTACGGGAGCGACCTGGTCCATGATGCCGGGAATCAGGATCTTGCCGTGCGTGTCGACGAGGTTGGCCAGCACGCGCACCAGGTCCGTCATGGGCTCCTGTGCCGTGCCGCCGAACACGCCGCTGTGCAAGTCCGCGCCGGGACCCGAGATTTCCACGGCGTAGTAATTGCAGCCGCGCAGGCCGTACGTCAGGCACGGCTTCTCGGTGCCCAGCCAGTAGTTGTCGCTGATGCAAACCGCATCGGCGTCGGCGAAGTAGCCCTTGCCCTCCTTGAGGATAAGCTCCTCTAGCCCTTCGGAGCCGTACTCCTCCATACCCTCGAAGCACATAAGTAGGTTGACGGGGAAGTCAACGCCGGCCTTCTGGTGCGCCTCGATAGCGTTCAACCAACCTAGGACGGGGCCCTTGTCGTCGGTGCTTCCACGTCCGAACATGCGGCCGTCCTCGCCGACGCTCAGGGTGAAAGGCTCGGTGGCCCAACCGTCGCTCTTCTCCGCGGGCTGGACATCGTAATGTCCGTAGACGAGAATAGTGCGCTTGTTCTTGTCGTTGCCGTAGCGAGCGAGGACTACGGGGGGGAGATCGAGCTCCGGGTTATCGGGCTGCTTGCCGAGGGGTCTGAGCTCGACGCTAGCGCCCAGGGTCTTGAGCTCGTCGGCGAGGAAGTGGGCCATGCGGACGACATCAGGTCGGCGGGCGGCCTCGGAGGAGACCGAAGGGATAGCGACGGCTTTTCTAAGACGTTCGATGAAGTGCGACGACAGCGAGTCGACTTGAGAGAAGAAACCGTCGATTTGGGGTGCCATCTTGCGGGATTGGTGGGCTCGAAGGGCGGGGGTTAGATAGGTTCGTCTTATGGGGGGGTACTTGAAAGTAGGTTCCAAGGGAAATGTCGGTTTTGTACGTCTTATATAACAAGACGATGTTGCTGGGGTTCTCAGATGCGTCAGTGGACTTGATAGTCGCGTGAGAAGAGTGTGGGGCATTTGAGGGAGGATAAGAGGATGAGGAGGGGGATAAGAATTGGAGGGGCGAATGAAAGACGAGATATTGCGAATTTACGAATTTGTAGCTTGTCAGAGGTAGGAGGTATCTAAAGTCTTAGGTACCTAGGTATAGGGTTATGTAGGTACGCGGGTGTGTTTAGGAAGTTGCAAAAAAACCACCGGGAAAGCCCCGACAGCTTATGCACCTCATATTATTTTATACACCAATTTATTCACAATAAGCCCGTACCTAGGTACCTTCATAATGGACCTCGGTTTATATCTTGAGTTGATTGGAATTTTTCGTATCGGCTTAGGTACTCTATCCATCATACCTCTAGCATTTATCTATACATCTAACTCTCGTCTAGTTTTGCTTTTCTAATCTACATCCCATCCGTAGTGTTACAAATATCAGTTATACCTACCTACCTAGGTAGACATAAACATAATATATAATAATATCCCTTCATCTACAACACGTCGAGCTCGAATCGAGCCCCTATTTCTCTGTCGCGCGAATTATTCTTCTTTTTCGCCTCCAGAACCATCACCTTTCTTCCAGAGCCCCCAAGGTTTAGGCTGTCTCTTCAATTTCATTAGTGGTATTGGCACCGAGAGCGACGCTCTTACTGATGCTGATGGCTTCACGATCATCCTGTTCTTCAAAAGTTGGTGAATCGTCACATCCATCTCGACGGCTTCCTCAAGCTTCTTCATGAATAGGTCCTTGAGTCTCATGCCTCGTGCCTGTTGGACGTACAAATATATCAGGTGCATCAGCTCCAAGGTATCTCCACGAGCCGAGCGAGCCTCCGCCAATCCCTCCTGTCCGAAGATCACATCTTCCCACGTCTTCAGAAAAGCCCAGCGGGTGTTCCGCTTTACGTCTTGCGTGAGGAGTTCGTTCAGAACATACCTCATTTTAGGCGTTGTGCGACGGTTTTGAATCGCATATCTGAAGACGACCCGAAGCATGTTGGGGTATGTTTTCGTCCAAGCTTCTCGAAATAGTATATGATATGTGTCTGGGTTCGGTACTAGCCTTCGCCAGCGCGTGAACATGGATTTCATAAAGCCTAATTGTAGTGGCAAGCTCCTTGTGTGAGTCAGAAATATGTTCAATGTGACGGCATTGGGTGATGTGATGCCCGTGGCATAGATGTGATCCAATAAGACATTGCACGCATCCCAATTTTGATGCGCTCCGAGTATATCCATAAGCTTATTAACGGTAATCGTGTCTAGCCACCTAGGCCCGTATTTCCTATCTCGCTTGTGTATAAAAGTTTGTATATCGAAATCCTCCGAAACGCTATGTTCAAGATCGACAATTGCAATCTGTCTACCTATTGCGCAGAGAGTTGACGAGTTGTGATTAAGTCCCTTGTGCCTCAGCATCGTAATAATAAAACGCTTGACGTGCACGCTTTGTATCATCTCCAGGAAAGCGACCCAAGAACGGCCTTGCGGGGCAAACCCTTTTCGGATCATCGCCTTGAGTATGCTATAGAAGCCCTCGAGGTCAGCAGCCTTTGACGCACTAATGAGAAATATGTTAAATACTTCAGCATCCATAGGCAAGCCGAGGAGTTCCGCCTGGTTGAAGATTGTCCGGGATGCTTGACGGAAACCTCTCCCTCTGGATTCGATAAACTCGATAGCCATTTTCAAAGCAGAGAGGGACGCTGCTTTTCTAGTATGCTCTGCGGTGAACAACGCGGTGAGAAGATTTACAACTACTTCCTGATGGTCAGGAAATGTCGGGTATAACTTTCGTGCCACATGCGGTGGCATTCGGCCATAAACTAAACTGGCAACGTATTTCTCGAAAGAGTCTTGGGTCCATTTTCCAGGGCGGTTGACATTATTTGCTCGCCTTTTTAGGCGATAGGTTTTGTACTTGGTAGAATTCGAAGAGGATTGCACGGTTAACATCCTGTCGTCAGCCGTAACCTCCCCATCCTCGAATAATAGAATCTCGGGTCGTTTTTCTGTTGTGTCCTTCCACATATTTGACAATAGAGATTCCGTGGCTGGGTCGGATACCCTAACAGCGGTAATCTTACCTACCACTCCCACGATATCTACAAGTGTCTTTCGGACCGAGTCCTCAGAACCGGATAGACTAAGAATAAGTCCTTCATTTTTGGCGCAGGGTTGTTCGATGATTTGAACGTGACTTTCGTTCCTGCGGCCGATCTGAGAGATATGTGTGTCCGGTTCCGAGAATAGCACACGAGCTTCGGCTGCTATACCCTTCCCTATGATGATTCGGAAATGTAATATTTCGCTAATATCAACTGTATGCTTGTACATCAGGTCGAAGATGGGTTGCCAGCCGTTGAAACGCTCCGAACGGGATTCACGCTCGCTATCGTATATATGTTGTCTCGCAGCACTGTGCCGACGCTTGCGCAAGCTACGGCGCGACTCTCTCTTGGTGGGATATAGAATTTCTCGCTTCACAACCTCAGAGGCCTTGGGTTTGAGACCGGACCTCGTCTTAATAATTTGCTTGCGCGCTGCTCTAACAATAGCCGACTGAGATATTATCTTCTTTGAAGGTTCATTCGCAGCACTGCGCCAACGCCTGCGCAAGGTGCGATGCGACTCTTGCTTGGTGGGATATCGAACTGCTCGCTTCACAAGTTCGGATGTTTTGGGTTTGAGACCGGATCTCGTATTAGTAACTTGCTTGCGCGCCGCTCTAATAATAGCCCGGTAAGATCTTATCTTCCTTGGAGATTCATTCGTAGTAGTGTTCTTTAAAAAGTTTGTTCTCGTAAGTCGACGTCCAGTCGAGATCCATCGACGTAGGTTTAATTCCTGGTAGAGTGGATGGCACTGCTCCCTGGGAATCAGGGAGAGCCCGCTGACATGAGCTATGTAACATTGAGCTCTCCATAGCGACTTGATCCCCAGGGACATGAGCTACAAATATAGCATTTCTATGCTATGTCGGACCTGGTCCCTTTGTAGGGATTATGGATAGATTGCAATGACATGCGACAAATTTTTGTTAAAAAAAATGCTTATCTTCAGGTGGGAACGACAATTCCAACAAGGTGGGCCTTCACTAGCCCGCAGATCGGCTCTTCTTAATCCGGACCTACCTAAGGACCTAGGTACCTAACCTCATAAGTAAGTTATACAATACCTTAGGTATATGCAACATTAAAGTCAAGCACATTAGCTAATAGGTAATTACACCAAAGAAATGCATCCAGAAAAGGATTTTGCACTACTAACAATATTAAGACACGGGATGAACCTTTTTTTTTTTTTTTTTTTTTTTTTTTTGGTTTATTGGTATGACATTAATGCGTTTTTGGAACGTGCTGAATATGCACTCCTAAGAAAACATATAGAATCAATAATGCATATGAGTTGTTCTCACGGTTCTTAATAGCATACGGAGCACTCCTCAATCGTAGAGAGGTTGTTTTCTTTTTCTTGGATAGTCAGCCGCGATGCAGATGGTCAAGAAAACTCACAAGCCTTAAATCGTGCTCGGAGTTGAAAAGACGTTGGTGGACCCAGTGGTCGTATCGCGTGTCGAGTCTCTGGGCCATGTTGTTCCCCCCTTTTAAGAGAGAATATCCGCCCTGGCCACTCATCCCCCTCTCCAGTCCTCTCCTCTCCTCCCCCCTTTCCCCTCTGCTAATCCCATCATGTGCCAAGTAAACAAAACTCTTCGTTGCTCTGTCGTAACCATCCCTAATCATTCATAGGTGTGCGGGGCAAATCCTAACGATTACAAGGCCGGCGGGGCGAAAGGCCCAACGGCACAGTCCTGATAATATCCTGCCTGACAAACTCATACGTTAATCAATCTTTAGATGCGGCGGCAGCGGCTTCGGCCTTCGCCTCTTTGGGTTCTTCCTTCACGGCTTCCGCAACTTTCTCAATTGCAGTTGAGGTGTTATGTAGGGATAGCTCTTTGGGCTTTGCCTGGGGCTGGTCTTCTTCCTTCTTCGGCGTACGCGGGGGAGGCGAGGGAGCTCTGGGCGGTAGCTGATCGGCGCTACCATCTGACTCGCCCGACGAGCTCTTAGATACTTGACTTGCTAGGTCCTTATCTTCTTCCGAGTTGTCAAACATTTCGCAGTCGTCCGTGTCGGTGAGGACTTCAGTACCATCGCCAAGAAAGATGATGCGGCCCTTGTACCCACCGATCCCAAATGTTTTGGACTTGTTTTCCATGTCAACATCATAACCACTGTCACTATCGTCGAAATTATGATGCACACCAGGTCCCCGGAATTCAGCTGAGTCTCAGAGTCAGTTCTATAAATTATTTCGAGACCCCGGGCTCTAAGAAGGCATACCATATTCAGGAGGGGCACAAGGGCCGTCGCCTTTAGCCACACGGCTGGCAACCTCTTCGTACCATTCCTCTTTACTTCTGCCTCTTAAGAAGCCCACGATGATCATTGTCATGTTGTCACACCCAACCCCGCCAGTCTCCGAATTAGATGCTAGACAGTTGTCCATCATGTTCTCGCATATCTTATCCAAATCCTGCTTCGCGGCGATACCCCTTCGAACAAACTCAACAACCGCTTGTGAAGATTGGCAGTCCCAGATACCTTTGGTAACCAGTTAGCCATGTCTGTTTAGCGTCTAGGATAGAAAGGGGAAGGGAGGGAGGGTAACGTACCGTCACATGCAACGACCAAAAACTCATCATCGTCACCAATATCGTGCGCAACTACGTCCGGGTACGCTGTTACTATCTGTTGCTCAGGCGCAAGGTCGGCACTCTTCTTGAATTCAAAATCTCCGATGGCTCGAGATAAGGCCAGGTTGCCGTTAACGCGACCAAAATCGACAAAACCACCTGCGGCTGTAATTCGCGCCTTCTCGCCTATAAGACGGAGCGCCATTAGCGAATTTGTATAGAATAGCGATGCCGAATAATTTTTACTAACCTTCGTTCTGTGGTTTGTGATCGAATGATAGCGGCTTAGCTCTTCCCTTAACACCCAAGACACTTCTTGAATCGCCAGCGTTTGCCTAAAGACGTGGGTTAGCTATGCAAATCAACCAACGAGGCAAGGCATACGAACAATATATATCTTCTCGCCAGAAATCAGCCCACAGCAGGCGGTACAGCCAGACACCTCCTCCTCATACTGGGGGTCTAAGCACGTGTTAGACTCTAGACTTCACAAATATATATGTATATCATGGTTGATGATTGAAACCCATACCGCTCAATATCGCTCGGTCAGTCGCAAGGAATGTATCCTTCAGAGACTGTTCGTAATTTCCCGCCTTGAACGTGTCTTGTTTCTTAAGGATATCAGGTATGTTCTTGCCTGCAAATTGGGCAACCTTATCTCCGCCGTGTCCATCAAAGACGCCAAAGAAAGATAATCGCGAGGGATGGACCTTTTTTTCCTCTTCGGTTTTGGGTGTCAAGAGGTCGAGGACGGTACAGTGGGCATCCTCCATACTAATACGCCATCCCTGCATAGCAGATACACCGTATAATAGTCGATCATCTTCGCCTTTGTCAGAAGTCTAATAGGAATTTTTCAGGTTAGTTTATAATGTTCATTCAAGGACCAAGCGCTACGTAGTTTTATATGGGGGTACCGAGGCCAGATCGTTGAGATGATGTTTGGCAAGGCCGGAGAGGCGCGGAGTCACGCAGGGGTGGGCTAGCCGTGGGGGAGGGGGAGATGGAGGACAAGAGCAAAACGGCGCAATTGAAAGCTCCAAAGAGGAAATAAATATCATCATCATACCTTGTCGACGACAGGTTCAGAAAGGGTTTGACCCATGGCGAAAAGAATTTATTATGCGGCAGCGCGTAGGATTAGTGTGGTTGAATGGGTCATATATTGAAGGGAGGGGCAGTATCGTGGGTTGCTTTGTTGATCGTCAGAAATTTTCAATCGCTTCGAGACAGAAAATGGGTATGTAGATGTATACGGTAGCGGCCGCGGGTAGTGTCTTGGAAGGATGATGTAGGGTAGTGTGGAAGAAAAAAAAAAAAAACTGGCACAAAGGCGTCGCAAAAGAATTGTGATCATATGGTGCCGGAAACCAGAGACGCAGAGATGCAGAGACGCAGTTACGATAGGCAGGATTAGGTACCTTAGGTTAGGTTAGGTAGAGAAAGGGTAGGCGAAGGCCAAAGCCAAGGAGGGGTTTTGCGAGAAACGCCAGAAAAAAAAACCGACTATTGGCCGTGAGTTTAGCTGGCAAACTGATGACTTAATCAAACCCTCTTTACGATGGATAACATACATTAGATACCTAGGTACCTTAGGCAGCTAAGTGCATTTTGCAATTTTTTTTTCCTTTTCTTTTTTTTTCAATGAGGTACTGGTACTTTTATACCCATACCTAACTCACTGACATTTGAAGTTACCCTGACGCTTCCAGTCCCTCAGACGAGCTGACGAACTGACGAATGGGTTCCAATGGTACCTGCGCACTAAAAGAAAGATTAAAAAAGCCACTATGATGTCGTAAGAATACAACATGCGTCACGACATCATTTTTTGTGTTAGTATACTCACTTACTATAATCAATCAAAGAAGATCACATTTACAAATTGAGATATTAACAAATTCCTAAGAGACCTGAGGATTAACCTACTGTAGACCCTTATTACACTATTACTTACATGCAGATCCATACATTGGAGGCATCCAATGCTCAAGCTAACAAAATGCTATAAGCGGGCATTTGTCGGGTACCTACCTATCTCAGACTACCTAACCCCAGCATCTCTCCCTTATAGTGTACTTACCTAGGTAGGTAAGAGGTACCTAACCTAATCTACCTAGGTACAATTCATGACGCAGAGTTGAGAACAGGTACCTACCTCTACCTAAGGTGCCTTAGATAAGGTACTTATTATCACATAGGAGATATAAGTGTCGCGTGTGCTATAATGCTCTTACAACAACCCATAGAACTAAAACAATTAGTCCATGTTTCACTGCAGAGGAAAGTACAATAGTTAACCTTAGTTACGGAGAAAAACCTGGGGCAGTAGGGTAAGTACCTACATACCTACCTAGCTCCTAAGAGGTAGAAGCTCAAGGTATAGGTATAGGTACCCACACGATATAAAACAGGGCTAAACAGTTGGACATCATCACCTGTGACATACCTATACCGAACGTTGACACCTCTTACCAAAAAAAAAAAAAAAAAAAAAAAAACTTATGTACTCTAGATATAAAAAAGCGCATTACGATAAATGTCTGCTTTCTGTGTCAAACCCACTTTTACCCAAAACTATCACATCTTCAACCTAAATACCAATATAGGCGTCCACTACACCCTCAGACACTTTCCGCAGACATAATTGGTTGCCTGAGAGCGGCATGCAATGCATTCCACAAAGAGTTAAAACTGAACCCGTGCAGGGGGATAACGTTACCACCGTCTGTCTGTCTGTCTGGCTTTTCGAGACTCCTCCATTGTTCCTTTTTTTTTTTTTTTTTTCTTGCCACTCGTATACTGGCTATCACTGCTAATCCTACCAGAGCTTATGAATTCAAAGATACCACTACTACCACTACTACTTAATACGACGACTCCTCCGCTCGGACTCCCCGGACCGATATTATGGATTGCAACCCTGGCCGTATCCCCCAAACCCCCCAGCTTCGGATTGATCCCGGAATTCCACATTACGTAGGTAGTCCTACGTATGTACATCTAGGTAGTAAAGGTAAAACGGTGAGATGTTGTCAGGCTGCGCGAGGTGAATCCCACAGTCCTATCAGCTTCAGCTAGATATGCTAGGAGGTACCTAAGTGCAAGGCCTCTTCACCTTGGGTCTTTAGTACGGGTGGTTTTTATATGTCCTGGCCGAGAGGTTAGACAGGCAGGCGGGCTATCACCGCCTGCCTTGTGTCTGTCTGTCCGTCCTATTGGTTGGCCTTAATTACGAATATCTTAGTTACCACTCTGGAACTATTACAAAACTATTAACTAACAGAGTTGCAATTTTCTAAGTTATGCTCTTATAACACGATAGTTTCACTTAGAATAGGTGACGTTCCAGCAAATACACATTAAATAGCGTATTAATGTCATTAATATCCTTAAGCTAGGTAGGTTAGGTTAGGCTAAGTAGGAGGTAAGTAAATAGGTATCAGCCCTCATCTCTTCTTTTTTCATCATAGTACATTCGTCAGATATGAACCGCAAAGCTCCCATCACTATCGACGCCGTCGTCCCATCCGTCGATAGTCGTTGGCGGACGTATATCCTCCCACGCATCGTCATCGTCATCGTCATCTTCGTCAGCCCAGACGCTCCGCAGACTCTTGGCGCTCTTCATGCTCCGAGTCGACTTCCACCGCGTCGTCGCCGTCGCCGAAGACATGTTCTCGACGCCCGACGTGCCCGCCCCGCCTCCCCCCGCTGCTACTGCTGCTGCATAGAACAGCTGGTTCGGCCGGCTTGCGAGCGGCACCCTGCCTGGCCCTGTCATTGTTCTTATCGTTGTGCTCATCTGGGTCGGCGTCCGTGGTAGTGGCCGCGTCGGCGGCGGCGCCCACCCGTTTTCTATCGAGGGCGTCTGCGACGACGACGACGTCGGACCTACGCTCTCGCTGGGCGCGGCTTGCCGCCGGGTATGGCTGAAGTGCGAATGCTCGTCTCGGGACGAGTAGGTTACGTCCGATCTCGAGCTGGTCGACGGCGTGTTGCGGACGGTGGTCTGGGATGCTTGTGACGGGCCGCGTCTTATCGAGAATCTATTGCTTTTTTCTTCTTCTCCTTTAGATGTTACGAATGCCGCCGCCGTGCGGGGTGGTGGAAGTCGAGGGATTTCGCTCGGGATATTGGCAGGTGAGGTTCGCACTATGCCGACCATGTTGATGGATACGTTCTGCTGCGGCCATTGGCCTGGGGATAGGAGATTGTGGTTTAAGTCGTAGGTCATCCAGTTACCTTCTGGAGGTATATCGGCTGGTGATTCCTCCCGCGAGATGGCCTTTTCCGGCTCGGCGAGGAGATCCTTAAATGCGATGCCCAAGGAATTCCTTGCAAGCCGGTCCCACGACGAGTCGCTGTCACGAGGGTTTATGCAGTCGTCCAGAGTTGGTGGCAGCTCCGGGGTTTGATGCAAAATTGTCTCCGGTGACTGGCTCCTTAACCCGACATTCCCTGATGATAGTATGGTTGACCGACGGCCGAATAACGACGACGACCCGTTTACTCTCCTGCTCATCTGCCGCACTTCGCCCGGTCGGCTGGGTATATGTATTATAGTCGGCCTCGCGACTACGTTCGTACTCGTCGTGGCCTCTTCCTCCCCTACTCCGGAGATCCCCGATGTCAAAATGCTCGTGCGAGTAGTTTGGCCCGTAGCGTCGCTCAGGATACTATTCCGTTGTTGGTTATTATTAGTAGTCGTAGCAGTAGTAATAGTAGTAGGTTGGCCTCCGCTCTCCCTCTTCCATAAATTAGATATTCGCTTCCCGACGCTGCGGAGGTCAAACCCGGGATCTTGCTGCTGTCCCGACTTCGGCCGTACCACGTAGCCTACCGCTGGCGGGACCGCGCTGTTCGAATCGGTGTCATATCTGGGATTTGCCGTATAGGCAATTTCCGGCGTGTTTTGTATACTAAAAGATTCGGTATTTATCGGGACCGAGAGGCTCTGGAACGCGTCGTTTCGGGGCCTCGTGGCAATGATATAAGACTGTGCTTCCGCGATATACGCATCCGCTTCGCCAATACTGGTGTCCGAAAGCAGGCTGGCTTCGTCCGTTCCCCCTACGGTTTGCGGAGACGAGGCGTTATCCCGTCCCGCCGACAAGGAGCTACTCGCTTCCAGAATGACGCTGTGCTCGGGCGACTTCGCCCTGGAGTACATCGCCATCATGGCGTGGGGGATCATGCTCCCGGTCAAGCTCGGGCTCGACGCGGTCTGGGAGCGCCGGTTCGAGCCACTCATCGACACGCGATGCTTCTGCGCGGCTGTGCTCTCGGAATCCCGCGGCGGCGCTATATCTATTATCCTAACAACCGGGACCTTGCGGCTTTCGGAAGGATGATGGCCAGTGAAGCTTCCCGGCACGGGCCCGGATACCTCCCTAACATCTATCCGCCTCGGCTGTTGTCGCCGCCGCCGGACGTAGAAGAGGAGAAGTACGATGCCGGCGAAAATGAGGAAGATCGGTATTATAAGCAGCCAGAGCAGGTTCTTGTTCGAGTCGTCCGTGTTGGGCTCTTCCGGCTCGGCGCTTGGTTCGGGTGCAGCGGTAGGAGAAGCGGTAAGATAAATATTCATAGTTTTGGTCTCCGTCTCGTTTGTGTTCTTAGAAGTTGCGCTGAAGACGATGTGCGGCGTGGCACGAGCCTTTTCTGTTATATGCTTAGGAACAGAGCCCGATAGGAGCAATGAGGAAGAGTTGAAATCGGCCCACGAGGCCCCGAATTCGTCCTCTATCGTAACCCGGATGTCCTCGGGCTTCGAGAGGTATTTCTTCAAGTCAAACGAGAAGTCCACGCCTGCTTTGAGATTGAGATCGGGCAGGTCCGAGATGAATAGGCCGAAATGAATCGAGATGGTGAGATTCAGAGTATCGGAATATTTGTCCGTCACGGCTATAGTTATATTAGACGACTCGGCTGCTGTCTTGGGCGTGCCAGCCAACTCCCAGGTTTTGTTGTCGAAGGACAACCATGTCGGTAGATCAAACGCGGTGATGGTCACGGTATCCTCCGGCTTCAGAGGCTTCTTATCAAGCTTAAGCACGTTTTTCAGGTCTTTGTATTCGAAGGGCTTTTTGTGCGTCGCGTTGAGCTTGACTACCGGCGGCTCGGCGGTTAGTTCGTGGCTCCCTACCGCTATCGAGAAAGACACCGAGACGGATGCGAACCCCACGACGTCGGACGCGACTAGCTGGAAAGTGAACGTCTGGGGAGGTTGGACGAGGGATTCAAACGGGGGCGTTTTGCCGGAGAAGGAGAGTTTTCCGGCATCGAAGGTGATCCACGAGGGTAGAGGTGCGTTGTCGCCGGAGACCGCATAGTAGTTTAGTCCGCCGTCTCCGCTGTCAGTTCGGAACGTGTGCTCGTCGAAGCTGAAGGAGAACGGCTTCGAAGGGTGAAGGTGTAATGTAGATGGCGCTATGTACGTCCCGAGCTTGGGGAGCTGATTCGAGATGGGCACTTCGACGACGGGCGGCCGATTCCTGGATACCACCAAAGTCGGATTTGCCGTCGCGGACCCCGTCTCGTCCTCAGCTATCAGCTCGATCGGGATGCCCACCACCTCGCCCGGCGGAACGTCTTCGTCGCTCGGCGTTCCGAAAAGCCGCCTCGAGGAACTGTCGATCGAGAGCCATTTCGGTGCCTTGCCGAGCCGATACGTGATATCGGATTTGGAGAAGAACGTCAGTGGAGAGAAGGTGAATTCGAATGCTTCTGAGATGCGGGCTACGGGTGGTAGTTGTGAGTTGATGGGGAAGTAGTCGACTGGAGTAGCCGCGACGAGTATCGACCATACCGCCGCGCCGAACGCGAAGACCTCTTTACACTTTGCCACCATCGTGATGTATTTACAGCTGCTGAAGCTGCTCGCATGAGAGTGAAATACCACACCAAATGAGCTAGCTATACAGAGCTTTCAACAAGTAGGTTTAGATCGGATCAGATGCTGTAGTAGTCGTTCGTATGACCAGACATTATGCTATGGTTGAAACGGTGAATGAACAGGAGAAGTTGCAAAGGCATCGATGTCGGCCTGGAGGCCAACAGTATACCAGGAGGCCATTCTTCAACGATGACATCGTGCTCTCCCTTGCGCCTCGCCTCATCACGCCCTGCCCTGCCTTGGGTCGGAAGGCGGACTGCCATCTCAAGAGGCTGCGTGAAGCGCGCGAGATTCGATAATGACGAAAGGAGGGAGGTTGGAGGTCGGAGGGGTCTCATCACGTAAGTAATTCCGTTGCGATCTATTAGATAGACAGTTCTAGCGCGTCCAACATAGGTAGGCTATCGCGTAAGGCTGGTGGAATTCCAATGTCTCAGCCACGCGCCGGGCTGCGGATCGCCTACATAGTAAGGCTGGTGAGGACGATCGCATTCCCGCGGGGGCGGGATTGAGGTGGGAAGGGAGGTCGCCGCTGACATTTGAAGCAGTTTAATTTTACATATGTAGAGGCAAGGTCCCTGGAGTTGGCATAAGGCGCGGCTGAACAATATATTCATCCTGTGAAGTTGTTCCTGCGAGGAAGAGAGAGGAGAGCTTTGGCGTGCGATAAGAGACTATTTCCATCGACGGGCACATGCATACATAGTACGTTGAGCCCGACGATGAACCTTTCTATTTGGAATGTCGCGTTTGACTTGAGGCTGAGGTAGTCCGTCAAGCCACCGGTTTCTTGAAGACATGATGTTATATAATGTATAGTATAAAAAATGGCGGGCAAGAAAAGAACCTTGGCTAGTCTTCAAGACTACAACATCAGCCCCGACCCGTTTGCTTATCCCGAAATAGAGCATCGCCCAGAGTTTACTTCTAAGTCAAGATAACCAACCCCCTTTTAGATGAGAAACTAGACGGCCTACATGCGTCTTTTCGCCGATATTCAAGATAGTCCCCCAAGTAAACAGTAGCGTTCACTTTAGAATCTGATTCAATCGAGGTACTAGAATGAGATAATAGATAGTCTGCCCTTCGTGATTACGATCTTGTCCAGCATCGCTGTAATCCAATCCACCACTGGAAGTTTGATAGACAAAACTAGAATGAATATATAGAGATCGAATGCCTGCAGTGAGTTTTCATTAACTCTTTGGTCTTGAACTTGATTCTTTCCCCATAGGTTAGAGACTAAAATGAGAGCCCCTTACATGAGTAGGGTATATAAAATGAGACATTATGAGGCTGTTTGGGACAATAAGCGGTGCTTTGCTTATGGCTCGTGCCACCCTTGTAGATAAGTGTGCATGATTCAGTATTACTTGTGGGGGGATACCCACTGTAATTTGGACGAATCAACGTAAACCTTATTTTCAATAAGCTATTAAGTGTTTGTGGTATCATGCTTATCAATAATGCTTACTTTTACGAAGATTGAAGCTATTCGCAACCTCATCGTCGCTACCTGTTATAATACATCTACGGAGTATTAATACGCTGTAATTATAGCGTATACATACACTAGAAAATTTTTTAAAATATTAATTACTTAGGTACGCTATAAGTTACTCACTAAATGCGCTATAAGCTATTCACTAAATACGCTATAATTACAGGGCATTAAGCATTAAAATCAAAAATAAGCAAGTCAAAAGCACCTCGGAGGCTGCTTTTCGCTTTTCAAAAAAAATAAGCGGAATTATTAAAGTCTATTGGATGCGTTCGGATGTACTGTGGAGCTGCAAATAAGCCAAATTACAGTGGAGATAAGTTAAGCAATACCCCCAAACGCATTGCTGATACTTATGCTTACCCCCCATAAGTATTTCAATACTTATTGTCCCAAACAGCCTCTATACCAGCGCTAGCAATTCGAGGATGCCGTAGCCTGTACTTATAAGTGGCATAAAGAAAGGCTTTGCTTGTAAAATGGGGAGGCTTTAGTGACAACTTCTCACCATAAATCATATTTCGTGCGGCTCGATTCTCAAATTGTATATACTTCTCGCAACAGTCGGTGACTGCCCAGGACATCTTTTCTTTTCCACCTAAAGCGGCACAGGGCGTAAGTCCCTCTAATAATGCACGATATTTGCTGAGGCGTGGAAACTGGTTTACACCTTAATCCGGGTTACTGTGATGTGAGACGGCAGCCCGATTCACTTATAGGGGTACTAGAGTGTGGGTTTCGTGATAGTGGCCTAAGCGAGTTGTTGTCTAACGTTCTAGATCCCGATGGGTTTCACCGGAAAGCGACATGCGAACCGGGGCATCCCATCCCTTATCCGGTCTTTTTTTCTTCTCTTTTTTTTGTTGGGTCCGAACCCATAATTTCTAGTTATCTACATCACTAACTAGACCGATCGCACCACTGTTAGCTTGATACCTTGGTTTAAACTTAATAGTGATGACTTGTCGGAAGAATATACGGTGACAACGACAGCTCAAAAAAATTAAAATAAAATGTCGTCGCCTAAACGCTCGCCTTCTCCTGAGTTTTCGCCCTTGGCCATCGGCGAGGATCTCTCGCCGCTCCCGGCATACAAGGCTGCCGGTACCACCGCGACCGATTTCGCGGGGCTTCTCGCCGAACCCTTGCGGCTCCACGAAGACCTAACCTCCGGATGTGGTGGACAGACTTGGCCCGCGGGCATGGTGCTCGCCAAGCACATGCTCCGATATCATCGGGATGATATGCGAAACTCGCGGATGTGAGTGCGAGATTTAATCCAATGTTCCTTTGAATTTTTTTTGTTCCTAGTGATGCGGATCCAGGAGCCGGTTCCTAATGCGCGTCTTTCGGCAACCAGATTAGAACTCGGAGCCGGAGGTGGATTGGTAGGCTTAGCGGTTGCCAAGGGGTGTGCGGTCGAGAATCCGCTTTACATTACGGATCAGTTGGAGATGTACTCTTTGATGGAGCACAATATCGGCTTGAACGGCCTCGAAGGTCAAGTCAAAGCTGCTATTCTAAACTGGTCAGTCTACCCTTATTCCTGATACCCGATACCTTCCTTTTCTATACCTTATTCTCCTTTGTATAACCTATGGGGCTTATGCATCATAACGACGCATACGTGCATCTGTACTAACATATATGATACTTCGACATTCCAGGGGCGAGCCTCTTCCGCAGAGTATTGCCGCCCTTAAGCCGGACGTGATCCTCGCAGCGGACTGCGTCTACTTTGAGCCTGCCTTCCCGCTGCTCTTAACCACGTTGTCGGATCTTCTGAAACTCTGCCCCTCTGCCACCATCTACTTCTGCTTCAAGAAGAGGAGACGGGCTGACATGCAGTTCCTCAAGAAAGCACAAAAGTTATTTCGAGTAACGGAGGTCCCGGATGAGGACCGACCAGTCTTCAGTAGAGAGGGACTTTTCCTGTATACTTTCCATGCTACGTAGAGAGGGGATATTGGACTCTCGGCTCTTATCGCCCATCTTATTATCAATCAATCCGGGTGGTGTCGACATAGACTGGTTTCACGCCCAGACATTCCTGCATGTAGTTGGCGACACAAATCAAGTTCTGTTTGTCCCCGGGGAAGATAGTGTTACTTCTATCACTTTTGGTGCCTAGGTAGATTAAGTTGAGACGGGAACATGCAGGACATGCAGCCTTTCTTGTAGAGACGTCCATGTTAGACAGAAAAGCACATCCAGGTAATCATTTGCCATGAGCGAAGTTCGGACGAACCCTGAATTCACAGGCTATCATTGGAACTTACACATCTCTGACATAATGCATTTTTCATGCATAATCCCGTGGTTGTGTACTCTGATGCTTCAAGTTAATGGACTGCTTGACTGCTTGATGTATGACAATTAGTATCGTGTAACGCAACGGAGAATACAGAAAAGCTCCCCGCGAGTTCTGTTTTACGTAAGGTATAGCTTGTCGTAAATCTCGTTATAAATCTCTTTATGAATCTTGTTGGTTACCTTAGCTTAGGTAACTGGTATACTACCTTAGGTAGTTATGCTATCATTCGAGTTTAGACGAAAAAAGATTTTTCAAAGTCTTATCCTATAGGCCCGGCACTTACCGATCAACTCATACCGTCGCCGAGCTTCCTGCAGATGCTCGAAAATTTTCAAATAGCGTGTTAAGTGTCTGAATGTTTGATTTATTCCTATTGGGCCGGCTAGTGTTGCTAACGTTGGAGGATCGGAACAACTTACGACTACTGGCTTCCTTACACCAATAGTGGGCTCACTCGGCGGTGGCGAGTGCGTTAGTGGCATAACGTGGTGACCACCACAGTAGCTGGGATTGATAGGTAGGTATTCTTCTTAATAAGCTCACTTATTATTTGCAGAAGATGTAGGTAGTTCGTGTCGAACTTGGGAATTTTTGGGGGAGCCATGCAAGAGTCGTGACCCTCGATCGACTATTCAATCAATAATGAGTGCAAAAAGTGACGTGTATGAAAAAAAAGGCATCACATCTAGATTGCCAAGATGATACAGAAGAGAAAGAGACAAGCGGAGAGGGAACGCATAACGAGAAGAAAAAGAGACCAGTTGGTGAGCCAATAGTAAACAGCGACGACACTGAGGAGCCAGTAGAGATAGAAGTTTTCAACGACTTACTCCAACAACGCCATGCGTCCGATATGCTCAAGGTTAGTACCGAAACTTAAAACTTTGTGTGTCTTAACGTTTTTGTTAATAATAGGCGAGATCATGGAAACGAAGCCCATTCTACATAGTATATCTCAAACAATGCAGTCAAGGCCGATTCATCCGGGACGACGCGAATACTATTCCAGTCGCAAACAAGTACCGAGTCTGTCGGCTCCGAGGGAAGCGTAATTGTGTACCGCTACAAAGGCCGTTCATGTGAAAGAATTATTATAATCTCTTTGTGCCCTTATTGGCTCCCCATGCTTTGATCTTGAATCTAGGTAGACTCGATCGCTCTTGATGCTATACCCACAAAGCCGCAAGATAGATGGCTTGCATGGTGGATGCAAGCGGCCGAAAAGCTTCGACTAGGCTGCGGCAGAAAGGGGGGTCAATGCCGACATTCGGGTATCCGCAGCGTGGAGAAAGTTGACGCCTTGGAAGCGGTGAAACTGGCACACATTCTCCACGCGGAGAACCGGGCAATAACGAGCTCCAACAAAGATTAAACATGTGGGATAGGGAAGGAGAGGATGAACAAAGGCCGCATGCCGTGGCATTGTCCACCAGCATCCACACCTCCATCAACTAGAAGTGAACTAGAATCGAGTCTTGACCTTTCTCAGTGTTAATTGGCATCGGACCGAGCCTCATGGCCGGAAAAGTCAGTTGTACTTGTGTACCTAGCGTACTCGTGCTCGACGAGCAAATCGCGAAAACTCGTTAGCTAATGGATATGCTAAGAGAAGGGGAAGGAGAAGAAGTTTGTCTAGAAGCCTATCGTGTGGAGCCATAGAGAAACGCCGGCGTGAGGAGCTTTCAGCCCTCTTTGCAGCTAAACTCGTACCATGTAAGGATTAATAATTTGTGCAGTCTGGCAGTTCAGCCAGGTCTGGCACTAAAATGAGTGATTAAAACAGGTACCTTTGGTAGGCACCTGGGTACATAACCTGAAGCTCGCTTTTTCAAGGGGCCGCACTAATCCTATTGGCTCGTTTGTCGATGGCACAAGCTAACGTCAGCGGTACCTTGCATGAAAAGCGAGGTATCAATCAGGTACGCCCCAGTAAATACACTACCTAGCCCTAGCGCCCTAGCGCCCTAGCTGACCCGTGCTGACAACCCTCAGACCCTCCATTAGCCACGTTGAACCCGCTCCGATCCGAAGCATCTGATTGGATGGACTGTTCCAAATGGGAGAAAGAGCATCTGGGAGCTAATATGTAGTATATACCTTAGGTACCTAGGTACTATACGCTACATAGTATGTAGTAATGTACATCAGGCAGGAACCCTGTTCTGATTTTGTTCTTGCTTTTTGTTCCTTGTTGTCCTGCTGTCCGGGCTGTCTTGTCTTTTCTACTTCCCCCCCCCTTGTCTTTCTCTGCGGCCGCCACGAGATGTTGTCCCGTCTCTCCCCCTGCTAAATAAATAACTGCCCTCACATTCCTTTTCGTTTTGGACAATTTTCTGATTCCTCTCTTTTCAACTCCTCCAGAGTCCAGAGTCTATAGTCCACGCAAACAATATATCGCTCATTCTTTTCCAGGAGCAGTGCTCACTGACTACGTTCCTTCTTGGTGCAACTGCTTCGACACACTCATTCTTGAAGGAAGAGACTCGAAATCGATACTACTCAATCCTTAACTGCAAATTTTACAACCACACAAGGACAGCAAGTTTTTTTTTGTTTGTTCAGCAAAACTTGACACGCTTTTGAAGATATATTCCCTTCCGGCTGGATCCCCCTTGATTTACATCGCACAACATTGGTTTTGTCTTCCTGAAGATATATTATAGCAGTTAACACTATCCAATATGAAGACCGCAACTATTGCCGCTGCTTTTCTGGCCTCAGTCGCCGTTGCTCAGCCTCATGGTCACAAACGTCATCACCATGAGAAGCGAGAACTAGTTACTGAGTGGGAAACCGTCTGGGAAACGGCTACTGTCGTCATTGATGATGACTCTACTCAAACAATTCCCCCGTCGCCTCAGGAGACAAGCTCAGACAATCCTGCCCAGTTCTTTGAGACCCCTACCTACAGCGCCAGCAGTGTTATTGAGACCCCCACGGTTGAGACTCCTACTGTTGTCGAGACTCCTACTGTCGAGACTCCTAGGGTTGAACCTTCGACGCCAACTACTACCTTCATCAGCATTACCCAGCCTACCTACCAGGCTCCCTCTCCAACCACCACAAGCACATATGAGGCAGCCCCTACTCAACAGACTACGGAAACCCCTGCTGCGCCACCGACCAGCACCTACGTTGCTGCCCCCCCGGCATCTTCAAGCAGCTCCGGCGGTAGCTCCGGCGGCAGCACCGGTAGCTCCGGAATTCCGTACGGCAAGAAGTTTGACGGCGAAATCACCTATTACAATGCTGCCCTGGGCGCCTGTGGTTATGAAGATGTAGGCAAGGATGACTCTGAGAACATCGTCGCTATCCCTAAACAGTTCTGGGACAACATCAGCACGGCGACCAGCTACGGTATCGACCAGCCCGCGCATCCCCTTTGCGACAAAACCATCACGATCACTGCCTCCAACGGCAAGACCACCAAGGCTAAGATTCGTGACCGCTGCGACGGCTGTGTCAACCTTGCCATCGATGTTACCCCCCACACCTTCCTCGACCTCTTCGACTCTCTGGATGGTGGTCGTCTCGAGTGCTCCTGGACCATCGACGAGTAAATCTAAGACGCTCATTTACGCATTTCCCGGCTCTTAGTTGCCGCGCCGGATCATATACCAGACACCAAAAAAAATAAATTGTTTTTCTGTTTCTTGGGCTACTTGCGCGGCGAAAAGCACGGGGATAGCATGGGTCCCTTGACGACGAACGGGCACTTAAAAAAAAGGCCTTGATGACGATATTCTTTTCTGAAACGGTGGCGTTTTTTATTGGACGCCGCTGTCAATTATACGAAGGGGAAAAGCGTTGGGCGCTTATTACCAGGATTGGTTGGTTGGTAACTAGGTGTTAGCAACACCTCTAGGAGGTTTACACATTTTTGGTACCTTTTTTTTTTTTTTTTTTTTTTTTTTCTTCAAAAGCTCCGATCTATCTACCTTGATGGCCGGAAGTTTAAATTCGGATATAGACTTCTGATTCTTCTGTATATATTGACAGATTTGGAAAGAAAAGAAAAAAGATCTGATACGATCAGGAATGGAAAATGGGTTTATCAATCTATCTAAACTTTGGATTTTATGTTATTTCTTGCTGTGACTTTGAAATAACGACATGACAGGTACCTAACTGTCTAACTCTATAGGCGGATGTGTCCCCATTCCCAATCAAGATTCGGGCTTTGCGCATGGAAACAGCCTTCAAGTTGTTTCGATGATGCGTACCTAACCTAACCTAAGATAGATACTTATACGGTAGTACCAAGTCGCTGGGTCGTGCCAAGTGTGGAATAGAGGTAAGGAAGTGGGGAGATGCCGAATCTCGTATACGACGACATGTGTGCCCACTGCTCACTGGTGTATGCTCCACCGAGGTACGCATTTACTACCCAGGTATTAGGGCATGGCATCACGACGAAGATAATAAATACCTAAGGCACCTACATAACTCGAGGCACAATACACATTACATTAGGTACGCTTAGGTAGCAAGCAATGCCACACACTCTGCTCAACTATTATTCGCCGCGGCATGATAGTCTGAAGTTTGAACCCTTGCCTGGAAACCTCCGCACGGCCGTAGTGTACTTCTCTCGTCCCTTCTGGATAATTATCCAATTTCGTATCGTATCCGTGGCGCAGCGCTCGGAGATTACAGTTTACATGCTCTCTTATGTCTACACTACACTACGTAAGTACCTGTAGTTACCTAACCCGTATGGATTAGTATGGACGTCTATCTGTATTTCACATGTATGTGTGTATGTATGTATGGTATGATACGGATTACGAGCTGGGGCTTTGACCCCCTTTGAAATGGGTAGTATACGCACGGTCTAGTGTAGCTTTGATTATTTGCCTGGAGGCTGGAGTAGGTATGAGTACCTAAAGTAAATAGCCTATCGCAATCGCTGGTTAACTCGCAGTGCTATCCACCGATGATTTGATCTTGGTTGCTGTGGTCCTATGGATTGCATTAGCTGAAGCAATGGCCATATATATACACTAGGTACGCAGCGGAAGCATGGGCCTCTTTGATAATACAAAATGGAATCCAATAGGTAAGATATAAGCGGGTACAGATGATAGTACGAAGTGGAAAGTAGTAGAGTAAAGAAGACCAGAGCGTGATTATCGTCTAGGCGAAGACTTTATAAAGTAGAGCATACCTCCACATATATGCCCTATACATACCACTTGTAGCATAGATTTACTAGTACAGCCACTCCATACAGCTTTATAGCTTTCCTATTAAGATAGGAGTGCCATTAGGTACCTTAGGTAGGCAAATCCCTAAAGTAGGATGGTATATGTAGGTAGGTACAGGTAGATAATCAAGAGCACTTGACTGGGGGTAAATTGCTATCTTGTAGCTAAAAAAGACGAATAATAAGAGTATAAAAGGGCCCGACATCATTGACAAAATCAAGGCAATAATAATCAAACCTTTTTAGTTGAACTCGCTCTTATACTATATGTGCTTATAATCATGTCTTCGTTAATCCTACCTTCACCGTCCATTTCTATTTACCGGATAGATACCTACCCAGGTAAACATGTCAACATAACATACCTAAAGTAGACGCCCTCAAAAATACCTATTTAGCAACTTCATCGGGTATCCTTGGAAGATTCTAGTACTCGAACCCCCATCTATAGCTATAGCCATCCCGCCCAGTACCTACTTAGATTTAATCCAAGATCAAACGCTGTAAAACTAAGAAATATGTACCTAAGGTAACTAATTCATCGACCTAAGCTTAGCAATCCCTCGATATACCTCTTCGTATCCACCCCGATGCCTTGGGCGAGCCGACTAGCTCCATCCGCCCAACCGCCTCCTTCCGCGTACGAGCCGCTTAGCCCCCTAAGCCTCGTATGCTCGCCCGCTCGGCGGATGAGGAAGATCTCCTTGCTGACCTTGTTCCTAGGACGGCTGCTTCTGGGCTGGCTCTGGGAGCCAACACTGTCTGTCGATCCGCTATGCCGTAGGCTATCGTTCTGGCTTGCTTCTGAAGAATCGGGCGGTGGTAACGGGGTGCGGGCGCCATCTTTCTCCAATATGCGCGTCCATACGATCCACCAGCCACGGGTTGTTCTGCAAGTGCGTTCCAGCTCCGATGGATTTGTTGACGTTGATATATATGCGTTGAGCATTTGATTATGAGTATTTACCGCTTCTGCCCGAGACCAGACTAGTTGCGTATTTTGTACCATCTGAATTGGCGAAGGTATGCTGGGGATGGTAGAATGAATTGTCATGGCTTCCGGATCCCATACAAGGTCAAAAATATGAGAACCTACCGGCCCCACGTCCGGCCTTCCCGGGCGATAGGCCGTCGACGTCGCCAAGGGTTTCCGAAGCGGCGCAAGCTGATAGTGTAATGACCTATACAACTCACCCCACGCTAACGAGTCTGTCCTGTTCCGAAACAGGAATGCATAAATGAACGGTTTGTTCACGTAGACTACTATGCGAACCTTTTGCGATTTGTTAAGGTCTTGGTTGTCAAATTGGGAAGCGGCCTCTAGAGACCCTTGGCCAAGCTCAGTAGTAGATCGCTCACGATCTTGGTTTCCGATATCTCTCGTTATTTCGTTTTCTGGCCGATTTGCATTTTCCAACTCTACAGTAAGAGTCCGAAGCAAGATTCTAGAATTATGCCTGATATCTTCTGACGAATCATCCGATTGCCCCATGTTCTCATCATGCTCGGTATGATCGGCTTCCTCGACGTTACCAAGAAGTCCTATAAGATAATGACCGGAATTCGTACTTGGAGCTTTTGAGGAACGATGGGAATCGCTCTGCGCTTTGTCCCCAGGTATGTCTCCGGGCACTACTCCATCTTGCCCCGTACTTTCTCCTCCAGAGCCGCCTAGTGTCCAATGTATACCATAGCCCATCTTAAGGTAGTTCATAAACCGATTAACCCCACCTTCATCACCTGTCTCTTCAGTCGGTTTTGGCGTTACTGATTCAGGCTCTTTGGCATCCGTAGTGTCTTTTTGTGTACTTTGAGCGTTTGGGCTTACTGGCTTGTTCGTTTCTGGAGCATTCGTAGGTTTCGCGCCGATATTTTTAGCCGTTTTCTGGGTTGGTTTTTTCGGCTTCTTGGCCTGGCGTGTTGAAGACGGACTATCTCTGACACCATACGCGTCTTCTCCCCACATGTAGAGGTCTTCCATCCAGTAGGCAACGTCGCGTACCGATTTCCTCGATAGAGCCCCTACACCCAGGAAAATAGCGCCATCCTCCGCTCCCGGCTCTTCTCCGGCGCCGAGCCACTTTGGAGCCGATTCTTCAACCTCTTTGTAATCTTCATCTGCGTCGGCCTCGGAAGGACCGAACTTGGATACAATCAAGTCAATCAGGCCTTCTGTTCTATCAACAAGTCCTTCAAGGACTTCTCTTTCGCCGCTTCCGCGTTCCTCCTCCCCAACGCCAATGCCAAGTTCGCCGCAAGCAGCGATCTTAATCCCGCCAAACATGCTAGTAATAGGGTTACCGTGCAGTATGACGTCCCACGTAGACAGATACAAATCCCAGTATCGGCCTAATATGCTAACGAATTTAGACCGTCTTAACCGAACGAATAAAGCACTTAGAGATGCAGCATGATGTAGCAAAAAGATGGAATGGGCGCGAAGGAGATCTTGCATCAACAGAGCAGCTGGTTTGAGTTCCCGGGACGAATATTCGACATTTTCAGACGCATCATCTTTTTGATTCGACGAGGGTGCCCCGAGTCTCGGTGGCAGGGGTAATTTGGTCAAGTCAATAGACTGTACAGACATTATCAGCTTGTGTCTGAGGTAAAGAAGATGAAAGGGGGGGGATGAAGTGGTTCCGCTTACAGCTAATATCCACCAACCAGGCTCCAACTCATGCAGCACGACACGACTCTTCTCGGTCTCTATGGTATCGACGGGCTGACCATTGGCGAACCCACGGCTGAACTCGACCATGCCCTGCGCTAGGCCAATCTGCCTCAACCGCTCGTTCCGCTCCTCTTGAGAAATACTGTCGGTGGGCTTACCACGCGAACGGTGCCGTCGTTTCTTAAACTGGGTATTCACGGAAGCGTAGTAGACGATCTGATCGTCCATAGTCTCGTCGGTAGGGCCTAGGGAGGGGTTGAAGATTGCGAGGAAGCCCAGCTGGGCTGGTACGACGGTCGCAGGAGGGGGGGAGATAGAAGTCGCCATTGCGAAGTCGGTTTCGCTATGTTATAACATCGGAAGATGAATGATATTTGTCAAGGTGCGGCACCGCAAAGACGGCCATAGCAGATCAACATGGCGCGCGTAGGAATGGTAGAGCAGGTTGAAGAACCCCAATTGAAGATTGCAGGTGTCGAAGTTAGATCTCGGAACGAACCGCGGAGGCTATGTCATAGAAGAAGAATCATTGTAATATCGTTGTTGATGTTGTAAAGGTAAGGTTACTGTACATGGTCCGCTAATAGTATAAATATAGGTAAGTACATGTTCCCTATCATGTGACAGGCTAGCTATATACCTGGGTACCTAGGTTAGATCAACTTCACCTAAGCATCCTTACCTAACCTTAGGTACCTTTAGCGTGGAGTTTGGCTAGGTACCTCTTAGTACCCCTTGAAAGCAGAGTTTTGATTGGCTTAAAGCGTAATCCAGTATTGTACAGCCATGGAGATACCGGCCGAACAAGGTAGGTATCGGCTCCTAATTCATTATCCTACAATCTTCTAACTTTCTCATACTACCTAGGTACCCTATGTAACTACTTGATGTTTCTTTTACGAAGACCACCGGTTATACGAACCCACTCAGATAGCATTGCACACTCAATCGTTAAAATGCGGTATTTATCAATTAGCTATTGACAAGCTTGCCGCCGTGTATACGGCGATCTATATTTGGTTCGGTAACCCCAGTACAAAAAAAAGATAAAAAAAAGGAAGAAAACCGTGACTCCTCAGCTCAGCTGTTCCCAGGAATTTCTTGGAAAATTCTGTCCCTCAGTGGGTTTCTCTGGGTGGTTATTTACACTTGGCAATTCGAGTTTGGTACAGCTGATGGAAAAAATATCGCATAAACGTCACATCCCTAACGACGCCTCCAGAATGCTTTTGACGCGCTGAACACCCTGCGTCATAAGACCGAGTTCCTTGTTACAAGTTTTGAGAACATAGGGAAAGGATATGTCGGTTGAGCTGCCGCTCTTACTAAGTGGCATTATCGGGTATCCGACGACCGCTTTATTTTTAAGTCGGAATCCTCTCGAAAAGAGTTTGTCCTCCTGTTTATACAGACCCAAGAAATTAACTCCGGCCCCGTTGTCATGATTGTATCTCAGTATGAATTAACATTCGGACTGTGTCCTGCTAATAGAATCCCCCCTCCGGCATTACAAATGTCACTCAGTGTTCGTAACCCGCACCTCGTTGCCACGGACTGCTTCTTGATTAGTTTCTACCCGCTACTAGTACTCAAAAGATGCTTACCTAGCATTGTTCTGTGCTCTGTATGAAGGAGGGCTACCACTGTGCCGATGTTGCAATGGTGCACCTGATCCATATGGGCTCGGAGCCCTAGGTGGGCCGCCAGAGGCCGGGAAGAGTGGCACAGAAGGGTCTACTGGGGAGTTAGACGTATTCGAGTTGCTACGACCATAAGGGTTGCTGGGGGCTCTTGTGGGAACTGTCAGGGTTGATGTGTCCGTACGGCGGCGCAACTCGGCAGAGGAAATCGACTCGTTATCGTCGTCTAGGTCTAAGCCGTGTTTATAACCCGCCTTATCACCGCGGGCCGTAGCAGCAAGGGCGTCTAATTCGGTAGTGCCTGTAAGTTGAGATTGTGACTTCATGAACGACGTTCGGTCGTCAGCCATAAACTGGTAACGACCATCGGGGTTCTTGCGATAGAAGACTAGCGTGGTTGATATGATCACCATGAGTAGGAGAATGGTGGCAAAAATAGCATTAAGGAAGAACAAAATCAGACCGATAACACCGTTGACCAATGCAGGCTGATTAAACACATCCGAGAAAATTAAAAGGAAAATGGCATTGATGAAGTTGACGCAGAAAATGGCAATGTTGAACGAGTTGGTGCTCTTGTCCATCCATGGCCGGAGTACACTGGCAGTAATCAGAGCGGCGGCTTCAATGAGAAGGAATCCAATAGCCTGAGCAGTGCTGTTACCTTGCGCAAAGGCGAGGAACATAGCCTTAGCCAGAGAGTATCCAAGAACCGGAATGATAAAGTAGTACGCAGAGGCACGAAACTGAACGTATAAGAATCCCCATTTGTTTAATGCTTGGGGATCGGAGAAGAGGATGTACGCGGGGTTCCTGTGCATAGCGACCGAACGGCGAGCGATTCTGATAACCTTCGAGGCTGCCCAACCTAGAGTGACGGTCATTCCAACAATGAAGAATACTGCTAGAACCACTTCGGCAGGCGAATCATTCTGCGTGAATTCCCAGAGACATAAGATGGCCATCTGAGGATAACCGATGAGAGTGAGTCGGAACAAAATACCCTTCAGAACGGTGAGCCACCCGTTGCGGAACTCGAGGAAAGTGTCACCTTTCATCCACTTCTGCTTAACAGCCAGTTCGCAGAAACCCTTGAATGCTGCGACAGCACCAATGGTGACGACGACAAACAGGCAGAAGAAAGTCAACCCAGTCATGAAAAGATTAGTCGTCTCGATACCGGCTCTGAATGCCACACGCTGGATACCATACACAAGGTAACTGCCTGAGCCCGTCATTACATTTCCACGCTTCATCAATGAGGTGGCACCTCGCGGGAGGAGGGCAGCCGAACGTCGGTACAGATCAACGGCGGAGTCAGGGAGGACCGAAAGAGCGCGCTTTTCTACTTGCACCGAGACGGTGGTTAAGGAGTCAAAGATAGTGGAAGGTGTGCCGCCGGTGGCTCGCTGATACCAGGTGAAGATGTCTTGCATGAAATCGACATTGATGATACCCATCGACCACTGGAAATCCTGGGTCCACGATTGAACAACAGGGGGCAAGTGGATAGCGGTTAGTCCAAGCATGGCCTGAGCTTGGAAGAAACTGAAGAGTGAAAGGGCACCCGACGCGATGTGGGCGGCAGCGTTAGAGTGACCAAGGCCGTTGATGATAGCCGAAGAGCAGAGTACTAAACCAGCGATGATAGCGAGAACCCATTTAACGGCAACTAGGTTGACCGTCTTACCATTCGAGATATCAGCTTCTACACAAGCCACGCTCTTCTGCGTATCAACCATCGTTAAGGTAACACGGACGGTGGCGTCTAAGTCGGGGAAGTTGTAGGCGATACTGGGAATCTGAGAAGCGGCTTCCTCGCCCACAGGTAAGTTGAACTTCAACGGAATCTTACCCGCAGTCATGGGACAGAGACCTGCCAACCCGAGCTTGCAAGGGTCGATAGTCGTCTCAATAATTTTGTAGCCATATGCTGAGATGTCGACATCGAAATTAACTTTTCCTTCAACGGATGATGTCGCGACGATATTCAAATAGGCTGTGTTATTATTCGGCGTGTAGACGACCTGGAAGAGACTGGCGGTAAATTGAGAATCCTCCTGACAATTATTCAAGGAATTCGAGGTGAGCATAGGCTCTGCGGCGATAGCGCCTGGGACGAGAGTCGCAAGCCCTGATAAGAGCGCGACTGATTTTATTGTCGACAACCACATGGTTGCTGTAATGTGATGTTGTATGTTGTAGTATAATCAAAGTTTTCTCTCTATCCTGAACAAATTCGGTTCCACGATATCCACTGCGTCGGCAATATTTCCCTTTGTCGATAGTTGTTATTCAACCACATTCGTAGGCGTGTCTAGGCGGTTTGTCGACAAAGAGAGGCTCGTTGATTGTTCCCAAACAAACGAGCGGGATCGGAAACCAATGGGGAAAGGGAGTAGTAAATCGGGGGTAGCGAGAGTAATCTATCGAGGGGGTCTTTTCTTCTTCTGGTTGATCGGTCACCTGTCCCGAACACTTCTACCTATCCTCCCTACGTAAAACGAGTGGCGTTGTGTGAAAAAGGGGGTTGGGAATTGAAAAAGGACCAGGAAAGAGGAAGTTTAACCCGTTCGCAGAAAGGGCCTTTCCTAGTATTATTTTACACCAACTAAGTCGATGATGTAGGAGAAATAATTAGTGGAGAGTTAGTGTAGAAGAAAGAGTTGAAGCGAGTGACTTGTCCTAAAGCATGGGAGGATTGTGTGTGCCCATTTCAAGGTGATGGGATGTAAAAGACAGGAAAAGCAAAGCGGTTTCGAGGTCGGCAGGGGGGGCAGAGAATGCGGGCATGTGGAATAAAATTGGGAGGTAACGCGTACAGACACAAAGGGGGCTAGTCATTTCCGTATTGATTAATTTTATTCCATTATCTAGACTACTCCTTCCTCATTTGTCTACCTATTAGTAGCATATCTTCTCACAGGAATGCGCCTACCGACGTGATACGTGCATGATTAAGTACCAACGTATGTACTTATTAGTATGTAGCCTGGATCTAACGGCACAAATATGTACATAGACAATACTTAGCGTGCTAACTTGCTGATACTTGCCCAGACTGGACTAAAAGGGTCGGCGCTTGGCTCCAAGACAAGTGCTAAGATTAACTTAAAAGCCTTTAAGACTTCCCATTTAGGTTTAATTCCAGATGAAAACTTACACAATAATAATTGGATAGCGTGCGTATCGTGCATCCGGTACTTGGAATTTATTCCAACCTCCCCCGTGATTCGGTCGCAAACTGACTTGGGGAAGGCAAGATCTGGAATTGTTGCATCATCGCGCATTGAATATCACTTGAATGGCGAAGACGGGTTTAAATAATTTAGAAACTATCCACACTTGAGCGCCTGCTGATCTGTGGTGACAACTTCTTCTCGATTAACGATAATTGAATCCATAGTACATACACTACTAGATTGACCAGACAGAGGTAGACTACCTCAAGTAGGTAGCGATTATCCCAAGTTTCGGTACCTTAGGTTAGGTAGAGACGATGTTCGAAACACGGGCTAGTTTTGGCGCCGCCAATGGCCTAATGCGAGCCAACCAGGGGTAAGCGTCCCGGGCGTCTCTAACATGCACTGCCACCAGACCCTCTTCCGGGCTCCTTAGCCAGCTAATGACTTACATACATGAGAACGCGTAATTCCTCCTGCTGAGCATGTATAAGCAGCTGGCTGGCTGGATGCTTCACTGGCCAAGGTCGATTTATTAAATTCTCGCCTTTCTTGGTGAGTAAGCGGGCGTCATTCAAAGAATCCGTACAAACGACATTCTAAATGGGTAAATGCCAAAACAAAGCAAATAAGCTAAAGGAATAAACTAATATAGAAGATACCTAATCAAACCAACAACATGCCTTTTTTTTTTTTTTTTTTTTTTTTTTCTCGCACTCCCTCGTATTTAATTACCTACCTTTCTCAAAGCTTACCATTAATCGCATCTTAAATTGTCTCCTCTCACCCACCAGTTTAGTTGAGGTTGAGTTGTACTGTGTACCTAAGCTAATACCACATCGACGTCTAGTTGGCATAGGTGTTGCGTCTGTTGAGGTATTCTTTTTTTTTCTTGTGCCTCATCTCTCGTGTTAGCTGCATTGGATAAGCGACCGGTCGAGCCGTGCATTGCTGATCCAGCTGATCGCATTCTAGGAGGAGGTGTCTAACTAGATTTTTGCTCCTGCAAGATGTCGTCATCCGCTTCCTTGTGTCTCGTAGCAACCGAATTTCCCATGGACATGAGCAGCTTAGGTTAGGTACCTACTAATGATATGCATTAGGTACCTTAGGTCGGGTATCTACTATGGACAGCAGATGTGGATGCAAGAAGTATATATATCGAGTTGTTATCTAAAGTTTCTTTAGGCGATGAGGTCCATTTTATTTATTTATTTCGACGATAATAACTCCAGACTCCAAAAAAAAAGAAAAACTGAAATTCCTTGGCATCTGAGATCTCTCTACGGCGTGGTATTGTATTTGCCGGATTAGTATTACGCTATGTCGCAGCCGAGTGATCCATGCTAATTACCTGAGCTATAAATCTTCCCGCATAAAAATTATACAGATTCCCGGGCCCTACCAGTCCAGATTTCATAGTGACCCTAATGCAGTGCATTCACTACCTACATCTGCAAACGCCTTAGAAGTACTTAGAGGTACTTAGGTTATATTCGTCTTATCCCTCCAATTCGTTTTCGCTTTTTCGTACACTTTTCGTATTTACCAGCTTGACCTAAGGTTAGAGCACTGTACCAAACTTACATGTATTCCTTATTATTAGGTAGGAGCAGCAACATTTGTTATCCCTTCATTTCGACTATATTTCAATAGATCAGAGTTAATAGGTTATACCTGTTAGGCGCATACCTACCTAGTATTTAATGTTTGATAGGAGGTAGGTACCTAGGTACCTAACATTTTATTTACAACATTGCTGATACCTAGGTATGAGCCTCTAGACCGTCGCCGTATTAAAGAGAGCTTTATATATATTCATGTTAACTTGTTGAAGACTGGATTGCACAGCTATAATATATGCAAGCTTTGCGAATTTGCACTCAAGATTTCGTTCAAGTTGCAGCATCAATTACTTATTATCCTTAGCCAAAGCATTGACAGAAAAAGTCGATATTATATCCAACTATCCACTAGGATAAGACAAGACGACGGGTTTAACAATTATCCATCATGAGGTAATGAGGTAGGGAAGCCTATCGAAATGAAGGGAACCATAAACTTAACAGGGACTTGACGCTTTACGATCTCCTGCTCTTCGTTGAAACCAAGGTCGAGTCCACGATCTCCATCCTGTTACCCCCTTCAAAGAAGCAATATCAATAGAGCGCTGCTTCGCGTCGATAGAAAGTCTTTCTGCTTCTTCTTTCCTCTGATGGTTGAGCCACTTCAGCTTGAGGACCTCCCTCCCCAACTGGGGAAAGATCCTGTTGACATTATCGCCGGTCTTGGCTGAGGTCTCAAGGAACGCACATCCCAGCCCAAAGCTTGCTGCGAGCTTACGGCCCTCAGCCCAAGAAACCTCCCGCTGCTCGTCCTCGCAGTCGGAGTTGGTTCCTACGAGCATGAGACCATACATCCGTGTCTCCCCGACCATATCGCGGATATGGTTGTAGACATCTTGGAGGAGGGTAAAAGACGACCTCGATTTGACGCTGTATACTAGGACAACAGCCTCCGTGATCTGTATAGCTTGCGTGAGCTGCTCCTCACTGGATAGATGCCGAGAAGGAAGTTCTAAAGCATTAAGGATGTAAGTTTGGTCCTCAATGCTTATGGTGTGGCGGTAACCTCGTTCTGGCTCGTCGGGTTTGGATAATCGATCCTCTTCAGCAAATGTGCCACAGCAGAACTATTCCATCGTTAGAAGACAAGGCGGCATGATATTCCGGATACCATTACCTTTTCTAGAAGCGATGTCTTCCCACAACCCTTGTCTCCTAGAACGAGGAACATGAATTGTCCTACATGTCTTTCCGGTGGAGGTAATCCTTCATAATCGCCGTCATCCTCCTTATCGTTCGCTACCCAAGCAAGCAAGGCTCGGAAGTATCGAATCTCTTCTTCGCTCCAGGTAGACTCGGATTCGCTCATTTCGCTGGAAAAAAACCCATGCGGAGGACATAAAAAAGACAATGTCATGTTCGGGTGAGAACCACACACCAGCTAAATATATGCAACGAGGCATTCGTGGATTACAATACTACGGAAAAGCATAGTACAGCTACGAGAATCGGCATATCCTGTGATGCCTTACAACAGGCCCCTTCAATTCTGCATAATGTTACAGAGATCACCTCGGTGCGACGAAGAAGTCACAAAGATCGGAAGCGAAGACGTTTAAGGTAATCGACTGCTATCTTCACTGCATTACCCGACATCAATATCTACCTAAGGTAGATGAAGGCGTCACCAGCTGCTATCGGGCGATGACAGAACCAATCTAGTTATAGGTAATTCCCGAGGCGCATTGAATAGTGCATTTCATTGCTTACTTGCGTGCATGCACCCATCTCATGTGGATGGTATCTTACTCAGTTACTCCGTACTAACGTCATTCTCGGGATCATATACTGTATCTAATAAGTGTTTGCTCGAAGTTCTCTTCTCAGACTTGACTGCGACGTCTCACATTCTTATTGAACACTTGCCAGTTGCAAACGAAACTAAGACTTCTCATTCCTTTATTTTTGGGGGGCGGCTAGACTATCAATCATGGCGCTTCCCACTGACCAATCTTTAGCCGTTCAGCTTCGATTGCTAGTTCCGCTTCTAGTCGGTGCGGCTGTGAAAGCTGGACATAAACTGGGGACTCACCAGGATACGGAATCCATGACAGGTATGATGGCTTGTCTGACCCCAACTTAGCTTCTTAGTATTTCCCTTCTGTTATCTGGCAAGCAAGCTTGGTCCACAGCTGGAGCTGGCGTCTTGTTGCTTGGCTCGCCCGACTTGCTTGTTTGCTTGCTTGTTTAACAGGTTACCTATTATTAGTGGCTGAAAATGGTTGAATTAGGTGAGGTACCTATTGCTGGAAGATGGGCTTTGCAAATATTTCTTGCGTCCGTTTAGATATTCTCGTTCCCTTGTCTGTAGCGCGCTTCTTCTGTACGTGATCACGTACTAAGTTAACAGAATCCGGTATAACTTCATAAATACGATAACGGGCTGAGATAGCACATATCTAGGTACCTACCTAATTTACTGGCCTTTTTGTAAGGAAACTAGTCTATTCTCACGATATTGGGCCTTGATTACATCCTACGAATGCACGGTGCGTAAATCCGAAGAAACGAATAAGGACACGGCATTTGCAAGCAAACAGTTGAACTAAATTGGGCCTCAAGTTTCCAGAAGGCCGATCTACTTAGTCTAATAGATCCTACTCGCGGAGTTGTCATTTGGGCTCGAATGAGGGCAACTTGCGGGTTTACTACGGAATGATCTCTTCAACGATCTGTGATCCAGAGGTAATTCCAGATCTGTGAAGCGGGAACACAGAGCACAGAGCCACCGCATCGCCGCTCGTTTCAACAGTCGAAAGTGGTGTAAGATACCTACCTAAGTAATCTAGTACAATTCCATTATCGCTCGACGATAACGCGACCGTGGGCATGGCCTATAATAACCGTTTCCAATTTATGCCCCGGCAACCCTCACACCACCTGAACCACAAAGTCTCCGATCTGTCGGACAGCCCGTACAACGATGAGACATCCACTGAGATTAGGGGCCGGGAGTCCCTCGTGTCACTCCAGTCCGCCTACGAATCTTCATCATTAGACGTGCCGTCAGATGGGAATGCCTATGGGTCAAGTTCGTCTTGGTCACTACCCTTTGTTGGATCTGGATCTGGAGGTGGAGGTGGAGGTGGGGGATACCAACCTGTATCCCCGCCCAGCCATTCCAACTCGACCTTTGAGCGTTACAAGAGCGTTCGTGTTAAACCTCAAGATACAATTCATGAAGATGAGAGCATCGATATGTCTCTGCTCCGCGCAGCCGCGCCACTCGGATATTCTGGTTCGCACGATCCTGTCCCTAGCGATGAACCGGCAATCGATTTATCCTCCTTCTCCGGACCTATGGGCGCCGAAGACGAAGAATTCGTCAAGTCGCTACAAGCGAAGGAAGCCAAGGGATACTTAACCGGAGGTTTAGGGGAAGGGATGAGCCCGGCAGCAACGCTCAAGCAAGAACAGCTTCTAGCAAGCTCTCCATCTCTTAAGCGGAGCTTTACTCGGTCATTTTCTAGGAAGAGCAAGCCTAATTCAAAGTCGAGAGCCGGGTTGAAGGAGTTGGGTCAGAATGAGGCGAATAGGAGGGGGGATGTGATAGAGGTCATCATGGAAGAGCCTGCAGACTTGAGTACGATGGTCGGACCAAATATCGTTGGGTCTGATCCGAATCGTCGGTATTCGCAACTCCCAAGCCAGGAGATGAAAACGGAGGTGTTTTACCCACAACCTAATTGGAAACCATTTTCCATGAGATGGCCGTACAGTGAGTACGTTACGCCACCATCAGCCTATATTACTGACCCTTGTAATAGTGACTGGCTTAATTCTACTATCCGTTGGCCTTGCCATTGCCCAGGAGATTCTCTTTCAGAAGTCCACCGAAGCTCCCCTCATTAAATTCCACAACGCCACGGATCTGGGCCCTGGCTATTATTTCATCTTCAAATTCGTCCCCACGATAATCACCGTTACTTATGGCGTGTTATGGCAGAACACAGACTTCGAAGTTAAGCGACTTGAGGCCTTTTATCAGTTATCTAAAGAAGGGGGTGCCCTAGCAGCGGAGTCCATCAACGTCGACTATATCACCTTGTTCAACTTCACCCGGCCGTTCCGGGCCCTGCAGCGGAAACACTATGCGGTGGCCACCTCGTCCTTGGCAACTCTTCTTGCCATATCCCTGGTCCCCACTCTCGGCGCGGCGGCGCTGGTCGTGGGGCCGGATCGGCAGATACGGCTCTCAAACCCTGATGTCGAGAAAACTATCACTATAAGTCCTATCCTATCCCGTCTCCTTACCATGACTTTTTTTGTCATCGCAATGCTGGGATGCGTGCTATTTTATCAGCTTAACAAACGGCGCTCGGGCCTGCTCTCGGACGTCAAGGGGATCGCGGGGCTAGCGTCGATGGCTGTAGTCAGCCATATCATGATGGACTTCAAGGACATGGACGTCGCTAAGCCGCAGGAAATTCACCACAAACTCAAGCATCGGAGGTACGCGCTGCGCAACTCCTCCCTGGTCCCTGAGGATTTTGATCAGGTGTCTCCGCTAGCCAGCGACAAATACAAGGATGCGCACCTACCAGAGAACCCGCATCCGCTCATGCTGCGCGCTGAGGGCTGCATACCCTTCATCATCGGGGTGCTGGCATTCCTGGGCTTTATCCCGGTGTTCTTGTTTACGCCGGCTAGCGTGCTGACGCACAAAGCGCCTTGGGCCGTTACTTTGCTGGCGGTTATTATCAAGCTTAGCTGGGGCAGCCTGGAGACGGCGATCCGTATGATGGAACCTTATTACATCCTCTCGAAGCGCCACGCGCCAGCCAATACGCTGACTCTCGATTACACAGCCATGCCGTTCGCCGTGGTAGCCGTGCGTGCGCTTTTCAACCGGCACTGGATGGTGTTCCTCGTCGGGTGGGGCACCATCATGGTAGAAGCGCTTACGATCTTCGTCACGAGTCTCGCGACGGTCGAGGGCCGGGACTTCTTGGAGATATTGAGCAAGGCGGAAGACCACAGCGAGGAGCTAGGCGACGACGGGTTCCTGCAGGAGGGGGTGGGGTCTGGCTCGGAGACGGTGCTCTCATTCACGGTGTCGCTCGCGCTGACGGTCGTCATCCTCCTCTACCTATTCGTCGTGGCGACGGCCATTTTTATCCGTCGGCGCCACCGGTTCCTGCCGCGGCAGCCGAGCACGATCGCCAGCGTGCTCGCGTTCGTGCACCAGAGCAAGATGCTGTACGACTTCGTGGGCACGGCCAAGTTCACCAACGCCCAGATGCGCGCGCGGCTCGAGGGCCTGGGCAAGACGTACGGCCTCGGCTGGTTCTCGGGTCGGGACGGATACGTGCATTGTGGAGTCGATGAGGAGGAGCTGAGTGGGAATTACAAGCATGGCGTTGACTTCTCGCAGGGAAATAAGCCGTGGCTTACTGAGTGGCAGGTCTTCTAGGCTGCGTAGGACGACCTCGCAATTTGCTTCCAATACAGCTATCTAACTTACATTCCTGCCATGCATGGTCTTTAACTTGAGAGTTGTTTTTATCCGTCCGAGGTCACGATGGTTTTGATGTGCTAGCCGTATTTATTACATGGTGTAGATGTCAGCCCTTACAGGCATCCTTGTTATTACCTCTCTAAGCAACCACATGTATACGAATACCCAAACCCACGGATAAGTTCGCATCCTTACTAGACAGGCAGCATTGGAAAGCGAGATTGCGAAATGGCTAGTCTTAATAACCACCAACCCCTTTTCTACTCCGCCTCCTTCACCGCATCCGATATCGCCTTCGAGCCCAGAACTATCTTTCTCGCGAGCGACGCGAGGGCGGTCTTGCTCAGCAGGTCGAACACCGAGATATCCGACTGTATCTCCGAGTATATCCAAGACCGTAGCTCGACGGCAAGCAAGCTATCAACGCCGTAGCTGCTTACCGGTCTCGAGATCTCGATGTCCTCTGTTTGGTCCGCCCGATTAGCTTTCGGAAATCCCCCTCTTACCTACCTTATTTCTCAAAAAAAAAAAAAAAAAAAAAAAAAAAGGGGAGGGGGAGCAAAGGGCGGGGGGTTGCTACTAGGATATGTGGCTAACTTACCGGCTGATATCATCATCGACTTAGCAAGTTTCTTCACCAGTGCCTCCGCAACGATGTCCGCGGCCTGCTCGATGCTGCCCGCCTGCGCGAGCTGCGCGCGGAGCTGCACGGTGTCCTCGTGCGTCGCCCTCGCCAGCTGGTGCGTATCGACCTCCGCGAGATGCGCGAACTTGACGTCCTTGTAGTAGTACGGCTCCTCCCTCGCGCCGCGCAGCAGTATCCCGCCCGTCCCGAGGCCCGTCATGACCTGCGGGGGCACGCGCGCGCCGTCGTCGTCGGAGCTGGAGCTGGAGTTGGAGCTCCGTCCCGTGATCGCCGCTTGGAGGATACTCAGAAACTCCTTCTCCGAGATCCCGATCACGATCCAGCTCTGCATGTTCTCGAGGACCCGGTCGTCCGTCGTCTCGTCGGATAGGAAGCCCGCGCCGAGCACCATGCCGACGTCGATCGCGCACGCTGAGAGGCCGAGGTTGCGGCGGTGGTGCGCTAGCGCGTCTTGGTACGTGTTGCCCGCTGCGTAGTTGCCTTGGCCGCGAGAGCCGCCGATGCCGGCAATAGACGAAAGCATCACAAAGAAGTCGAGGTCTTCAGGGAGATGGCGGTGTAAGTTCCAGCTTCCCTGGACCTTGCTTCGAGTTGTGGCGAGGAATTGTTCCGACGACATACTCTGGGCGATCTATTCCGGAAGATTTTGGTTAGCGACAGCCTTCCTATGCGATCGCAAATTAAGGGGGAACTTACACCGTCTCTAAGCACCATAGCCCCTTGGACCACGCCGCGAATAGCAGGCCAATTCTCCGTATTGCATCTATCCAAACATATCTGCAGTTGGTGTTCATCCGCAACATCGCACGCCCATGCGTCCGCTCTGACTCCTTGACTAGCGAGTTGGGCTAACAAGTCTGGGACGGACGCCTTGCTGGCCCCTGAACGAGATAGGAGGAGGATGTTCTTCGCACCGGATTCCGCCATCCAGTTGGCGATGGAACCGCCTAGACCACCCGTACCGCCTACGATCACGTATGTTGCATCGGGATAGAAATGCGCTGGAGCTATACTCGGAGGGATGGCTTGAACAATATCGCCGTCGACTGCTTCTAGCACCAGCTTACCGGCGTGCTGGCCAGTTTGCATGAGTTTAAAAGCCTCTTCCGCCTTCGAGAAAGGCACCGTGGTGATTGGCGTGACGGGCTTTACGACGCCCGCACGGATCAGATCTATGACCTCGCGGAACACTTTCGCTGCGGCGGGGACATCGTGGTCCATGAGATCAATCATGTTGACGGAGTGGAAGGACACGTTTTTGATAAAGGGCGCCATGTCAAGCCCGGTGTTCCCATCGATGTCCCTCTGCCCCAATTCGACGAACCGGCCGAAGCGCGCAACGCAATGCCACGATTCCCTCAGCGCATCGCCGGTGAGCGTGTTCAGCAGCACATCTACCCCACGCCCACCAGTGCGCCGCTTAACCGCCTGCGCAAAACTCGCGTCGCGGCTGTTGAAGATACGGTCCTCGGGCACCCCGTAGGTATCTATCAGCAGCTGCTTCTTCTCGCGCGACGAGACCGTAGCAAAGATCTCGGCGCCGAAGTACTGGGCAAGCGCAATTGAAGCCTGTCCGAAGCCGCCGGCCGCGCTGTGGATCAGCACCGTCTCCCCCTTCCGTACATTTCCAACGTTGACGAGAGCGTAGTATGCCGCGCTGTAGACGAATGGGACCGAGGCCGCTACGTTGAAATCGAAGTCTTCCGGAATGAATTGGACCATGGACTCGTCTGTCCGGATGTAATTTCTGAACGTCCCCCTCTTCCACGTCATCACCTTGTCTCCGCGCCGGAACGCCTTGACTTCGCGGCCGACGCGGCTCACGATTCCACTTGCGTCAAGGCCGAGGTCATGCTGCGAGAACTGGCCCGTCGCGGCCATAACGTCCTTGGAGTTGAGGCCCGCGCTCCTTACTTCGATCTCGACTTCGTGGCTGGAAAGCGGCTCCAGAGCGGTAAGATCGTCCGCGAACCGCAGCGTGTCGAGTCTTCCGGGAGAACCAATCTGGAGTACTAACGGCCGACCATCTTGCTTGAAAGGGGCCGGTTCAGGCTGAGGAACCGTATGTAATGTTTTGATTAGATCGTTTAGGCCCTTCTCCAGAACGACCCTTTGGATTATTGGGACGCTGTCCCTTATAGCGACCTCCCAGTCCTGGCGCTCTAAGCCTTTGGAATTCGTTAACGCCGTGAACACTTTGACGACTTCGGCGATAGTGTCGTCGGTATTTATAGGAACATTCGGATCCAAATCCAACGTGGAGAGGGCAATGGTAGGGTTCTCGGAGCGGATGGTCCTCGATAAGCCAGTTATGAGGTTAGATTGAGGGTTTTCGCTGTTGATAGTGCCGCCGCGTGTTACGTATGTAGCGCTTTGGGACGTAAAGATGAGGTTCTTTAGGGCATCCCAGTCTTCAGTAGAGACATTAGTGAGGAAGCCTTCTTTATTCCCAATGTCGACCAGAATGAGACACGACTTATTCCTGATATCGATATTAGGAGTATCTTGTAGTCTCATGATTATCACATCGCGGCCAGCCTCCCTCATTCGAGATGCGACATTGTCTGCAAAGTTAGATATCTCTTCCTGACCAGGGGCTGTTGGCAGAACAATCATGACTTCTTGCGAGGTATCCGGGGGTTTGGGTGCGGTAGCAGTAGTGACCATGGCAGAATTGGTCACATCTATTTCGTCCTCGAAATCCGAGAAGCCAACCTCCACGCCGGAAAACCCCACTTCAAGCATAAGATCATTCCATTTATTTAAGGTTAGATACGGTCTTCCGTGACGCCCGTCGTCCTCGCCTGTATGAGGCGTTAGTAGTGTCCAAGTTAAGCGAGTGTTATCATGAGTTGCCAAACTCACCATACCACCAGCCTTCAAGCGAGCCCACAATCATATGGGATCTCATTTTCCCGGCTGGGTTCGTTATTTCGCCGAGGACTAGTTTGCCATTTCTATAATCACGGATTAGTAGTGTGTCTACCTCTCAAAAAGGGATTGTGATGCAAGGTCTAACTAGATATTTACCTACGGTTTCAATAGTTTATGGATATGTTTCAAGGTTTGCGCTAGATACCTGGTAGCATGTAGCACATTCGACGCAATGATTAGATCGTAGGAGTGCTCTTGGAATCCTTGAAAGGTAGGGTCCTGCTCGATGTTAAGTTTGCTGTACTCCATAAACGGAGTCCAGGCAGCTAATTTGTCGGCGGCCTTTTCGAAATAGCCGGGACTTATATCAGTAAAAGTGTACTTTTTGAAGCGCGGCGAGGTATTATTGGAACCGCCGAGCGACTTGAGTATAGGTAAGGTCACGCCACCCGTACCTCCTCCTACTTCGAGGATATTCATGTTGGGGTTCTTATGGGCCAGCAGCTGGATGTAAGCTACCATTTGGCTGTTATGACGTTCCAGACCCAGTGAAGATTTGTACCAGTCGTGGAGAAGGCCGTCGTGCATAAGAACTTGAAGAGGTGGTATCTGTCCGCGGAAAATCTGCGGAAGATGTTTACCGTGTGCACATAGGATAGCGCCGTCGGGAGAAGACTTGGACACACGTTCCAGCAGCTCGGACTCGGCTTGCTCCCCTAGGTCTAGCCAATTGGAATCTGGGGTTTGATAGCAAAGCTGTCGCTTCTTGCCCATATAATAGCGCTTGCACATGTAGTTGTTGTAGAGCTTGAGATGCCACGGGAGACTCTCGATTTCAGACAGAGAAAGATCGTTTACAATACGTTTGATATATATTAAACTGGCGATTTCGAGTTCTTCCAGCAACTTGCGACTGGGGCTCACAATGTGTTTCACAGCATTGAGACTGTAATTTTTGAGTTGCTCACGGTCCATAAGAGACGCATCCGGCTTCCATTCGAGGACCGTAGCGAGTTTTTGTAAGGACTGGGCGGAGGTAGCGTCATCTTGGTTAGCATCATGGACAACGGCGTACTTTATACCTTCAAAATTAACGAGTGGCTTGTTCCATTGAGCGTTAGCCACAGATATAGACCATTCGTCGTTTCCGGAGTCGGTCTTGTTCCGCTTAGAGTAGCCGGACAGGACTTCACCGGGCTGATTCGGGATATCCGCTGATATAACTAAACGACCGATACCTGTCGGTACCATAGCCGAGGTGATATTGTCGCCTACATTAGTGTATGACGGCCAGGCCATGTGGATAATGCCGTCCAATGTAGCGGGGTGGATGATGTGAGGGTACTCGAAATTATGAGGCATAATGCTCTTCGTATCCGGAATCCTTAACTTACAAGCGCTCCAGAAGTTGCCCTTCTTTATTTCGATTAGGTTCTGGAAAACAGGACCGTATTGAAGGCCGACAGCATGGAGATGGTCGTAGAATTGCCGTGGGTGTTGGGCCCGGGAATAATCTTCTCGCATGCGATGATACTCTTCTGAAAGCTTCGTTGCAAGCATCACGCTTTCGTCCTCAAAAGTTGTGTTAGCAGTCTCCTTATAATTGATGCGGATCAAACCCGAGCAGTTTAATTCCCATGCTTCTTTGCGTGAGTAAATCTGGAATTCCTGCCAAGTCGAAGTGAGGGCTCGCGATCCGGTGCGGTAAGGCTTGATCGAGAGCATGGTTTCAACACCGTCTTCGTCATTAGGAACTACAATAGCTTTACCAATAATAACATCGCGAAGCTCATAGCTGTCAATTGCACGATCCTTCGCAGCATCTTGGGACATGGCTTCAATAGCCATAATTACCATTCCGGCAGCAGGGTAAAGTATGGTACCTTGGACCTTATGCTGCTCTATCCAAGGTACCTCCGTCACCCGAAGGGTGTTACGATACCGGGGTTCATTTGTCAGACGCTCGTGAGTTTGTAGACCAAGGAGGTCCTGTCTAGGGTGGTCGCGGAATCTATGTGCCTTGGAAAATAAAGATTCCGCCCAATGCTTGGCATTATGATTCCAGCTGAAAGGAGGTAGATCAACTAAGAAGTCGTCGGAAAGGCTCTGCTCATTGACAGCATTAACGTCCACGCTATATCCAGACTGGTACAGCTCACCCGCAACAGCAAACGCAGTTTCACAAGCGTTTGCGCCTCTTAAGAGTATAGATTGGTACGTATAGTCTTTCGCGAACGACTTCCATGTATCCTGGCCTAATATCTGATTTAGCGGGCCTTTGAGCGCAGAATGGGGGCCAAGTTCGATGAAGTGCTTAACAAACCCCTTCCTCGCCCGCCCCTTCGTTTTCTCTTCTGAATAAGTGAACATACGTTCAACTGCTGCGGTAAAATTTACTTGGCCAACCATATTAGCCACCCAATACGAAGGGCCAAACTCGGAATTGTGTGCTAGGTTCCCAGTCAAAGACGAAAACATCTTCACTATGCTTCGGCCCTCGGGGAGAGGTGTGATTTCACTAATAGCTCGATAGTATCTGTCCGCAATAACCTGCATGTGTGGCGAGTGATAGGCGACATCCACTTTGAGCTTCCTCGCAAAATGGCCATCATCCTTGAGTAACTTCTCTAGTTGGGCTATGGCTACGGAGTCTCCCGACAGTGTTACACTAGAGGGACTGTTTTTGCAAGCAATGGTGGCCTTGCCTTCGGTGACACGGGAGATGTATGCTTGTATATCTCCGGCTCCGAGCCCAACAGCTAACATAGACCCCTGGAGTTGGGGAACGAAGCCCCGAATGCAGTTCGAGAGGTGGCCACGGTGATAAGCGATCGCCCAAGCGTCCTCGCGTGAGAGTGCTCCTTTAGCGTAAGCTGCGGCGATCTCACCACTTGAATGTCCGACAACGGCTTTTGGAAAGATATTCCACATTCTCAACAAGTCGACCAACGCAATTTGAAGGGCGGTACATACAGGCTGGCTCAGGTCTGCTGAATCCAGCTTTGATGTCCTTTCATCTTTCCAAATCTCAGCTATTTATATGTTTTAGATCGAATTCTTAAGGGGCGAAGGGATAATAATTGTGCAAAATAGAATCTTACTTATAAGTGACCAAGGCGCTCCTAATTGTACGAAGTATCTTCCTGCCCCTTCAAGACTTTCTCTAAACACAGGGAGTGTTAGAAGTTCACGCCCCATAGCGTACCACTGTGCACCTTGACCAGTAAAGACGAACGCCAAATTTGGATCCAACTTGTCATTGGATCGGACATTTTTTATGGGCTTCGACAATTTCTCAAGAGCTTCTTCGCATGATGTTGCGATAATATATGACTTCCACGGAAGAATGCTACGCCGCCCGGCAAGGGTACGAGCGAGTTTACAGAGGAGTTTCCTATCATGATTCCCCTCTATCGTTTCAGTCGATGTATCTTTAAGTCTGGCATCGAGGTATGCTCTATAATCATTCGAAGTTCGCGAAATGCCGGCTTGGTCGTGTAAACTCCATACTAGAAGTTTTGGGGCAGGGGGTAGGCGCGCTTCGAGTCGGTTTCCCAAAATTCCTTCGAGAGATTTCCACTGTTTGGTCCCATCGCTGAGTTGGCTCATGACGTCGACATCATAGGTCGTGTCAATCCCGGAATCGGGACTTGAAGTAGGCGACGCTCCACTGAAGATCTGGACATTGTGATTCCCAGATAAACCCCGAGCTATCAAATAATGGCATGCATCGTCGATGATACAGTGACCATTAGTTCCACCATACCCAAAAGAGTTGATACTGATCCGGCGCAGTCCGTCTTTTGGCCAGGACATAAGCTCAGTTGGGACGGCAAGATTCCAGTCTTCCATCGGAATTCGTGGGTTAGGCTTTTCGTACCAGAGACTTGGTGGAATCTCGCCCTTTTCTAACATCATGATACCCTTTATTACTTGTGCAAGGCCTGAACCTCCTTCCAAATGCCCGATATTCGACTTTATAGATCCTATCCAAATGGGGTCTCCAGGAGCTCTGGCTTTCCCAAAAGTAGCTGAAAGAGCGGACGCCTCAACTGGGTCACCAGCTGCTGTTCCGGTGCCATGGGCTTCGACATATGCTGTATCCGCCAAATTCAACCCAGCGTCGGCATAGACTTTTCGGATCAACATCTCCTGTGCTTTTGCCGAAGGTAACGTAATTCCAGGGGTATTTCCGTCCTGGTTAACTCCCGTGTTACGGATAATTCCACGAATAACATCGTTATCCCTAATAGCCAGATGAAGAGGTTTTAGGATGCAGAATCCAGCCCCTATTTATTTTCATTAGTACATAAGTAGATATACTATTAGGATGGATACTATAAGAGGTGGGTACCTTCGCCTCTAGAATAGCCGTCAGCTTTGTGGTCAAAAGAGTGTGATTTCCCATTTGGGCTCAGAAAGTGTAATCGGGTCATTCCACTCATAATATCAGGCCCAATCATTAAGTTGGTCCCACCGACAATAGACTAGGAATTTAAATCAGATATAACCCGCGCCCAAATCATGTACGGCTTACAAGTTTTGATTCGCCTGTACGAAGGCTTTGGCAGCCAAGGTGAAGGGCAACCATTGACGATGAGCAGGCGGTGTCGATACTAATACAAGGGCCTCTCAAATTGAAAAACCAAGAGACTCTGTTAGACATCATAGCGAGACCCGTCCCCGTTGGCTGATACGTGGGGACGTTATCGGTGTCATGTGCCAGCATGTCGTAATAGTCCCTTGTAAATGTGCCCACGTAGACCGAGGTGTCGGACCCTGACACATCTTCCATACGAATTCCAGCTAGAAGACACTGAAACTCAGATTAGGTTGCATAAGAGAGTAGATAGGACTGACATACCATTCTCTAGAGCTTCGTACGTGCATTCCAGTGCCATACGTTGTTGTGGATCCATAGCCTTGGCCTCCGCAGCAGGAATATTGAAAAAAGGGGCATCGAATGCGGATATATCTCTCTTCATGAAATGGGCTTCCTTAACGTTCATCGTTCCAAAACGTTCGGTACTTGGGTGGTAGAATGAATCGACGTTGAATCGATCAGATGGAATCCTAGTCGCAGCGCTTCTCCCCTCGAATATCATATCCCAGAGCTTCTGGGGATTTTCTGCGTCACCAGGAAACCTCCCTGAGATCCCAATGATAGCAATTGGCATGACAGCATCTTCGTGAGGAGCAGTATAGAGCATGATGCTCCTTGGATTGTAATTAGGTACCGTCGTGACTATAGCGCTATAATTTCAATATCCAGACTTGCAAATTACCGCAACGATGATAGTATCGAAAACCTACCTAGGTACATACCTCCATCGAATTTTAGTTGAGTCGATAGACTGCCGGATTTATATTGCTATCCCATATTTTTGCCACAGATACCTCAGGTCGGGTACTTAATGTAAAGACAGATGTCCCTCGGAACGTGGCTCATTAGATGGAGTCACAGCCGTAAATGCTTCTTCCCGATATTGTCTACTTTTCCCCCGAATTTGATTACACGCATTCCACGCTTAATTTAGCTTTTGTGTCACCGCCTTTGTACTATATTAGTGATGATTTTCATGCTTATTTTACCGTCTGAACATCATGTAGTGAGTTTTGTAGTCTCTTATCTGTCGGGTTGGGAAGGGGATACGCGACGACCTGATCTGCGATTAAGAGGTACCTAAGGTAAGGTAAACGGTTAATCGAAACCCCGCTATTGAGTAACTTCATTGTTAGCGTGTGGTATATATTCCCAGCTTCCTTTATCACGAATCGTTGGCGTATGTGCGAATCCATAGAAATACCCTAGAGCTTTCTACATAAGATAACAGGTTCAGAGACGTCGATAGCTGTAGCTGGTATTTCTCTGTTTGAAAGTCCTGGTTATAGTGATTGAAAATAGGTACCCACCTTTACCCCGGACCACTCCTAACGAGGCAGACATATGAGACAAACCAAAGTTAAGACTAAGCCAGATGTTACACAAGGTTACACAAGGTTACACAGAATCACCCGGAACTTTCCTGTTAGGGCAAACCACTTGGATTTGATTGGCCTTTTACCCCAGAGAGTTACCTGGGTACCTCTTAACTTAGCCTGGGTTAGGTGTACTTTATTACTTGTGTATACCCGCTTCGTGCCTCGTAACTTTTATGCTTGAGGTGTTCGAGATTTGGATATACTTGCGTTTCTATATCTGAGGTAATTACACGGCATATTATAACTTACTAGATTTACGTCTTATTAGCTATCTTATCTACCTAGTTACCCCATGTCAATTCCCGCTCTAAAAACTAATCCTTTAAAATCTTGATGCCGGCTTAGAGCAGCTCACGGCCGAAACTTCGCGGCCGAGTTTGTAGTGCTGACTACGCGGCAGGCGAGTTTTTAACCGGGGTTCGTAAACACTGAAAGCTGTGATTGGCCGACGTGGTGTTGGAATTTGAACTTCTAATGCATCCTCCAATTCCAATGGGTCCCACCCCCAGACGGTTTCCGTTGCTGACTATCGTGTAGAGCACTTACGGTCCTAAGTTACGGCCTAAATTAACCAAGACAGCGCTGCCAGTCAGACGCTATGTCTCGGGAATTGAGGCTATACTTGCATCCTTGTGCGAGTAGGAGTGGAATAGGAGTAGAATGGGATAAGCATCTGGACCAGCTGAATCCAAGTACCAACTGGTCTGTCCTACCACAGCTCTGGGTCTTTTTTCTCACATAAAACTAATCGGGCAGGGCCCTACCGGCTGGACGGTTATAATACTTTATATATCCATGCTCTATCCCCCCAGCCGGGTGCTGCTAGATACTCCGACATAATATATAATATAGTAGGATACTTGCGTCTTTCCGTCATTATCAATAACCTCCGGACTTTCTTCAATACCTAACATACTTCCCAACACTTACACAGGAATTAAGTAAAGAAAATGAGCACTACCCTGGTAACAGAGACTAGCTCGACGGGCTTGGGCTCGGGCATCTACACACAATCTATTTTAAACTATCTATACCAGCGCCTAGTTCTAGAGTTTAATGTCCCTTACGTATGGGGCTGCCCATGCGACGTACTGCTCAACCTGTTTGCCGAACACTTCTCCCACAACCACCTAGACTGTGGTGTCGCCACGGGTTATTTTCCTGCAACCGTCCTACAACGCACACGCCAAGCCAATACGCAGCGGCAGATCACTTTATTAGATCTCAACCCTAACTGCCTCGAGGCAGCCAAGTCCGCCATACAAGCCGAGGCGCCCCGAGTCCCAGTCCACACCGTCGAAGCCGACATCAAGGCACCCATACCGGCGGCGCTAAAAGGCAAGAAGTTCGACACGATATCCATGTTCAACCTGTTCCATTGCGTGCCCGGCGGCGCGAGCAAGTTCCAAGCGCTTGCCACCTACAAGGACGTGCTTGCGGATAACGGCGTATTCATAGGTTGTACCGTATTAGGGGAGAAACACGCTACCGGCTGGTTCTCCCGGAACTACCTCAGCCTCTACAACTGGGTCGGCGTGTTCAACAACTGGGATGATAAGGCCGAGGATATTGAGAGCGTGCTACGATCGGCTTACAAGGAAGTCGATACTTGGAAGGTTGGAATGATACTTATGTGGAGAGTAAAATCCCCCAAGAAGGCTTAAGTGGGCTACCTGATATTAACAATACAATATTCGACGAGACATGGGCTGTTCGTGTAACGCGGCGGCTAGGAATTTGGTTGCTTGTTTTCTGCTTGTATAGAAGCGGCTCGCTTGCTACCGTCACGCCATTGCCGCAGCAAGCAACTTTTGCATCAGCCAATCGTGGTAACGATAGGATAGATTTGGATTAACTTGGCGAAGAATACCTCAATAAAACTTCTACACTTGCAACTTGTGCCAAGCTTGCCTTACCCCCTTTACTATCCACCTCAAAGAAAACCTAGCAGCCTCCTTATGGCCTTAAGGTGCCGTAAACCACATATGCAGTTACGTTACGAGCTGGCTGGTCACCCAACGTATACCAAGGAGTTCCCATCACGTTATACATCGTTACATGATTAGCAAGGTTATGGCCGATAGGAAAGATTCCTATATAAACTCGTGTTTACCAGGATCTTTTTGAAGTTCCTAGTAGTAGAACCGAGTTATGTAGTCTTGAGAATCTCTAGTGAAACGTATCTAAGATACAGGCGAATGAATAATATCGTTTATATGGCTTCAAGTCTTGTTGCTCATGACAAGATGAACATCCTTTTGAAGTAGGTAAAGTGACATACATGGGTTGTCCACGACGGCTAGGTCGGGTACACTGGCAGTTGATAGTAATATACAAGTATCGTAAGTCCAGCATGAGATGTGCAGAAAAGGTGAGATTTTATAGGTGGTATCAGGTTAGCAACGCATCAGCAAGCCTATCTACGAATATACGAGGCTGACCTTTCATGGATACAATTTGTAATCCACGACGACTCCGCAAGTAGCTAACAAAATTATGGCTCTATTAATTTACTGTGAGATTAATTAACTCTCGTGGTGCCGGAGTTTCGAACGATTCTTTACCGCCAAGTCAGGTTATAGGCAACTTTATGCTAGCTAGCGTTGCATTGCTATGGGAAAGAGGCTTGAATGTTGATCGCAAACAGTTTCTTGTTCCTAAACCTCTCAGACTAGCACAAAGAAGAGTGGTGCCATCCGTAACTCTTTGGTACCTAATGTAAGGCGCAAAGATATCGAATTTGAGCCCCTGTGCTACCTCCAACGTCGTACAAGCTCGTTTGAAGGATCGAAGAATAAAGGATAAACGTACGTTGAAATAGATAATCACCCAAATATGGCATACATCATAACATGCGATCTTGAATGACCTTACTTTAGCCTGCTAGGTACCTCAATAACCTAGTCCTTAGATAATCAGCAGTAGTCATATCGCATGCAGTGTTATACATACCTAATCTACCTTAGATAGGTACCTACATGCAAGACATGCTTGAGAATAACACTAGTAGGGTATTTGCAAGAATTAACTTTGACGATTCAGACAAATGCAGTCAGATCGGGAGCCACGTGGGACCTAGATCTGGGAACCAAGCGTCGAGTAAAACTGCATACTGCTAGGATAGATTCTGGATATAACCTACTAATTACCCTTAAGAATAGGTAGGTAGGTAAGCTGAAGATTTTGGTACTACGATGAAAGCTTAGCCCGTCAGCCCGTAAGCACTCTCTTTACGATATCCCTGTGTACCCACACATCCCTGGCATGATCAGTGTATGCTAGGTAGACTTGGTTATGATGTGTCAGGATCCTAGATGAGACATCTACACGTGTAGCATAAAGTATACGTTCTATGTATATAGCTGTATACCTTATCTAGTTCCAAGATCCGTCTGGTTAGAGTTCCTTGTAGAGTAGGGAAGCTGGGTCTATTCTTCTTGCTCTATCTCGTGATAGTAGAATGGATTGGGGGAGGGGAATATAAGTACCTGTCAACGTAAGTACTCGTTGGGTTGTTCTGATATCTTAAAGAGAGTGAGTGTCCGAAACATTGAGTCTAATTTCATCGTAAATGTTATTGCTTGGGTACCTAGAAGTTGGAGACAAGTATCGCAAGCATCTTTCAAAACAACTTCGCCCTTGACGGTCTAGATGTCTTCGTATTCCATGACTCAAAATACTCCCGGTAGCTTCTTGTAAGCTTCTTGTAAGCTCTAGACTCTAGTTTCATCAACATGTTGTAGCCTCCCTCATAGCTACCTAACCTAGGTAGTTCGTGCGTATATCAGCTATACTGAACGGCGCTCGCTCCGTGAATACCGTCTCTTGCGACACGCCACACCGCTAGCTGTGGCTATCTCATGCCAATAGCTGTGGCTGTGTTGCCTTCAAGTCCGCTTCACGTTCTCCAAGCAAGTTTCCCTAGGTGCAGGATCCAAAACGGGCTGCGCCCCCAACCCCCGCTTAAGGGGTGGGACCATCCAGAACCAAAATTCCATAGCAATGGTTTGCACCTCTTACAAGAATTATTTCTCAAGACCATATATTGTCATTATAGAGGTAGGAAATACCTATACCACAGATACGACGCTCCTGGACGTGCCAACCGTTTGTTCTGAACGATAGCACGGATGATCAAATGATACCTGCCATTGTTTAAACACCACGTATGGACATCTCAAGCCTATATGAAGAAACGCCAACTCTTCTGTCGGCGTACTGAGCCTCACCCAGACATAAAGAATATGCATCCTACCACCGCCGTTGCATTCCGCGGCTCGGCTTTAGTAGTGCAAGACGGCGATTACCAGTTTCGTAAGCGAACGTCTGATTTAAGCACTAGGATGCGAAGCCTATTGCTACCCTTTCTGTTATAACGAACTTGCGGGAAAGGATTCGCTCAGACATAATCAATATCTGCTTCCCCTTCTTCTAAAAGGACCGGACTGTGCCTCTTCCGTAGGCGATGGTAACAAATGACAACTTTTGGTTTGAAGAAACCATTATCAATAGATATGCAAGGGCATTTGAAAATGTGACAGAACCTGGAATACTTACCTCTTACTATGTATTTGGAGAAGCCATACGATGACGGTATAACTAACAAGTGCGCTATTTTAACAACTAGCTAAACTAATATAATAAAATATTAGGTAGTATGAGGTGGGTCTTATTGCGTGTTCTTTACAATTCAACTCGACCTTGTTCTTCCCCGGTTCTTTTAGACATACTCGTTACTAGTGCTATCTACACAAGTGCTGCGCTTTGATTAGGAAGACAGGCAAGACTAAAGATAGGGTACCAAGTTTCAAGCGCCAATAAGAGGTTAATTCGACCCTTATCATATGCTGAAAAAAAAGGGGGAAAACAATGAAATTCCATGAAATATTATGAATGCTCGAAAATATTTTGATTTTGATATAGACTTATAATACGCCTAGTAGGAAGTCTTTCGATCTGTCCTCCCTACCTAGGCAAGTATTAGCCGTTTTCTTAATTAAAGCCTAGCACCCCTTGGGGTTACTTACGGTTGAGCATAGCTGCCACTCGGCAAATGACGTAAAGTTGAGATACAGACACCCCAAGGCTAATAAAAGAAAAGAATAAAACAAAATATGGATTTATGGTACATTATGCATGAAAAGGGGTTGACTTTTTTTGAGCCTCCAAGATGCGCACCCTCCTATTGGTTAAATTTTATAGCGCTTACAGCATACCTCCCACCTGCAAAAGAATACGCCTTCGTATTTAATTAATTTAATTAATTCAGTTTAATCCAATCTGTATTAAAAGCCTTATCCGAGTAAGTAATACACGTATTTAATATAAGCGCATTCGATGTGAGCCTTAGGTAGGTAGGTAATTCAAAAGCACGTTGCCAAGTCTCTAGTCTTAATAATCTAACGTCCTTAATAATACTAGCACTGTATTAGGCTGACACTAATCATAAGGCAGATAGTGATTTATACGTTAAGATATAAGTAGCTTGCCACTATAATTACAGGGGAGTTAGCTACTATTAGTACTAAAAATACAGTATTTACTTCCTTAACTAATACACCCAAGCTAAAAGCAAATCCCCCGTACCCCCAGATACTCGTTTTTAGTGCATAGTGTACTATCTTAAGCGCAAACATGTCTTAAAGCATAGTAAAGCATCCTTGCAATTTAAATGTACCCCACCATTTTAAAGGGTGACCCTATAAATTTTCACCAATTTTAGGGCATTTGCCGAGTGGCAGCTATGCTCAACCGTAGTTACTCGTTGAACTTGTGTAGACAGCACTAGTAATAAAGTATTATATTAGGTATAAATCTTTCAAGAATGAAGTGAGGGATTCAAGTAAAAATGGCCATTTGTTAGGTCCATACATCCATTAGGCTCATTTAACTGTAAAAATACATCTTTCGTGATACATAGTAAATATTATACATGGTGATAGGTATCTCTAGATAATTCTACTTTTACACGCGATCCGAAGCCCAGGGGTGACTGTTGCCATCGAACCCATTTCCCTCTGGATGCTTATTCTGTTGCTCTACCGAGATAGTAACTTGAGTGGTCCGAGCGATACCCCCCCATCCACGCTCATCACCATCCCTGTTACCTTTGATGATGCCAGCACTGCTACGCCCGTGGCTGTCCCCCGAATGAAAATCCGCTAGCGAGATTTCGTTGTCGGGATGCTCCATGCGATTGTATTCTCCAATCCCGTCGGGGTTCTTTCGTAGCTGCGAGGTGCTCCAAGTGGCCGCATCCATAGTCTTGATACGAGTCGTAGAGGACACCATCCGGCCCAGTAGTTTTGATTCCTTGAACGCTTTGGGAATCGCGGGAATGCAAAACACCAGTATTCCAAAGGCCAGTTCAGCAAAGGATAATAGGGCCACCTGCGAGATATTGAATGTCCAATCCTGAGAGCTAAGATGGTGTATGCTTAACCCTAGTCGAACGATTGCGAAAATAATGGACCTACATTCTCTGATTAGCCTACCAACTATACATAGTGTAGGTAAGTGGGGGATGGCGAATGTGCGATTTTGACTTACAGAAGACCTATGGCATAGACGATGGAAACGCCGATCTTTTTCTCTCTTGTCAAGTGTAGACCCCAGATGATCTTTTGTGGAGCGATAAGGATGAAGAGGTCACAGACCACGTTGACGCTAGCTGTCGTCAAATCTAATGGGTTGCGATCGAAACATTTACCCGGAATGGTCTTGTCCCAGATTCTCGCAAACGGTATGCAGCTAAGGTTCCCAGCTATCTCAGAAGAGAAATAAAAGAGGAAGTTGAACAAGAGAATTCCATAGCAGGTCCACTACATTGAACATCAAGGTAGGCCAGGTAGTTAGCGATGATCAACTCGAGAATAACTACCAGGTATATGAAGAATGCGGGGGGAACCAGAGACTTGGGATACTAACGAAGAACACCCCACGAGTACCACGCGGAATAAACATTTGGACCCAGTCTATTAAGATAGCCGTTTTTAATAGAATTAAAACGATCGCGTAGAAATTGACAGCAAGTTGAACGATCTTTTCCTGTTAGTCGTACGAAACATGCCTAACGATACGATACGATGGCTGGAGTCTGGACTTACATAAATCATTCCCGACAGGTCGCGCACTAGGAAATTCCATTGATGGACAAACATTCCGGACGTTGCTGCAAAGCGATAGATGCAGTATGAATAGCCAATAAATGCGCCCTTTTGTATACCAAAGTAAGCAACATGCATTTCGGCAACGTAGGTAACTTAGAGATGAGGCAACTTACATATGAGAGAAGACCAATAGCTAACAAACAATCATAGAGACGTTAGGACAGAGGCGAGTTGAAAGACAGGGACAAAGTCTGAATCTCACCATCTTGAATCTGTGGGTTTTTCACAATCCAGATCTTCACATAAGCACGAAGGAAAACCGCAATTGTGACTATGGCCAAGCCAACCGTGACGACCGCTACAACAAGTCTGTTCATGTTCGGCGGATTCTCAAAGTTTGGCACCACATCTTTGCTAGGTGGAGCCAGCGCTGGGCCATTGAGAATGGGCTGTTGCTGTTCCGGTGGAAGAAGGGATAAAAAATCCAGAGCCGACGACATGATGCGTTTTTTCCTAGCGGGTTGGCCGATTTTCTTTTCGAGATGGGTGAAAAACGAGGAAAGGTCTTATGGTTAATGTCTTATGATCGGACATTATCTCCTCCTTCTCAAATACTTCTAATACTTGAACCGTACCTATGACTTATGCTTGGCTTAGCTTATTAAGTTTATGAGACCAAGTTGGATTTGGATGGTAGGAAGTGGTAGGTAGTATTCCATCGGGTTACAGTACAGGATTGGTCGATTGGTTGCACTGCAGGATTGACCTGCAGCCGGCCGGTTCCAGTATAATACGCATATCGTCTCGAAATCTCCTTGGGCTAACAAAACTCTAAGGCCCAGAACCTCCAAAGCCCTGGAACCCTGAGGTTAGGTTGCGTATTGGGTAAAAAGTAGATATATTACATTTTACTAAAAGGTCAGGTAACTAACTAAAAAAAGAATATAGCCTTGTTGGTTCCATGTGATTTTGGACGAGGGTAGCATTACCTACCTTTAACCAGCCTAGGTAACTCGTGTTGGCTTCAGCCGACAGCCAAGACCAGAGGAGTTGAAAAACGAAGGAATTAAAACCTCCCTGAAAGAAGAACTCGCCCATTTCAACTTCCAATTTATCATCATACCAACTCACATCTAACCCGAGAATCTTTGCAACTTAGAATCCTCGAATAATCGAAAATGGCGCAGTCCAAGACAGCTTCTACCGAAGCCGAAGTGCTCGATGTCCTCATCGTGGGAGCTGGAATCTCTGGAATCAACTGCGCATATCGCTTGCAAACCGAAACTCCTCATGTCAAATTTACTATCCTAGAAGGCCGCGACGAGATTGGCGGCACTTGGGATCTTTACCGTTACCCAGGCGTTCGCAACGACTCCTACATCTATTCCATAGCTTTCGAATGGCATCCCTTGCCCTTCCATAACCCAATTGCGACAGGAGAGCAGATTATGGACTATCTCAAGGATGCCGTATCTACGCACCATCTGGACAAGTATATCCGGTTCCGCCATAACGTCTTATCGGCGCACTGGTCCACGGAGACCAAAGACTGGACTATCACGGCCGTAAATCAGGACAAGGAAACTAAGACTTTCCGCGCTCGGTGGCTTATCCTAGGAACGGGATACTTCGATTACGATGATGTCTTCCATGCCGAGATACCTGGCATAGAAAACTTCAAGGGTAAGAACATTCAACGTGCCTAGTTCGAGCGTTTCGATCTAACCAGCGTATAGGAAAGGTTGTCCACCCGCAGTTTTGGCCGCAGGACTTGAATTATGAAAAGAAGAAAATCGCCCTCATTGGAAGCGGTGCTTCGGCTATTAGTATTCTGCCGGCGCTCACAGAGAAAGCCGGCGAAGTTACGATGATCCAGCGAAGCCCTACTTATATAACCCCCACCCCGAATGATTCGGCGTGGCTTCATAACTATTTCCCTCGGCCTCTCGTCGACTTGTACCGACGTATACGTTACCTTATCTCACCATACCTAATCGTCCTTCTGTGCCAATACTTTCCCGACTTCGTCAGGGAGGTGTTCCGTAAAGACGCGACCAAGCACCTCCCGCAGGGGTTTGACCATGACAAGCATTTCAAGCCGCGATACAATCCGTGGGTGCAGCGGATTTGCGTCGACCCCGACGGCGTCTTCTTCAAATCGTTCGGTCTGCCGCATGTACACCTCGTCACGGCCGAGATCGACACGGTGACGGAGAACGAGCTCAAGATGAAAGATGGCCAGACCGTGAAGGCCGATATCATCGTCAAGGCGACAGGTCTGAAGATGATGCTGGGGGGAAAGATCGAGATCCGAGTTGACAACGAGCCTATAACGTGGGGCAAGCATTACGTCTGGAACGGGTCTATGCTGGACTCGGTTCCGAACATGATGTTCGTATTCGGGTATTCGAACCACGCCTGGACCGTCGGAGCCGATAACACGGCGATGGTTCTGACGAGGCTTTTGAAGCACATGGAGAAGAAATCGATAAAGTCCGCGACACCTAAGATATCAAAGGATGCGACAACAGGCACACAGCGTATATGGGCTCTGGATGCCACGTACGTGAAAGCGGTAGAGGATGAGCTGCCTGTGTACGGCATGGCTGGTAGTTGGAGACCGAGGAACCGCCCGCCGATCGACTATGTGCATTCGCGATGGGGAAACTTTACGGACGGTCTGCAGTTTTCGACCTGAACCTCGACCTCGACCTTAACCTATCACAGGTAAGCTTGGGGATGTTGGTTGGTGTGTAGGTTATGTAGGGTGGATCTGTCTATTTTATTTTATCTTCAATGCTACGTTAAGTACCTTAGATGTCAGGTACCTAGGTAGTCTTAGTCCTAGTCTTAGGTAGTAATGCTATATATAGAGTGTGTATTTTCAGTTGTATTTTAGATTTCCAGTTTTATTATTATGCACATGTATTATCTGTCACTGCCTTACATGTTCCCATTCTCAAGGCCTGCATGGTGAATGACGCATAGTAGGCTGTAGCCCTCGGAATTATCTCAGCTTACGGACAATAGACATCGTATATTATGGGCCACAGCACGGACGGATGCTTTTCTGTATGCATACTCTTGTCATAACGAAGTAGCACTGCACCTGGGGCGTTCCGTTAAGCCGGTTAGCGTTATTCCGTGCCTGAATTGCAACCCTCCCTTGGCCAGGTGATAGTCTTCGCCTGCATGCCTACCTACCTACCTTAGGTAGCCCACTTAGGACCCCGTCTCGGCAATGGGCCTCCTACCTATATAGTAGGGTAGCTAATGCGTTGAAGGATTCTGTAGCATCTAGTGCCTTTGGGTAACCCCTCTAAGTCGAAATCCGCTTACAACTCTATATTCAGTTAGGCGTACGACAGTCACCGAACTTATAAACGGCATGTAGTTAGTATAAATCTTCTGTTGTTTCCGATACTCGAGGGGGAAGATCAGGTGCAGAGTCGTCGGGTCCTGGTCTGAGCATTGTAAACACAATTTGAATTTTGACATTTCTTCCGCAAAGCCGCCGCCATCATGTCTACTCCACATGTGACGATGTCCAATGGATCTTCGCATGATGTGGAGCCTATAGCAGTTATTGGAATGGGTATGGCTTCTAGTAGTTTTGAGTATAGACTTATACTAACAACCATCTATATAGGCTGTCGAATGCCAGGGAACGTTCGAAGCCCTTCGGACTTTTGGAACCTTCTGATATCCCGGGGTATCGCCAACACTCCAAAGGTTCCCGTGTCCCGTTTCAATATCGATGCATATCTACATCCAAGCAACGAACGCCCCGGAAGCTTTAATGTGCCAGGGGGCTATTTCATCGAAGGGAACCCTTACGACTTCAACCCGGGAATGTTCAACATATCCCCCGTCGAAGCTTCATGGATGGACCCTCAGCAACGATTATTACTAGAAGTCGTATATGAAGCCTTCGAGAATAGCGGAACTACCCTAGACGAGGTATCAGGTCAAAAGACCGGATGCTTTATAGGGTCATTTACGTTTGACTTTCAGCAGTCTATGGCAAAGGAGCCTGACTTTTTACATGCCTACTTCGCTATGGGCGCCGACCCTGGACTCCTTGGTAACCGGGTTAGTTATGTGTACAATTTAACAGGACCAAGGTAAGGTTATCTTCTCAATATCATAACTTTGAGGATGTAGAGTCTCTAACATATCTCTAGTCTAACCGTCAATACGGCATGTTCCTCGTCATTATATGCTTTAGATCTAGCATGCAAATCAATAGCTTCCGGGGAGTGCGATAGCGCTATCGTAGGCGGCACCAACCTGATTCTCGATGCCTGCCAACACATGTGTATCGCTAACATGGGTGTGCTTTCATCAACGAATACATGCCACACGTTTGATGCGTCTGCAGATGGTTACGGGCGAGCAGAGGGCGTGGGTGCTCTATATCTAAAGCCCCTGAGTGCGGCTATCAGAGATGGTGACCCTGTACGTGCTGTGATTCGAGCTACCGCAAGTGGCAGGTGAGTATTGCCTAAATCTGGGCTATTTAAAAGTAATAGGATGCTAACAGCTTTGCAGCAGCGGAAGGTGTAAGGACGGCTTGGCCCATCCTAGCGTCGAGGGACAGGTAGAAATAATCAAGACGGCGTATCGTCTGGCAAAGCTATCGCCCGAAGATACTACCTATGTTGAATGCCATGGCACAGGAACGCCAATTGGTGATCCCATAGAAGTAAAGGCTGTCCATGACGCCCTAGGGGTCAAATTGTCAAAATCAAATCCAATTCTCATTGGAAGTGTAAGTATTGGCTCCCTTTCCACCCCTACCTGACCCTTCGACTCTATTCGGAATATCATGATACCCGTACTGAGAATCAGCGTCTTAGGTCAAACCGAATGTCGGCCATAGCGAGGCAGCCAGCAGTATGGCGACCCTCATCAAAACAATAATGGCTCTAGAAATTGGCATTATCCCCCCAACGGCAGGGGTTAGTCAATTGAATCCAAGTAGTACGTTGGCTCCCCTTGTACATCCTAGACGTCAAAGCTAGAGTTATTGTGATCGTAATATCACAAGTATAATGCGCTTTCTAACAGTTCACCCGTACTGCTAGTTCCTTGGGAAGACTTCAACGTACAAGTTGCCACGGAGCCGACTCCATTCCCCGCGTCAAAGCCCATTCGTCGTATCAGCGTGAACGCGTTCGGCTATGGTGGTACAAATGCGCATGCCATTCTCGAAAGTGCAGAGTCGATGGCCCCCGGATACCGAACTCATAAGCTCATAAGCCAGGCATCGAAAGATGCTGGCGGACCCGAAACCCGCGACCCGAACGATGAACGCGCACATCTCCTCGTGTTCTCTGCACACGACGAAGCGACACTGAGGAATAATCTCGCCAATTACTCAAGTGGTTGCAATGATAAAAGTCTTTTAGATTTAGCATACACTCTTGGGGTCCGACGTACCAAGTTTTCCCACCGAGCATTTACAATCGCTCGTAAGGAGAGCCTTGGATCAGATATTACATCTGCTTCTGTCAATATTACCCAAGCACCATCGACACCAGCAGTAGCTGCCTTCGTATTTACAGGTATGAATCACCGTAGCACTAACACACGTACTAGGGACAATCTTGCTGATATATCTGAACTCGGTAGGGCAAGGTCCGCAATGGCCACGAATGGGAGCCTCGTTAATCGAGGCGTACCCATCCGTGTTACAGACGATCCAACGTCTTGATAGACACTTGAGCACTTTGGCGAAACCGCCGACCTGGAAAATCGAAACTATCATAACAACTCCAGAGGAAGAGAGTGTTATTAATGAGCCCGAATTCTCTCAGCCTATTTGCACAGCTGTGCAGATCGCTGTGGTTGACTTACTGAATAGTTGGGGCGTCAGACCAGTGGCTACGGTCGGGCATTCCTCCGGTAAGTTTACTTTAATGTCCAAAGAATACTTCCGTACCTGTTGATTGACTCCTGATAGGTGAAATGGCAGCAGCCTATGCTGCCGGGCTTGTGTCTGCCGAGAGCGCAATTGCCGCAGCTTATTATCGTGGAAAAGCGGTCGCTTCCTGTGCAAAGAATGGTGCTATGCTGGCTGTTGGACTGGGCGCGAACAGCGCGAAAGAGTACATCCAAAAGGCATCCGGCGAAGGCAAAATCAACATTGCATGTCACAACTCGCCCAATAATACCACATTAAGTGGCGACCGAGCTGCGCTCGAAGAACTCAAGCAGAATCTCGACGCCGAGGGTATCTTTAATCGCATGCTTCAGACGGGTGGAAACGCTTACCATTCATACCACATGAAGGATATTACCCCTATTTATGGCGAGTACCTCGACGCAGAGCCAATTCCATCCAGCAACTCAGAACCCAAGTGCTCTATGTTTTCTACTGTACAAGCGAAGGAGCTCACTGATCAAAACGGTAACATCCCAAGCTCGTGGAACTCTTACTGGGTTGAGAACCTTGCTAGCTCTGTACTGTTCCGCCAAGGTGTTCAGCTTATGCTGGATTCTAAGCCCGAAGTCAACGTCCTTATCGAAGTAGGACCCCATCCTGCCCTCTCAGGCCCTCTCAAGGAAATATTAAAAGCAGCAGGCCGGCCGCAGGTTACATATTTGTCAACGCTAAAGCGGAGGCAGCCTGATGTAGATCAGCTACTTCAGCTCGCTGGTAATCTTTGGTTGAACAATGCGAGTATCGATATGCGCCAAGTAACTGGCGTCGAAAGATTAACCAAGAGTGGCGCTATTGAAACACAGACAGGGCTGCTTTTAGTTGACCTTCCCGCCTACGATTGGGAACGTTCGAGATATCTATCAGAGCCTCGATTCAGCAAAGAGAGGCGCGAGGCCGGAGAGCCCCGCCACGACCTCCTTGGCCGGAAGATCGTTGGAACGTCCAGTCTCGAGCCAATTTGGCGAAACATCCTGCGCCAGCGAGACGTGCCCTGGTTATCTCACCATTCTATTGCTGGAGAGATTCTATTACCTGCTACAGCATACATAGCACTTGCCATCGAAGCCATCACGCAGCTGAATGCCCAACAGCAGCCACCCGTGGCTATTGAAAGTTATACGCTCCGTGATATTACTATTCATAGCGCGACGGTCATTCCGGACGATGACGAAGGCACGGAAACGATGCTCCGTTTACAGCCGACGGATAAGAAGTCTAAGACATCTGGTGAAAGCGGGAGCCGCCAGTGGTACCAGTTTACTGCTTCCTGCAACACATACGGGACCTGGAAGACCACTGCCGAGGGACGTATCTGCGTAAACCTCAAGGAGCAGGATGTAAGCAACGAATCCCAGGGTCTACGCAAAACTCGTTCAGAACCCGGGACGATACCTATCGAATACGACGAGTGGTTTTCGAAACTTCAGACACTCGGTATAAATCTGGGGTCCACATTCCATCGTCTTCACGACATATACGTGGATACCGAAACTTCCACGGTCTATGGAGGCATAGATATCTCCCAAAAGTGCGGCTTGATGGAAGCGGAGTCGCGCTATATATTGCATCCGGGTGTGATCGACGCGTGCCTACAGCCATACCACATGTCCCGCCACGAAGGCCGGATCGAGGACATGCGCTACGGTATGGTTCCAACGCACTTCGAAGAAGTGACCGTGTTCACTCCATCGGAAGAGAGCCTAGCCAACCCGTGCACTTTCAATTGCTTGGTTTCGCAACGCGGCATTCGAGCATGCCTGTCGAGTTCACAAATCTTTACCCACGAGGGCTCACTCCTCGTTGATATCTCGGGCTGTAGAACGGTCCAATATCACGGCAGCCTTTCGGATAAGATGTACAAGGAGCTGCAGCGTGACTTGTTTCTTCAGTGCGAATGGAAAGTCGATGTTGACTACCTGAAGTGGGCAAACGACGCCGGACTCTTTAACCAGAATTCCTTGGCCACCATCATCGATGCACTGCTTCATAAAGATATTACGACGAGAGTATTATGCCTCGATCATACCCTTGTACCATCCATCCTGGCTATGCATCCTGCTGCGGTCTTGACAGTCTTAGGTCCGGTTCCAAACGACACACTAGCCGCTCAGTATGTCGACGATGAGCGAATAGTGTCTGCCGAAATCGAGGCCTTACTCCTCGATGCTAAGAAGCCCAGCGGAGGGTTCGACCTTGTTATTGGTAATATCATAGATCAGACTGATATCCCTTTCCTAGAGCGTATCCGTAAGCTCGTCACCCCCAATGGCCGTCTCCTATTCAACGTTGAGAACAAGTCTTCGGAGGGATGGGACCGCGCTCTAAGAGACACCCAGTTCTCAGGTATCGAGCTCCTGTCACCCGATGGCACGTTGCTCACGACCGCGGTAGAATCTGCACCCAAAGTCAACGGGGTTAGCGTGAACGGGGTTGGCAGCCATGGAAACCTCACCCTTGTCTACCGCGACGCTCCCACGTCTCTTCTCTCGGTAGTATCCGAGAAGTTTTCCAGCGAGGGCTGGAATGTCCGCTCGCAAGCCATTACATCCCTCGACATTTCGCCACAGGAGCGGGTAATCCTGCTAGCAGATGCGGAAGGCCCTTTCCTCGCCGAATTAAACGAAGCCCAGTTGAAAGGACTGATAGATCTGAGCCAAAAGGCGTCCGTAATCAACTGGGTATCCTGTGGTGGTCTTCTCTCCGGAGACAAGCCGGAATTCGCCATGACAGAAGGCGCGGCGAGAGTCATTCGAAACGAAAGGGAATCGCTGGATCTCGTAACCATCGATTTCGACGTGGAAACCACCTCCGAGGCCCGCGTAGCCGAGCTGCTGGCGGACATCATAAGGCGGCAGTCCACTCGAGGTCAGAATGGAGAGACAGAATATTACGTGAAAGGGGGCGTGGTCTATGTTAACCGCCTTGCGTCGTGCCGAGACATCAACCGAGAATTTGTCCCCGATTCGGGAGAGACGAAAACCTTGCTACAGAAAGACCTCCCCGAAATTTGTGGTCGGTTTAACCACGGAAGACTCGAGTTCTATCGCGACCAGGAGCGTTTTGCGAAACCTCTGGGCGAAAACGAGGTGGAAGTCCACGTGGCATCGTTAGGTATAACTTCCGCGGACGGGACTGACGACGTGGCATTCTTGAATCACCAAATCGCCGGCACGGTAACTCGTGTTGGCTCGGGGGTTGCTGATACCAAGATATCTACCCGCGTATTTGGGTTTGCGCTCGATCATCTAGCGACCTTCCAACGAACCTCCTCTGCGCTTTTGCAAGATTTACCTCAAGGATGTTCTTTGCCAGAGGCTGCATCGCTTCCGTCTCCTTTTACCACGGCCCTTTACGGGTTAGAAGAGCTGGCAAGGATCGAACCGGGTGAGAATGTTGTCCTTATTGATAATATGGGTGACGTTACGCTGGCGGCGATACAGCTTTGTCAACTTCACCAAGCAAACACCATCGTGGTTACTTCGTCATCTGCTTCGCAGGAGCTGCTGCTTACCAAGGGTGGATTAACTCCCGCTCAAATCATCGATGGCCGTGAGGGAAGCATCTCACCCAAAGTAAAGAAAGCCACGGCAGGAAAAGGGATTGACGTTGTCTTATGTGCGGTAGGGACGAGCGACGAAGTTATTTCAGAGCTGGGCCACCACATGTCTTCGTTTGGCCGGATAGTCGCTTTCGGCACTGGCCAGAATGGGGATCCCAAGGTGCTGCGTCCGCCAACGAACAGGAAGAGCATAAACGTGTTTCAGTTCAACCTCACAGATCTCGTCCAAGAGAGGCCGCGCATCGTGGCAAGGTATGTTTCTTATCCAACCCTTTCCTGTATTGACATTTGAGTAACCGCATTATCTACAACAGGCTCTTGACCCGATGCGTAGACCTTTATACCCAGGGCAAAATCACAGGTCTAAATCCCACCCACGTAAGAAAACCTAGTGACTACAACGAGATTGTACGATCTGGTCTCAAAGATGTGGCGTCCGGAAGCCAGGTTATTTCATATGACGAAAGCGTATCATTTGAGGTAAGTGGTACCTATCCGCATAAGTATCAGAGCTACAGAACTAATCAGCGGAGCAACAGGTTGTCCCGACAAAGCGACCCCTGAAGTTGAAGCCCGATGTCACCTATTTCCTAGTGGGAGGTTTAGGTGGTATTGGACGAAGACTGGCCATCTGGATGGCCGACCAAGGGGCCAAGCACCTAGCCTTTATATCCAGGAGCGGCGCCACCCGGCCAGCCGCGGAAGAAACTATAAAGGCCCTGGAAGATCGGGGTGTCGATGTCTCGGTAGTACGCGGCGACGCCACGTCCCGCGAAGAACTAGCCGATGCGATTTCTCAGATCAACCGGGCATACCCGATCCGGGGCGTGGTAAATGCCGCCGGTGAGATTTTCGACGGTATGTTTGACAACATGACGTTTGATCGATGGCGCAAGACCGTCGATTCAAAGTACAAGGGCTGTCGGAACCTTCATGAGCTTCTAAAAGACCAGGAACTCGACTTTTTCGTCATAACGAGCTCCATCGCCGCTCTGCTCGGCTCCACGGGGCAAAGCAACTACAGCGCTGGTGAGTTTTGATTTCATTCCCCTTCCTATTTGGAGAAACATTTAACAGCGACATGGTTGACTAACACATGTATCCTATCTGCAGCCAACTCGTACCTCGATTCACTCGCTCGTCACCGCCGCGTGCGCGGCCTCCCAGCCGTCTCTTTAGACTTACCCGCCATCGACGGTTTCGGATACATCCACGAGCACTCCCTGGAGCAATCCGTGAAGATGCGGGGTCTATACAGCATAGACGAGAAGGAGCTCTTGGAAGCCTTCGAGATCGCCATGGCGCCCCAAAAGGAGCTTCCCCCGGACATCGACCACATCGCCGTGGGCCTGCAGCCGCGGCGCTTCGCGCGCTCGATGAAGATGTCGGGGGCGCACATCGGGCTGTCGGAGAACCCGTACTTCAACTGGCTAGCGGCGGTGATGGAGTCGTCGTCGCAGTCTGCAAAGACGGAGTCGAAGCTCGCGTCGGCGGGCAACTCGGAGAGCATCCTGAGCGTGATGCAGGCCGCGGCGTCCGAGGAGGAGGCCGTCGAAGCCGTTACCACGCACGTCACCCAGAGGCTGGCGCGGCTGCTGATGATTGAGGTGGGACGGATCCAGACGACGGAGCACTCGGTTGCGGAGTACGGCTTGGACAGCATGATCGGTGCCGAGTTCCGCAATTGGATATTCCGCGAGTTCGGCGTCGATATACCGTTCCAACAACTGCTTGCGAGCACCCTTACTTTGTCTAAGCTAGCACAGACCCTGTATGAGAAGGTTAACGAGGGAGGGAGTAGTTGATTACGAGTTATGATGTAGGGGCGAGACTACTTCCAAAGGACATGCCTTGAAGCATTGGGAGGGGGGGATGGAAGATCAAGTCAACAGTATTGAAGCGGCTACGCTCGATATCAATTCAAGCAAAGCCTACTATATGTCAATTGTACAGTAACATGATAATCCAATTCTTTGGTCGATCTTACATTTTTGCTTCTTATCCATCGTCTTGGTTAGTGATTATAGCATTGTTCTTCCATGTTCGGAAACTCTGGTAGAATTCAGTTGAATATAAATTACTCGACGTATCCGGTTATGCAATTTACTTTTTACAGCTCGGAGCATCCTGTCCAGTCATCGACTAATCGACACAGACGTTCCCATCATCATATCAAACAGTCAACACTTTCTTCAACATTCGATATTTGATAATCTAGAAGCAGTACCTATCATCGTTAAGATGTCGTTTGGTAACCGTTTTCGTCTTGCCTCCCCTGCTCATGCTGGGAGATGGCTTGCCACCTGTCGTTCGTCACATATCAGAGACGGGCCTTGGACGTCTTATTATGGCTGGATCTGTTGTAGAGACGGTACCCGAAACGGCGGCGGGGGCAGCTGTTTGGGGTGTGGACATCGCAGATGCCTATATTGCATCACTTAAGTCACAGTTAGTTTGAGTCCTAGCGGCTTGATTATACCGGACGCGAGGTTGATCCCATAGCGGCTCGTAATTCAAAGGCGTTGTTAAGTTGTACGATAGATAAGAAAAGAAAAGAGAAAGAAAAAAGGAAAAAGTTACCCCTTATAACTCCCCTTTAAAGCTTTGATTTTGTGCAATCAACTATGATTATGTGCATGTTGTATTAAAAGATGTTGAAAGACCACAATTGAATTGAATTGAGCCGCGTATCAAATAGATTAGGTAGGTACCTAGGTACTCGTACCTGACTCTCCATCCAGCCCTATCAAGAGAGCTACCTAGAAGAGCATCCGGTACGTAAGGTACTTCGAAAACGCGCTAGTTTAGGTACACAATTGTTTCAACTTACATAACATAATGCATTGTGCCAATTGTACCTAATCCGTTGTATAATAGGTAGGTACCTTAGCTGCTTAGGCAGGTAGGGGGTACAATACCTAGATGGGCCCCACATAGTACACAGCCCCGCGATTGCGGTTCACCTAGAAGCTTCTACTGTATTGTACGATACGAAAAGCTTCATCTTCTAGCTGGAATAAGTACCTATAACCTACCTGCAAGTGCGCTGCATTCCAATTGCCCCTGCGGCCGCAAACAGTTTTACATATTTTATTTTTTTCACGCCGTTGGTCTTTTCCTTAACTTTGTTTTCTCCTTAGAAAACTGCAATCAAAAGTCCTTCTTTCCCATCTTCACCTCTTCAAAACATCCCATCGCTTTACCCCACCAAAGCACCTTGTCACCGTCAACCAGCTCCAATCCTGTACCTACCTAATCTAAGTAACCTACCTAGGCAAGTTGCTTAATATAGCAATTCAATAAATCCCTTTACGCAGAATCAGAATTGTAAATATGGCGACCTCAGAAGAATCCAAGAAGCGTAGCTACGTCTTCTTCGACGTCACCATCGGCACCAAGCCTGCCGGTCGTATCACTTTCGAGCTATACAACGACGTCGTCCCCAAGACCGCCGAGAACTTCCGCGCGTTATGTACGGGCGAGAAGGGCGTCGGCAAGTCGGGAAAGCCCCTCCATTACAAGGGCAGCATCTTCCACCGTGTCATCAAGCAATTCATGATCCAGGGTGGTGACTTTACCGCTGGCGACGGAACCGGCGGCGAGAGTATATACGGCGAAAAGTTCGAGGATGAAAACTTCGAGCTCAAGCACGAGCGTCCATTCTTGCTTAGCATGGCCAATGCTGGCCCTGGTAAGTTTTATAACCCTTTCCTTTCTTCATATACGAGTTGCTTTAGGAAGCTCTAGGCTTACAATTATTCCTTTTCTTTTTATATAGGCACCAACGGCTCTCAATTCTTCATTACGACCGTCCCTACACCACACCTCGACGGAAAGCACGTTGTATTCGGTGAAGTCAAGTCAGGAAAGTCGGTGGTAAGGCAAATTGAGAACCTGCGCACCAACAACGACAAGCCCGTGAAGGACGCCGTGATCGCGGACTGCGGTGAGCTCTCCGGCGCCGCCGCGCTGGTATCCGACGTTAAGGCCCCGGATGCCTACGGCGACCAGTACGAGGACTTCCCCGAGGACGAGGCCGATCAGCCGCTCTCGGCCTCGCGCGTGCTCCAGATCGCCTCCGACTGCAAGGATTTCGGCAACAAGGCGTTCAAGGCCGGCGACGTGCTCGGCGGCCTCGAGAAGTACCAGAAGGGCCTACGCTACCTCAACGAGGAGCCCGAGGTCAAGGACGACGAGAAGGACTTGCGCCAGAAGCTCGACGCCCTGCGCTTCACCCTCAACTGCAACTCGGCACTGCTTAACCTGAAGCTCGAGGCCTGGGACGAGGCGCAGCGCACCGCCAAGGCCGCTCTCGACGTCTCGGGCGTTTCCGACGCGGAGCGTGCCAAGGCGCTGTACCGCCAGGGCCTGGCGCTCGTCAAATTAAAGGACGAGGACGCGGCCCTCGCGGCCCTCGAGCAGGCTAAGAAACTGGTCCCCAACGACGCTGCTATTACAAAGGAGCTAGAGGCGGTTAAGAAGCAAGCTGCTGCTCGCCTAGCTAAGGAGAAAGCTGCGTACAAGAAGTTCTTCTCGTGATTTTGTTAGCGGTTCTATACTATCCCACGAGCACAGAGCGATGGAAGGACAGTTCGCGAAGCTTAAAGCAAGCCAAATACCGCAAGTACCAAGGATAAAAGAGATGTGGTGATGATAACGCATTACAAGTGATACCTGGTGGAGTACTTTAACGACTTTTCTGCCCTTGACAATGGTCTCGAAGTTGGCTTAGGGCAAGGAATTAGGAGTGAGTAAAGCGAACAAACAAAGAGAAAGAAGAAGAAAAAAAAAGTCTTAAAAGTAATATCATGATCTGGAGGTATAAAGGACAAGGGGCGTTGATTAGGCATTCGATTGAACATTTGTCTCTTCCTACGTCTCTAGGTACCCCCCTTTGGTGTTTGTATGTTCATAGAGGAAGGAATATATCTTCTCAGACACATACCGTTGAGCCAAAAAGGAATTTATTGATTATGAGCACAATTGCTATAACAGTCTATCTGACTTATAAGTGGTACACTCATAATCTTTTGTTTACTACTGATGTTTCGTGTTTGGTGGGAGCAAATGCCTACAAGCATAATTATTAATCTAAGGTTAGATTTCCCAGCATGAAAGGGCAAATATAAGCTTAGGTATAAGTGGTTATGGACTATCAAACACAGATAAAGAATTGTCATAGTTTAACTTTCATAGCCAACACTAGGTTATTTACAAGTAACCTCTTACACGACCGGCAAGTGTTATGACTTCCAATTTAGCTGTAACTATGCGTATTCAGTACAGAAGCCAATGGTTGAACATCACACATATTTTCTCACAGTACTTGAGCTATCATATAGGACTCCTTTATCGAAACACGTCTCTGCTGATTCATGCTGTTTGCTAAACACATCTGATGAAAACTACAGACACGGCATGATAGGGGGTATATAATATAGCCTCTGATACGATAATGATGCGATATACTGGCAGTCGAGTTTTCCGCTGTGCTCTTGCCCCGGCTTTGCTTCTGCTCTGCTTCTCTCATGTAAAATCAACACCTATGTAATGTAGTAAAAAAGATAACAAAGTGAAAAAAAGGGGGGCTTAAAAAACCCGACCCCCCCGATCAAAGAATAGGCCTCTCCCGAAAGTCTTTTTTCTTCTACCAAGCCTACCAAGCCCGCTTGAAAATGCAGAATCAAAACTCTTTTCCTATCAAGAGTAGCGGAAAAAAAGAAAAACATTCAAGTCCGAACGAGTCCACGTTAGATAATTCTTTGTGACGAAGCCGCCCTTTAGAGCTCCTACATTCTAAACTTTTTCTAGTAAGAAGTCCGTTACGGTAGCCCGATAATACTCCCCAGCTGGCTTGCTTCGTCACAATCCCAATAGTTCAGCTAGTCTCTTCGCTCCTAGAGGGGATGGCCGCTTCGCCAGCCGGGTCCGAAAACGCCCCAGACCCTCTTGCAATCGATTTCGTGATTTGGTGTATGGGTATCGTTTCGGGGAATTAAGACATAACTAGTGCCTTGAGCTGTTGTCGCTCTGCCAGGATTCCGAGAAGCTGCTTAGAATGCCTCTACCAGTCTTCTCCTCCCTTTCTCTATTTCTCTCCTGTCCTGTCGATGAGCCGGCTAGCTCCTTTTCCCTTTCTCTCTCCCTCTCCTTTTCTCTCTCCTTGTCCTTCTTTTTGTCCTTATCTCTCTTGCCGCTTATTAGGCTATGTAGAAAGCTGCGAGGATTCTTCCCATGCTTCGCCCGTATGGTACCCGAATTTGACATCTCTGTATTATCGGACCCGTAACGAAAAGCCTTGCCTTCTTTCGCATGCGCCCGGAATGCTTGACGGTCACAACCATCTGGCTCGCTCCCAGACGAACCTGGGGGGCGGTAAGAGTCGTTCTCGGACCAAGGGGGAGGGTTCCCATATGCCACGTTAACTGCATCCAAAAGGGATGTCCTTTCCATAACCTCTGCCAGTTCGTCCGTGTCCACTGATTCATTCTCCGACGCACGAAGTGCTTCGACTCTAGCAAGGCATTCGTCAGAGCGTCTTTGAAGATCTAAGCATATTATATGGAATTCCGCCAGCTCGGCATCGAAATCGGCAGGATCGGTAAGTGCAGATTTATGGCTGGATTCAAGCCAAAGTTTGACTAAGGCTGCGAAATTCCTGGGATGATCGATAAGGTATGGTAGAGAGGGGAATCCTTCCCTCGATATTGGAGATAGGCGGCCGAGGATTGTGATGGGAGTCGAGTATGAAGCTGGGACAGCATAGAGGTTACGCTCAGTCGGTATCGAACATGTCTGGTCTATGTAATCTTTGAAAGGTTGCCTATGAATGCCTAAAAATTTGTTCATAGGCTCCATCCAGCTTTCTTTCTTGCCGAACGTGGATAAGTTTGCTAGAGCCTGGAGCCCTTTCGCTATAAGGGTTAGTGTACGTTGGGCTTGAGCTCTTGGATTGTCCCGCAAGAGTCCGAAGAGTTTAGGATTTAAGATCGCTGGGCAGATAAACCGAAGGAACAAGAATCCCGAGACGCTTGTGTAGGTAACGGTACGAAGAAAGTCGCCGTAGCGATCTTCCGCGACAGCTCGAACGTACTTGAGGATTTGTCGGAGTTCAAACGGTAGCTTCGTTGCGGAATCAGCTATACACTCCCACACCTCCGTCGTCAGTTGTACCAAGAGGGTCCAGTGTTGTTGCAACTCATCGCTATGGTGGATTCTGCTCGGATCTACCTCGCAATCCGGATTCAACTCATTGATTTCGAAGATCTTTTCTGCCAATATCTCCTCTAAAAATTCTTTTCCAAGCCGGCGCATGTGAAATTCCAAAGCTTGAGTGAGCAGAGAGTTGCCACGAAAAAGTAGATTGGCCTCGCCGGCTAAGGTCTTCATGTCGCGGACGAGCATGTCCCTGTCGCCCGAGTTTGCGGAATCAGTCGACTTCAGTCGTCGGCTGAAGCGCAGCCTCTTCATATTGTTCTGGCTTCCAATCCCGTCTATCTCTTCTTCGACAAGAGCCATAAGCCATTCGCTGGTAGTTCCTGACACTTGGTAGATATTTAAGAGTAGCTCTGCAAGCCGTCGCATGGCGGAGGGTATAGCTAGGGCAATTTGACTCGTCAGCCCGACGCTGAACTTGTGAAGAAGTTCAGATAACGGCTCATAATCCTTCGTTCCGAGGACCACCAGCTCATCGTGATTAACTTTGACAAACATGCTCCCAATACTATCTTGCTTCTCATCATAGACTTGAAACCATTGCTCATGATCCTTTGCGCGTTCCAACTTTTCCAAGGGTATATCCACCGCTCCGCATATAACTTCTGTCAAATCAATCGTCTTAGGCACACCTAAACTCGCTTGTAGCTGATGACTCAAACTTTCCAGATTTCCATCAAGTCGCTTTAGAATAATAGATAAATACGGTAATGTGCTGGGTAATTCAGTAAACTGGGCAAACTCTCGCCAGAACGGGTTCTTTGTGTCGGTCTGGGTCGTTGTTCGGGATCGAATTTCGCCATCTAAAATCACCTCGGCAAGGTAATTCCCGGTCAAAGGATCTCGCTCTTTAGAATGGCGGTCGTGATGCTCTGGACCTGGGGTTGCTTTTCTTATTTTCGCTTCGGTAACTCTGATTTGTATGGTTTTCTCTAAGCGAAATAGCTGCCCTTGAAAATCATTCATGAAGTCTTGTATTTCTATTACCTGGTCTGTAGATGCTTCAAGACCGTATAAATCAGGTACGGCAAATGCCCGTAGGAGCACAAACCAGACCTCAAAGAGGACCCTAGAGTCGAGAGCAAGATACACAGGCCGGAATATCGAAAGCTGCTTGGCTGTGGATGCGTACGTCGGGAAGATCGCAATGCAATATTCTTCGTCTAAGACAGATCTGTCTAGTTGTTGTATCGCACAGCGAGAAAGCTGTGGTAGCTCAATTACCGAAAGTACCGCTACATCATTCTCTGTCATCAGTTTGAATTCACCATTATCTTGCAAGATGCAAGACACCTTCCTCCACGCTGTCAAGCCTGAACGGAGATCTCGGGTAGATGACCGTTTCACGATTGCGCGTGGTGACGTAGCGGTGCCTTTGTCCCACAGCATCACCTTGCCGACCTTGATGATGGCCGCATCCTTAGAGGACGAGCCGCCTACGGCCAGAGATCCTCGCCTTTTCATTTCCGGTCGAGCGGACCCGGGTGAACTCGTACTTCTGCCGTTAGCAAATCTCACGATACTGGGGCGGAGTTGTTGCCAGCAAAGAAGACTGGCAAGCCACCAGTCAAAATCTGCGGGTGAAAGAGGTCGTAAGAAGAGTTCCACGCCCATCTTATTGTTTAGAATTTCCAAGCATGTCCCTTTGTTGTCCAAACCGTCAACAGGTACAACCCGGCACCCCCGAAGGTCGGTAACTAAAGCAGTAGGAAGCTGCCCAGTGAGACCGGAGTCACAATATAAACTACCTCTGTCTTCGTCGATCCAGGCTGTTCCACAGTGCCAGAGACCGTTCATCTCGGCCTGATACTCGATTTCGCCTTTCATGCGACCGGCCGAGGCCTTCATTAAATAGAGGATTTTATTCGCATTGTTCGTAGGAATCGGAAGAGGTAGTGAATCAACAGAAGGTGGTGGTGATACTAGGGGAGACGTAGGACGAGAAGAACCGCGTTTTATTAGGCGCCGGTTAGAAGATTTTTTATCTTTGTTGGATGATAGGGTGATTTTTAGATCCGGGGGCCTGGTTTGTGCGACGGATGGATAGCCAACTGACTCAAGCACGGTCGGCGGGGGACGAACCTCAATATCTGCAACTACCTGGGAGCCTGATGACGAGAAAGACCCTACTCGATGTCGGCTATCAGAAGCAGACGTGGTTTGCTGTCGCAGTGCTATCGCACCATCCATAGTATGCGTGCGTGGTCTAAGAACTGCCTTTTGACTCTGCGATGGCAGACTCGAGGAGATACTGTCCAAAGATTCGCTATACGCTTCATTAAATACGGCACCCTGTCTCCTTTCTCCGCTGGGTATAGATCTTGGTGAGCTGTGTTGGGGCGAAGTGCTACCAGATCCCTGCGTCGCTTGTGCGATGGAATTCGCGTCCGCGGCCTCGCCGTTTTCGCCTCCCTCAGGCGTAATTGTCCGAATACTATTGCCCTGCATGTTGACATTGGATCCCAAACTTGTACGCGCATCACTTCTTATTGCCCATTCCGCACCTGGTGGGAGTGTGTCACCCACGGTAGCCAACGCCCAGTCTGAGAGGTTGTCGATGTGATGAAGATCGTTTTGCGTATTCCCTCCTGGCGGCGGCGGCGGGGAGGCACCGCGAATATGTCGTTTCGAAGGCATAAATATTGAGAGATCACGGCATCGAGCGCTGGACAGGCGCGGCGCAGATGGAAAAAATTGATGTTGTGCCTTGCAGTTACACGTATTATCGCGGCAGCCATCCACCTCTTTCAACAACGGGATTATGCGAGTCTGATTTGCATGAAAATGCCGTCTGTCATAAGTCGCTAACGGATGTTATTTCGTTTACAAGCTGCCATCGGGGGATGGGCATTCTTGATGAATAATGTGGATTGTCGAAATGCTATGTAGGTCCGGTTAGGTGGATCGGCGCATGATAAGACAAAGTACGCAAATTTGAGTCGAATATCTGCGCCGTGGATTTGGCAAGAGATTCGGTAGGTGAATGTTTTCCCTTTCCTGCAGATATTATCATAATATCGTGTACCTACCTTCAGAGTTTCCGTCCAGTGGCACGCATACGGCACGTGGAGTATTAAGCGTCAGGGATTACAGCAACCGGTAAGCTTTTAGGAATTGCTAGTTGAGGTGTGGGCGAGAAGTCGAGTGGTTCAAAGCTGGCCGTCTGCCGGGCTCGGCTCGCATTAGAGGACGGTCAGGAGGGCACAGCAGAGGGTGCTGTGTGTTGTTCTACTCGTTCGTTAGGTGGCCAGGGCTATGCAGGAAGAGCAGGCCGGCTTTGGGTTCTATGGGTTCTGGAGCTTCTGGATTTGCACAGCAAAGGTCGGAGTATTATCTGCAGGACCACAGCTTGTTCTGAACCATTGGCGAACGACGATTGGGTCCCCGGTCCAGGTTCAGGGTCGAGAGGGGCGAGACGGCAAGCTACCGGTCAGGTAATTTGGTGGGGAGAGGAGGGTGCGACGACAAATAGGGAAGAGGTATTGCCGTTAAGGAATAGCTCTAATTAAACCACGTAGAAAATGAATGTCTCAGATGTAAATTGCGGGCAAAAGGGTACCTATAGTTTAGGTACTGTAGAAGAAAAAGGTATGTAAATGGGGCTGAAGAGGATCCTATTTTGTTATTTTATTTTATTTTATTTTTTGAGTTGAAAAGGAAAGCGGTCATAGCAAGATGCTAAGATGAACAAAGTGAATACTTACTTCCTAAAGGTAATGTTCTAAGCTTCCATGTTCCTTCCTTCGCTTGATTTACCAGTAAAAAGTGGTAAGGGAGGAAATGCCTATAAGAACAATACAATACCTATAATATAGAAGGTTACCTAAGGTACCTAGACCTAACATAAGGTTACTGCCATTGCAGGTGCAGCATTGCAGCATTGCAGCAGGTGCGCTTACCTCTACACGGTCTTCCACCCCTCCCGGGGCCGCTGTCATGACCGCCTTATTTACCTTAGAGAAGCTTAGATCCAAAAAGTTAATTGCACTTACCAGGACCCCAGGGAGCTAAATAACCTAAGAACCCTAGAGTTACACTAGCTAGTCCCCCTTGTCAAAACCCAGCAGCGGCCGCTATCATTGGTCTTAACTATTAGTCGACCTGGTTTTGACTCTTACAGGTATGTAACCATCTATCTCGTCACGCTACTACTTGAAGGTTAAGAGATTTCCATCTTTAGTCGATTGTGACTTGTTACTATCGATTAGAAATTAGGACGGGCTGGACAGGCTGGACAGGCTGGGGACAGGCTGGACAGGGAACATACCGCTAAATGTTTACGCCAACGAAGCATTATGGAACTCGTACATGGGTGACGGGACCTGTCTAACCGATCCCAGTTCGAACCTTCATACCTAATCTGTAACCTGGTTGTCCTGGCTGTCCTTGCTGTCCTGTTTTGTCCCACCGATTGTTTTCTAATGTTGATAGGTCCAGCCGAGGGGACCAAGTCCTCTGAAAGTAGCTTAATACTACCGGGGATTGTACCTAGGTAGGTAAGGATGAATGGAAACACTTCCTTATTAGTTGTTAAACATCCGAACGTTCATCATCCATAATACCTACCAAGTATCTACCTAACCTAACCAAACAAAGCAATCTTAGCAGGTTATCGGAAGCGAGATATCGCGAGGGCAGAGAGCAGAGAGCACAGTAATTACCTAGGTAATACCTCATATCAATCATCCGATATATACCTACCTACCGAGGCAGCCTGGTTCGCGCTGGTAGAATCCGTGACTTGGAAGCTACAGGACGGTGGACGCCCCGGCGGTATACACTACTACCACCATTGGCCTGAGCGTTTGCTAACAAGGCTCACATAATTAGTGACACGGACTAAGACGACCTCGAAATCAATTTGATAAGCAATTATTGGAGGTGTAAATAGACGATTCGCTCAGAGCCGTTGAGCCCCCACACCTCAGACCGTCATAGGAAATTCCAATGTACTATTTGGACATCCGGACGTTCTTGTCTTAAACCTCGACATCTTAGTCAGTCAGTAGGTAGTAAACAAGGTGACTAGGTATTGACTCTAAACGAGGCTACACAACATGCCCAGTGGGATATGAACTAGGTACAAATCTCCCCCAAGACGCGAATTTGGGAACGAAACGCAGGCTTCTCGTTATTCATATTTGGTTGACGAACCTATCACCGGAGCCGAAGCCTTGCGTTTGGCGTGACTAAAAAATGTCACCGAATTCTCTTCTGCGCCCTGAGGCGCCCGCAGCCTGCTGTCTTGTGTTGCCCGTATCCAGATTCCCGGATCGCCTGCGTTGGTTCCATGAAACTTCGATGCCCGATGCCCACACCATGCATACAGTTCCATATTCGGGGCCTGTAATATATGTACATACGGTTACATATCTCCTGCATATAATATACTATAATATAGTATAATATATAACATGCATACCTACCTACCTATCTAGTTACCTAATAATATAATAACTAATATACATAAGTTCCCATTCGACTTTTGATGCTGTGGAGAACGACTCGAGCAGGATTGGCTTTTATTACGAGAACGGAAATTGTTCTGAACATTCTCGAACGATTGTGACAAGCATATGAGGGGGCACATGGTATCCCGTGAAGTTTAAAGTGGGAAAAGCTACGAAAAGCTACGAAAACCTTCTGGGAAATATGAAATATACGAAATCCACTTGGATTATTAGCTTGGACGCTACTACGTACATAGTAGCCTAAGGACAAAATTTCAAATGGTCCGTTCCGCAGCGATCGGCCGAAACGGTGGTTTTCCAAGGATACCTATTCAAAGGGATCCATTGTTTATAATGCAACATATATTGTCCTTGATGTGTGATGTGTTGCTTGTTGACGCTTTGCTGATCTCCCGTTGGCGTCTTTCGATTTCCGCGTTTTCTCGAAGGAGACGAAAACCGAGCGAGCTTCAGCAGCTGGGCATGTACCACGAGCAAAGTTCGAATTGCAGAATTGGCCGCCGCGAAGGTCATGTACGTATGAGGCAATGTATTATGACCGATGTCCACTGTATGTAGGTATGTAGGAGGTATGTAGTGTAATTGTATTACACATGTCTGCCAAAGTTACGGTGTCTTTCCCCGCTGTTCCATGTCTTGTCTCGTCTCCCTATTCTTCGCTTAGCCCGAACCTCAACAAGAGCCCGGAAGACGCAATTGGCCCAAGAGCGCAGGCAACCATTAAAAGCTGCCGTCCAAACTCAAAGCAGCGGTAGCGACGAAAGAAAGAAACAACAACAACAAGTCAGGGAAAAAGGTGAAGAAGATCCGGGGAGTGACCCATTTATGAAACATTCGATTTATGTTCTTTCATAGTGTAATCTTTCCTACCTCATTACAGGTAGCAGGGAATAAAGTCGTGAAACAAGATTATGTTGGGTACGAGACAGGACATCAGTCACAAGACCTCTCGGCTTTTGCGAATGAATCCCCACACAACCGTGAAGGAGACTAGGCTGCTGGACTCTGTACATAGTAAAGTGCTCGAAGGAATGAGAGCCTTGTCGACAAAAGCTTACGCAATGCAGGTCCCAGGACCAATGCAATATACTAATAAGCATGTAAATGTCCCCCGACAAGTGGTTTGGACGGGATCCTATTCGATATCCAAATTAGGCAATATCTCGTACAAGCGCGTCCTGTCCGTGACGTATTTCAACAGCTCAATTCACTATGGGTCGGTACACATATCAGGTTAGGTACCTTAAGTTGCCAATCAGCCCTACCCAAAAGACACCTTCAGACCTACAATAAGCGGGTGAAGGGAAGCTGTAAAGAGGCGGTCTCCCCGACCCAGCGGCACGGAACGTCCACACCCTCAGTTATGCTTCATAAGATGAGAGGGTATTGATGAGATAGCCATTTAGGTACTAACATATTGGACAGACATCCGGGGCCTCGAAGTTGCAGTTGTATTGTACCTCTCCTTATATCCGCTTAATTATCCAGCGTCCTAGTCTCCCTAGCCCCGGCAGTACACACGTCTGTGTGATTGGATATCGAGTTTCTATATATATACCTGTGACTCGATGGCTGGGTTTATGAGCTTCTGGCCGACTAAAAATCATGCAAGGACGCCGTAACCTGTAAGGTCCTATGCACGGAGAGCTGGTACGGCCTGACAAACAAAACACACCTCGAGAATGTTAAAGCGGCGGTAAACTTCATTGAGGACAAGGGGTTCCATGAAACAATCCAGAGCAGGTTTATACTATGTACAACTTCATCCCATCTCTTGCTATTTTCTGCGGTATGCTCGAAAAGGGGAATAGAGCTCGGGATATCAAAGCGAACAAAAACCCCTCCTGTCATCTCCCTGCATCACTCGTCCTGAATTGAATAATCCATGACTACAAAGGTAGGTACCTAGATACCTAGCTCTCACATCACCGCCCTGCCCCCCCCTTAAAAGCCTACCAAGCAGATTCTGCTGGCACAAACACGAGAAACGACTTGTCAAGAATGGTATCACCTTTTCTTATGCGGCTCGTAAGAAATAGAAAAAAAAATAACACCCTTGCCCTAAAACCGCATATCTGCCAACTCCGTTTGCCCAAACTCTGCCTCCGCCTCTGTCGTCCCTGAAAAAAAAGTATCAAACGGTATCCATGAGCTGCAGTTCCAAAAAAGAAATCAAGGTATAGCTAAACGCGTCCAAAAAAAATCGAAGTCTGCGGAGAAGAGTCGCAGCTTTTAAATATATCGCCGTCTCTTGATTTGCTGTCATTCAAGTTGAGGATAAATAAGTGTGCATAGATATGCCCCCCTCGCTTGTTTAGCGCGAGGGGCCCTCAACCGGACTCACGGGAAGACTCCGAGCAATGCTGAGATCGGTGCTACCGGTACGTCTCAGCGCTTGCGACATGGTCTCTATGTTGAGATCTCCGTTCACTGAAAGGCTGTGCTCCACAGATGTAGGACTTCCAAGGGGTTTCCGAACAGGTGACATGCTCAGCCCTTTAATAGAACCCGAAATGCTGTTTGGTGGCGAGGTTTCTGGTCCCTGAGAAGACACAGGTGATCTTATCGGGGAGGGGGAACGGTTCACTCCTCTCGATCCAATAGAGGTCAAGCCAGCAAGATGCATGGAATCTCGGCTGCTATTCGGAGGTACCTGTTCTGCCTGGACCACATCCGCAAATGAGATAAAGCTGAGACGCCTGACATCAGCCGAGTCGAGCGACCCGTAGTTTGAGGCAGCTTCTTCCTTGTCAGAAAAAGCAGCAAGATCCTCAGCCCATGAATTAGACGAGGTTTCGTATTGAGAAGCACCAGTCACAGTTACACTGGCAGGTTGGTGCGCATTATGGGTAACGATCTCGACAGAGTCAGGGTTGAGGTGTTCGTCGGTGATGGCTTCGGACGATGCGTCGAGAACAGGTGGGATATAGTTTTCGGTCTGAATATGGGATGGGATGGCTGGCGAATTAGGTATAACAGCGGCGCTTTCTTGAACGTCTCGCTCAAAGATTTGAGAGCCTGCAGGAGAGCTTAAACGTGGCGACGACGAATACAATCCCCTACTAGGCGACGACGGTGTTATGTTTGGACTACCAGTTCGGTTTGGCGAACTAGTCACCGAACGTTTCGCAGGCGTGGGAGGCACATCCCTCGCAGATGGCGAATTCGGTAGTCCCGAAGTGGGTTGAGGGGAAGGTTTAGCACCAGGCTTAGTATCGCCCTTCTTCTTCCCGAAACCAAACAAACTTCTCTTCTTCGTCTTTGGATCCGTCTTGTTCGAATCGCTTTCCATTTCCTTCTCGTTGTTATCTGTGATAGTTGAAGTTGAATCACTCTTAGTATTCCGATTCGTTTCTTTCAATTCAGGAGTTGAATCCTTTTCTCTGCTGGATTTTATAGAAACTGCTGGTGCGAGACTCATCGTGGTTTAGAATGGGGTGATTAACGGGTAACCCTGGATGAGTGATATTTAATTCTGGAAGATGCCAAGACAGCCGTTAGCACGAGACCAAAAAGAAAATGACGGAACCAACGGCGACGGAGCGTAATGCCAAAATAGAAAACGCCCGATTTCTAGTTGAGAATAGTGTGAGGTTATCGAAGTTGTTGTTTTTATTGTTGTTATTGTTATTGCAACTTGCATGGGGACAAAACCTGCGTTTGGTAGGATTAAATGGGGGAGGCAGTTATGACTCGACCAGAGAGTGAAGATGAGAAACCCCAATCTGTCATTCTCGCATAGGTATAATAAATTGTCGGGGTAGTTTAATATATTAGGTAGATTTCAGTAAACTGCCACTTACCCTCTCTGTCGGTCCACTCCGCTAGCTACTAAGTGGAAATTGATCCAAGTTCGATCAGGCGAAATTCAGTGCTTTCTTTCTCGTTTCTGTAGACGAACCTATGGAAGAAGGGTCTGCGTCTGCGTCTGCGTCTGCGTGTTCTAGCCTGCCCTATCACTTGTTCCTGCTGGTTGTCGTTGGTGTGGCTGCAACTATGGGGATGTGGTTGCAGATGTAGGTATAAGTGGAAAGGGTGAAATCTGGTACAGCACGATGCAAGAGGATGCAAGTATGTAATTTGGGGTAGGAAGCCTTGCGAGACCCTGTTGACGATCGCTTTTTGTCCCAATACGTAACAACTAAATCAGGGCGACCAGGGAGAAGGTGAGGCAGGTGACAAGCAGCGACGATCAGCAATTTGCTTGTGTGGATTGATGACGCTGATGGAGCGTGGCTAATAGGTTGGTCTTTTAGTACCGTGTCTTTCTAGAAGGGTGAATTGTCACGGAATACCAAGGTAGGTAAGACAACGATAACGAAGGGATCAGTTTGGTATAAGTGCCTGGCCTGCTTTGAGTAAATTAAGTATGCTGGTAAAAACAGGTACCTTACCCCAGGTACAATACAGTCATCTAGGATCATGGGACAGGTTGCCGGTCATTAATTGTACCCGAGAGTATCAGCCTTGAGGCAGAGACAAGAGAGGGGTGATAAGTAAAGGCGGAAAAGGAAGAAGATAAAGTGAAAAAAAAAAAAATAAAGAGTAACCATGTGCTAAGGCGGGATGCCAATTAATAGTAATAGAGCTTTAGTTCTGCAAGTTTTTTTCTCCTCTTACTCGTCACGATCAAGGTTCACAGGTCACAGCCATCAGATTATTATGCTTGCTTGCTTTTTTTTTTTTTTTTCTTCACGCAAGCAAGCTTTGTGCTGATATGCTGGGGGGACCACTTGGCGTACCCAAAAAGTTCGTGAGTGCATGCGTTTGCGAATGTAACCGTCAGACACAACAAGATTAATACAGCTAGGGGAAGATGATAAGAAAAAAAAAATCTTACTTTGATGCTAGAAACCTAGGCGTAATATGGCGGTATCACGTAAACATAAGTGAATTCAGAAACACGAGAGGGGATATTAGGGATGGCCAGTTTCTGGACTATTCTGCTCATCAGGTTCTAAAAAAAGGGGGGGCTGCAACAGGCAACGTCACTTATGGTGACAGAATCCAATGATCGTTAAGGATTTTGAATGAGCTAGGATAAGGGATAAGGGAATGCCCCTCAGATGCGCGACCTTCGATCGTTTTTCCTAGGCCCGATTTCTTAACCTTGTTAAGGCGCTCGCGCTCGATCCTGTTCTTTTATCTTAAGAGGTCTGGAGGTATGGATGATTGTGATTCTGATCATGGACATGGGCATGATAAAACCCCTCGCGACGAAACTGGTGATGAACCCGAACAAGTCTCGAAGGGGGAAAGATAGAAACTCTCCATTGGGCCTTTTACACTCCCGTAACTTGTCGCATTAAAGTCAATGCAATCCCACAGGCTGAAAATAGGCGAATAGACCAGTTGAGACAAATCTCGGCCTAACAGCAATACATAGTATAGTAATGCTGACAACTGAACCTGGACTGGACAAGATTCTGTAGAACATACCGCCATGATCCGTCGTTCTGAATCCAGATCGGGAAATATCAGATATGTGCCTCGAGTAGCTACACGCTTAGAGTAGTACCATCGACGCCATATCTTGCAAATGCTCGAACAGAAGCAAACACCTAGGCCTACGGGGACCTACAAGAGAGCAAAGACTCAGATTGAGACGAAGATAACGATGATTGCGTACCTCTGAGGGCACCAATCAAGCCTGTAGGCTGAAATCAATTGGACAAATCTGGCGAGATCGATGGTCTGGGCCGTCTGGCACATGAAACCTTTCCAAAGGCTGGAACTGGATCTAACGTGGGTACGTCACTTTTTTTTCGTAGGAGGGGTTTTTGTCAGGCCAAACCTGTCCAAGGTTGTAAATATTTGCGTACCTGTGTACATGACTCAGCACACGGACCATGTGATAGGTACGGTACCTAATCTTATATAATGGCACACTAGATCGTACCTGGGTAGCTATGGCCACGTGACCTGGTGCCCCTCGGCCCGCTGGATGCTCCGACAAAATTTCACTTGCAACCCTTTGCCCGAAGTTCCATATCAACTGATTTGATAGAAGAACTCGAGGGCCACTTCCGGAGGAGAGGGGAAAAAAGGAAAAGAAAGACAGCAATTCCTCAATTTGAGAAGTCCCCATCCCTTTCCCTCTCTCTCTTAGAGGTGACATTCTTCTTCATCCTAACTCCAAGCCAATCGAATCGGCGGCACTTCCCACAAAGCGGAAATGGAGTCTCGACCCCTCTTGCAGCCTCTGCTGCGCTCCATCAACGCGGCACCTGTCTCGACGAGCACAAGAGCGGCAGTAACAATAGCTTCTATACCACGACGGTACCAGTCCTCGACGGCCCGGACAAAGCGCGCCCTGAAAATCGCGCCTCACCCCTCTTTCTTCCCCCCCGACTTTGCCTCCAGCAGCGAATCTTCCACCCAGCTGATCTACAACCCGCCGTCCTCCGCGCCCTCCGTCTACCACACGCCCTTCAAATTCCTGCCCCCCAGCGACCCGCGGCGGAAAGCCAACCTCGCCCAGCTCCTGCGGCCCTCCGCGGATGACGCCGCCCCGTCCAAATCCGCCGCCCTGCCCCCGGAGCTCAAGGACCGCGAGCGCAAGTACAACGTGACGGAGGAGCAGGTCGAGGAGATGCGCATGCTGCGGGCGACCGACCCGGAGCGCTGGAGCGTCCTCCGCCTCGCCGAGCGCTACGGCTGCGCCCCTTACTTCATCCTCATGTGCTGCCGCGCGCCCGAAGACCACCGCCAGCGCGAGCGCGAGCGCCTCGAGGGCGTCAAGGCCCGCTGGGGCGCCATCCGCGCCGCCGCCCGGGAGGAGCGCAAGAAGCGCAAGGACATGCTGCACAAGGGCCTGTTATAGACGATCGCAGGGTTGGTCGATCTATCTACGCGTCTTGTCTATTTTCGCCTACATACTGCTCTCCCTCCCCACTTATTCCGGTACCGAGCTTCCCTCCCGCTATTCATGTCGGAGGAATTTGTAGTGGGAGCCGTGGGATCTTTAGTTCCTGCTTCTCGTAGAGATGTGGAATGAAAAGAGGAAGGGCCGGCCGGTTCCTGTCTGGCTAGGATGAAGACCACGACTCGGTTGGGGAGATCTGCCATATATCATCATCGGTCTTAAGAGAGCGAGGGGATTTGTATCTATACCTACCTAACCTAACCTACTTACCTATGTATATAGTAAAAAAAGGAGGGGTTAGGAACGAGGCAGACGACTAACGAGTAAAAGCCGGATGGATACACATAAAGATCAGATCACAGCTCTACCAGGCTGGGAGGCAGATTTAGACGTATCACACAGCCTTGAAGAATAATAAAGTTGTACCATCACCAAACAGACTGAACTAGGGCCTGTCATCATTAACCTTGAATCAACGCATCTCACAGGCACCCAATAAGAGCTCATAGTTCATCCCCAAAGTTATCTTTTTCATTTTTTTTTTCTCTTTTTTTCTCTCTTTTTTTCAACATAGTAAAATCTGCTTACCTATATCCTCATCAAGGTCATATCATATTTGGGACGCTTATTATGTATGTTCCCATGCAACATTCTCATTGAAGAGGCCATTAAATAGTTCTAGTGAAGTTATTTAGGTACCTATACTATGTTCCTGTATTAACTATTTACGCCTGGGGAATCCATTTTGTTGCTCCTAAATACGTTGTTCATCCAAGCCGGAAGTCTGCAAAAATGCAGCAAGTTCTATGTATATCGGTAGCTTGTTGTGTATTCTGAATTACAGTGCAAGCAAGGTGAAACCCTCACTGCTTCTCGTTTGTAACAATGATTGCGTTTTTAGCCTTTGCCATTTCCCAATCCTTCTTACCAGGGATCACTCTCCAACACCATCCGCACCAACTACGGCTGCGTCCGGACACCTCTCGGCCCAGGATCTCATTCTTATTTTTCTCGTCCTCCCACTCGGGAACGCAGGCGCCAACGCGCACAATTCGGACGAGTTTCGTCTTAACTACCCCGCCGATGCCCTCAATTTCGTGACGGGCGTACCCGGGCCGAAGCTGCGGGCTCGGCGTCCGGCGTTCGGAAGGCGGTGAGCCGGCGATGGAGGATGCGGGCGACGGTGTTGTCCAGGGAGACAAGGTGCCGTTATTCTCATCTTGCTCCCGGGCATCCGCGGCGTCGCAGTCGGTTTCCTGCTCCCGCTCCTTGGAACCACAACACGCCGCCTCCCGGCCGCAAATCACCCCCCGGTCACCCTCGCCGATACCGGTGCCGAGACCCCCGAGCACTTCGCCGTATTGGTTACGCCATTTCCAGATGCTGTATCCGGTTAGCTCGGACGAAAAAGGAGATGATCGAATGATTGGGAGATACATACGATTTATAGTCGTGATCTGCCCCACGAATACTCCTCCCGCAAGGTTGGCAAAGCCAAACTCCCTTTGTGTGGCAGGTGCAAATTGCCCGCTGCATTTCGTCCGCGTCCACAAGAGTGTCGGGCGATAACGATGGCTTGACGAGACTTCCCAGCGGAGCCTTACTGCACGGGATGCATAGTCGGCGATGTCTGTCGCGAAGCACAGCGGGTGCCGGTGGCTTGATGGCGCAGTTCTAGCACACGTCTTGTTAGATGCACTGCTAGAATGATGCACCAAGCATTACTTATGCTCAGCTACGAAATGCTTACCCGGCATACGACCGTTCCGCATCGCCTACATTCGGCTACCATATCTCTCGCGCAATTCCCGCTCTTGCCGTTGTAGTCCCCGGTACGACCGTCTTCCATGTAATACCAATTCCCTGCTCGGGCGCGGTAACGGAATGTGTCTTGGGGGTCGACGGGCACGTCCTCGTTGACGCAGTGCAGGGTATGCGCGAGAATGCTGCTGCGATATTGCAGAAGGGTACGGTAGACCTGGCGGCAGGTTCGAGACAGATTATCGAGCGTGTTTAGATCGATGGACGAGGCGATCGCCATGACGATACTGGTTGTCGAGTCAGCCTTTCTCTCCCCTGGCCTCACACGGGAAGTATGATAGCCAAGGGGGAGTTTCTGCTAGTAGAAACGTCATAAGTGAGGTTGCGTCTGCCTACGGATAACATCCGAGAGCCTCCGCCATCCCATTATGCTCATTGGGGTTCTCTGGTTCTCGATCTATCGTATTCCCTTGGCTCTCTCCTCCATGCGATGCATTCTGACCGTTCGGTAGCTCCTGCTTGACGCGCTCGCCATTCCAATGGGGCTTCAAGCCGTAATGTTGAGTCTGCGGCGGCTCGGCCTCCTCTTCCAGGTCTACGAAAAGTGCCATCTTTGGTGGTGCTGAAAGAAGGCCAGCGTGACGAGTCGGAGTCGGAGAGGGGGGGAAGAGATAAGAAAATAAGACGGAAGGTGAAGGGATTCGAGTTTTGAAGTTGAAGAGGAATGGAAGGGGGAAATGAGGGAGCAGGCCGGCAGATAGGATAACAAAAAATAATATATATTAGGTACCGTATATAAAGTACCTTCTCATATATAAAATCGGAGACTTTGAAGTTAAATACCTAAGGTAGGTTAGGTTAGCTACCTCCTACTAAACAGTTAAATATGCCATAGTAAGAAATGTTCGGAAAGCTTCTCAACGAACAACTTCCAAGTCGGTCAAGTCGGTCAAGTCGGTCAAGTTGGTAAAACCCCCCAACAGATGCGTTTCGCATTTAAATCCAATACATGAAATATACAATGTACGAATACCTAACATGATACATCCACCTGCATATACTTAATGAATAGGTACCTAGGTACCTAGGTATCTAAGGTACTTACATGTACATCGTATAGTTATACCAATGTAGGATTTACCTTCGATATCGCAACTGCCACATCACAATTCACGATAAAATACGGCCATTACGAATGTAATGCATCTACCTAACCTAGTAGGCAGTTGCGGCCCCATCTTACCTTAGGTACTCGAGTCAATATCCAGGTATGCATTACGTGTATATATGCGAAGATTAGGGTAGGATATTAGGTACTTTAGGTACTTTAGGTAAAATTCTTCAAATTGAGGTCGTGTCGTCCCGTCTTTTATCAGATCCATTACCGCGCGCAGGTACGTGGATCAGCGCTACCCAGACGCTACCCAAACGCTAGAGGTAGGCTATGATCCGCCCTTTACCTAACCGTATTGCAGCACGCCATCCGCCTACACTACTAGTGTGCTGTAATGTACTGTAGTGTACCTTGAGCTCAGCGCAAGTCATCAGGGGTAAAGACTGTAATCCCTTACTCCTTGGGTTAGACCACGCTTTAAGTCGTTGTCAGAAGAGGTACTTTATGTAAATGTTCATTCACATGATCGTCCTGCAACTATCGTGAGGTTTCAAAAAGCGGTTTTTGCTCAACCCTTCACCGATGTTAATATTTGATCCATCTAAGTATTGTACCTACCAGGTAGGTACCTCATAAAGTAGCGGTACTTGGAGTAGGTAGATGTTGTTCACCGCTCATAACCTGGAGAAAAAAAAAACATGGTTGCTACCAGCTTGCCTAGAACGACTCAAACGCGATTTTCCCTTATGCTCTATTTCTCTCCCCTGTCCTCTCTATTTTACTTGTCTTTTTATAATTTCTCCTTAAACTCAATGACTGTATACGGAATATCGCTATTCATGGTTTTCTATTAATAGACCTTAAAGAAAGGTATTATGATTGATGAAACTATATGTACAAGCTCTGTGCCTCTTTATTCTATAGGTACCTACCTCTATGTAGGTACCTAACCTAAGTAGGTTAAGTATCGGCATTGCTTCTGCTCGCTTCGAGGTGTATAGCGATGGAACTTGGAAGAGAGGTTCATCCTCCTCTAACAAAACAGGCGTAGAGTGATCTAGAAACCACCTATGCCGTAACCGCTAACTACTCCCTGTATGTATATCATCGTAGTAGTTACAAATTAAGAATCCTCCGTATATACCTGTATTAAAACGAAAAAACCATAAGCGCTGGATTTAATACAATGGGAAGTAAAAGGTGACAGGTGACAGTCCACGCGAGTGGCCAGATAGAAGCGAAGTGCATGATTCTCCACTCGCTAGGGAAAGCATAGTAGCCGCATACGATCAGTGCCGCCATGAACAAACACCAGGTGAAGGTACCTTTGAAGCGCCGGAACAGTCGGGGTATTTCTTGGAAAAAGTCAACAGTCTCGATTTCTTTCGCTGTGGCACCCCAGCTCATATCGACGCCGATGAAATGGAATACCAGGGCCTGTGAGACGTGTAGAGACAGACCACCCAGGAAGACGGTCATCAGCGGGATCCATTTGATGTTGTTCCAGACTAACAATAAGTGCAAAATATTAGTATCTGATCTTCCCTAGAACGACTATGGGACGTGGCATGAGAAACTTACGGGCTCCGGCGAGCGACATATCGTTTAGACGATACCTGTAGATAGCCAGGGACAAATTTCCAAGCCCCGTAAAGACGACTACTACCGAGACGAATATAGCAAAGGAGTCTAAGTAGAATTTGTCGTACAACCCAAAGAACCATCCCGACAGGAAATAGTTCATCAGGGTCAATATCCAGCAGGCTCCGATGGCATAGTACGTGCCGATGTACGCGCAGATGGTCATCTTCTTGGGTAGATGTATGTTGGAGAAAATGAATTTTCGAAATAGAGGTGTTATAGGGCCCTTGGTGAACCAATACCTCAGAGGGTGAAATAAAAGTTCATTACAACCGTAGGCGTATTTTTCCCATCGCGCCAATTCGTCGTAGACTGTAAGGGAAACACCCTCCTGGAAGCCATCTCCGGTGTAGGCTGCGAACCTGAGCTCGTACCCGGCACATTGGAGCTTAAGTGACATTTCGAAGTCCTCGGAAACGTGACTCTCAGACCAATACTTCTCGTAGCCGTCCTCGTCCTTATACGCGGCGGCGTCCTGGATGGCAGACCATCGTAGCACGGCGTTGTGGCCCACAAAGGGGCAAGCATCGCCACTTGCCACCACAAACGTGATGGCCGTATAGATGAGGTTCGTGAACCACGTAACGCTATGGAAATATTAGTACGCATGAACCCATTATTGTCCTTATAGGGGTCATGAACTTACCCGCTTTCGAAAAAAGATGTCGATACCTGCATCACCCCGGACGTAAATTGAAGTATTGCCACCTGAGGGGATCGTTCCATTTCACTGACAGCGTCCAACAAACAGTCTTCTGGGACACGGGTATCAGAGTCGACTATGAGTATGTAGTCGCCTATACGAACGTTACCCTCGGCCCAGGTGCGATCCCCGTCTTCCTCCAAAACCTCTGCGAGACAGTGGTTGTACATAGTCTTTTCATCAACATTGGTCCAACCCGGCGGTCTAGGTATCTGCAGCAGTTTTTCTTCCACGCGGTTGCTTATCATCAAGCCGAAATTCATGTTGGACGCCTTCTTGAATTTCCCCCGCCGGAGAAATGGCCGGCTGCCGTCCGTTGGGTTTGGATTATGCCCTGGTCGGGCGACCCAGCCGATGTTGTTCTCCTCATAATACTCCCGACGGGCTTGTGCATCCGAATCTGAAATGAGCTGCATTCCGTCGTCGTTGATGAAGATGTTGGCAGAACCTCCTTGCATCTCGTAGGTCGAAATGCATTTTTTCAGCGATTCGATCGACGGTTGAATGACTGCTTTTAGGCCCTCTTTGTACACCGGCATCTGGATGGTAACGTGGGGCATAAAGTCGAAGTGCCGATTGAGTCGCGACGGGGCTATTCCGGAGTAGAACCTCGAGTTTTCATCAACGCAAGTGATCTCGCCACCGATTTGCCAGAGATTCGTGATCAGCGACTGAAAAAAGAAGAAGGCAACCCATGCTTCGACTGGGATGACGATAATAAGTGCGAGTCGAATATACGAGCCACTGACGACAACTTCGTATGCCAGAGCCTTTAGACCAAAGCCCATGCAAGTCATACATAGGGCCAACGTAACGGACACAATGCAAGCGCTGCTAAGCTTGGTTTTCCTCCGCTCTTCCTTGGACGTATTCTCCGGATCCACCTCTGCTACGGTTACTTTGGTTATTCGGCTCTCCCGACCCCTTTTTCTCTTCCCTTCTAGTTCATCGTCAGGCTTATCGCCCGGTGCACGACCCCAAATCTTCCTCAACAACTCCTTTTCCAAGTTATCTGCCCTCTCTATAAGTTGCCTGGGGCTATCGTCCCAGACGACTAAAATCTTGATATCATCGATAAATGCGGCAAAATGGTGCCTTTGGCAATGTACAAGGTCAGCCATGGTCGGGAGAACTTGTATGAAGAGATCACCAGTAAGCGGGATGTGATATTGACTGGCCCTGTTGTGCAGTACCACGGCGATGACTCTGGTATTGACCGTCATGGCGCACTTATAAAGCGTGGTTAGCTTCCCATTTCATTTGTCCAAGACGCCTAACAAAAAAAAACTTACTTACTGGGACATTCATCTTTATCGCCATATCGTACAAGCCGTCGGGTTCGTTTTGAATTTCTAGCGGGAAGCAAGCGTAATGTCCTCTTCTTTTCTTTACCACACAGCCCTCGCCGGGTATCAAGCCTGTGATATATTGCCTTTCGATTTGTTGCTGGTATACCCAACTGCACACTATTGCCCCTTTGGCGTCGCTGGCCCTCTCCGGAGCCTTGCGTGAGCCTCCGGTAAAAAGCACGGGACCATCGGAAAAGGGATCCCATGATTGCGATGTGCGAGATGCGGCGCGGCGGCGCCTCGGTGGTGCTATGTCGGAGCTTAAACTGGCAGAGGAAGTTGATAACGGAATGCTGGATTTTGAATTACTCGGACCAGCTTCATCATGCCTTGGAGTAGAACTCTCGCTATCGTCGTCTTCCAATCTTTTGCCCCTAACACGGCCAGGCGCAGTATCCGTCTCGAAGGATTTCATCTCCTAACTTGTCTATAGGAGAGAAAGAGACAACAACCATGTGTTCCGCTATATCATTAGAGATACGAAATACTATAAGCATCGGGAGTTCTTCCCGGAGGAAATTACATATAAGAACTTCTAAAGTAATAGGCGGTAGCGTATATAGGACAGGGAAGACAAACGACATGCAATGAAATATCATCTAACAATTATGATCTTGTTTTGGGTCCGATGCCTTTTGAATTTATATCTAGGTAACGTTGGGATGTAAGATTTTCTAAAGGTACCTGTTAATTATCCAAAGAAGGTGCTCTGTTCCAACAATACGGCCATAGTTTGGTAAGGAGCTACTTGTTCAAAGTCATTAAAGATGGTGCCCAGACTCGCATTACATGTGGGATAGCTGAGCCAAGCCCGAAGCCACGAGAAGCACTTTCTGATAAACGGGAAGAGTTTGTAGACTGCAGGAAGTCTTAGCCAATACCTGAACTTGTTAGTAGGTTAGGCTCCTGAGAAGAACTAACGTGTAACCTCGTATCGGCGTCAATACTGACCTATCGCAAAGATATGCTGGCTGGAAAGTACATGGTGGGTGGTAACGAGGGCGAAGTTTGCTGTAAGGATGTAATATTCGCTAGAGTCTAGGCCCGAGCGCGCAAAGCTCGAGGTCGGCCGGTCGATCCGCCAAACGCCAATAATGGACAAGTGCATGAGAAATCGGAAGTAAGCCTGCATCATATCAAGCCTGGTGTGCCGTTGGCACAGGAAATTGGGGTATTCCAGGAGCTCAAGGACCGATGACAACCTACTACTTACCTGGGCAATCTATAGTTTTCAGCTTACATGTTGATTGGGCAACCCGACAATTATGGACACGAACCTGAAAGCCACGCTATGCACGACATTATCTATTGTGTACCACAAACAAGCCAAGGACGAACGGTTCACGAACTGAGAAGGTGAAGAACCAAGAACCATTGAACTGTGCATTAGCGAGGGTTTGTGGGGAAGATAAGGAATTCAAAGTTATATTGAGTCCGCTTAGTTCTTGGACTAGGATTTAGTTGACTTCTGAGCACTTAACATTTTGCCCTTGAAGAGAAAGAGAATACCTAGCTGAGGAAGGGGTATAAGTCATTCCTGACCTATAATGGAATAAGACTTTAGCTATAATGCGTACCTTATATGTACCTACCTCTAATGCATTGATCGTACAAATACAGAAGTAAAATTAGAACATTGAGGTATTAAGAAGCCGCGATATTGGTTAATTAGGCGCCGTGTACTTTGACATGTCGAAAACTTCAAATCTATATTATGGTGTGCAGCTGTAGCCTGTCAGAATGGAACGCTGAGAATGCAACTCTCGGACCTTTAACAAAGTTTGCGATATAAATGTCGCAATCAAAGCAGCCAGCCCCGAGGGTGATATCCAATAAGTCACAGTGCCAACGTTAGCACCCAATACTGTTTAGAAGGGGCTCGAGAAATTTCGCCAAATCCTTTTAGAGGTACTTACCTCCGAATAATTGCCTCTATGGGAGCTTCTCTTGGAGCTATACGGCCATAATGACCACAGCAAGCACTTACCACATCAGCCGCATATACTACCTTCCATGCATACAGCTATGCAAGTGTGATGGCAACACGGGTTTGCCATTCAACTCTAGCCATGTCAAGACACAAGATAGGGGTGGGGGTTTACCCCCTTCTGTCAGTACCATATGGGTTCTAATATCACCGTCTCAGGAACTACTGTGAGTCTAGACCTTCAAAATAAATAAAGTAGAAAGAGATATGGTATAAATATAGACACAACCCCACGGGATTTAGACGAATGCGTCAATTTAGGTAGGTATGGCAGGTAGGATATATACTAAATATTTCTCTTCAACGAGAATTGTGGACGAGAGCAACAGTCGAGTTAAGTAATTCATATACTCTGACTTAATCATTCGAGTATTGGAACCCACCTTACCTAGTATCTGTCAATCCTTACCACCTAAAGTAGTTTTATTTTCCTTTCAAGTATGCCTCTCATCCTCGTCAGACACTCTATCACGACTGGTCGATCTTTTAACTGGAGCCGTCATCTCACCCCTCCTCGCATCTCATTCCCTGACACCACCATACCATTACTCAACAATATATACGGTACTCACAGAATATGTGACAAGTAAGCGTGAAAGCAGCCATTAATCAATTAGGATAACAAAAGACATTTCAATTCGTGTAAAAGGACTAGCTGAGGGTTGTATAGTATAGTATATGGTGGGTTTCGTTACATGGACAACTGTCAAAGACAACTGGTTTCTCCCCTCTTGACCAACTTACACGATAGCTGCTATCTGCCTAGCATGAGCTGAGCTGCACTCAACCATCACGATGGAGCTCCACCAGGTGAGCCGCAGAATTGGCGTGGGACGTAACCGCGGTAAATGTGGAAATAGCTGCGAAATAACTTGCAAGGGCGCCTATGATTAAAAAAGACATGGCGTCATATAGTGGCGAGATTCTAATGAATTCGAAGAGTCTTTTTGTTTAAAGAATAGTAGCAAAGGGCGGTGTCGAACGCAGGTAAAATTCTATACGATGGGTCTTACAGAATAGAGAGATAACGCCGGTGGTAATGACGATCTTTTTCTTTGGGTAACTGATTCCATATTCCATATTCCATATGATACTACCTAATGTATGGACTCATAAGATTTTACCTCATTCCCATTTCATGTGACATCATACGTGAATGCTCCAGTGTTTTGTCGGGCCGTCTCGACGTAAGTTTGCTCAAGTCGTTTCTTCTCAAGATTTTCAACTCTTTGGAACACAAAAAAAAAGGGAAGGAGAAAAAAACTTAAAAATGGGGTCAAGATGTATTAAACATACCGTGCATACCTACATAGTAACACATCGTGACTCTTCCTGTAGTACAAACGGGGAATGTTGGTTTCGTTAAAACACTCGGAACACTACCGATATGGAAGATTTATAACCATCCCATTGGATACTCGGGGGGAGTTAATATATTTCGACTTAGTGGGGTTGCTCAGGCGGGGCCAATGCCTTCATTGTGCAGCTACCTAGCTACGTCCAGTACCACCCAAGTATTTGTTAAGCTTAGTCAAAAGAGACCCTGATATTTGATTTGACAGGTGAATGGACCACCACAGAAAATAAAATCAGATTCTTAAAAAAATTTAAATATTTAGAAACAAGATGGATATAGGGCTTTGAAAGCGGGGAGAGATATATATTCACCCTTACTTTTAGTGTAGTGTATACGATGAACCTATCGATAAGCATTAGTCCCCGTAATTCAATAGGTACAATACATTAGGTACCTTAGGTAGTGAGTGTTTTGAGCAGCTTGGTTACCTTAAACACCTCCCAATTTTCTGACATCATACGCCCTTGTCAACCGTTTCTCGCCAACGTTTCTTATCTGAGAAGAAGCAACTTACCTTACCCTACCTACTTTGTACCTACCTACCTCTCAACCACTTATCTACTCCCCAACTATTAGAAGTTGCTTCTATTCTCTCTTCCCTTTTTTTTTGGACGACTTCTAATCAAATTCAAGATCAAGGGCAAAACCGAGGGAGGCTTTGACGATTGAGTCCTGTTTTTTTGATTTTTTTTCTCCGTCGGATCATATTTCATTATTTTATGTCTGCTCTTTTCCCTTGTGACCCGCGTAAGGACCTGTGATTGATCCAATCGTGGGTGACTACCAACCAGCGCTTTAACCTAGAAACGTCCCACGATCCCCTCGCCCCCCGCGTGTGCCGTAATACGTACAAAACCTATATAATCCCGCGATTTCGACCCCTTCCTACCCTCGATTTTTACTCCGTTCAAACTGTTGGTCACGGAAAAATAGTCGAAAAAAAAAGAGAAAATTCGATTATATTTTTCAAGAGAAGAACAAATCGTTGACTACGACGAGATAAGAGAGAAGCTTCGGAATACCCCCACCGGCCGTATCCTTGAACCATCGTCAATTGAGCGAGTGTTGGGCTGTCACTTAAGACTCCATACCGCTTTTAGTGATACTCCTTTTTTCTTCTTGATTCCTTTTTCTCTTTGACCCCTTTTACTTCCCACAACGCCTACGAATTGCTAGCACCAACTCGCCATGCCCGATTTACTAACGCCGGGTTTTACGAAAGCCCGACGCGATACCAGAGACGGGACTCGCGCAAGTGAAGATTGGGGTGTCTACGATGACGCCAAAACGTATTACACTTCCGACGCTCGGCACGGTGGTAGATCGCACAGACGCAACCGTACATACTCTCAAGTACGTTATACAGAACTTTTCGTATGAAAACCAATGAACATCGGCTAAGATGATTTAGAATGGTATCATTCAAGAGATTGAACGTATGGGACTGCATGAACCACATAGGCGGGGTAGCCATGGTATGAATCTACCCTTCTATAGCAAAATAGCAGGAAGCTAATTTCTATTATCGTCCAGATGAATCAACTAGGCCACACTCCCGCCAATTCCTCGTTGATGTTGACCACACACTAGAAAGCTTACAGGCACAGGAAGATACAGATGGCAACATGCAAATTACGATTGAGGATGCTGGTCCCAAGGTAAGTCGTTTTACTATAAACTTCTTGGTATCGACAGGTTCTAAGACATTATACCTAGGTCATGCCTCTTCGAACTGCTGCATCCGGTGGCCATAATCGATTTGATATCCGGGGCACATACATGCTTTCAAACCTTCTCCAGGAGTTATACATGGCAAAAGAATTTGGGCGGAAGCGGATCATCCTTGACATCGGTCGCCTTAACGAGAACCCAGTTAGCAGACTATCGAGGTTGATTAAGAATCAGTTCTGGGATGGGTTAACTCGTCGCATCGACGCTTCAAGCATTGAAATCGCAGCAAAGGATCCTAAAGATTGGACATCCGATCCGCGACCACGCATATATATTCCGCCAGAGACCCCAGAGCAATACGAATACTACCAAAAACTTGCCGCTGAGCGACCCGAGATGCGGCTAGATGTTTTGTACCTCCCGGAGAAGATCACTCCCGAAGTGGTCCGAGACATGAACGATAAGCCTGGGCTTCTCGCTCTTGCCATGGAGGAAGTGAAGGATCCTAAAACCGGAGAAAAAACGCTACGCGGGCTCCCATTTGTGGTTCCCGGGGGAAGATTCAATGAATTGTACGGCTGGGATAGCTATATGGAATCCCTCGGGCTTTTAGTTAATGATAAGGTATACCTAGCGAAGTCGATGGTACAGAATTTCTGCTTCTCTATTCAACACTACGGCAAGATCCTTAACGCAACCAGATCATACTATCTGCTGCGCTCACAGCCACCTTTCTTGACAGATATGGCCCTCCGGGTGTATGAGAAAATCCAGCACGAACCTGGCGCGCTTGATTTTCTTCGGACGGCCTTCCTTGCTGCAATCAAGGAGTATTATTGTGTATGGACGGCGGAACCGCGTTTGGACCCCAAGACTGGTCTTTCGAGATACCGACCGGAAGGGTTAGGTGTGCCGCCTGAGACGGAGGCTTCTCATTTCGTTCATATCCTCGAGCCTTATGCCGAGAAATATAACATGACCTTCGAACAATTCGTTAGAGCGTACAACTACCAAGAGATCCACGAACCAGAACTAGACGAGTACTTCCTTCACGACAGGGCAGTCCGAGAATCTGGCCACGATACGTCGTACAGGCTGGAAAAAGTCTGCGCTAACCTTGCGACCATTGATCTTAACTCGTTGTTATATAAATATGAGATGGATATCGCCCGCACCATCCGAAACGTCTTTGGCGACAAGCTAGAAATTCCTGCTGAGTGGTGTGGCGGTAATATGGTGCCCGGCCAGATTGAAACGTCGGCCATCTGGGACCGTCGCTGGAAGAGACGACGTGCAGCCATCCATAAATACAACTGGAACGAAGAAAAGGGCATGTACTTTGACTACGACACAGTGAAGCAGCAGCAATGTACCTACGAGTCATGCACGACGTTCTGGCCTCTCTGGGCAGGCATCCCGGATCCCGAGCGCGCGGCCAAGGTAGTCAAGTGCGCTGTGCCTAAATTCGAAGCCTACGGGGGACTCCTATCTGGAACGGAAGAATCCCGCGGTGCTGTCAGCATCGAGCGTCCGAACCGGCAGTGGGATTATCCCTACGGCTGGGCGCCTCAACAGATTCTGGCTTGGACAGGACTGTACCGCTACGGCTACGCGGACCTCGCACAGAAGCTGGCATACAAGTGGCTATTCATGGTTACCAAGGCGTTCTTCGACTTCAACGGCGTGGTGGTGGAAAAGTACGATGTCACAAGGCCAGTCGACCCGCACCGTGTGGATGCCGAATACGGAAACCAGGGGCTCGACTTTAAGGGGGTTGCTAAAGAAGGGTAAGTTCAATAAAATATTACATTGAAAGTTGAGAAACATACTTACATGATTGCGTTATCTCCCTAGGTTCGGCTGGGTCAATGCTAGCTATGTTTACGGCTTGCAATTTATTAACACAGAGATGAAGAGAGCTCTGGGCACCCTAACACCCTATGAGACGTATGAAAGAGCTCAGCAGATCAAAGAGGAGAAGCTGCTCCAAGAACTAGTATGAAACATAGCTACCGTACGAAACGGAAATATTTGATGGCGGTACCATTCTCTTTCGTCCGTTACTTGGGCATCGCATGAGCACCTCATGGGCATCTTTGAAACTCGGTCGATGATGTTATCGTTACGCCGGTTACAGACAGGCACGGATCATGATTTGCATTGGTTGGGCTGGGTTAGAGAAACGCACAGGTTGCATTGCGCATGCTGATTTGATGTTAGTATCTTAAAGATGCGCAGGTTTTACTTAGTATCGCTACACGAAGTTGACGATGAGTATATCGTTTGATGAAGTTGCTTGGCCGACCTTTAGTATTTTTTTAAGGGGCCAGTCCATTCGGGTAGGTAGATCCTAGATAAGTATGTATAATGTTAGCTTTGCTTTTACCGGATCTTCTTGAGTTTATATTTTTAGAGAGCTTGTGATTATCTAGATTTTATAGGGAGCAAGCTTACTCGAGCTATCCATGTAAGGAACTTGGATTTGGATAGATGGCTGGGAATAATAGTCGACGGAGACAAGTACCTTATCCTATAAGATACCTAGGTTAGGTGGGTAGGTGTTCAGGTACTTTATTCTTTTTCACGTGTATCCTCTGTGAGGTTTAGGAGTCATAGGGAATCGAACTCGATGCGAGACTCAAGCAAGCTTCTGCAGCCGAGGTCCGGGGTAAGGTGAGGCTGGAGATATGGCCGGGTGTAAACGGGAAACAGGAAAGGGTAGGAGTCTGGGGACGATACCTAGGATGCAATAGATCTTCACATGTTAGTGTCTTGCTTTGAAGCGTTGCGTACCTATCCTACACAAAAATCTGTAGCTTATTATTGATGTAAAAGGTAGGAGGTATAAGAGTTCTCATGAATAAAATAAGTCGAGTAAACCGGAAATATTCTCATGTTGGTCATTTATCCATCTAATGCTATTTCATGGCTCTCATCGAAACTATTACTATCTCCTACCAGGTAGATAACGTCACTATCAAATGCTAAATGTTACAAAAACCCAAACCCTCCAAACCCGGGGTCGGTTCAAGGACTCGCCCATTGCGGGGGACTGGGGTTCGCGTCTCACTAGATCGACCTGGATCGCTCTCCATCTTCGGCAATTTGACCAATCACGGCAAACCAGACGCACGTCCACATGCCTTCTGGGCCCTCTGGTCCCTTAAACCGAGAACCTGTAGCCCGTAGTTGTCTTCTCTTTTACATAGTACACGTCTAAGACCAGCTCTAACCCAAATGCTTTGTCTTCGTTCCGAGGCGCCCCGGTCAAAGAGAGCTGAGTAGCAGCCAATGGAACGGCGCCGCCGTTACCGTTGCCGTTACCGTTACCGTTAGCTGGTTGGGAGTTACTACTTGGAGTCACCCTATGACGGAATCATCATACATAGCCGCTTGACCGATTGCTGCCGAGCATGAGGTACCCTTAGGAGTCATGGTTCTAAGCCGATTACGCCCCTTTTGTAGTTCGGATCAGATTGACTATCCTGTGCCAGGTTGTGTATTATAACAAGTAGCTTCGCCTACTCGTGAATGTAGCTTGATCAATTCTTCTTCCTTTAATATTAACCCCGCCCCCTAATCGTTCGTTTCTAGCTTGCTACAACCTTCTCCCTGCTTTAGTTCTTGTATCTTCGAGACCACGTGCTTCATAGCAAGTATACACGTACATTGACTCTTTAAGAAGAGCTCTTTGTTCCTCAGTGCCCGCACATCACATTATAGAGTCTTTAACATTTATACGTTCTTACTGGACACTGCTGTTGTGGTATACTTGACCTATCTTGACCTATCTTGCCCATCATGGCGTCAAACAACATGATCAACACGGCCGTGGACCCGAATATCGAGGACGAACTCTTCCTACAAGAGGTGGAGGCTGTTAAGAAGTGGTGGAGCGACCCGAGATGGAGATACACGCGGCGACCTTTCACAGCTGAGCAAATTGTCTCTAAGAGAGGCCATCTTAAGATCGACTATCCAAGCAACGCACAGTCCAAGAAGTTATGGAACATCCTTGAGGAGCGCTTCAAGAATCGCGATGCCAGCTACACATACGGCTGCTTAGAACCTACGATGCTCACACAGATGGCCAGATATCTAGATACTGTTTATGTCTCAGGTTGGCAATCATCGTCAACGGCCTCGTCAACCGATGAGCCTGGACCGGATCTAGCAGATTACCCTTACGTGAGTTGTGACCCCCCTAACCACTGTAGATTAGCCTCGGATTTGTATGCTAACATAAGGTGAAAGACCACCGTACCGAACAAAGTCAAGCACCTGTTCATGGCACAGCTCTTCCACGACCGCAAACAAAGACAAGAACGTCTAAGCGTGCCTAAGGCTGAGCGAGCGAAGCTGGCGAACATCGACTACTTACGGCCCATCATTGCGGACGCGGACACGGGCCACGGCGGATTGACAGCTGTCATGAAGCTGACGAAGCTGTTCGTCGAGCAGGGCGCCGCGGGGATCCACATCGAAGACCAAGCGCCGGGCACGAAGAAGTGCGGGCACATGGCGGGCAAGGTGCTGGTGCCCATCAGCGAGCACATCAACCGGCTGGTGGCGATCCGGGCGCAGGCGGACATCATGGGCACGGACCTGGTGGTGATCGCGCGGACGGACGCGGAGGCGGCGACGCTCATCACGACGAGCATCGACCCGCGGGACCACGCGTTCATCCTGGGGAGCACGAACCCAAAGCTGCAGCCGCTCAACGACCTGATGGTGGCGGCCGAGCGCGCCGGCAAGATCGGCGAGGAGCTCCAGGCCATCGAGGACGCGTGGCTCAAGCAGGCCAACCTGCGGCTGTTCGACGAGGCCGTCGTCGACGCCATCAACGCCGCGCCCTCGCTGCCCGCCGGCAAGGAGGACCTCGTCGCCAAGTACCTCGAGCAGGCCCGGGGCAAGAGCCTGTCGGAGGCGCGCGCCATCGCCCACGGCATCATCGGCGTCGACGTGTACTTCGACTGGGATGCGCCGCGGACGAGGGAGGGCTACTACAGGCTCCAGGGAGGCTGCGATTGCGCTATCAACCGCGCCGTCGCGTACGCCCCGTACTGCGACGCCATTTGGATGGAGAGCAAGCTCCCGGATTACAAGCAGGCGGAGGAGTTTGCGGCTGGTGTGCACGCCGTGTGGCCGGAGCAGAAGTAAGTTGATCCCCCCCTTTTTTCTTTCTCGTTTTTCTTTTATTCCTTGCCCTCTATTATGCCCCTAATCACGAACCCCCACCCGACCACCTAAGTCCTCTGTCGAACTCACGCTTCACCTACCTACCTACATATCACAAAAGTATAAGCAAAAAAGCTAACAGCCCTCCCCTTTCAAAACAGACTCGCGTACAACCTCTCCCCCTCCTTCAACTGGAAGGCCGCGATGCCGCGGGACGAGCAGGAGACGTACATCCGACGGCTGGCGAAGCTGGGGTACTGCTGGCAGTTCATCACGCTGGCGGGGCTGCACACGACGGCGCTGATCAGCGACCGGTTCGCGCGCGCGTACGCGGAGGTGGGCATGCGGGCCTACGGCGAGCTGGTCCAGGAGCCCGAGATGGAGGGCGGCGTCGACGTCGTCAAGCACCAGAAGTGGAGCGGCGCCACGTACGTCGACGAGCTGCAGAAGATGGTCACCGGCGGCGTGAGCAGTACGGCGGCTATGGGTAAGGGCGTTACCGAGGATCAGTTCCATTAGGTTGCGTATCTAAGATTGGGAAGTGAGGTTAGGTTTTGTTTTTGTTTTTGTTTTTTTACGACGTATTGTGAAGAGAGAAAGAGAGGCATATTGTGCAAAGTCATGATATTAAGGGTCAGGTAACTGCCTATAAATAAGTATTATAGCATATATGGTTCGTCGCGATGAAGCGTCGGCGACTTGGTTCGGAGTATTTAATCGAATTATATAGGTATATATGAGTACCGTTTTACCTATTTTTATTCCCTTCTCGACTGGATCTTCTGGCTCGCGGTTAGTAACGCGATGTTTTGAAGAAGAGTTGATTTGCATAGGTACCTATATTTGTAAAAGCTATAGCCTCTGACGTGGACTTTGAGTACAAACATGGGATATCAATGCAACTCGAAGTGTGCCTAACTAACGCAGACATATTGTTGTAACTATATTGATAGTTTATAAGCTGCTCATGTACTTATTTGCTTAACCTTCTGTATATAGTCTGCACATCGCCATAGCACTTCAGACCCTCTACGCCGTACTAGACGCCAATTCCACTCTCCTTAAATCCTCCTCCCGGGATGAGCGGGTCCGCTTCTCCGTGCGTGTTGATAAACACCATCCCCGCTTCGAGCTGGCGAGCAATCCGGTCGGCCCTCGACCACACTGAGGCACCAAGACCGTATTTGGTATTGTCGACCATTTCGATGGCATCTGATTCCTCGGACCACTTCAATACTGGGATCATCAGGCCTAAAGTATGCCAGTCTGTGGTTGCCCCTATTTGTCTGCCACGGAGGCAGGTATGTATCTAAGATAGGTAGGTAGGCATATTGTATCAAGTGATAACTTACCGAATGCTTCTTCGACAACAACTCTCGAGTCATCCGGCGGATTATCAATAATCGTTGGTGATAAGAAAGGCCCCTTCTGATCTGCAAGAGGTTTCGTGCTTCCGGCGGCTACGGTGAGCTTGTTCGCTTCGACGTCCGCAAGCAGCTGCTTGACATGCTCGTATTGAGGCTTGTTAGATAGCAGACCGATCGCGAGCTCATCCTCAATTTGCATCTGGGATTTTTCTCGAAGTTAATAAGCGCAGCGAGTAATTCGTCATAGATCGATTCGTGCGCGTAGATGCGCTTGGGTATAATGCAGATCTGGCCGCAATTGGCAAAGGTTTAATACCCGAGCTTGGGCGCGATAGATGCTACGTCGACATCAGAACACACAATGGCCGCATCGTTGCCTCGAGACTAATTTTATACCAATGAACACCCTTGGCTAGAAGGCTCAGAGTGTCTAAAGATGCGTTGGTAGAGAGGGCCGTACACAGCAACAGAAGTTGCAACAAATCCTGTCATACATTCGACAGTACCCAGATAATTAAGATTCATTAGATCCCCTATAGCGATGAGTATCATTAATATCTAGTTTAGGAGATCGCTTGACTGGTAAGCTTACAGGTGCCATCTATTGTCCTACTTAAGCTTCCAAAAAACTTGAGTTGAGCAAGACACACTATACAGGAGCTGTGATATGATTAGAATAAGCAGAGTGATGCGGAATGGAGGAGCGGTTTAACTAACCTGCCACCCGCTCCGAATGCGAAAATTAATCCCCATTTGCTCCGCTTGCTTATTTGCAGTTTCCGTATAAGTGGAATAGGCATGTTTATTATGATAATATCACTAATGATAGTTTGAATATAGCCCGCTCGTCCGGCTACGGCAGAGTTTAGACACCTTGCAGGCACAGCAGGGTCCCATAATCGAGCAATGGGTATACATTCAAGATTAATTGTGAGAAGAAACTGTATTGCCATCTCGATCAGGAGTGCTCTAACCACCCATATTGTCCGATTAAACCACAACGAGCACTCAAATATACTCTTGTATAAGCTGAGAATACTAAGCTTGAGGAAAATAATAACTACGACGTATAGGTCTTAGAAAACGAGATTTGTCTACCAACGGACATACACGGTTAGCCATTGTCAGCTCATCTAGATACTAATAGAAGTTCCATGACAAGGAAGGCTAGCAAGCACTTAGGTATACACTTCAGGGTAAGATTTCGATGTAGGTGAAAACGATCGCGAAGAGAACGACTTACGATGGAGAGGAGACGAGGGTCAGAAGCAAAGATAACATGTCGTCCCAATCCGTACCTAGTTGAGAGGCAACCAAAGACAACAGCTACAACGAAAAATACCTTGAACTGTTTAGCCATCTAATTAAAACCACAATTTAGTGTACCTAGGTATATATCTAACATACCCACGCGACTAATGCAAACCAATCGCTTACTATAAGTTGCATACGGCCCTGTTGTATACGCCGCGACCAGAGACGCAAGATAATACAGACAGTAGCTATCTCCTCCGCATTGGGAGCTCGTGACCCGCCCATCTTCCTCGGAGCCGAGATCGGGTTAAAAAAAAGAACAAAAAAGAATAGGAAGCATTTTAGTATGAATGCATCTTTGTTACCTGAAGCAGCTGTCAATATGATACTTTCAAGGTCAGAAAGTCGTAAACAATTGGGAGTGAAAATGTTGAAGCTGTAAGGTTTCTGGTCCCCGGATACAATTCAAGGGTAGATAGAGAGCGCTTTGTTCGCGAGGAGATCGAGGGAATAGTATGCCTTTGTTTCCCCGCGCACCATATCTACCTAGGTAGACTTATCTTTCGTTCAACATAACAGATAGCTTAGGTAAGGTAGATATAAGGGAGGGCGAATAAAGAGTCTTCGTGAGGAAACCCCAGAAGCTCAGAGTGCACTCTTTGTGCTTAGATGATCCCTTAACTCGATAAAGAGCATTAAGAAACAGGCTATTAAGACGTCAGGAAACGACCCCAAACGTTTATAAGACGCATTTACCTACTTCGGTTTAAAAGTAAAGGTTATACATGGTCGGTCATCTTAAGGTAGGTAGGCTATCATGTCTTCGACTATCAATATGACTGGCTAGTGGTTTAGCCCCTGAATGATATATTCCGTCCCAACAAGGGCTAACCGGGTGACTAGCTTTCCAGAGTAACTTTGTGACCCGATCCTCGTCAGTTCCATGTGTATAAAAATTCCAGATCAGTCGAAGTGTTCACTAAGGGACGATCCGCTTTCTATTCCATTGCGTAGGCGATAAGGGTTGTTCGAGATACATTCGCTTGCTTACGCCTCATTGGTCATGTATGATTTTGTTTGTGACTTTCCCCGCTATAGGGCTATATCAGGACTTTCTGTGGTTATAAGCATTACTAGCTTGTATGATTCGTATGTCCTCGTATGCGTTGCGTTGAGGTTATTGTTGACTTCTAATGTTAGGTAGACGCATGTCGAGGCCCTTGCGGAGACACAGTAGCTATTAGAACTTAGGATCCTAGTAGATACTGAGTAGGCCGCCTTGGGAGACATTCCCGTCTTCACACAGGGCTTGACCGCTATTAGTTAAGTCAATAGCTATAGCTATAGTATAAAAAATAATAAAGCTTCTCATGATTTGTTTAAATTTTTCATAAACATACCTGGTATTCTATCTCAGCCCAACAGCAGTTGCAACTTCGTAAAGGAAGGTAATTAATTGGTTTGATGCTTCTATGTGTGATCGGGTAATCTAACCTCTGAAATTCTTCTACCGGACTGTTATGCCTGTATGACTCGGTGGCCGGAGGCTGACCGCGTCATGCGCAGTTGATTTAACTTACTTGCATCCGTGAGGCGCATTTCAGCGGATGGAGAGACCGCCACAAATACCATTTGCGGGAACCGACGGCGTATGTTTCACCAACGAATTTCTTTTTTTACTGACTGGTCACAACTCTTCTCCGCCGGAAGTCACGTTCTAAATTCGCGGGCGTAACAGCGTTACGACGACGTGTCCAATCTGGCTAAGATTACCTATCTGCCCTTTTTACACCGCCAGACGTATTATGATATACAGCCAATGGTATTAGAGTCTTCCAGCCTCAAAAGCCTTCATGTCCGATCAGATAGGTATGTGTCCACGGCGTATAGATCCTCAATGTCATAGATGCTTTGTTTCATAGCTATCAGGTACCCGCTAGGAATGTTGCATGGCTAGACGGCGAGCTGAACTGTACCTAATATCAAACGCCGAGTATAACGCCACAGATGATCAAAGGCGAGAGCATCTCCGAGAATGACAATCCGAAGATCATCCTTTTCTACCTTCTGCCTATCATTTTTCCCCCTATCCGTATAGGAGTACCATCTCCCGTTGTTCTCCTCATTATATATATATACCATAAACCAAACCACCCTCCACGCAACAATAATTTGGACCATAAACATTCAGCATCGCCTTGAATTGCTATCATCACCCATTATCAACATCACATATCTACTCTACACTCCAGCAAAAACTTTCATCATGAGCACCAGAGTCTGGCTAGACCCCAAGGACCATTCCGTTGAGGGCCACACAAAGCAATGTGTCCTTACCTTCAACGGCGATGAAATCTGGGGACTGGTCCACTGTCATCCTAACACGACCGTTCAACAAAAGGACATTAATTGATCGAAACGTATTCTTGGAAATGACGCCCTAGCCCAGATGAAGCTAAATATCATGATAGAACTTTTCAATCCTAAGCTAAAACCATAAATCAATCCTTCTAAAGCTGGTGTATTCATTATATCTTCTATTAGATAATCTAAAACAAGTAATCAATCTATAAAGAAAATTTCTCAAATAATATAATCCAAATAAGTTAATAAATAAATAAAGTCTAAAATTAAATACCCACCTAAAAATATTATACTTGTTAATATACACATTAACACAACACTTCCATATTCAGCTAAAAAAAAAAACTATTTCTAATCTTGTATCGGTTTAAATCGATAAACTTTATTATATACAAGACCCGAATTTAAATACTTACCTTCAGTAACCTTAGAAATATCTAAATGTTTAGCTAACTCTACATTATTATTAAACTTAGAATTCGAGACGCCCTTCGCAAGGCTGATAGTCGATTCAATCTTATCATCATGGACAGGTCCAAGTCGGTCGAGGGTCACATAGCCTACATCAGCATCAGCGCTGGTGGAAAAGTCCTTCTGGACAAACTCTCCACTCACGACAACATGCCTGGGCTATGCCAGGCCGTCTACGATGCCCAAAACCCTAAGGAGGTACGTAACTCTCGTTCTATCTAACACAACACCACCATCTCAATCCCCCAGATGTTTCCTTCTGTCATATCAAAGCTAACCCCCTTTGTAGTAAACATCGTACTTCCGCCCATGTCATCATTCTGGCCGTTTGGTCTACGGGAATGGCATTGTGAAGACTGGACTTCGTCGTGGCAGGATTTCTTTTAAATAAAAATTGATGGCTTTTGGAAGGGAGGGTCAGTGTTTGATGGGGTTTCATGCGACATGCTCCAGTGGAGTAGGGCATATCAAACTCCCCCTATTCGCCGCTCTCTTAATGTTACGTGCCTCAGAGGACATCACGGTCATTGCAGGGGTAGCCCTAGGTGCACCCACTGAGCCAGCCTTTGGCTAGCTCACAACTTACATAGTAGTCGGGACTTTGCTTAGAACTTTTGTGCTAGCTTTCACTCCTTTTAATATATCAAAGTCTTGTTTCGAGCGTTCCCTGTGCAAGCTTTCATACGGAGCAGGTACCTACTAGTACAACTAGTAGCTATTTAATTCTCAGTATTAGGTAGTGTAGATGTTACTGTGGGAAGTAGGTATAGCTCTACTGGTTTAGGTTCTAATCTGTCAAGTGTGTAAAATAGAGACGACCATTTCGGATTTCCAGGCCATTAGTGCCCAGTGGAACAGTGGTGTTACCAGCTCTTGGTAAAGTATCAGTGTACATAATGCTAACCCCCTTAGCGTACGTATCGACTCGAAATAGTCGACCCAGGGTAGGTAGAGCCAAGACTCCGTAAAGTACTTCGTGCGGTCGGGTCGATGTTGAAGCCATGTCGTTCAACTAGCGTGTATCGGCAAAGGGAAGCGTATCAGGTACAACGAATTATACGTAACCTGCGTTTCCAGGGTTAATTTTCAATATAGTCGCCATCTTATACAATTTTAATAATCTAAGCGTTTCGCTATTCTATGCAACATAGAGATTTTTGAACTATGAGATTCACATTAGGTGCGAAGTTACAACAGAGGAGTTTTACCACATTACCTCCAAAACCTTTCAAGTGCAGTTGTGGTCAAATATAACTTATCTTTCCCAACATTAGATCGTAAAATCTTTCACCGGCTAAACAAAGGCATTGTTATCCCTATGTATTATCAATTATAAGATGATGCGTTACCCAATTACTTCAAAGCGCTCATATGGCCTCCAAACCACAAAGGCTTTATCTAGCTCCTTTTCTCCTTCAAATTTCGATTCCAGATATTACCGAAACACTTCTAACGATGCCATGTATTTCATTAATTTAATACATGCCACCTTGATCTCGCTTGGCCTTTTGGACAAGCGAGCCAAGCTGTTGCTGCTTGGGCTCGACAACTCTGGTAAGTCAACGCTGTTATATAGGTTGATAACTGACGAGCTCGGGGCATTGGATCCTACTGGGCGCCCAACTTCAGAAGAGCTCAAAATCGATAACGCGCTTTGTACCACGTTTGACCTCGGCGATCACCAACAAGCCAGGAGCCTCTGGGAAGACCATTTACGGGAGGTTGGCGGCATTGTGTTTGTTGTCGATGCTGCAGATCCTGAGCGCTTCGACGAAGCCAGAGCTGAGCTATGGGCCCTCTTTGCAAAAAAGGAGTTAGCCGATGTTGCTTTCCTGGTACTAGGTAACAAGATCGATGATGAAAATGCCGTATCGGATGTCGAACTTCGTGCCCGGCTTGGCCTTAACAATCCCTTACGCGAGGACGTTAGGCTTTTCATGTGTTCCGTGGTCGAGAGGCAGGGATATGGCGAAGTTCTACGATGGCTCGCCGATCGCCTCTAAGCACACGACGCTGGAGCCTGAACTTTTTACATGACATAGACAAATAGACATAACATACAGTTGAGCAATACCTGAACTGCTCTCAACTTCAGCTGGTTTGAGCCAGTACGTAGGCATAGTACTGTCTTGTAATTAGGGGGGGCTAACAGTACTCTGAATATATATGAGGCTTGGTCCAACCCACAAAGACGTGACTTAACCCAACTACCGAATTAGAGAGCTGCATAATTTCTGACTAGCATATATACTCCGTAACTCGCGGTAGTTAGACCATGATCTCAGTGTTACTCAGACGCCTAAAAGAAGCTGAGCGTAGAATTGTATTAAAACATCGTAAGGGCACCGCAATGAAATTGGCCTTTTGATCTGCATATTACCTACCAACCTTCAGTTAACGAAATCGGAACTACGCCTTTGACTTCGAATTCAACTTCCTCTAAGCCTCCTAAGAAGGCCCAAGAAAGCTTTAGGTACTTCAATGGTGTCACCGCTACTGAAGTAGAGTCTGGCGGTAAAAGTCAACCCGGAGCTTCGAGAGAAAACCTTCCCACGCAAACCATTACGGCAAGCCGCATGCTTTCCTAATAGAGATAGGATAAAACTTTATCCATACTCGTTGGCTGTCAATCAATGTTGTGTTCCAGGGGCATTCTCGGGCTGAATGGGCTAGAGCTTCAGATATATCAGCCTACTTGCCACGGCGGTGAAATTCCCAATATTCTACTCAAATACATAGCTCATATGCTAGTAGGTAGGTATCTAGGTAAGGTAGCAAAGATATACCATTGCAATTTAAAAATATATTTAGCTCTTCGCTCACTAAGCCTCTCATAAATATGGCAGTTAGTATGGTGCCTTTGCAATCCTAACTTTGATGTAGTTGCACAATACTAAGATCTGCATACAGTGAGAATACAGCTGGAGGGTTAGCAATAAGGGAGGCAGACATATAGTTATACAGGCTTTCCTTACACTGCGTTATTAAAGTAAGCTTTGTGGCATTCTTCAGTCCCAATTTGCTGATCTCAAGGTAGGTAGTACCAAGCTAATTTGTGGCAGAGGACATACTCAACGACGCGACCTCGAGAGGTATATACCTATTGATGAGGATTATCTGAACTAAGGTACCTAAGGTATATACACTTATGCATGAAATAGGCATTCAGCCGCAGGAGCCACTCCGAAGTTTCGAGCAGACCAATGACGTGTACCCATTCAGGAGCCAATAACGGTACTTACTACGTCAATTACGCGCATAAGTACATAATAGGATTGGCAGCCCCCAAGTCTCCATATGGAAGTCTCCTCAAGTTTACTCATGGTACCCCAGCCTAGGAGTCTAGGTTTCTTAAACCGCCCCCAAAATAGAAAGCGAAGATGAGAAACTGGGGAAGTACATGTTAATAATAAGCTTCTTTTTAAAGAAATGTCGCCACCTAATGCTACCGACTTTTCGACTACCTACCCACCGTAGCACTGCGGTTATGTCCTACCTAAGGCAGATCCACGAGAACTTCCCAAAATGCGAGGAGGAGGACCCGACAACAGACTACCACGAGGTGGGCTATGTCGGGCGAGGTAGGTAGGCAGGCTGGTAGGCAATAATATGGCTACCCGCAGAACCATATCTCCGCTACGAGGAATCGTACATAGTACGTGGAGTAGTAGCCTATGCTCGGAGCCGGCTTGCGTCGAAGATGCATGGAAGGATGCTGTAGTGCGTGGTTGGTACCTACCTACCTAACCTAGCCCGGCGCTGCCTTTTTTTTTCTTTCTATTTCTTTCTAAGATACCAACCTACACCCGCCGAGGGAATAATCACCTTATTGTTTCGGAAGATGTGGAGTGAGACGGTCAGGTGGTGGAGATGATGGTCCAACGTCACACAGCACTTACATGAGGCCGTTGGCTGTCGGGAGGCTGCAGTTGAGGGTAGCCTACCTAATTGCGCGGTAGCCCGGAGAGTCATCATTATGGTTACCTACATAGCCTGCCTGTGTATCCCTTTGGGTCAGCAGGCACTGCGTTGAACTTGGGATCGTTGTCTCGCTTGGCTTAGAGAACATTATATGTGTATGACTGTGATTTATATATACCTACCCTACTTCCTACTTTAAATCCCAGGCGGGAACCAACGAAAGCCTTACGATATTCCAGCCCTAGGTTCCAAGTATATGGCGCACTAAAAATTAGCTCTCGTCTAAGCTTGGACAAAGTTGAGGCGGTAGCCGGGCGTACCAGGTGCCAGGATTAGGTATCTACCTGATTGTAAGCAAACATCTCATCTCAGGCGCCTTTCCGTTAGCGACACTTGTCTCGTTAGGTACAGAGCGGTATGTTAATCTATCATGCCACGAGGCTCCCTCGCAGTAGGGAGTATGGAGCTAGTATTAGTACCATCCATTAATTGGCTGATTGACCGATGGTGCTTGAGTGGAATTCTATGTTAGTTCAACGAGGTTAGTTTTTGATAGTACTGGTTTTAAACTGTAGAGACCCTATGGTAATATGCGTTTGTGACTAAATACCTAGATAGGAATATCTCGGGATAAAGTGACAAGAAGCTTCGGTCACTAGATTCGTGGGAATGGAGACCGTGTCTACCTAATAAGCGTAAGCCCCGAAAGGATGATAGTCTTTTAGAGAGTGGCATATACACTCCACTCATTGGCCGGTAAATGTGCATTCCCCGGAGCGGATCGGTCGGATCGGTAGGAAGCATGCGTAAGCGCCCGGACCGGCTTCTTGAGAAGCGTGCCCGTATCAGGGCTTTATTCGGACAGCGGGCTGCGGCATTTATAATAGTTATTGGTGTTATTCCCTTAAAAATTCGGCATCCTGTTTAACTAAAGCGCAATATCTAACTCTCCCGCCGATGAGGTCAAGGGAGGCTACGTATCATCATGTGCAAGACATGTAAGAAATTGGTTCACCGCAGTTGGGATCGACACTAGGAATAACATGCAGATCAGTAGGGCGCAGCTATCATAGATCTTACGCGGTTGTGGAGGATAGTTGATATCTTGGATTTCCCCCGACTCATAACAGTTGGCAGCACACCTTCTTTACCTACCAGTATGTGCACCACTTACACACTCCAATGCAGTAAGCATCCGCCGGTATTTGTGGCAAAGTGCATTACAGTGGCTTGGAAGGATTAAGAATGATAAGCTGTAATAAAACGCCCTCCCGTCCGAAGATGGGGTTAAGAAGATACTGTGAGAAAGTACCTAACCTAACGTACTATGTAGAGTAGAACCTTTAAGGTAATGAGTAAAAAAAATAAATACCTGTACACAACCTGGATCATTCGGTGGTCATGCGCTTTAAATCTTACGGTGCCACACCTTTTTTCTTTATTTTATATTTATTTTATATTTTTTATAACGAAATGACGCAGATCCTGTGCATTAGGTAGTATTGAAAAAGTAATATAATACAATTTCAAAGTGTGGTAACGCGTGGGCTCTAACAGGAAGATCTTATTACTGCGCACTTCCAATGCTTCAAAATCGGTATCTAATGTACGAGTGGATATGGGCGGCAGGCGTCTGATGTTTCAATAAACAGCAGCACGTATCCATCGAGCCGGACTGAAAGTATGCGACTCGTCACTTTATTTTTTACTTTTTTTCGATTAAATGCGTGAGGTATCTTTGCGGTGAAGGATTCCAAAAGAGGATCCTTCTCCTCATTCCAGATCGGCAAACCGTTTGCACGCGGTGGATATACATAGTAAATATATCGTAGTTGGTGTATGGTCGGCTGCAGTGTCTTTATGTACATCAGATAGGTTGCAGCCAAGTTCCGGCCAGTAAGCTTCGGGTCTGCGTTTAAGAGACATTCTTGAAAACCCGGACCAGCATCGAAATCCTACATCCTACACCACTTTAGACTGAGCCAGGAGCTTACCATACCTACATACTCTGTAGTTAGTCTAGGTATGTATTGCAACACTAATACAACTGTTGAACAGGATAACTGCCGTCGTCAGAAAACTCGGATATCAGTCGAGAATAGAGGCAAGGGTTATATTCTACAGCCCCCGCCCTGTGCCCTCCATTATCAAAGATTCTTGGCTGTGCCATCGGGAATATGCACTGGAAAAAAAAACCTACTTTAGGTCCAGGTAGACATGTATGCACCTTATTCTGCGTATGTACGATAGGTACCCTATTGGCATACATAGACTTTTGATGCGGCTCTCATACCTATTACCCTAGCGTGATGTTATTGGGCATATCTCACTCATACCGAGATACAATCGTACTATTGTGTAGTAGGTCAGTACCTAACCTAAGGTAGTAAATCAGGGTGACCACTACGAAGTTCATAATGAGGTATGGTACCCAACTTGAGATTTTGATTGACGCTTATCGGTTAAGCAACGGCGCGGCCGACTTATTATGCATGTATTAATTATTAGTTCTGCAAGATAATATTTCGTAAACAGTTAGCATCTTGCTCGGACCTTGTCACTTATCGCAACATTAGTTCGGAATTACCAACCGGATTTGCATAGGCCCAACTCTTTTATAATATTGCCAGAGATGCATTGCATGAACGTAGCTTCAACCCGCCAGCCCACTTCCCACGAGATCAACGGCCTCCACCTGTGGGTTGCGCCGTCCCTCGAATAGTAATACCAAATTCTGCGTGTTTCTGTTCGTCCACCACCCTCAGGGGTCCAGCCCCTCTTATCGCCATCCTTATTTTCGGGCTGCTGGTGCCTGGCTCTAAAAAGACTATTAACGGACGGCCTTTTCTCTATCTCTTTGGTATAAGAGGTAGATACCTGTTATAGAAACTTTGCAACTTATAATAATAAGTTGTGACGTGATACCTTGTCTGATCCAAGAGCGACTTATATAGGAGGTATATATATATACTAACCTTATATAAAGAAGTTGAAGCAAAGTCCTTCCCTATCGGAGCGGAGGAGAAACAATTTGTGGATGTGCTACCTGCACCACGTTTACAGAATAAATCTCCGAGGTTCAGCTTCTGAAACGTCGGTACAATATAACACCTCTTTTCACAAACTTTACAAGGGCATATCCACCTCCTCCTTTCCTTAGGTACTTTACCTCTATAACCGGATTTACTTGATTTGTGTCCGTATTTATATTCACATTTATAAATATGATATATTAATAGTTGATGATGTAGAAATTGAATATATTTCATGTTATTAAGAGAAAGCCTGAGGATTAATGTAAAATGCGCATTCTGTTGCGCATTACGGGGACCTAGAATTCCTCAATGCTACATCTGTATTTAAAAGATTCAGACCCTAGCTCAGGGGTGCATATATCTATCTCTACCTAGGTACTTACTCTAATTTTTCTTCTTCGACTCCCCCGGAGCGAGCTGCATGCAAACAGATTCAAACATTGACAGGGGTCAAAACTAAACTTATCCGAGTTTAGCTCGGGTTAAGGAAATCAGGTAACTCGCAGCTGTAAATTAGCTTTATTAAGTGTAATGTATGTTCTCGTAGCCCCCAGCTTATATGGGGCGATGTGCAGTGACATACAGCGATGTGCTACTGTCGGTACGAACTAAGTTTTAACAAAGCCGGCCTACGCTTAGTCTAGCCTATGTAGGTAATGAATTGTGGATAATAAAAAGCAAGGGTAGACAAGGGTAGACAAGGGTAGGTAGTATCCGTACTTCTTCAAGGTGGGATATACCCTGCTATTCATCCATACACGGTAGCTTGTACTGGAAGTCGCAGTCGCAAAAAGCTCCAGTGTTACTTCAAATGTATCAATTCCTACGCTGGCGCGTTGCCGGCAAGCTAAAAGTAGAACACCATTTTTTGTTGCATCTGTCTGGCTAATATTTCTCTCTTCCGCCCATGTTTTCCTTTCTCCAACATCCGTCCGTTTCTTTCCTCCAGTCTGCATCTCTCGATATCTTGATAATTGGCCATATTGACCATATTGGACAGCTAAACCCCGATCTTTGTTATTCTTCCTGCCGTTGCAACCGCAATGAATAATGAATATGACATCCTAACAGATTAGAACGGGCTCACTTCTACTTCTACATCTCCTATTACTTATACTTCTACGCGAAGAAAACCGGAATAAAATCTCCAAGTCCCCGGCGGTGCTTTTTACTTCTTTCTTTGATCAAATCAAAACTAGGGTACGTTGGCCGATTCTACGTCTGCCAATTATTATTTTGCTTCTTCTTCTTTTCAACTGTTATTTCATCGGAGGCTTTTACGGGTACCTGGATATTGAAAGATCTGGTAGTGCCATCTATCTACTTGATCTGCTCTTTTCACTACCATATCTTAACCCCCTTGTCGGCAGGGGCTAAACTCATCTCTGAAGCCTCATGCTCTTCTATTTTTTGCGGAGGGTTTTCACAAAATAGGGGGAGAAAGCACCAGCACAAAGAATTGACTACTCTTTGCTGGGGAATTATTAGTTCTTCTGGCCAAGTGGTCCACCAAATTAACTTGTTCATCCTAACTGATTACGCTGATTCTCATCACATCACATGTCATCATCACCATCACATTGACGATCTAGGGTCTCACCTAAGATTCTCCCATTCGTTTCCTTTTCGTTTCATGCCTAGCTACCCAAAATGTCTTGCTGCGATACTTGACTCATGAGCAAAGCAAAGTCTCAAGCTAGATCTAGTTTCCCCTTTGTAACATGACTCCATATCTTTTACCCGAATCTCGACGTGCTTGGTTTCCCCAGTCTCCCTATGGAATGTTTCACTTATGAGCTGAGCTGCCATTCATTCTATTTCTTCCTAGTAATGATCTTCGTACTTCCTCTTCGACTACAGTTTCAGTGCATTCTTTCCTAAACTATCTTTTTTTTCTTCTTCTTTAGAGCTCATCGTTAATGTCTTTAACTATTATAGCTTCTACCACTCGATAATTCGAATATTGCTCTCAAGCCGCTTGGGCCTACTCTGCAGACTTGTCGTCTGCAGATATTCATTTCAATCTGTTGCCATACCCCAGTCAGGGCGACCTTCTGGGGTCTGCTGTTACTACGGACGTCCCAATTGAGACCTTCCTAGCAAACAACTCCACCATGTCGAGCTCTTCCTCAACCGCTGTCACAAACTCGTCGCGACACGTTCATTCCAGAACCCAGAGCATATCGAGTGACAGACCATCCACAGCTAGCCACAACCTCATGTCTCCCCCTCTCTCCGTATCGCCCGAAGCGGTCTTTATAGCTGCATCTGCTGCTTCGCAGATAGTTACTAATGATCATGACAGCCATTCTGAGACATGGTATGATCAGATGGGAATCGAGCCTTCGCAAGAAACTGCGTTGGTCTCACCGGGCGCTCTCCAGCTCGCTAACAACTTCGTCGATCAACTTTTATTCAACATAATTTCCGTCGCCAAATCCACCTCCTTATCAGCTTTGCGACCGGCTGTTAGCGAAGTTTTGAAGCCGAAACTTGCCAAAGATGCCATCAACAATGCCGAAGAGGAGCTTCGAGAGTATCTGGGTGGTGGTGAAGTTGAAGACTTGGTGCAGTCTCCGAGCACTGCAACCCCTGCCGATTGGGACGTGGAGCTAGTTTGGAAAAGAACGAGGCTACGTTGTATGGTTTATTCATCCCTTGGTGATATGGAAGAGGAGGATGAAGAGTACTATATGGAACAGGAACATCTTAGAGGCGAGTCGGATGAGATTCTCTCTGAAGTTGTATCACCTGCAGTTGCTATTTTCTTGACCTCGATTCTTGAATTTATGGGTGAGCAGGTTCTCGTCATAGCAGGACAGTCGGCTTTCAACCGGTTACGTGTCAAACATGAGAAAGAGCTGAAAGAAGGCACGCGATCACCTGGCGGACTGTTTGAACGTATTATTGTCGGGGAGTTGGATATGGAGCGTGTTGCGTTGGATCGGACCCTCGGTCGACTTTGGCGGTCTTGGAAGAAGAGGATTCGGTCGCCGATAGAGCCTAACTATTCTCGTCCCTTTTCGCGTAGTTCTTCGAGCATCTCGGGAGTACCTAACCAGCGGCGTGGAAGCCTTGCCACAGACCACGCACAGTCGTTTCAAACACGTAAAGATTCCGACCCTGCGCTCGAAGTACAGGAAGAGCAAGATAGCGAGACGGCTGGTGATGAAGTCAGCCAGCGGTTAATTTCGGAAGTAAACCCAGCTGATGTACCTCTGCCGGATAGCGATATCGAGTCAGTCTATAGCCATGAGGAGGAAAGCGAGGAAGAAGATAGTGATAGCGTTCGCCGGCCGAAGAGTCTTATCCTTTTCTCTTCGTCAACGAAGAATAAGTTAGCGGCTCTTCGGGCTTCGCTGACAAGTGCGTCAAATCGACGCCCTCGATCTCTTCCTCCTCCTCGGAGAAGCTTGCGACAACGCTCTGCTGCCTCTAGTCCTCTAAACGAGGCCCAGCCTGCCAAAGATATAGGCAAGGATGAGGAAAATTCGGCCGAGAAACCCACAACTGAGGCAGAAGATAATGTTTCTTCTAAGGAGGTTATAGATGTCAATGCTAATGGGAATGAAGAGCCTTCCCAGATAGCGGAACAAAAGGCGATGTCAGACGGACTGATTCCTGTTGCCACAAACGATTCTACACCTGTGATATCGACGAGAGCCAGCAGCATTACCCGACTGAGCGAAATTGAAGAGGACGAAATCGATGAATTTACCGAAGAGCCTGAGATATTGACATCATCAAGAATCTCTATTGGAGGAAGGAGTTCATCTCCTTCTACATCAGATTCCGGAAAACCTACTCTTATGCCTGTAAGGACTAATAGCATTCAGTCGGTACGGATTATTGAGGTGCAGAGCCCTCGTAGCCCGACGGCTGGTTCGCAAGCGAGTTCTATGGATTTCCAAGATCCCGCCGCGGTGGCTCGTAGAATGTCCACCCCTCCTATTGCTGAGGAAAAGGACTCAGAAGCACGGCCTACAAACAGGCATGCCGTTATTCTTCAGCGGTCATTCGAAGATCCCCAAGAGACCAATTCTACGACCGTCCAACCTGCCCGAAATCCTAGTCCTTTAAGAAGTGTTCATTCACAAGAAGTATATGAACTCGCAGCGCCCACTACTAGAGTGACTATCCTGAGTAGTTCCGGATCGGAGGCGCCTCCGGATGAAAAACCTGTGGTTTCTTCGAAATCATCGAGGAACCCACCGATGCCGACATTACCTGAGAGGAGTACAAGTCGACCCGTTTACGGACGATCGGGCTCTAACGATACTACGTCTAATACATCCGCTCGACGTGGTACGCCGGAATCACAGAAGATGCCACGCCCTCTACCAAGTGACTCGCCTTCATCCACGTCAACTAAATTCAAACCTGTGCATTATGCTGAGGACAGAGCGCGCGATTTCGAACAGTTAATCCACAGCCAGGACACCCTGCAGTATACCCTCACACCTGAAAACATGCGCGATATTGACGTAAGTCTTCCATCTACCCGCTATACGGCGATATTTAACACAGTGCAATAGTCTACTTCGTCACAGCATACCGGAAGCCCTAAAACGAACAGGTTTCAGAGAAACGAAGACAACAAGCATGAGCGCTCGCGATCTTCATCTATTAAGAGGGCCGCATCGATTACGAAGAAAATTAGTCCAGGTATCCATCCTTTGAGTTCCAATCCTCCCACGGATATTCCTTTTGCTGGGAAATTCTCCGAAGCGATCATAGGCGTGCCCAATGCTGGCCCACCGAAAAGCCGATCGGGTAGAGCTCCCCAAGCGAGGGAGGCACGAATCCCTCGGGAGTCTTTGCAAGACTTTGCCGATTTCATTCGATCAACAGGTCCTCCTACTGAACGTAACGTTCAGCGTACCAGAGGGCATACTCCTTCGTTATCAACCGTCCGGGCTTCCAAGGGACCGACTCATGTGAAAAAGAGCGCAAGCATTGACATCCGACAGGCCCATTCGAGTAACCGACCGCACCTCCAGGCTCGGGATGCTACTGTTAATCACAACAGCGAAAGCTCGGATCTCATTGATTTTATTCGGCAGGGGCCGCCTAACAGCAACGGAAATAACCCTCGAATTCCCCGCCATATAGCTCCTTTCCGCAGCACGATGGATTCGGACCAATTGCAAATGGCGGGCGCGGTAGGAGGCAAGGCGATCGATGCAGTAATTCCGAACATTCGAAATTCCGAGGCATCGACGAATGTTACGGAGGCGTCAGCACCGTCATCAATGAATTCTCAAAGCGCACTCTTGAGCAAGGCAAATAAGGTACAACAATACTCCGGTAATAATTTTGACGACGACGATATGACGCCAAAGCGGACACAGCGACGAGTTCGTGACCCTTATGCCATTGACTTTAGCGACGAGGAAGATGAATACTTGGATACAATGCCCCAACCGAAACCAAAGAAGGAAGAAAGCTTAATCGATTTCCTTAACAGCTACCCGCCTCCCCCTGAGCCAATGTCAGAACCAGTTGCTATCCCGAAGAAGAAATCCAGTGCGCCAAATCTGATCGCACGTCTGAGATCAGGCGGAAGCTCTATCAAATTAGCCTCGAACCCGAGGGGACTTGGCGAATCAAGATCTCTAAGTAGTCGGAGTGGTACCAGCAAAGGTTACACACCTATTGTTCTCCCAACCTCAGTCGAGAAATTTGGGAGCGAGCCCGGGCCGCCACCAACCGCTCCTAGTAACCTAGCAGGCCGTGTTCCGATGAAGAAGTTCGAAGCACGAGACGCCGTTTCCGCCAATACACCTACATCAGATCTTGCTAGTTTCCTACGCGATTCGGAGCCGCCACCTCAACCTTTGATGTCGCATCCCATCCAGAACGAAAACAAGGGTAGTGGGTTCTCTCGGATGTTTGAGCGCCGTAAGAAGTCTGCTGCATTTTAATCACTTTCGCCTTTGAATTCGAACCTCCCGTGTATAAATCAACTATTTACTTTCGAAACGTTCGGTGCTTATAAAAATATTAGAGCTAGGACAAAGGGTGGCAGTTTTGAAAATTATATTTTTCTAGCGGCGGAGTTGCCAACCATTTAGTTACGGACATCTTATGCGTGTATTTATCATCAATATTGGCCGGTTGTTCTTTTTTATTTTGGCAGTTATTTTGATCCGTTGGTTGGTCGGTTGTCCGACAGGGCTATTCAGATGATACCATGCATTCTTCTACTTACTTTGCGTTGCTAGCAAAGGTTGAGTGGAAAGACATAATACAAAGAGTACCAACGGAAGATTATTGGTCAAGATCGTACTTAGATAGTATATCATGTAGGCCCTGATATACTACGCTCAAATGAAAAATGCCAGTATTACTTTCTCGAGTGGTGTGGTTTTTCGATGATGAAATATATGGTGCTTCGTTTCCAACACAAACAGAAGTTGCAGCTTATAAGGAGTGACTTATCACCAACGATTCCATTACTATTACCATAGATACCAATAGAGAAAACGACCTAACCTAACCTTAGATAGGCATGCTTAATAGATGCTATGGAGGAACAGTAGATACATACCTCTGACCTGCAAGCCAACTTTTGTCAGTTACTACTCCAGCTTCAATAACTCCTAATACACCCCCTGAACCGGTTTTGAAGTCCATATTAGACAATAGAACTTCTCTAAGGATACGAGCTATCTTAAGGCCTATATATATACTTGACTACCTACCTTATATAAGGTTATGAAGCATCCTTCTAGACGCAGAGCATGGTTAGTCGTGCGTATTTTTAGGTACCTTAGGTTAGATAGGAGGTAGTTTACGATGTGCTTTAAGTAGCAACCTTTTGGAAGGGGCACAACAGAATGAATGAAGTGCATAAATAACGGTGCTATGTGAAGCATCCCTTTTTGTTGAATTCGGCGCAATTAATGAAACGAAAGACTAGGTACCTAACCGACCCTAACCTAGATTAAGGTATAGGAACCTGATGCAAATTATTATACATGGATGAGAAACTGGATAGCACATCTGTTTTGCTTTCGTAGCTGGTTGACTGACTGACCGGGTGACGACCTGTAATTACCTGGTAGGAGACTGGTCTGACTGGGCATGTCTGCGTCTGCTGCTAGGTAGACCTGGCTAGGTAGATGTGCAAGTGTCCTGCTATGAGAGTAGTAGTAGACTGCCGTGCATCAAATATTAAGAAAAGAAGCACATAAAAGAAAAACTCATGAAACGTGCTGCCGTATCGTAATTATAGAGCCAACTACCTAGATGGCTTACTTCTTTCTCTCTCTCCCTCCATATCTCTCCCCCCCCTGTGATTAACGGCCGTGATCATAAAATGCTTTGACTCATGAAAATTATCCTTCGTGCGTGCGTGCGTGTATGTGTGGGTGTGTATGTGGGCAACTCACTCCGAGCGCCAACAACCCTTATTATGCACGCATTGCTCCCTCTGCTGTCTTGTATCGTCGGTCAATCAGTATCTGACCCCATTGAATCCATTATTTTTTTCCTTCCTATTTTCCTTTTTCTTTCACACACGCAAAAGCACACGCACGGGCGCACAGACACACTTATCTGTCCGTCCCCCTTTCACCTCCCTCCTTTTCCCGCGACTCCATATCCATATCACCGAGGAAACACATCCACAGGACACAATGCTAAGTCAAGTCAAGCCGCAGCGTCAAGTCCCCGTCTTTTAGCCTCTCAGACGACGAGCGAGCCAAGCACGAAAACCCTTGCGATTCTTGCCGTTGTTCTTCTTTGCCTTCTTGGCTGCCGCCTCGTCACTGGAGCGGTAGAGATCGTCGCGATCTCGTCCGGTGTACACGATGCCGCGGGAGATCGTGGTCAGCGTGGAGTGGGAGCCGGAAGGGCTCGGGGTCTGGGGGTGCGGGGCCTGAGCCTGGACGATGGCGCTGGCTTCGTCGTCGGCCCTCGCGAGGGCCGACGCGCTGTACGAAGCACCGGGAGCAGGGATCCAATTCTCTTCATCAGCACTGTTACCTTCCAGGTTCTCGCGGTACGGATGCGTCACAGGAACGCCGGGAGTTCGTTCGGGTCGGCGACTGTATAAAGTTTGTGAGAAGTAAGTGCGGGCAAGGGTGCTGCTGGGGTGAGAGGCGGATGAGGCTTGAGCTTGAGCTTGGGCTTGAACAGGGGCGGAAGCGGGAACTCGCGTAATTGTAGAGCCAGAAAGAGTGTTTTGCTGAGGGCGGTCCTGATTCTGCTGCTGCTGCTGTTGAGAGGGGCCCGAGTTTTGGAAAGCGTTGCCATTGCCGTTACGGTTCGGGTAGCTAGGCTGGAACTGCTTCTGCTTTTCCACGTCTTTGTGCTGGTCCAAGTGCTTTTGGTGGTGCTCGTTGTTGTATCTCACAGCTGCGTAAGGATCCGACTCGTCAAAGGGCAGAACACAGTAAATTGAATGCTCTACCTCGTGGATGGGCTCACCCACCAGTTTGTCGTCCTGAATATGGTAGTGATGAGCGTGGTTATGGACGTGGTAATGATGGTGATGGACGTGAGTGCAGCGATTTTTGCGAACCTTCACGTTCGAATCATCTTTTCCTTTTTCCTTTTGCAGGACGTTGCCCTTTCCTTTACCTTTATCATTAGACTGGCGTGCACGGTAAGACTGGTCATTGTACTCTGCCTCCAAATCCGATAAGTTACGCTGCAATAGCGGAGGAGTGGGTGCCTGGACGTTTATGTGAGGTACGGCAACGTCCTGCTTGTCGGACTGCGAACGATCTTGCTTCTTTCGTTCAGAAGTTGAAGGCGATTCATCGCCGGAGGCAGAAGTGAGAGACGTAGGGCGGCGACGTCTGACACTCCTAGTGCAGCTTCTGCCGCGGCGATGCGAAGAATCGAAGGGGCCCGGCATTCTAGAATGGAAATTTAGTATCTTGCTATTATTTATCTATAAGGAATGCTGTCGTTCTTACCTTGATAAGCAGATTCTAGATGATATTTAATCAGTGCTTAACGGTTGATGATGAGGGCTGCGATGCTTTGCGTTGCGTTGAATTGAATTGATGCGCGATGTTCAATGTTCTAGGCGTCAGGAAAATAAAAAAATAAAAAAAGTTAAGAGGGAAGGGTACGTCGGCAAGATTCAGGACGTGGAAATTTAGCAGCCTGTTGCTGGAGTGAAGCAAACTGCCGCCGTCCAAGTGCGTGATACTACCAGATTTGTGCCTGATTTTATTCACTGCCTATCTGCCAACGCAACCAATGGCAGGAACGGACTGATAAGGTATCTTAGCTATCTGACATTTAATCAATTGTCTAACTGAAGTTGTAATTTGCATACAACAAAATGTACATCCGTTACTACTTAATTGCTTGAACGCTTTTCTTGCTCTATGAACAATAAACAGAGAGGCACAGAGGCAGGGAGTGAAACTTACTCGTTATTCCCTATTTATAAAGCCTTTAGTTGAGATTTGTCCTGCTGTCCAGCTGAGGTGTATCGTGCAGCTAATACCTCATCCGGACTCTGATTAAGTGAAGTTGACCCCTGATATCGTTGGTTAAGTACCCTCTCTTCCTCGGATAGTTGTGATGAGAGTTCGTTACCCTTTTGCTTGGCCCCTTCTACCACTGCCGACTTTGCCTTGTCAGCTGTATCCTTTGCTCCCCAGAGCCTACTTAGAAACGAGCCCTTTGCTTCCTGGGCCTTCTCTTCTGTCTTTACAACCACCTCGGAGCCCTTGGCCTTTGCATCCGCATACGCACTTTTAGCTGCTGCTGCTACACTGGCAGCTTTTTCCTTGCCCTGGTCCAGTTTCTCATTCACAACGGCCTTGGCGTTTGCCGCAACATCTTCAACCTTCTCCGCCGGTCCCTGAGCATCACCAAATGCTCTTGCCCAGAGTCTAGCGAGAGCAATCTCGACATTCTCGCGGGTCTCCTCCCAGTCCTTATTCTGAACCCAATGAACAGCATCCTCTATCTCGGAGTTCCAGCGATCCTTAGCTCTCTCAATGAAATTGGCACGGTCAGCCGCCGCACGCTCAGCCCTGGTGGGTGGCAGAACAGGCAGCAGCGGGTCAATGATGGCGGATAGTAAACGAGTCTGCTGCCGCAGGATAGCAGCTTGGCGTTCTCGGTGTCGTTGGTGTGCTAGGACACTTAGATAAGCTACTGAGAGGGTGAGGGTTACACCTCCAGTCTGTATGAGTGAAGGAGAAGCTTTGTTAGTTTGCTGTCCTATATATAAGACGATGTCATGATAAAGGTAAAAACGTACGAATCCAGTAACGAAGCCCATTTTGAGCTGTTTAATATGCGCGCAATGGCGCAAGTGCTATAAGAGACCAATTATTTATAACTTGATGGAAGTTTTAGTTTTCTTGTAGGTTTATGTAAAGAGTCAAGCTCAATTGTTTTTGGTGGGATGTTTGAATATGTTGTGATGTATGTGAATATTGAATGGAATAACTGCATTGAATGGAAGCTTGACGTTTAACAAATGACGAAAGTCACGCTTACTTGTTCCAACTTCCATAAGTACCTAGGTACTTACTTCACAGTGTGGGTCTTCTGATTGGACACCCAGATCCAAGATCCAAAAAATTCAAAGTACCTAGCTTTGTACTTTTGTACCCTCAGCCAATAATTTGAACCTTCAAATCGTCGTCAAATTGTCAAATCAACCCATCCCACCTTTGCAACCGAAAATCCACCACCAATCGTAACACAACACCCGAGATCGAACCGTCCGGTCAAAACAAAACCTTGAAGGATGGCGGGTGGTCTAGTCAAGTACCGACACCTGAGTCGGAAATCCTCCCACCGACAGGCCCTGCTGCGAAACTTGGTAACCGCCCTCGTCCAGCACGAGTCCGTCCGGACGACATGGCCCAAGGCCAAAGAAACCCAGCGTCTGGCAGAGAAGCTCATCACCCTGGCTAAGAGGAACAACGAGACCAGCAGGAGGAAAGCGACGGGTATCTTATATGTACGATTGGTCCCTAATTTCCTTCCCTTCCTCCCAATTACACCATGTATAAGTCGTCTTTATCATCCGTATCATTACCATGCTGTATAGGTAGCTCAGAATAAAAAGAAGAAGAAGAAGATAAAAGCAAGAATATTACTAACCTATCTTTCTCCCTCTCTCTCTTCCCCGCCAAACAGACCCCCCACAACCTGCTCCCAAAACTCTTCGGGGAGCTGCGCCAGCGGTACGCCTCGCGGCCGGGCGGGTACACGCGGGTCTTGCGGACGGAGCCCAAGTCGCGGTACGACCAAGGCGAGTCGGCGATCCTGGAGCTGGTAGACGGGCCCAAGGACCTGCGGTTCGCGATGACGGCGGCGGCCGTCGCGCGCGACCAGCGCCTCGGCCGCCCCCACAACCAGCTCACCCTGCTCAACCGCCAGAAGGTCACCCGCTACCGCCCGGACGGCCAGGCCGCCTTCGACGACATGGTCAAGAAAGTCGGCGCCCTACGGTTGGGCGGCAAGGGTGCTGCTGCTGCTGCTGCTGGTGGTCCGCAAGAGGAGGGGTCGGGGGGATCGGAGGCTGCTGCTACGAGCTAGTCGAAGGAAGGGGGATAAAAAAATAAAATAAAAATAAAAATAAAAATCTGCGGTTGGTTCTACGAAGGAGGATGAAGAGCGGGGAACGAAGGGTTTTGATTAGGCCTGGTTCAGTCTTGCTATGATAGGAAAGAAAACTTAGGAAGAGCAAGATTTGATCGTATGGCTTGAGTCCGGGCATGGTTATTACTTGCCTGGGATTTCTTCAAATTCCAGTAAGTGGGAGAGAGTATCGGGGAAAAGAAATGTACAAGTACTATTACGATCCGTCTAGAAAGGGATCAATCAACCAACCCAACCCCCTTAGAGCCAGGCATGATGAGAAACGGCTGTTGTACTATAACCATAACCATACCCGCAAGAAATACAAGAAAGCAAAAAAGAAGTAAAAATTCCCTATTCACATATATCTATTTACACCTAATATTCGCCTGTGAATCAACTCAATCTACCTCACCTCACCTCTCCTCTCCTAATATTTACTAGGTACCTACCTCTAATGTTCTCATACAAAATCAAATGTATCCCCCTTCTCCTTAATCATCCTGCCCACCCTCTTAGACCCCACGACCCTCTCCAGCTTGAGAAGATCGTACTTGGAAAACATGACCCTCACGGTCCCCTTCCCCGGCTCGAGTTTCAGGTCCCTCTCGCTGCGCCCCAGATACCCGCCCACGATCTCCTTGTAGAAGGTCGGGTTGTCGGGCAGCCCGTACATGACGACGCGGCGCACGCCGCGCAGCGCGTACCGCCGGAAGTGGTGCGCGCGCTCCGTGTACAGCAGGACCTGGTGGCGGCCGCTGGCGAAGTGGGAGCGCGCGCGCGACGCCTCCGGGACGTCGGCGTACTCGGACACCGCGGCGAACGCGAGAGCAGCGCAGGCGGGGGACGTCGCGAAGTAATTGCGCACGCGCACGAAGTCGAGGTACGACGGGACGAGGATCAGGGTGCCGCCGAGGTCCTGGCCCTTGGCGCGCTTCGTGAGCGCCGGTATGACGGCGCTGGTGAAGTATTCGAACCTGGCGTCGGGCTCGGCGGCGACCGAGGGCGCCTCGAACCGCGAGAACGTCTGCTTCACCCTGATGCCGAGCTCCTCGATAGCGCCGGGATAGGCTTCGGGTTGCACACGTAGGCGGCCGGCCCAGTTGGTACCGAAGCGACGATGCAGTTCGACTAGTTCGGGTGTGTTGAAGGCGGATAGGACGAGAGTTTGTCGGTAGTGCTGGGCCTGCTTGTCGAGGTACCACTCACGAACTCGGCTGAAGTCACAATCGTGAGCCTCGCGCGGCTGGAGGTTGAGGTGCTCGAAGATGTACTCGACGTGCTCCCAATTCTGCATGAGCAAGGCGTCGGCCTGGTCGACCACTACAACCTCTATGGAACTTAGGAAATCAAAGTCGACCTTCTTTTGCTTCTTGTCCTCCTCGGACCCGATGGCCATGCGCAGGCCGAGCGGGGACGCTATCAAGATATCCGAATTGTAGAATTGCGCAAAGTACTTGATGGTCTTCCGTGTGAACTTGATGCCGATGCGAAACATGTCATCATCGTTGCCTTCGAAGAGCTCCCGGAAATCTTCTGGGCGGTCCTCCGAAAACTTGGCATCCTTATCGAGGTATGATTCGTCAAACCGTTTTCTGTTCTCCTGCTGCTCCGGCTCGCACAAGTCGCAAATCATGTTGACCATCTTGACAGCCGAGTGCCGGGTAGGAAGCAGCATCAGGACTTTCGGACGGGTAAAACCCTGGTCTCTTGGCTCGAAGTCGCTATTCTCGGTCTCCTTAGCGAGTTTAGCATTGTTTTTAATTACTCGATCTCGAGTTCTGTGGTGAAGTCAGCGGACCGTAGCTATTATTTGAGATCAACTTTTTTTTTGGCGGAGGTGACATACTTAAAGACATGATTAACACTATGAAGGCATGCCATTCGGCGCAGGTTCTCAGCATTCTTGGTAGTTCGTCCAGAAAATAATATATCGTTATAAGCAAAAGTCAATGGATAGAGAACTTGCTCTAACTTATCGAACGTCGGACGTTTTCGGTTGGCCACTTCGGCAAGTCGACTCTTGAGTTCAAGACTGGACGGGCTTGAGATAGGGGTGGGGAGGGGTGCTGGTTTAGTTAAGTCTTTCCCAGGGAAGTTTCGTATTAATCTCCATCCATTTTGCTCGGAATGAGATTGAGAATATTCGTTATTTTCAATAGACTTCAGACGTTTTTGTACCTCATTCTGATCTGGATTGACGAAGTGGGTTTCGAACGGATCAGATGAATCTGGGATATCATCATCGTCATCGTCATCATCGTCCACCTCAACTTCATTTTCTGGTCCTTCCTCCGCTTCATCCACATGATCGACGTCTCGTTCTTCATCTGCAGCTTCGTGTTCATCAATTGAAGTAGCTTCTTGCTGCTTAGGTTTATCAGACTTTGCTTCTCCAGGCTGAATGTCAAGCTTTCTCCTTTTAGCGCTTGGAGCTGATGACTCTTTAGATAAACTTTGCATTAACGCAAAATAAGGCCGGCTAGTAGATTTTTCCTGCTCGTCTTCTGATCCAGAAGCATCATTTTCAGAAGCATCGTCTGATGGTAGTTCATCCTCTGCTTCTGATACTTCATTTTCTGATTCCCTATGATATGTATTAATAATTGATCATTCAATTTAATTATAGACAGTAGTGAGCGCAATATGAAACTTACTCTGAGTCAATGATTCTTGCACTGTCAAACTTGGGGCCGCCTCCAAACGATCTTTTTCCATTAAATTTTCCTCCTCGACCTCCTCGACCTCGACCTCCTTGACCTCGGCCTGCTCCTCTTCCTCTAGGAGCACCTCCCCGACGAGGGCCTCCTCTAAATTTACCAGGCATTATATGATGTGAATGAGGCCAGAGGGGTTATTTGGTTTTCTGAAAACAATTAAGATTGCATTATTTACTAAAAATAAAAATCCCAATACCGCATTAAAATCTTGTAAGGGAAATTCTAAATTTCTAATTGAAGGTTCATCGTCAATCAGCCTTGCAGAAATTCTTAAACGCAAGCCTTTCCAAGTGGATCCCAGGTAGATCCGAGCCACACTCCACACCAATCGCTACGTCAACTATCCCTGTCCAACCTAGACTTTTAATTCCTTTATCTTTTGCCCCCCCCCCAAAATTGTTCAGCCTTGCCCACAACCTGGTGCGAACCCCACTACGCCCAGAACGTGAAAATTACAACGCCTGCAGGCAAAAAGATAAAATAAAAGAAGAAAAAAAAAAGAAAGGGAAAAAATAAAGGGTTCGATTAATTGGACTGAGAGACAGCAAAACAGCAATATTTGCTATCGTCAACCAAACACTCTCCCCCCTTTCCCCATAAAACACCAAAAAAACCGGCCTCCCGAATACCGCAATCATGGCCGTGGATACGGAACCGTTTCTTCATCTGTCGCGACCTCTGGCACCGACGTTGAATTTCCACAGCAATCTTTCCCCGCTCTCCGTTAATATCCTACCACAAGTATGTCAAGCCACTGTTATCTTGGTCTTGGTCTTGGTCCTGGTTTTGCTCTTGACCTCTCTCCCTCTCTTATTCTACCCCCCCTCCCCCCTCTCTACTCTATACTATCGAGTAGTCTTCTTCTATCTATCTATCTATCTATCTATCTGTCTAGTCGAGTAGGTATATAATATAACTAATACTTATCACAATAACAGGCCATCCTCTCCATCCTTGACCATGCCACCCGCCGCGACCTCCGCCCCGCGCCGACGAGCTCGTCGCGCGTCATCGGCGCCCTCGTGGGCACCCGGTCCGAGGACGGCAGCGAGGTGAGCGTGGCGTCGTCGTTCGCGATCCCGCACACGGAGAACGAGGACCAGGTCGAGGTCGACGTCGAGTACCAGAAGAACATGCTGTCGCTGCACCTGCGCGCCCACCCGCGCGAGGTCCTGCTCGGCTGGTACACCACCTCCCACGAGCTCAACTCCTTCAGCGCCCTCATCCAGAACTTCTTCGCCAGCCCCGAGACCGGAACCTTCCCCCACCCGGCCATCCACCTCACCGTCTCCGCCGAGCCCGGCACCCCCGTCCAGACCAGGGCCTACATCTCCGCCCCCATCGCCGTCAACGCCGAGCGCGCCTCCGAGTCCTGCCTCTTCATCCAGGTCCCCCACCGCCTCGTGTACAACGACGCCGAGCGCTCCGCCCTCGACCTGATCTCGAGCGCGCGGGACGCCGAGGCCCGGGCCGCGCCCGTCATCTCGGACGTGGAGTCGCTGACGCGGAGCCTCGAGCACGCGCAGGACCTGCTGGAGCGGGTGTCGGAGTACGTGGGCGGAGTGATCGACGAGGAGCGGGAGCCCAACAACGCGCTGGGCCAGTACCTGATGAGCGCGCTGTCGCTGGCCCCCAAGGTGGACCCCACCACCGTCGAGGCCGACTTCAACAACCACATCCAGGACGTGCTCATGGTCAGCTACCTCGCCAACAGCATCCGCACCCAGATCGACCTCAGCCAGCGCCTGGCCACCGCCGCCCTGGCCGCTGACGACGCCGGTAAGACCGACGGCAAGGAAGACGGCAAGGAAGGTGGCGACCGCAAGGGCGAGCGCGGCGAGAGGGGCCAGCGAGGCGGTAAGCGAGGCGGTCGTGGCGGTGGCCGAGGCGGCGGGCAACGGGAACCCCGTGAGCCTCGCGAGAACGGCGAGTGAATCTAACTTCGCACAACACACGCCCCCTCCCTCCCGCCTCCCCGCCTCCCCAAAATCCAGAAGCCGAGTAATGAATAAGAAGAGATGTAAAAGTCCTACGTACGTTGCGATGACCTGGGTTTATCTCTGTGCTCTGTTATTTTTGTTAAGAGAAAGCGCGAAGGTGGTAGCCATAAAAATTAAAAAATTGAGAGCCTGAATGCATGGTGGTACTAGGTAGTGGGATACGAAGAAAACAAAAAGGGGGCCGTCAGTGCGGTGCTCACCTTAGGTACACTTACAGATGAATACATACCTCTAACGCAATTGGCAAGGGGCCAGGCCAGGAGCGATGGGGGAAAAAAAAGGTCGCGAAGTAAAACTTGTGAAGGACGCACAAGTGGTCATCTTAGGCGTTTGCGTCTGGTTGTTACTCAGGGGGTATCTCCAGTCTTTATTTAGAAAGGGAAACGCTATTGCAGCAATGAAAAATAGGATTCTGAAACCCCCAAGTACCATCACATATTTTTTAAACACCCGTTGAATGATAAGGTATGTCGACACATGCATACCTACTACCTAAGGTAACCTAGGTGTATATGTGTTGCCTTGAGAAGGAGTAAATAAAATTGAATGTGAAATAATGTAAAATTGTTGTCGTGCTTGCTTTACTCTACGCCTTATAAAGTAGATACTATATCTTGTCGTGCTAGGTACTCGCAACCTAGTTGCCGAGAGGAGTCCATCCCTTTTTACTTCAAAACAGAATGGGAATAATACCGGACACCTTCAACTTCAATACCCACTAATACGGGGCAAGAAGCTCCCATCCTATCATCAACGTCTTTAATTAAAAGCTTTGCCCTTCGCCAGAACGCCAGCCAATGATACCAATACAACAACCCGCCAATTTACGCCGGTGTCGTTGTCTCTGTAAGGTTCCCTTTATCCATCCGCCTTAAAAGTGTCTCAAGTCCTCACCGAAAAGAATAAACACCACTAATGCTTGCTAACTTTTCATGCACATGTTGCGTTGCGCCAGTTTTTGTCTATATTCCAGTGGGTGGCTTTTGCGGCAGGGTGGCCGGATTGCCGTAAGTAGGTAGGTGGCTGAAAGTCTGGGTTGGGCCGGTCGGTGGAGGAATGCTAGGTTTGTTAGGCACCTGGGCCGGGACCTGGGGTAGGTGTGCCGAAGGATGTTGAGGAAGGGGTGGGTGATAAGCTGGCAAGGAGCTGTTAGATCCTTGCCGACTCATCCCGTAGCCTGGACCGCCTACGTACGCTTGAGGCGGAGCGGGAGAACCGCTATATGCACTATAGGCTAGATGAGGTGAACCAACCTGGGGGCTACCATGCCCGCCCATGTTATAGGGAGGTAGCGGAGGTTGGACTTGTACCATGCCATTGCTAGGGACAAACGACTGGGTCTTAGGATTAAATGCGTGTCGATTGTAACTCCCTGGAATAGGATGCTGGCTTTTGGGGTCATGGGGATTGGCATTCGCAGGAAGCTGTCCAAATGCGTAAGGAATACCTACTGGCCCTGGGTTTCCCGGAGTCTGAGGCTGAGCAGCCCGACTTTGATAAGGACTTAGTGATGGGGCCTGGTTATAGTTGGGTTGCCATTGTTGAGGAGGCGGGGTTTGGACCGGGCCAGCGTAAGTACCCGTGCTGCTAGCAGATGCAGCATACCGCGGTGGAGTGACCTGCGTTTGAGGAGGATACTGTTGAACAATGTTAGCCACCTAGGTATGTGTATAACTTATGCGAGTACATATATTAAGATAACACTTACCATTGGTATGGTACCATATTGCGGGAATGCCGCGTTAGGCATCATAGTTGGATAGGGTTGCGCAGGAGGTGCATAAGCCTGCGGCATCGGGTTTGGGTATGGCGGTTGAACAGGACTACTGTATTGCGGATGCCCAATGGGAATGTATTGAGGTGTCGTCCAACCAGGTTGGTGAGGGTGATAATACGGTTGATATTGTGACCGAGAATCGAAGCTTTCAGAATCATCTCTCCGCTGCTTACCCGTCTTTCCTCGCTTCCCAAGGTTTGACTTGTCCTTCGCCGACACAGAACTTGCTCGAGAGATGCCATTTGCATCGTCATTATCTATTAACGATTAGCGACTTGGGGATGTTATTAGTCAAATACGAAGCTCATATCTCACCTGGTGTGGTCTCTCCAGGTTTGTCTGAACTGCCAAAGATTCTCTCGCGGGCCTGCTTGTATGCCTCTTCACGTTCTTCTCTAGTGGGTCTAAGGTACGGTCAGCACTGAATTTACGTAAATGGCCAGTACTACATACTTGTCCTTCGTCGTAGCCGATTTCTCCTTGCCGTCACTCCCTACTTCAGAGGTTGCTTTGGATGGACTGGTACTAGCTTGTCCTGATCCGCCGTCCTCGCCACGCCTCATGATCTTTTTGGGTAAGAGTTGAGGTGTTGAATTAGTACTGTTATTAGTAGTAGTGCCGACAATACTAGCCAAGGAGGGAGGCACTCGGCAGAATGGGGTGCGGAATATACGGACGGAGCCTTGAATAGCTTCAAAGGAATGCGTCATGTGATAATAGTCGGCGAGCTTGTGGGTTAACATTCTGCAGAATGAATTGTTCGGTGGAAGATCCATATAGGGCTCCCTAGCCAAATATCAGCACCTCGAAATCTTATGGGAGCCAAATCTATACTCACTTAGAAGACTGAACAAAGTTAATAACTTCCTGCTCCAGCCGTAGGAGAAAAATCCGATCCTTTGGAGATTGCATAGCTTCCAAAAGTTTCTCGTCCGGGTTCTGGCCATAAGTTGAGGTAAAGGCATCGGACGACCCGTTAACGATTCCTAAAGTCTGAGGTTGTTCTGCTGGAGGCTGCTGGCTAGAAACACCGCTCTGGGGGGTAGCAATTCCCTTATCTTGCAGCTCGGGAAGTATCTGAACAATTCGCCTTTCTGGCATGTCACCAATCCTAAGACGATGGATGCGAGCCACTTCAGAACCAATTCGAGAGTTAGCAATTAGTGAACCCCTTATCGAAAAAGACTCGTCATCTTCTGCGGACGCTTTTACACTAGCACTGTCGTCCGGGCGCAGGGATTCCTTTTCATCAAGCGCAAATGTGGTACCCGAAGTAATACTCTTTCCATCAAGGCTAGGTGCCTTAGTACCCATCTCCGAGTTAGAATCAGCTCTTTGCGAAGCGTCATCTGATACTGAAGCCCCGTTTTCATTCTTATTATGGGCTTCGCTTAGTGAAGAAGATGAGCCATTCACGACCAGGCTGGGCGTGGACGAAGCGCTAGCAGTAGAGAGAGAGGCATGCGCATCTTTCCCGCCTTGCGCGGGCTTGGAACCATCAACAGTCGTGCTATTAGGTGGAGCAGTCACCGTGCCATTTTCTTTAGAAGCTAAAGGAGGCTTGGCGGAAGCTACCGGATTATTTCCAGAGTTCGTTGTGGTATTTGTGCTCTTAGTCGTGGCGGCAGGATTGGAGGAAGCCACAGCAGGCTGCAAGCGATGTTCCATAGCCGGTACGGCAACTCGTGAAGCCGGAACAATAGGCATGTTTTCTTTAGGTTTAGACGCAACCACCTAGGTTACTTGTCAGCTAAATACTAATAAGATGGGAAGGGAAACAACGCGCGGAAACGAAGTGTCCTCAGTCGTGGCTTAGAGTAGGCATACCTTGGCGAAGGACAACTTCTTAGGACCAGCGGTTGCTGAGGGTGCTGTCGCCATAGTTTGTACGGGTCGCGTTCGAAGCTAAGTACAGTCGACAAAACGTATCGCTGGTTCTCGATAAGGACAGAAAGAATGACGGCGACAATCTCGCAAATGCTGATCAGAGCCCCGTATGAACAAATGTACTCAACGATCGAGAAGACCAATAGCTTCGGTATAACGACGTCAGAGTAGCCGGAAATCAGGAAAGAAAATGAACAAAAGCAGCCCTCGGGGAGTACGAAATACGGCTAATCATTGTTGTGATCTGGTTATCTCGAGTCGTATCGGGAGGTTGCAAGGTTTGAATATTGAAGCGCAAATGGCCGAGTTGAGGTTCTCAAGCTACAGATGATGAAGTATATGTGAGGTGCCGAATAATGGTGGTGGGAGTGACCGAGACTAGAATAGGGCTGCTGTCAGCATGGGAAGGAATATCAGGGTGGGATGCGGGATGGGGGGGGGGGGGGGGGCAGGAGGATGAATGGAAGAGAATGGGACTGGTAGGCTTATGGTCCAAGACAGATCAGTCAGGTCAGTAACTGGACCAGATAAAATTGGATTGGTTGAGGAGAATGGTAACAGTGAACCGGTAGTATAGGTATCTAGTATGGAGAAGAGTTGGGTTGCACGCACATTCATATGTAGCTGTCGTAGGTAAGTGGTGTATGTAGTGTCTATGGAGGATATAAAGATGTAAAGGGCAAAAAAAAAAAAGAGAAAAAAAGGAAAAAAAGAAAAAGTATGGCTCGTAATAGGGTAGAAGAGAAGTTTGGTCGCAAAAGATTTAGATGTATAATACCTAGTTAATACGAATAATGCGAATAAGGCGGAGGTGGTGTTAAGTCCGTATTTGGGTAAAAGTCATCAGCCACCTCAGGCACCGATGTGTTCAGTGTGTTCCTATGTGTGTTTTGTTTTATGTCTTCTTCTTCTGACTGACAATATTTCTTTATGTGGATCGAAACTTGTAACGATGGCTGGATATAATCGTTGAGTGTTGAACGTGAACGTGACTGTGATCGTGACCGAGCAAGAAGAGAGAATGTGAGGCTACAATTAACCTCTCTGTTCTCTCTTCCTAAATTTGGTTCGCCGTCGAACTCCGCCTTCTTCCTCTTCTTCTTTTTCCCTCTTCCTTTTTTTTTTTTACTCTTTTTTTTTTTTTTCTCGGGTAATTAAGAGGCCGATAGATGAAATGTTGTCCTTGAGTGCTCCAAAATGCGAAGGACAAAATGAGGCTTAGGCGGTTGTGGATTGGGAAGATGGGGAAATTCAATGGTGACCGAACTTCGAAGTGACCGAAGGAACCAAGCGAAAGTAAAATCAAGTTTCAATCTTTCTTCCCAGCCTGGGCCTGTTTCAGTCCACGAACATTGGAGCATTAAAAAAAATTAGGCAGGGCTTTTGGGGGAGGCGCTACATATTAGCGAGTTAGCGCCTCAAGTTTACCTGCCGGTAGGAGCCGTTGTCCCCCTGACTGCGGCTGGTCAGTCCCTTTCAATACCTGAGTGAACCTAAGGTACCGGGTATATGCCATACCTAGTACACAGTACATATCTGTCAAAATTTACGCCTTTTATGTACTGCGAAATACCTTTTACATTTACAGCATGTAAGTATTATTTCAAGCTTTTTTAAAAATAAATTTTCTTTATTTAAATATTTAGTAATATTTTTAAATAAGAAATAAGGTAAGCTTTTAAACTTTTATAGCAGTTTAGGTACACCGAGACATACTCCGCACCGCCACACTATAGGTGATATATGTACGTTACCATCAATTAGGTACATGAGGTGTACTTAATAATCTCCAGATATTACAGGTATTACACAAGTACCTAACTTTAGATCCCTACCTACCTAGGTAACCTAACCTCCTAGAAGACGGTGAGGTCTTGATTCCCGCAGGTGGTCATCAAAAAGGGCTACATATGAAGAGTCGAACATTTATCTAAGATACACTTGAATTGGAATACCTCTCTCATCAAACACCAATTCCATTTCATTTTATTCAAGCACAAGATTCAGTCTTCATCTATATTTCAGTGGTCTTCAAAACTGGACCATCATTTCTCTAATTTTTAATCCTCATCCTCGTAAGAGCCCAGTCGATATCCACGGCTATGTATCGACGAGGCCCTCCGAAGTCTACCCCCGCAAACGTACAATGCCAAAAGTGCCTTAAAAGAGATATGTCATATCCCATTCAATTTTTTCAAAGAATCCTCCTAACATTCTCAGCACGTCACTACTCATACGAATGTAAAACTACAACACAAGACCGGCCTTACGTCTCAAGGCCGTCTCGGACACAGCAACTCTTCAACCCAAAACTTGTCCCAAAGCTGGCTAGTGACACCACAGATACCTTGCAGAAGCAGTATGAATTCCTACCTAAGATAAGCTAGATCTATACTCCGCTAATACTTCTACTATAGGAAAGGCGTGGCCGATGAGGAACTGGCTAAGAGGGAAGCCGAAAGGGCGAGGAAGCGAGAGCTAGAAGAAGAGGGATCGGACGACGGATCTCCAAAACGTAGAAGATCAGCTTCTTACGATTCTGTGTCCTCCATCTCTACCAGGCGATCCCTTTCACCGCCACCTCGAGCCCAGCAATCTACTAGGGTTCATCCAGATTCTCCCCGAAGAGGGACTAGAAGCCCGTCGCCCGTCAGTCGTGGCGGACGAAGGGATTCGTATAGCTCTGCTAGCGACTATGACCGGCGCGATCCTTCGAGCACCCGAAGGTCAACTAGAAATGACAGCCCACCAGGCGGACGTCATAGGCGGTCAAGATCCTTGGCGCGGGATGACAGTCCCGGGCGAAGCCATTATGACGACGCAAGAGATGAAGCTCCGAGCCAAACGTCTAATTATAGCCAGCGTAGAAGATACTCGTCCAGCCCTAGCAGATCCCCGCCGCCACATGAGCGACAGCAGTTTCGTTCGAGATCTCCAGACCGGCCTAGGAGGCGCGATAGGAGTCCCCCGCGAGACTACGAAAGGCAAACACGTCGGGACCCGGCACCTTCTTATAGGAACGATCGAAGACATGGCGAAGCACCGCCGCGTCGGGAGCAGCGAGAGCGCAGTTTAAGCCCATTCTCCAAGAGATTAGCTCTTACGCAGGCGATGAATATGGGCCGTTAAGATTGGGGTATCATAGTCGTATTAAGTTAAAGAAGTAAAAGACCTGGTTCTATTTAAGCTTATACACATATTGTAATCGAGTTCGGTTTTTTTTTTCCCCTGATGCTGTAAACCAAACGCCGTTAACCATGCAAATTTATAATTCGTCGCGATACCATCCTCATATATTATCCTCGTCTTCGCGCTCCCTCCTCTCCTCTTCCTCTTCTTCCCTCTCTCGTACCCGTACACCCTCGACCAACGCGACGCCATCCATGCCCGCGGCCTCAACGCTTCCCTCGTCTCCGTCTCCGTTTTCCACCGGCTTAGCCGTCTTCTTCGCCGCGTCCTGGGCGCTCGCGATGCGTTCCCTAACCAGCTTCGCGATGGCGTTGTCCGTGCGCACGTTGAGGATCTCTAGCTTCTTGTCCAGGTCCCTCTTGAGGTCCCAATTGGGCTTCTTGGGCTGGAGCTTGAACAGATCGATGCCCTTGTCGTCTTTGGTCTCCTCGGCGGCCTTCCGCTTGATCTCGGCCTCGACCTCGGCGGCTTGCTCCTCCAGCGTCGGCCCTTCCATGTTCAGCGTCGGCGGCGCCTCGAAGCCTAACTTGGGCCCTCGCATCTCGGGGTCATAATTGCGGCCCGACAAGTGAAGACGCGCCACGGCTTCTTCTGTTTCTGCGGCTTGTTGAGCTTCTTCCGCGGACGTGGATGTGGGTGGTACGGGCGGTGATGCCGAGCGCTCTGATTCTGGGGGGGCGATCTCGTCGGCGGGTTGCTTGCGCTTCAGCTGCTTAAGTTTGGCAAGCCGCGCTTTGCGGTCGTCAGCTGCCGCGCTGAGTGTCGCGTGTGACGTTGACATTTTCGTATTATAGCAATTCTGTTTCCCCCCCCTTATTCGGAATAATCAGGTATAGCGTAGTAAGGTCGTTAGAAGAAGCCCGGAACTGGAATCGAAGTAAGCTTAAAAATGAGGAGCAAAGGTAAAAGAAATAAGAATAAAAATAAAAAATACGAGTGCAAGTAAGTACATGCGATAGGTACCTATGGAGGTTTAGCAGTTTCTAAGATAGGTATATGGGGAGGTACCTACTTAACCTAAGCAGCCCAAGGCAAACAGATAAGTCATTTCCTGCCTCTTATCGATAAAATATCGAGATAAGATAAAGAAATTAATCCCTGCTAATCCGTATGCGACTTTTATAGCGGACAAGGAACTTGTAAATGCTTCTAGCTTCAACAACTAAAGAACTTATGTAGAGAAATGCCGCTCTTTAACGTCTGACTCTACAGACATCATACCTCCAAATGTTATAATGGTACGCTTCTAAGATTTAGTCTCTACTTCTTCTTTTTATTAAAGCGCGATATTCGCAGGTAGTCATAAAAATGTCTAATTATCAACCCCATACCGATCAAATCCGTCTTCCAGCATTGACGATACTTTTATCTTCCCGATTATGTCAACACCATTCATATGCCGTCAATGCACAGCCCGGCTTTCCCTGACCCATTCTGTGCGAATCCGACCGAAGCGTTTCGAAACACATGCTGCAGCCGTATCGGCAGAACAGAGACGAGGGCACTCGACCGGATACGATTTTACGAATAACCAGGGAGATGAACTTCTAACATACAACTCGGACCCGCAAGCCTTTAGGTATGAAACGGCCATAGAAGAACAGCCAAGGTGGAACGGACAATTGGAGAAGTTTACCCATTGGCGCCGACCAGATGTGAAAAAGCTCCGTAAACTTCAAGTTTCTGGTTCCCAAGACCTAAAAACGAAAATCTTACGGTGTCTAGGGGACTATAGATTCTTACATGACGATTTGATACGCTTCTATAGCCTTTCGCCTCAAGAAGCGCGCCATGCGATAAGCCAGCTAGAAAGGTTACTTGGGGGACGGTCAGCCGCGGAAGCTGGGGCACTGCTTGAACAGTTTCATCTATGGAAATCCCATTTCAAAAAGCTATCGGAAATTGTTTCCGGTGGGAATTCTACTTCTGGGAATAAAGATGATTTACCCGAAGATCCCTTATGGAAATTCTCGGCGAAACAGGACGTTGAAGCGATGAAGGAAGTGTGGCAGAGACAGGACCAAACAAGGCGCGGGTATCTATGGCCTCAAGCGATCATATCCGCATTCCGCTCACACTTGAACACAATACCAAATCTTATCCGGGCTACGTTTCAACCCTCGTGGTGCCCAAATTACATCGTGGAGGACGTGGTTTATCTCCTTTCCCGGACTTTAGATAATGGCCAGACCAGCAAGGGTGACCGATGGCAGGTTGTTGAACTCGTCTTTTTCTTGCTCAAGAACAGTACCCCAAGGTATATGATTTTAGAGCAAATTACTATATGGAAAGTCATGTCCTTCATCCCGACTGAGAGGCTAGTTGAGCTTCATGAAAGCCTGAGAAGTATGGAACATCCCCTTACCCATCACACTTTGCTACATTTCGCAAGTCTCTTTGCCCGTAGTTCAAAGCATAAAGTACACGCAGCTGAAGTCTTACATTCTCTTGCGAGCGTTCCTGGTTTCAATATTAATTCGCCAGCGTCGATCAGTGTCTGTACCACTCTCCTCTCGGTGCAAGAGGGCAAGTTACCGGGAAATCATGCAGCTCCCGATGAGCTATTTAAAATGCTTTTGGATGCCGGGTTCCAGCCGAATATCCTCACTTTGTCTACACTCATGCGGAACTTTTGCATTCGCGGGCGAGTCGAGGTCGCATTAGACATATTTGACCTCTTAAAGAACTATAGGATCGAACCGGATCCGCAAATATTCTCGATTCTCATCAACGGGGCAAAGCAAAGTCTGGATATACAGGCGCTCTCACGCATTGTCTCCATGATTGAGAGCCGTAAAGCCTGGTTTATACACCTTGTCAATGATTTATTGGATTTCGTATACCAATACAACGAGTCTCTACGAGAACATAGGCGGAGACAACGGAAAACTGACACAGCACGTGCCTGGCGGTTGATGGTCCAGATATACTTCAAGTTCTTTAAATCTGCCCCATTGCAGAAGCTCACTCTTTTCCCACTGGAGAAGTTACTTTTCAAACGTCCAGAGCAGATATCTCCGAAGCTGAGACCAATGGACGAATTTGCCACCCACCTAAACCCATTACCGGATGCATTGCTTATAGAACCAGATAGCATCACCCTGGGACTCATGTTCAGAGTCCATTTTTGGACTATTCAGCGGCCAGGGCCTCTAGAAATGTACTACAAGTACTTCATTAAGCAATTAAATAAAGGTGATCGGATTATGACCGAGCTCGTCAAAGATCAGGGAACTATGGTTTTCGACACATTCTTACGAGATTTTATGCAATTCAAGTCGACTTTCAAAAAAGGCCTCTTGATCGTCCAAGACATGCATAACCGTGCGTACCGGGAGAAGGAAACGCTCGGGAAGAACGTACTTCACCCGCAGCCATCGGTTCACACCTACACAATATTGATAACGGCCCTCAGAAACCACCATCACACCCAGGGAGTAATCGTAAGTCTCAACATGATGATGAAGGAAGGCATCGTGCCCAATATCGTCACCTGGAATACCGTGATCGGAGCCCTGCTCCAGAAAGGTTATCTGGAGGAAGCGGTCAGGGTCATGCAAAATCTGAAGCAGGTCGGGCTCGAGTCGACCGCCCGCACGGTGCAGGAGATCACCAAGGTGGCCAAGTACAAGAGGCAACGGATCGCCGAACTGATGAGAGAGCTCAAACCCGTCGACACGAGCGACCAGCTCCAATTCGCCAAATCCCTATTGCGCAGGTGGGAGAAGAAGAGGCACGATCCCGTAGTAGACCATCGACGGATGGCAAGGGGTCGTAAGACACTTGAAAGGTCTCACGGGATTGACGAGCTGAGTGTAGAATCAGAATCTTCTGATCGATCTTCCGATCCAGCTTGAGCTGAGACCATGGGCTGCGTGGGGGGAGGGGGGGCGACGGGTGGGTGGTCTTGTGGTACTATCTGTACTATCTAAAACGATCAGGGACTGGAGGATATTATGCATGTCCAAAGCTGATATCCCCTGCTGGGAGGACATTGTACTACCAATGTATTCTGAGATAAAGTGCTTCGTTGACCCTCGTCAATCTAACGAAGCACATCCGTACCGTATTGTATATATTATAGGTCAGGTCGGTACTTGGGTACGCTTAGCATTAGATTTAGGTACCTAGTGGCATGGTACAGTACATACGGTTCCAGTAATGGAAAGGAAAGATACGATACCCTCTCCCTATTATCGTAGACAAAAAAAAAATATAGAATCGTATCTCAAATAAAATATATTCAGCATTATGATATCTTCTTAAGACTTGTATCTTTATTAGCAGAGGACCACTTCAACGGGAGTATAATCCGTAGAGAAGACCGAGATGAATTATCTGTCTCAGGGACCTAAAACCTTCTGCAAGATTATTTCACTGTAGAAGGTAACCACCACATTTGAGCTATATTCCGTTCACAGAGGTAAACACCATTTTGCCGCCAGCAAGTACTCTCAACATCGGGATATTTCTATTCACAAGGTAAACTAAGCTGTCCACCGTATCCAGACCAGAACAAGTTAAGTAGCACGGCACCTCCTCTCTCGTCCTCTAAACCATTATAAAAGAGTAAGCAATCCAGTAGGTAAAGAGCGCACGATAAATAAATAAAACAAAACAAGCACGAATCCTCACGGTCCAATACCATTAGGTGGATTCTAGTAGGCCAAAAAAAAAAAAGAATTAATAGAAAAAAAATCAACCGCTAGTTATTTAAATTAGAACAACCCTGCTTCTTTTTGCTGACTAGGCGCCCGGACGCCCTCGATGATGAATGCATTATAGTAAATCGCCCTCGAAGGCCCAGCTTAGGTATCTATACAAGGTAGACGTCGCCCAAAAAAAGAAAGAAAAAAAAAACAAAGCAAATATCTAAATCGTGACAAGTGATAAGTATACGGCTGGCTGCAAAGTCCCCTCCGTCTCTCACAGCATCCAGGTACTTAGTAGTCTTACGCTAGCTTATATGGTAGTATACTAGTATATGGTTCGTGATTCCGTCGCCGATGAAATTCTAGGCATCATCTAGTATAAGTCTGAATGAGTAAATTCACGGACGCCGAATCAGTGGTCTAGGACACAGGCTTTAATCCGCTGTCGTCCCTTTCTAGTAGGAACTGGTCGATTGCGCTCTGCGAACAAATCAATAAGCCTCATAGTCAAAATTATTTCAAGGCGGTACTCCTTACCCAATCGATCGTGTTGCTGCCATTTAACACGTTGTCAAGCGGTGCATTATTAGCAAAGTCCAGGGAAAAATCAAAAGACGGTATTATATGATCAAACGGGGGCGATGGAGCTGGCGCTGGCTGAACATCATTATTTAGCAAGCTAGCCAGCGAACCGTCCCGGACTTCTGGTTTTGGTGGCGGCGGTGGCGAGCGTGTAACCGCAGGGTCCTGCATTGATACTTTCCGGAGAATGGCGCCCACGACCCGCGCAGCATGCGCCGCATCTCTGGAAGTGTGCTTTCTTTCAGCCCACATCTTATACGACGTTCCCAGAGCCTTCAGTTTCCTCGATCGGTCCGCCAAGCTGCGAAATTATGAGTTGGTGACCAAGGATGTTACTTGATTTACACTTACCTGCTCGGTAGATTCTCCGTAAGATCCAGGCATAATACCATTGCTGCTATCAAAAAGTCATGGAGGTTGAGAGCTGATAGCATATATTTATCCTCGTAGATGCGACCACCAGGCCTACTCTCCTCTTCGTACTCGACGTGTAATTCAAGGATCCTGAGAGCCGCATCTCGACACGTATTCCGGGAGCGATCATAGACGGGGTTGTCCTTCTCACGATTAAGATATGGTCGGTGTAGAACACAAAGACTTTTAAGGTACATCAATTCCAACATGAGGCGATGCATGATGTCATGCGTTTGATCTGTGAAGCTATATGACCGTATTGGTTTGATTTGCAACGAAGGGGGAACGTGCTCGTGGTATTGGCGGAGCTCATCATCTAGCTGAATAACGTCTTCATAAGGGGAAGGATGGATTGAGAGCGCAAAGCGAATCACCCGTCGTAGTAGTCGACATAGCTTTGATTTATGGCTTAAGTACAGAAGAGAAGTTGGCTCGGTAACCGGTCGTGAGGGAGGTAGAGCCATAACATTTTCGTCAAAGTCAGAATCGAATAGGTTGCCGGGTGACTCGGTATCACATTCGTCATCGCGGATGATCGGAGGCATCCCTAACTGAAATGAGAAGAGGACGTCGAAGACTTCGATGAAGAAGAATGCTCGTCTGCGGAGTTCACCCTCAAAGGGAGTAATGTTAGGGAGATACTTGGGATCTCGGTGATATCCCATACGTTGTGCAAGGCGGGCGACAAGTCCGAACTTAGCCCACAAGCTAGAGTCGATCTCCCTATTCCTTTGCAATTCCGTATAGCTGTGCAATAAGAGTGCTTCAATACAATAAGGCTTAGCAGAAAGATAATCACCTGATACAAGACACTCAGTTGATAATGCCCTCAGTTTGTCCGGGAGTGTTGCTACTGATTCATCACTTTCCCCTTTCATGATGGTTATCGATGCAGCAACCCATAGCATAGAAGCGAGGCAACTCAACCACAGTAAACTGGTCGAAGACGGATCATCCCAGAAAGCATCGTACTCTCTTTGAAATTTCGTCGTGTGAATGTACGGTGCGGTCATAAAATTATGGCGAAAGTAAACCAAAATGAGCGCATCCGTCTTGGACTTGGGTGGCAAACGCGCAACAGCCTGCGAGAGAGTTATGGGTGCTACCTTGCCGAACAGAAGGTCCGCAGCTTCCACACCATCCACGCTGTCCTTCTGTGGTGGGGGTGAAGGAGTAGGAGGTTCATCGGTCTCAGTCCGGAGAATGCCTTGAATATCGCGAATGCTCTCAAGAATTGAAGCCCAGTGAGTAGCCCCGACATAGCTATGCTCGCCAAGAATAGTAGGAAGAGGCGGAACTCCCGATGTGGACGGGGCCAAGCTCGGTGGTGAGCTTAGGTCAGAACGAGTCTCAGTCTCCGTTCGTTGGTCCGAGCTTGAGGGGGTATCGAGAGCGGGCTCCCGGTTGCGTGCAGTATAGACCAAACTATTAACCATCTCCTCAAGCTTTTGGAGACGGACCTGGAGGACGGGACGAGACATGGGTTCATGTCTTGGCCGAACATCCACCTGCGGCCGCGCATCGGTGCGAGCCTTGCGAGAAGCACGAGGCGCATATTCGCAAAAGTTGGCCTCGCCACTTTTGACACACCTCTCACAGGGTTGCTGGCGGTCACATTTCACCCTATCAGTAGATGATGAGCTATAATAATACACGGGGATGGGGATGGGGACGGGGATATGGACAGGGACAGGGACATGCCACTCACTTGCGTGTTCGGCATAGCAGACAAGATACAGGAGGACGATTGCGCTTTTGGATCTTGCGCTGGACCCCCTCGGTCGGCTGGGCACGAAAGACACTTGTCTGATAGCTACCGGGCCGAGAGTCCATCATGCCCGGGATAGATTTCGCGGCCAGTCAATAGATGGAATATATCAGATTGAGACCGATCGGAAATAAAAGGTCCCAGCTAACGGCCTCAAGGAAATCAAAACAGTGTAAAAGGGAATACCTCCCCCGTCCGCGCGGGCGGGCAGCTCAGACGAGGACTTAAGAGCACACCTAATTGAGAAGAAGTCCGGTGGTACGGCGAGAAAGTATAGAAAAGAAATTAAGGAGGGAAGAAGAAGAAGAAGAAAAAGGCTACTAGCAAATACCTTCGAATGGCTCTGAATGTTGAACTAATGAAACCTTCATTGGAGTTTCCCCGGTGCAGATGCAGACTGCAGAACGGTTATCGGAAACAAGGGAGGAAATGCACCTGGAAACTCCGCTAACACTATTCCTAGATAGGAAAGCTACCAGCATGTCTTGGCATTGCCTCATTGGAATTTGCGACCGACGGATTATCACCGGCTGGATTTAAAGATAGCTCCTTAACTTTTCTCAACTCTCCTTCTCTTCGCAAATACGGCCAAAACGCCGATCCGTTTTTTTTACTTGTTGCTTTTTTCCTTTCGGGAGTTATTTTTAAACCTAAACTCCTAAACCTTCTATATACATACCTCAAAGTACCTACCTACTTAAGGTAGTATACATTAACTACATAAACCAGCATAAATGTATGTACGTATATGGTAAACCTCGAACGAGGTACGGCCATAAAAATTTCAAATCATGGAAATCCTTACTACCATGCGCTACCTATTCCGCACTTAAACCCATATCTATATCCACTTACGTTTTGTCCGGTGCGGCACTTATTAACCGATGATTTCAAATTGCTACTATAACATTCGATTATTATTGTTATTATTATTGTTGTTATTATTATTTCACCTTACCAGGGCCACCATACTCCGAGTAGCTTCGGATACTGCCAGACTGCTTTAGGAACTTTGCAAAAAATTAGCGGCCCAAACCACGTCCTTACATGCGTAGTAATTTTCCTAACGGGGTATTTCTTACCTCCCCTAACGGGCCCTAAGACCCTAAGACCCTAAGACGCCACCAACTGATCTTTGACGATGTGACACAAATGCGACTAGCTCATTTCGTTTCAACGGCTTTAGAAGGAAGAAGGGGAAAAAAGGGTGACTTATAACGCTACCCAAACCAGCCATTAACCACTCAAGAGGAAAATTCGAAAGCGACGATCTTGCTTTGAATCGAACCAAAACTGTCCAGGATCGAGATCTCATCTCTCATCTCATCTCGTTTTGGACCCAGAACCCGCGGTAGTTAAAACGCACTCCCGGTAGTATTCATTCCGATGATGCTTCACCCGACAAGCCCCAATCCGAATTTACCTATCCGACATCTCCGGTAATAACACTATTGGTCCGAATAGGTTTGATTGTCCCACTAATATTGAACATGTCATGCCAAGATATATCTCAATACAAGCTTTATTTTGTTGAATTCGAACCGTTGCAATGCTAATGTTCGAAACGCCCCCTATTGACCATAATAAAGAGCCTTGTAAATTGGGAGTTTTATCTCCTTTCCCTAGGTCAGGTACTAATAAAATTTCCCGAAGCTTACGGTTTATAGAGATTCCTAACTGCATCAAACCAAGTACCTACATAGTAAGCAACGTATCAAAGTCTGGTTATACCTAAATTGTATCTTTTCTCAACGGTTAGTTGCTAATTATTTCATACCACCTAAATAAAATCCATGCCCCTAAACTAGCTTAACTACCTCTAACTCAACTCAAGAGAAACGGAACTATTCCAAGAAAGGGCGCTAAACAAGCTCCACACTCGGTCGATTAGGGCACGCTATCTCTTCAACCACGATAGTAAGTATAATACTTTAGATACCAAACAATTCTTTCACGAATCGTATCTGAAGTGGCCTCCATTCAGAAGTCATCCGGGGCTTGTGGTTTAGTGGTATAATACTCCCTTAGCATGGGAGTGGTCCGGGGTTCGATTCCCCGCGAGTCCAATGTGAAGAGGTTAGATTCCTCTTATACCGCATCTTTTTGAACAATTTTTTTTATCGATCGATGCTGTATATAGGTATGAATGCCATATATCAACTATTGAAACAGTCGGCTTTCTATTCCTTGGGTCTTGGTTTTTTGTCTTCAAGTTCTTATTCTAGCCGGGTGTACGAACAAGTGGAACTACTCGGCCGAGTGTACTACCAACACTTATACACTCAGATACTTAGGCAGAGATAAACATAATTTCTTTGCCTTTAGCCGACCACGCGTCTAGCTTAGACGCGACAAACGTCCGTTAGTTCCGCTTGGGGCTTAGCATCTGGTCTGGAATTACCGAAGTGAATACACATGACTCTCTCCATATCGTGCGCTTACAGCTTGATCGTAGCCTATAGCAGTTGCCAGAGAAGATCCAGGATTTTATTAGCAGCGTCTAGCCGGCCTTGTTCCTTTCTAACGAGGCATTGTTATACATACCTATATATAAAGAAAAAAGAAGCTTCAGCCAAACTGGGACGAGGAATTTGAAAATGAGAAGTCCATGCACAACAAGCTGGAGGCGATTCAAGGCGATTTGATCCCTATTTTTTTTTTCTTACGGCGAGGCGCAATGCGAAGGGACCCGTGCCTTGCTTCTTTCCATCATGCGAGGTGCCGTGTCGTGCGAGCAGACAACACCACTTACTCCTGAGGAGTTTTGGCGGCGATTAGAGGTAGTCTACGGGAAACTACACGCTTTCTAACTGTCACATGATGATGCCAAACTGCCCAATGCGATGTTGGTCGACGACAAAATAATGTTTATAGATCTCGAGTCGGTTTGGGCGCCTGAACCAAGCCGGATAGACTAGGCATTTGATATGTATATTGAGCATTTTATGACTCAGTATCATAGGTATTTAAAAGGCAGACTTGAGGATACCTTCTATCTTCCATCTCTATATTCTGGGCGGATTATATGAACTGGCTTCGGGTGACGACGCCGGGCCACACCGCAAGGAGGGAAGCGGGGAAATGTTCCAAACCGACGCATGCATGTACAGCCTGTGCTGATAATTCTGAGATAGTTACCTCTCCAACCTAACCTGATATACTTTCTTTTTCAGGGTCCCGCACCTTGATTTACTCAATAGCGTTATCGAGAAAATCGAGAAGTATCATGTCTTCCGGCAAGCATATCTCGGTCTCCATCCAACCTCTTAACTACGCCGATATCTCCGCGTGCGCCCGCATCACCTCATCAGCTTTCTCCGTCGATCCGCACACCATTGTGAAACAGTTAGGCCGGAGGCCTTTCGATATGTACGACATGTCCTATTATGGGTTTCTAGATACCCTACATAAGAAAACGTACATCTACGTCAAAGCAGTGGACGACGAAACAGGCGAGATCGTCGGGCATGCCGCGTGGGCATTTAGGGGCCTTGATCCGGCGCTAGTTCCCTGGAGCGGACTCGAGGACACAAAGCCGGTAGAGGAGGATAGAGGGCAACAGCAGAGGAGAAATGACGGATTGAAAACAGGGGATGAGTCAAAGAGTATAGAGGAAAGGAAAGAGAACTCTATCGATCGTCTCCATGCCCTTGAAGACGCCGATATGAAATACTGGGTTTCCAACGTAGTCCCCTCGGATACGCCCTGCATTTTCATCGTCGGCGTTATCGTGTCGCCTTCACATCAATCTCGAGGCGTAGGTAGCGCCCTGATACAGCATGGCAACTCCATCGCTGATAGTCTGGGGCTTTGCGTATGGGTGCACTCGTCGCATCAGGCGTACGAAGCATATAAGAAATTCGGGTTCGAAGTCACGAGGGAACTAGATATAGACCTGGACGAGTATGCGCCAAGGGGGCCAACTGAGGAAGAGCATGTCATGGAAGAGAAGGGAAGTGGGAAATGGGGAAGGTATGTCATTAGGTATATGAGGAGGCTACCGATGAAGTTGGGTCAGTCAGGTGGATAGATATCTCTGGGATGGGGATGGGAAAAAAAAATAGGATATCATATAACATATAACATATAATTTAGAGTATTTCCAACCCCATGCCGATTCCAATGCTATTAAACCCCGTAGCAGATCTAATTCTCTCCGCCGATGATATATACGTATTACCTTAACGTGACATTCCGGTTTCCTATTATACTATCACCGACTGTTAGCATGAGAAGCTACTAACGTACGACTAATTAAGACTGATCAAGTAGCTTATCTTTTGAAAAGCCTCTAACTAACAGTTAGATTTCCATCTAACCGAAAGAATTGTCGAGACCAATGGGCCATTAGACCATTACATTATCCCCACACCGTGCCCACTCTCTCCCGCACCGCACAAATGAATATAATGCATCACAAACGAGAATTTAGACCATCGGGTTCATGGCCTAATGGTAAGGCGTCAGATTTCGGTTCTAGTTGCTGTTCTCTGAAGATTGCAGGTTCGATCCCTGCTGAGCTCGTTCGAAATTTCTTTTTTATTTTGTATCTCTATTTCCTTTCTTTCCTTACTTTTTTTCCAAGTCTGCGTTCAACGAAAATATACAAGATCTAGGGTTTCTTTACGATCTAGTTCTCACAGCCTATAATAAACTTGAATGACGGTCCCAGATATGAGCTTCTTATTTCCCGTTCGAAACATCTGAAAATCAATGGGGAAATAGGGGCGCATCAATGCCGCCTGGTAGAAGTCGGGGGGGAGGGGGGGGAGGGGGGGGGTTCTCTGCCTAGTTATCAGAAGGCTTCAAATCGTAAAGGCAGTGGACCATACCGAGAAAGGAAAATGAGATGTGATTGAGCATATCCATGCGTGACGTGCAATCAACAAGTATATCTAAACTTGTGCATCCACTACGGATACCCAGTTACAAGTCCATAGCACGGAGAAGGGCCGGGCAGTAGCGCAACCGGCTCGGGCTGAGGTGGACTTCAAGATGAATGGAATGACTCAATGGCTTTGCTTTCGCATGTCATATTAGTATCCGAAGAGCAATTCACCGAGATATCACCTGCAGACTGGAAGCAATGCGTGTCGTAGTTCTAGATAAACATTCCACCGTCGAACTGATGAAGCAGAGGACACGGCAGCGTCTATAGATCAAACTGGTCAGGGGTCAGGCGGTATTCCTTGCAGGGATCGGACTCAATGACCTTTTGGGGGATAGAAGCGTTGCTCTTCGCTGTGACGATCTTGTATGTTATCTGTTTGGAGACTGCCATGGAATCCAAGTCGATGTGTCTGGTCGCACAGTCAAACACCTGCTCTGGATGCACCCTGAGTACGTTCACAGCCTCTAAAATATGTCAGAGGTTGTTCTCATTCTGGCTCTTCAACTTGTTGAATAACGGGGTCCCCTGGGTGACAGCGCCGACTTCGAGAGCTGTTGAAGGCTCTGAGACATGTAGAGTCTGGAGGATCAAGTTTGCTCGGGAGTCAAGTCAACAATGTGGCAGTGAAATATCTAGACATTCACTTTAGAAAAGATGCTATTCGTCGTTTAAGCCAGTTATATCTCGTCATCCTATAATTCGAGCACAAAACCCCGTGAAACTCCACCGACCGAGATAGGGGCAGCATAGAGAGCGGACGATGAAAGACACTAGATACAGTAATTCATTTCCTTAATATGCATGATACACTTTAATGAGGCGATCTAAGATAGGCAGGTATTCCAATTTATTTCTTTAAAGTTGCAGACATACATAAAGCCCTCAAGCCACATTGGATTGGTGGGAAAGCCTATTGAAGAAGAGAAGAACAGGATAATTGTTGCCACTACGGGAGCTGCAGTGGCAGAAAACGGGATCGGGCCCTTTACAGACACTATTTCGACTTGGTAGACAGTAGTGACGGCGTGATCACTGGAAACCCATGCTTATAGGTAAATTAGCAATTCTGGATATTTTATATTCTCCTACACCCGAGGCTTTTAAGGTAGATTCAATTTCCTACCTTAGTGTCAAGCAGGCATAATACCCTTAACATTGCCTCTACTTTTTTTTTTCTCTGTTGTGGTACCAGCCCTCATCACAATCACGGCAGCCATATGCCTTGTAAAGCGGCGTCGTGTTATCCTCGCTGCTCGCGAGATCCTGCTTAACAAAATGTACCTACGAAACCTAATAGATGCTACTAAAGCGGGATCCATCTTGTCCCTGCATGTCGTTGGGTTTTACGCAAGGCCGTCTTCTGTATACTCTAGAGCATGTCGTCAAGTAGGTGACGGGGAAGACTATTAGATGCGAAAGATGTTATTAGGTGGGAGGATTGGCGCAACGGTTCATTTGAAAGGTGATTTACCTATTAGATCTCAAAGGGTTAAGACTAAAGTATAACCATATGCTAAAGTTTCACATGGACTTGTCGAGGTTTCAATACCATATCCATTATACTGTATGACTCTGTTTGATACCAATGGATTTAAGCATCAATCTATCGAAATCTAATAAGGCTTATGTGGTGGTCTCCTCGTATAGGCTATAAGATGTAGTGTATTCCAATCTTAACGTACCATAGCTAGGTTAAAATTCTTGACAAGACGAAAAGAAGTTATTTCCATGCTATTTGGTTCGCCCTCGTGACATATGGCGGATGCTCGTAGCTCTAGACACGTCCCGAGGGGGAATGTCTTTTGCAGCTGAGCTTTACATCTCATCCTTACTTTACCGCTATTGTCTACGTAAGAGCCAATTGTTTCTAAGGGTATGCTCTGTGGTTCCTTACGTAACGACGGCTATTATCCTATCACTGGGTCACATCACGACGAGCCATCGCTAACAGCGGAAGAAGTGAGGCCCTCATAATTCAGATAAGCTTTTCGATGCTCTAGATGTTAATCTACTTTCCGCTTCTACGTAGGTGATACCTAGCGTTGGGCAGCGACGAGACGGAAGGCCGAAAGAGGTAAACCCCGAGTATTGTACGCTTTACTGGGGATATCCGGGGTCCTCTGCAATACTACCCAAGCTAGGGACTCCGTGTAATATAGCAACCTGTAAGATTGGGTTGGTTATAGACGAATCAAGATATTCTATCTTTAGCGGATTGGCTCTCGACTCCAGACAGAGTATATCGAGTAGTATCGTCATTATAGGATACAACGCCAGGAGAGAGCTAAGCATGGGTATCGATCATTGGATTATAAATCACGTTGGTTATACTGAAGCCCGTCACTACCTTTATGGAGACATCAAAAACTAGATGCAACCGTCGGTTTTTCCACTTGGGCCTAGCTGATCTGCGGTGACACCTTTAATACAGTCTGGAGGCCTTATTATACCTTGAAAGTTATTATTAGGAATTGAGTTGTCTCCAAAAGGGCTATAGTGACTGGTTGTCGGTACCGCAGAGTGACTAATTCCTAGTCTATAACGCGCCTATAAGGCTATATAACCATCTTGGAGCAGAGTTTTGTTTCACTTGAAATCCAAACGAGGTTATCATACCCTTGTTTTGTGGAGTAGTGTTGGAAGGATAGACGACATCTCTAGCCGCTAGTAAGTAATGAGATAAAAAGGGGGAGATAACATTTGGACGCATCTGAAACTCTAGAGACTGATAGAAGAAAGTAACCGCCAATAGATAGGCGGTGAGTTAGGAAGAACCGTTTGATTGGAAGGAAAGATACTATGCGCGTGAAAAGGGATGGCAAATTCGGAGGGATGTTCGGCCTTAAAAATCAATGTGCCCTGTCTGAGCGCGCTTAAGATAGTCATAGGGTTAAGGCAAACATATTATATTTGTTAACTCAGGTATCTAGGTAGTTATTGTGTAAAAACAAGGGAGGTTCGGTATTTTCAATCCAGGAGGTGACGTCTAAATAATACTTACACCTCGCGAGCGGCTGCAGATTGAGGCTATCTCTTAATTTAGAAACTAACCCCCTAAAAATAAACGCCCCAGAAGGTCCCCTGGGGTACTAAAATCTCCAAGTCACGTACGTCACAGACAGTAGGTACCTACACGTAAGGCTGGGCCGCAAGAGGCGTAGAGATGATCTGGAATCCCGAAATCTGGCTTTGCCACGTACCGTTAGGTACATTAATAGATGGATATGATAACGACATATGTATGTGCATGTACCTCTGGCAGTTGGTAGTCTGGCGCGGATACAATGGGTACCTACCAGCGCCGTGGTACCTAGAATGAGCTCCTTAAGCCCCTAAGTTCTGACTCTTATGGCCACGAACGGCAACGGCGATAGGGAATTGACGAATCAAGAAGGGACTGATAGCTTGCAGGCGCTTCTGGAACCTAGCTGACATGCAAGATGAAGACCGGTAGGCGCTTCTTCTAGCAGGAAGGGTAGCATCATTGAAGAGTCCCGTACATGGCGGCGAAACGCTCACGTTACTCCTGGCTTTCCCCAGATTCCCGGTAACCAACCAGGTGAAGATAACCTGGATATAGGGTGGTAATGTCGCCTCGGTGCCTTGCAGATTTGCAGGAAGGATTATGACGGTGGCGGGCGGCAGAAGCGCGTCATGTATGACAGGTAGATTTCCTGCAAGTGATCTAGAATAAAGATAACGAATCAATGAGAGCGGGATGCAAAGAAGCGTCACCGCGACGTTGAACGATGCTCATGCGCAGAGGAAATGTTCTCGAAAGCATACATCATTCAGAGTATACTTGAGCGGCAAGCTACACACCGCGAAGTTGGGGCGCTTAGATGCTTTAGCCAGTGGGCGGCTATGCGAGGCTGCCGGCCTCTTATTGGTCAGACGAGAAGGCGGTAAACCATTTTCTAATTTGAGGATGATCACTTTTTGAAGATTTTAGCGACAAGGACGGGAGATTTCCGGGCGGGGATTACTTACTTGTATTCTTACACTTATAGATGACAAAAAAAAGAAGAAGAAAAAGAAGGTAGGTAATGCCGATCTAAGATAGAAAATAGGAGACACGATGAGGCTTAAAGATTGGCTATCGTTTAAATAGGTATGCAGCACTTTTTTTTGTTGATGTTTAGGGTGGGCCGTAGAGGCGGCCTGGAATTTCGAACAAGCTGCCTCTAGGTACCCACCCGCTATGTACAGTATCATGTGACTTCCCACGCAGGTGCATTACCTAACACAGTACCTACTTTGGTTTAGGTTAGGTAGGTACCTAGGTATCGATATGTAAGTCGGGCCGTACTTACGTTGTATCGAAGTTACGATTTCTGGAACTTGTGTCAGGTACGCGGCTACTTTCTAAACATGCTGATTTCGTATCGAAGGTTAAGGGGATGTTTTGGTGCATAACTTTTGCTTTGCTTATGGAAACTTGTGGGGGATAATCTTAAGCATAAGCTATGTGTTAGGAGGTACCTGATTAACTTATCCCTACTAAAATCTGGTTTATAACCAGTTCCACAATACTTTCTCATGCATTTAATAAACTTTAATAAATTTGCTTATGATTATTTAAAATTGAAAAGCACTTTTAAAGGTGCTTTTTAATTTATTTATTTTTATTTTATTATTATAATATTTTATAAATATAATATATTAAATATAATATATTAAAAGAAAAAAATAATAAACGTATATAATTTATAATAAATAAATTCTTATAATTAACGTAAATTTTAGTAGCTTATTTACCAAAATAGCACGGGCCATAAGTAAAGTTAAACTTATGCACTAAAACATCCCTTAAGGTTCTAAGTAAGGTACGAAACATAGGAAACTGCCTGAATACTAGTGGATCTTTTTTTTTAAAAAAAAAAAAAATTAAAAGGCACTAACTCCTTACGCCCTAGGCAAAGTTGAATTAGAAAGTAATCCATGGGCAATACCATTTAAACACAAGCTCCTTCTCATCAACATCTCAAAAAAGTTAAAAAAGCTCACAAAGCTCATAAAACTCATAAAACTCCAAAAAGGCTTGGGATGTTAGACAGACGGCCTAGAGGAAATCCTTTTCATATCACATGTACCAACACCAGCCATGAGAAATCTTGCTTGGACATCGTAAGTGGTGCACCAAGTTCCAACATCAATCATCCTTGTGCTACCCCATTTATCATTTCGGGCTGGCTTAAAAGCCACCATCGCGACGATACATGCCTACCTAACTTAACCTAACATACCTAGGTAGACACGTCTCGTACATTACATAGTACACTAGAAGCAATGTACTAGAAGCAAGGTATGCTCGCGCAGTAGCCTGTCTTCACTCTCCGACAACGTGGCCCAGCTCGCGACCCGTCATATTATTGAAGCCCTGCCTGGCTACCGGAAAACAAACCATTAGCTAAAAAAAAGGAATTTACACCGAATTGGCGATGCTCAAAACATGGTTAGACGACTAACATATCGGACTTTGTGGTACATACCTTAGGTAGGTGGTAGGTTAGGTATACATGGTAGGCATACAAACATCCGTGGATATACATTCTCACCCCGGCATCTACCTACTCTGCACTTAGGTATCATCTATGTAGTGTACTTAGCGTACCTAGGTATTCACTTCCTAGATCTTCCACATGGGCTTCTATTTACGAATTATGTACTTCGTACCTGGCCGATCTAACAGGGAGGTAGATTACATACCTGAACGTCCCGCGGAAGTCTTTACACAACTTCCTGTTGACTACTAACTACTAACACCTCCAAGTCCTTGGCCAACCGGTTGGGACTATTTTATTGTAATGGTTTCCAGACTAGCCTTCTCCTTGCGTGGCAAGCCACAGTCTTTAGGGCTCGTCATGTTCAACAGTTTGCTAACGTTTCGGCGCCTTGTCTTCATATCTCTACCTAGATACCTCTACCCTAGTATATCTATTATTGTCAAAAGCGCGACCGGCCGTCCGAGGGCGTACCTCGCGCTTATTGTTACATAGTACACGACGACCGGCTGTTGGATGTGGTCTTGCAGGCTTATGGTGACAAGGGCCTAGCAGGGATACTAGACAATGTGAAAATCGAGCAAGCGCAATTTTAGTACGAAAACCTTTTTCGTAATAACTTGAAAATCATAACTTCGTTACGATTTTAGATTCAATAGGTGCATGTTTTACGTGTCTAGTTGCATACATATTTTTAAATTAAATGTTATTCATTTATACCAGGGATTTATACCAGGGGGACACCCCCTGGGACCTCCAATGCCTCCGGCGGCCCTCCCGGGGGGCGCTTGCAGCGGGCCAGTGCCTGCGGCAGGCCCGTATTTTAATCAAATAACCTCTACAGCGAAGGGTGTATATCACAAAAAGCGGTCATATCAAGTAATACGTATCGAGATATTACATAAATGCACGTACCTAGCAAATAGACGTAGATTTGGTCTATAGGGAGGCGTGGTATCGGGTTCGGGACGACGATAGGTAGGAATCGTGGTAGGTGGAAAGTATCGGAGCTCCGAAAGACTGGATCGAAATACGATTAGATTTGAATATAGCCGTAAATGGATGACGTCACGAATCACATACCTGAAAAGCTATTCAAATCTGGGTTGAAGCAAAAGTGAGGCTCACGATACTGTGATATTAGTAGATTAGTGACACGTGTGTGGCGGTGAGGTAAATCAGTCAATAGGTCAGTCAATACGTACCTGAAATAGCCCTAGCGATAGCAAGCGACGGTGAGGTGCGTGCGCTTTGTTTGAATGGCTGAATTCGTGCAGCCGACCCTACCAGCGCGTTCTAGCGCGTCTGCCTGAAATTTAGCCTTGCCACCGTATCTTTTAATTGGCTCGTCTTATCTTATCAATTAACATGTCAAAATGGCCCGTGCACTTGAATTTTGAGCCCTCCCCCCCCACCCATACGAATTTAGAAGCGAAAACTTTACTCCGTAAAAAAGGTGACGTAAGCAAGTTGAGAGTAAAGTTTTCTTAATCAACGGACTTTTTCCCGCTTTAACTCGTGGCGCACTCCTCAGAACCCTATCTTCTTTTGGTAATGTATCATTTCGATATTGCTCAGGACCTACCTCCAGGTTGCAGGTAGCCTGCTTCATTTGAGTCTCGCAAGGTCAAGCCCAAGTAACAATCAAACAAACCGAGAGGCCAATCATCAATAATTTGGCAACTACGTAACAGCCCGAAACCTGGTAATAGCTAGGTGCGGCGTATTTCTACCTGGGCCCAATAGGGATTATTCCACTTCGTTCTCATCTCTGGGAAGGCTGATCGCCCCCAACGGTTGTCTCAATTTGATAGACCGAAGGTTCTATCAACGCCGTGCCACATATTGTCGCACCAATATACCAGATAGAAGAAGGGTCCTATTACATAGATAGTTTAAGTAGCCACTAGGCAACGAGGTATGTATATGCAAGCATTCAGAAATAGGAAGAGCATGTAGATCTCTGGTAGCCACTGATGAAGAACTCTCTTGATTTCGGCCTCATTAGGGGGGACCCATGAGCGACATGGTCGTCAGCCTGGCACAGCATCATACAATCTCACCTCCGCTTTTCAGTATTGGCGTCATGAGGGGGGATGGACGGACCTCATCACACACAGGTCGATACAAGGAGACCGGGGCACAATAATATGAGGCCTTCAAGATTGCATTGAAGTACCAGCAGATAAGGCGTTGGATTTAGAGTACATTAGGTTAGGTACGTATTACCTGACCTACCACTGGAAGTTTACAGTTGCCGAGATGCGTTTGTCGCGCATTATGTCGCCGCCGCCTGGGCGGTGAAAAATTATGACGGTTACCAGGTGACAAAAGATTGTACCTGCCCAACCTTAAGGTTAAAGGGTCCAATAAGCAGACTGTCTTTCACGAAACCCTGACCCGAAGCTTACTACCAAAATGACCGTGGTCTAGTGGTTAAGGGAACGAAGGGGACGAATTCGAGATTGGATTTGAGTCGGGGCAGACGAAAAGGTCTATTCGTTCAGGACGAGCGCCAGGTTAGATCTCACTTTTTTTTAATACCTTTTTATTTTATTTTTAATACCCTTTTAAGGGAAAAAAAAACCGTGAACGTACAATAGCCACATGAGAATTGATGCTTTCCTTTTGCATAGGTGTTCATGATAATACACTACATAGTAACCAAAAGCTTCTTATTATACCTACCCTACCTGGCTTCCCAAGCGGGTCGCACATGGAACCTAGAAATGTTCCGTCGATTTCTAAGAAAAGAAAATCCGGGCCAGCAGATGGGTTTTATGCGCGGACGCGGTTGATCGATTGTCTCGTCCGATGTTTGGGTTTGCCCTTGTTGTAAGCTAACCCAGCTGAGAGCTGTTGCCTCTGGCCAATGAGCGGCGACGAGCCGCTTATGGATCGATCACCTTCCCGACCGGCGGCAAACGTATCCGAGCAAGGTCTCGATGATTCGCGACAAGCGCAAAGCGCTGGCCCCACAGAGCGTGCTACAGGACAGGTAATTTAGAAACGCTTACGGAGGAGAAAAAAAAAAAAAAAAAAGAAAAGGATTACGAGCATCATGGCCTGCTACGTAAAGTAGGTACTATGTAGGCAGGTAGTTAGGTACGGATGAGTATCTACCTCTATACAAGTAATTGTCCAAGGAATTGTTTAATGTGTGGGAATAGTAGTAAAAACAGGTATCTCAAGTACTAATATAATCTCATGTCTCCAGATCTTATAAGCTGTAACAGATCCACTTACCGTCAAAGCTTTACGGGCTTGATATTCGTACGAAATTTCCTAATTGGATAGGTGTCTTCGGACGAAAGCAAATTGACGATGGCTATGCTGGCTATGCGTCAGACGCCGAGGACAGAAATGGCCCCGTGTGTGCCGTGCGCGACGGGCTCTCGAGTCACGGCTTGAAGGGTGCTATCCGGCCGGTAGGGTGCATGGGCCAATATGCTATATTCGAAAATGGAAAAGATTCCGGAGCTAAGAAAGGTCAGCACGTGCAGCGCCCGGATCGATTACGTTGCAACAAGATCCAGGGGAAGGGGAAACTTGGAAGGGCCGGTGGCAGTACTATGTTAGGTAGTATTGGCAGGTTATTACCTACCTAGGTAGTACCATTCCTCTTCGGTCTCTGTTTGCTTGGTGGAAATGGGATCCATGTAGCCCTATTTAACTCCTTATTACTCCTTTCTTGACCGAGGAAACAAGCCCGATATAAGATAATATAACTAAGGTATTATAAGATAATGACTGACTTACGTAGCTAGGTCAGCAAGGCGGTCGTGTTGCAGAGTAGCACTGCCGCATTCGGCTCAGCATCAACAGTACCTAGTGTATTCTCAAAAGGTAGTATCTTCTCATGGCTGTGACACGACCGGGGCCGGAGAAGGGCTTATTTAGCTTGTTGTATTATATTAGCGGCCTCTTTTATGTGCTTCTGATGCCATGTCATGCCTTGGTTTTAGGTTTCAACATTTCCGAGTCGAAAGATCGATGGGGATGTAGGGAACTTGGGGAACTTGGGGGGAACTTGCAAGCTAATACGAGACATTTGTGACGACGGGGCGAGCACATGCGTTAGTAGCAAATCAGCAGCCTCTCGTCGGCTCTAGACGCGGGTATTCGCTGCGTGCTAAATAAGAGAGGCACTGGGCATTTTCGACATCACACGCCCGCGCCAAATTGCATGACAGCTATATCCCTGTCCCGAGATGCCTATTGGCTGCGGACAGAGTTAACTTCTAATGTACAACCAGACTCGCAGACTCGCAAACTCCTCTGACCACCTACCTGCCGGCAGTGCTTCCAGGGTCTGCCTCTTTTTGGTTGGAAGCAGATGCTGCCGCGACAAGAATTGGCAGAATTCTAATGACCCAAGGCGGGAATTTGGCGTTGCACCCTTCCTTTTTTTTTTTTTTTTTTTTTTTCTCTTTTGCTGTGCCGCTCGTGGACTTCTACAAGATCGAGGTTCCCTTTTGAACTACTCAGATCCCCCCAATCGCACGGCGTCTTCTACATCCTAGCTACATTTACCAAACCTGCTTCACACCTGCGTGTGTGCTATTTTGGTCTCTTACCTTATGTAGAGGGCAGCTTAATATTACGTGGGTTAGGATAATCATATCAAGGGTTCGTAGGGCCGCGACCGGGTCTTAAGAAGCGGCCTCTATTGACTTACATACTATGTAGTATAGGGTATAGGTAACCATATGTTTTCCCCATTCATCCCCATATCGCATCGATACGCCAGTAACATACAGAGACGAACACAACGATACTTTTTTTTGCGGGCCGAAAAGTGCTACACCTATCATATCGTAGCTTCGAGACGAGACGTGACAAATACCGTAGTGAATGGCATAGTCCAATTGGCACCTTTTGAGAAAAGCCCCGTGCAACGTTAAAGGGGGGCCGTTGGTGGCATCAAGAGAGAAGAGAGGTACGGGGCAAAGCATACGATTATGTTGAAGAAGCTTATCAACGCTTAGTATTTTGTCTCGGATGACGAGTAACGAATAAGAATAGGAAGCGGTCAAATAAGGTATGATTTATTTACTAAGACTCCACAGGAGAAGAAGAAAAAAAATACTAGGTAAAGCACATTCTCCGGAATGCTATAGGGTTCGAAGAGGAAGCAGGACAGGTTCGTTGCCGTTGGGGTCAAAGTCAGGTACTCGCCTCTATTCGTCGTATTCGGTGCGGTATCTGATGATGAATGCTCCTACGGCAGTGCCACCCGGTTTAGATTCGGTAACATCGCATGAAGAATGGCGGGAGACAGAAGACTGATTATCAGACCTAGGTGCGTTAGGCGTGTATGTATGTGAATGTGAATGTGAATGATCATGGTAACGACGAAAGCAGCTTTAAGTTATAGGACCTTAATATTATACTATCTCTCGGCTTTAACACTCGGGACTTAGTTCCATTCGATATCAGAAAATATTAATATATAATTTCATTTGGTGTTTGAATAGGCGTCTTATTAATTATGTTAAAATGTTTTTAAAAATATTTACCTAAATAAGGAAGTAAGGAAGTAAATTGTAAAGATATTATATTATAAATATGTAAATAGTTACATACCAAATATTAACTACCTAAGTACATCTTACATCAATAGTATTTACGCTCGGACGCTTCCAAGGTTTTGCTCGCATGTACGTACCTAAGGTAAGATCCGCCGCGGAATTGTAAACAGGCGTCTATGTGAGATGCTAGCGTTAGCGTGAGTACCTGGGTACAAATTGACATAGGAACTTAAGGTACCTACTATTAGTACCCGTACGTACGACACGAAACGTGCGGATATCCTTGCTAAGGAGCCGACGTTGCTCAACTCGCTTCCAGGTTGAAGGTTCTTTCTCTAATGGATGCTCGTTGCGCGCGGACGCACGTACCCACATTAGATACCTGGGTACGCACGTATCCCTGGAGAAAAAAAAAAGGCCAAGGTATAATATGTACTTCGGCGGTTTTATATGTATCTCTGTTTCGATCATCACCTTGCCCGATCATCAAGCGCCATGCCGCCCAATACATAGAGAGGTACATTCGCAGGGTTCGTCGATCGCCCGCGGTACAAATACAAAACTATCGAGGCATCCCGCGGAGGACATGGAGTCATAGTCAAAATCTTTTTTTGGGGAATTCTTTTCTTCTAAATTCTTATCCTCTAAAAGCTGCAGCATTTCATTTACATATTGGATATACATGGTACATTACACCAATTGCCAGCTACCTCTTTAAGGCAACGTTAATTACTTGCATCCGCTCTTTTCCCACTCACGCTCGCTTACCTAGGTACTTACCTAACACTCACCTACATACATACATCCATACATAACACCTGTTACTGCCTTGCATGCGTGCATGCCAGATAAGGTACTTTCAGTCGGTACCTAGGTACTGTATTATTGTATTTGCATCTGTATTTGTGTTGATTATACAAGACAACACAATACTTACATACATAATAATACTACAATACTTACCCAAACCTTAGGAGGTACAATACTATATCTGATCAAGAGGAAGAGGACTAGTTCACCCCAGCTGCCCAGCTAACCTACCTTATCCACCAACGTATCTATTGTACCTTACCCTCTACCAAACCCAACCTTACATCAACTTCCCGCTCCGCCTGGGCCCTGCTCGAGCTGCTGGTGCTGCTGGCTAGCCACATAATTTTTTTTTCCTTTATATTTTCTTATATTCCTTCCTACTGCTGCTACATGCTGCCTTGATTACTACTACTCAATTGCCCTATTGCAAATCACTTTTCTATCCCACCCCCCTTTCCCTCCGTTTATCTTGGCTTTTTCCGGTGGTACCTTGGGTTATTTGTAGAAGGGAGGTGAAGAGAGGGACTATCAACATTAGCATTGAAACTTACCTTACCCCTAACGTTGGTAAAGGGAGTCAAAGCCAGAGGCATCCGAAAGTTATTTCATTCCCACAGGCGCAGCAGGGCAAATAATTAATCGCGCGTCAAAATCGTCAAGCGCTGGCTGGTTCCTTTTTGTTGTGTACGCATTAAATAAAGGTGTAGGATCCCAACACGAGAATCAAGCGGGAACCCGGGAAATCCAATACAGTTGGTTCAAAATTCGACAAGTTGCATCGTGGGCCGGGCCTCACAAGAAAAAAACAAATTAGTCTGGAGTTTTTCCACGCCGTACAAAGCTCAGATAGCTATACTCGGTCTAGTTATCACTAACGGAGGAAAAAAAAAAACGTTCCCTGGATAGGATTCCCTTTAGCAGCGCAGACCAACGTGCAGTTGTTTAGGCGCAGCAGCCTGCGAGCTTGCTGCTTACACCGCAACACGGCACTACGCAACGTACCGCAGCAGCCCTTGCAAGTCACTGTCGTATTACGCTGCCGGATTCGATAAGAACAAGGTGCGGCTGGCTCAATCCCGCTCGCTTGCACAAAATTGCCTCCCCGCGCACTCGCTTTTGAAGTTCGTCACAGTCAAAACCTAGAGTTTTCTTGCAGATCACCCATTGTCCAGCCCCACGACACGCGCATCGATTGAGGGTCTGAATTTCGTCAGATCGCGACCTTCACATTGCTTCATTTTAATGCACTGACCTGCAGGGACTGTGATTCGGAAATTCTGCCAGATCATAACGCTATTGCTGTGTGCATCATCATCATCATCAGCTCTGGGTGGCCTTGTTTACAACTTCATTTATTAGCCTTTCACCTCCGGTGTTTTCCAGCTTCTCTACTGGTCTTTTCAACCAGGTCGTACGTCAACTAAGGCTACGTACTTCGACTGCGCCCAGGACCGCGCCCTCAATTATTAGTTCGGAGTTCTCAACGGGCAACTGCACCGGGCTTACCAGATCTTAAATGCAGACTCAGCTAGTTTAAGGATTTACCACACAGTAATCATTATCTGGCTATTATACATCTAAATCGACGAATTCTATGCACCTCACGCAGGGCTGTTGGGCTGAAGATATTGTTGGACGAACTATGGCGACGTTTACGGCTTTGAATGGAGGTGAACAAAAAGGTATCGAGAGGTCTGGAAGCAGCCCTACCTCGATACGAGCTACCTCCGAGGAACGACCCGCTCGTCAAATGATCACCCACGAATCCAAAGTTGGAGAGACTTCTACAAACCAAAGAGAGCACTGGTCGGGGCTAAATTCCGAGCGCTCATCTTACCAACCTACTAACTATCCAGATGTTGAAGGTGCGCATAAGCGCAAACGCTCAATCTCAGATGAGCCGCGTAGAGATGGACTAATTGCTCGAGAGCGAGAGCAAGCACCTCAAGTAGAATCACGTGAATCGTATTCAACTCCGCAGAGAGATCGGGAATATAGGCACTATGGTGAGGAGAGTCGGGAACATCACGAGTCCTGGTATCCGCGGCAAGGGCATGCAGATGAGCGTAGCGCATACGACCGGCAGAGTCCCGCTGGCATGGCTCCCTCGCCGACCGATGAGCAGCTCGGCGATACACTTCGAAGAGGAACTTCCCATATGGAATCTCAGCACGATTACACAGCGACGAGTCCGGATGGTGATGATGGTTCCACACTCTACGGAAGTGGCTCCTATAGCCAGGAACAGAGGAAAGGTGATACTATGATACAGTCAGATCCCAAGAAGAGGAAGCGGAATTTTAGTAACCGGACCAAGACTGGGTAACTAGGACCCCATCATTTCGCCTCTCTTACGCGTTGCATCCAGGACCCTGTTGCTAACTTTTAGGTATGGCTGCCGGTCCCGCGTCCTCTTACGTGTTGTAGGTGCCAAAAAAAGGCACCTCGATACGTAAGGGCGAGGTATCGGCTCCCCGTACCAACCGTTATAGCTGCCTCACCTGTCGAAAGAGAAAGAAGAAGTGCGATGAAACAAAACCACAATGTGAGCCTCCCCCCGGACAAAAACGCATTTCCCTTTTACTCATGGACTGAGTAGGTACCAACTGTGTTCGAGGCGGTTTCGTATGTCACGGATACCCCAACCAGCGAGGTTACCAGAAAATGGAGAACAAACCCGTCACTGTTCCGCTCGAATCTAAGGATCCTAGCTATGTACCTCCAGGTGCCTATGGAATGCCGCAGCAGAGTAGCTACCCGATTCCGCCCCCACCACCCCCGAAGCGTGATCAACCAGTCCAGGCTTACCGTGGCCAACCACTCCGGATAGAACCAGTGCAGGGCCGGCCGATTCTAGCGGACAATAGCCGGCAAACTGTCCCGGCCACCCTTCCCACACCGACTCCGTCTGCTACAAGTCCAGAAAACAACAAACTATCTTCGATATCATATACCAACCCGGGAACTATGTTCCCCACTCCGATAAGTGCTACGAGCAGTACTATGCAATTACCAACGCCATTAAGCGGCGTCGACCGACACAAGGATTACCAGAGAGTGCCACCATTACACGACCTTACACGTACGGAGCACGACACTTCACATTCTGGTTCGCTTCCGCAGATCAACATTCTTCCGCCAACTCGAAGCAGCAGCCCGCCACTCCAAAGTCATCCAAGCCAACCTGCGCCGCCGCCGCCGCCGCCGCCTCAACCAACTACGGCAACCGACCCTCAGGAAGCAGCACGCCTTGCATTATCTCAACATTTGCCGCCTGACCGGGAGAGAACGCAGAAGGAAGAAATGCTCACGGGAAATCAGTACTATCCATTCGACGAAGAGTTAGTGCTGGAGAGGCAGAGATGTAGCGCCGCATGTTTCAGGTTTAATAACTCCACCAACCCGAGTGTTGGAGTATCGGCGTCCGAGCGGTCTCGGCTTTTCCGAGAGATTTTACACCCGACGGAGCCTATCTTTATGAACCCTCAGTTACAATCGTCGATTACAAATGTCGGTAGCGTGGGACAAGAAGTAGTTGTCGAGGCGCCATTCACGTGCGATTATGGTTACAATATTGCTATCGGAAACAATGTTTTTATCGGCCGAAATTGCACCATCATCGATCCTATGGAAATCATTATTGGCAACAACTGTTACATCGGACCGAACGTTAGTCTCTTCGGCGGTACCCTACATACGGACCCCAAGAAACGCAAAGGGAGTAAAAGCCCCCACCGAGGCGCCCCTATTTACATTGATGAAGATGTCTGGGTCGGAGGTGGCGCTATAATCCTTCTCGGCCTTAGGATTGGGAAAGGGGCGACAATCGCAGCCGGCGCAGTGGTTACTAAGGTAAGTCTTGAGCGGATAATGACATTAACCTTGAGGTATGGTACTAACAAACGTTTAGGATGTACCTCCGTTTACGGTCGTCGCTGGTAATCCTGCTCGGGTGACACGCGGTGCCATTAGCTGACATGGCACGGCATGATGGATACAGATGATGATTACTTATAATTGCTGGATATCGATCAAGATGTCTAGGTTTATCGCTGCTGTTGTCTAAATAAGTACTGTACTTTTTGGCACTCCTGCTACCCACCCCTCTTCGCTTGCCGAGGACGATTAGATCTCCTGTGCCGCAAGATTCGAATACGCCTAGAACGACGGGATCAAACTTTCGACACTGGGAGCATGGGACTTCGGCAGCAAGATATGCGATGGCCACGCATTTGCTATATATATACGATGGATTGATATACGTCTAATAGGAATATACCAGATAGCTCCGGTAGCTATATGGTTAATTCATGTGTTGGTAGCAACTGTCTTCCTTTTCTTTCCTTTACTTCTAGGGGGTGCATGTATACGGACTTCACGAATCTCCTATCACCCGCGTTTCTTAGATGTGCTTTTTAGGAGGGGAGAATATAGGGATCAGCTTTACTTACGAGATCACGGCCGTCACACACACATGGTGTTATTTTTACAAGGGCGGGCTTGTAGTTGCGCCATCACGCGAAGACGAGGATTTTCGGCGAAAAGAAGAAGAGAGAAAGAGAGAGGTATGGCATTATAGAGAGATCTATGTTTAAGATACCCGGTCTATGATTTTGTCGGTTGCAGTTTGGCTTTGGAGCTGCGCGCGAAGGATCTAGATGGCTGTATTTATATGAGAGCTTATTTTAGGGGAATTGAAATCTGCTTTAAACACGTAATATCACAGTCAGTTACCTACCTGTTGGTTATTATTGAAACGCTTTGTCAGTATTTAATATAACTTTAGATACAACGGTCAACGGTTTTAGAGGAAGGATATGGATGTGTGTGCATATGCAAGAAAAAAAAAAAAAAAGCAACTTAATATCATAGGGGATGCGATAGCTACAATACAATAGAATGCGCAATGCAACCTGGGGCCCGTTTGCCCCTGTCGGACGATTTATAAACGAGAGAGCATAGGCTATTTTGCGTTTACGCGAATGGGTTTCCTTAGTCTTGTTGTATTGGATGATGTTATATGCTTCCGGTGGGATCTCGACGGCATACCTACCTACCTAACCTAGTAGCTTACTCAAGCATTATACAGCAAGTTGAGTGAAGTTGCTTTGGGTGGATTTAAGAAGTACCGGTGAGATAGGTAAGTTCTCTAAGTTAGCAAATACCTGTGTCTCAAGCTACCCTAGGTAGTATCTACAAGAGATCTAGTGTATGTATACTTCTATATGAATATTTGTTATTAAGAAGAGCTTACCCGGCAAACTACTAGGAATGAGTTTCACGCAAGTTCGTGAATGATACCTAACGAGGAATCGTGATGGGGAATAACTATTACCTTAGGTTAGGTCCATATCTCCTATCCAGCCACAAGTTCCTCGATGCAGAGAACTGCCCTAGTGCCTGCCACTATTATATTAATATTTCCTTAAAGATATTAAGTTCGTGAAGTAACGGACTAACTCTCAGCTAAGAGACTGAGCATCAACAAGCTCGAGCAAGTTACAGATACACCGCAGGCATATAAGGGATTGATCGACTTTTCGATCACCTTGCCTAGCATGAGGAACCTACCTACCTGGTACCTAGAGTAGCAATCACCCAATCACGAAAAACAGGGCAAATAGGATCGAAAAAAAAGGACAGTTATAGCATAATAAACCTATGCGTTAGGTAAGTATGTTATTCCCATCTTACTATCGTAACATCATCCAGCTTACAACCCTGGTGCCAGTTTCTTGTAAGAGGTAACGGCCACGGGGTAATTTTTTCCATAGCGCTACACTTAAAGCACGTTCTTAATTTGCACGCTTCTTCGTATGGGTTTACTTCTTCTGCCTCTTAGCGCTCTTATCGCTGCTGGCACTCAGCACGCTTGCACTTCTCTTACGCCCACTACTGCTCTCTGGCCGCACCCCTTTATCCTCGGTTCCCTTCTCTGTGCCCTCTGCACTTACGGGTTCGCCGCTCTCGCCGGCAGCATCTCCCTTTGTTTCGTTATTCGTCGTAGGTGCTTCGCTACCGGTCTTCTCTGCAGCATTTTTATCCACCGCGGCATCATCTTCTTTCTTATCCTCGTCACTTGCGGTGGGAGTTTCTTCCGACTCTTCGCCTTTAGCCTCGTCTTCCGGCTGAGGAGGAGCCAGCGCCTTCTCGCGCTCGGCTTTCTTCGCTTTCTCAAGCCTAATCTCGGCTTCGATCTTATCGTTCATCTTCCGCATATCGAGAAGAACGCCGATAGAGTTGAGCAGCTTTTCCATCTCCTCTACGACAGCCCTTGTAGGCATGTTGAGCCTGCTCGGGATATCCAGCTCGGCCAGGGTATTGGTGATACGCTGGTGTTGAGCGTTGCTCTTGGTTGTGAGTATCTTGTTGATTCGTTCGTAACGGAACGTCGGCCCTGAAGGTAGCCGGTCATGATGCGATACACCGTAAACCTGTTCTTCCTGCTCAGTGAGCTTCTTACGCTCGGGCTGTGCTCCCTTCTTAGCAGGTCGTTCAGGACGCTCGCCCACGGCAGAATCACGGCGGCCCGTTGAAGAGGCTGCAATGCTTTCACGGCGGGTTTCTGAAATTGGAGTAGAATTGGGATGGTTGGAGGGGTGAGCTGAGGGATGAGCTGATGCCGGCGTGTTCGCGCCGTTAGCTTCCATAATCGATTTCCTCTTCTTGGTCTTGTCAACATTCATTAGATTCTGAAGAAGCGTCTGCAATCCAGTACTGGACTTGAACGCGTTGATGTCTTGCTCCGTGTGGGGATAATCAAGGCGATTGTAAAGTTCGCGACGTTCTTGGTTGAGCTTCTCCTGGCGGGCAAGTATCCGTCGTACTTCGACTAGTAATAACTCCTCCTCCTGAGCCTCATCTCGAGATCTCGATAACGCATCTGCGGCAAACATCTTACGCTTTGTTTCCGAGACGGGGTTGAAATTGGCCATGATTTCGTGAAGTGAAAATTCGGCCTGGGTCATGTATTGAACAGGCTTCTGAACGGCCATCATCTTTGCCGCCACTTCGTAATACCGAGCCTTCAGATCCTCCATAGTCCTCCCTTTAGATGCTGGGACTGGGACTACAGCAGTTTTAGGATCGGTGCTATCCGCTCCCTCGCCATTCGTTATAGCCCCATCCAGTTTGGACTGATAATCGTACCTATCCCATATCAGAGGCCATCGAAGATCGAAGTCCCGAGCAAGTTCGAATAGGTAATCTGTCTCGTCTTTCGTCCAGTCATCGCTCTTCAAATTCGAATTATATTGGTCGTCGCTATACTGGGGAATGTCCACTTGTACGTTGAACTTGGCGAATCCCGAGTCTTCAAGCTCCGCTGGCTTCTCTTCAGCGTTGGTCCCGTTCTCCCCATTCTTCTCATCCTGTGGTCTGGCGTTATCTTCCGTCTGCTTCCTCCAATGTCTTAAGTGCAATGACTGGTCGGATCGCGCAGAGTTGCGGAAAGGACGTAATTCCCATCGCGCAGCCGGTTTCCTGCTTCCAAAGCGCCTCTTTTTGAATGTGACCAGTTCTGGAACAATCGCAATAGGGTTATCGCCACCTAAGTTCTGCACCTCCCTTGCTAAGCCCTTTAAATTCGGTCGCGGAACGTTAGTTTTCTGCTTTTTGGCTGGTCGGGAACCGGCATCAAGTGGTAGGTTGAGAACATCGCGAACATCGTGGGAAGCCATAGCGTGCAGATATTACTGGGGTTTATGTTTTTTCCCCTTTTTTCCCTTTTCCTTTTGTGAGCCTGCTGGCCTCCTATATCATCTAGAAGGCACAGTTATTGGAAGACAGAAGATGGGGAAGCACGGTGTATGAGATGGGCGTATTAACGGCCGAATATAGAAGTATTAAACTACATACGCGTATTAACACATGACAGAAGAATAGAAATAAGCCTGATTTGAGATAGTTCAGAGGTATGGGAGCGTTGGTTCGATGTTTCAATTATTAAAAGTGGATGACGCTATTACGCCGTAGAAACAGAGTATCGCGCATCGATTTTTTGGTGGTGTAAAAGTGATTGATTGATTGAAATGGTAAAAAATTATTTGAACCTTATGCGCCAAAGAGGAGTTATTGAAAAACAGGGGTATATCATTTCCACAGTCCGCCACTTCTTCTCTCGCCTGGCAAGTCCGACAAGTCTGGGTACCTAGCACGTGATTGATATTACTGTGGTACAATACTGTACATTTACAATGCCTAATCGCTACCTTTAAAGGCCACTAAGGGCACTAAAGCCACTGCAAGCAACTGTCCGTCTAACCCCCTGCCCAGGCCGTTTTTTCGAACGTGGCACCTTGACAAGTTCCCGCGACAAGCTTCACACACACAGGTAACCATCCGAACTACTACACCTCATTCGACCCAACATCCCGTCGCTACAAACCAACTCGAACTTGATTCGACCCTAAATAAAAGCTTGCGATACAATCAATTGCGAAGTATATTTTAATTTCAATTAAATAATACACACACACGTACACACCATCGAGCAGCAATGAGGGTGCTTCTCCCCCTCCTAATGCTGGGCTCCGTCGCCCATGCGCTCTACTTCTTCCTCGACGGCACCAACGCAAAATGCTTCTTCGAAGAGCTGCCCAAGGATACTCTAGTGCTCGGACATTATACTGCTGAAGAGTGGGACGATAACCTACATGCCTGGGCCAAGCACGACGGCATCAGCATCTACATCTCCGTTAACGTTAGTCCCACTATCATTCCTCTTTACTCTAGTCCATAGGTAGATGATAAATGCGCAAAAAGAAAAAGAAAAACGAAACCCCCAATTACAATTATGAATGATCAAAACCCACAGTACTAACCCATAACTCCCCCCGTACAGGAAATCTTCGACAACGACCACCAGGTAGTCTCACAGCGGGGCGCGGCGTCGGGCAAGTTCACGTTCACGGCGGCGGACTCGGGGGAGCACAAGATCTGCTTCACGCCGAGCAGCAGCAGCGGGCGTACCGGCTGGCTCTCGGCGTCCCAGCCCAACGGCGGCATCAAGCTCACCCTCGACCTCGCCATCGGCTCCTCCGAGATCGAGTCCACCGACAAGACCAAGCTCATGGACATCTCCCAGCGCGTCCGCGACCTCAACACCCGCCTCCAGGATATCCGCCGCGAACAAATCTTCCAGCGAGTGAGTCATACCCCCTTGTATTCTTTCTCTTCCTTTTTTTCCCCTTTAGTTTGGGATTTATATATGTTACCCTAGGCAGAGGGTAGAAAATAAGAATTACAAAGGAAATGACTGAGATTATATATCACTTGGAACCCGGCAGCAAAATAGCCTAGATACCTATACCTATATATCCATAGAACTTAGTACTAACACCACCTCTCTCCAACCCGTAGGAACGAGAAGCCGAGTTCCGCGACCAGTCCGAATCCACCAACTCCCGCGTCGTCCGCTGGATGATCATCCAGCTCGTCATCCTCGGCGTCACCTGCGCCTGGCAGCTATCTCATCTCCGGTCATTCTTCATCAAGCAGAAGCTTACTTAAATTAAAAACAAATAAATAAATAAAACCCTGCTACAGCTACCATCATCGTATTGTTGTCGTCAGTAGGTAGCCAATCAATGGGAGTCCTGGTTTTGTACGAAAAAAGAAGCTGTTTTATGGTTAACGCAGCCTAACGGTTGACGAAGGATAGAGGGAGGGAGGGAGAGGAATTACGAAAAGGATGAAGTTGGTTGGATGTTATTACTACTAACGGCCCATCTTCATATACTGATTACATTGCCCATACTAGAACGAAAGCCATCCATCACCAGATAAGATAGGCTTGCTATCCCTATGGCAAGAGTCTTGCGGTATAAGTTTTGTGGATTTAGGGACAGGCTACTATAACCGACATTTTTGCTGTCAGAGAATGTCCTCGTGCTCAAGAATAGTGATAGGTGCATATTAATAAAAGTACGGTAGTACCTACTGGTCCAACATGATCGAGTATCACAAATCAGCCAAGCAAACGTAGCAGAGGTCCCAAGATATATCTTTTTGAATCAACTTACGATGCCACGGTCAGCATCGAAATCATTACGAATCTTTTTCTTTTGTCCTATACCACCATCTACCGACGCAACACCCTCAGGGCTTCTCACGCACAAAACTGCGAGATCCCCCCTCCCCTCCTCCTCCGCCTCCTACTATTGCCACTCTGCACTCCCCCTCCTCCACACTACTTCTCTGCTTTAATACAAAACCCGTCTCATCCCCTTGGGTCCTTCCTCCCCCTGCTTCTTAATTATGAATGGTGTATAAAGGGATGGATGACAAAATAAAAACGAATCCCAATCCCAATGCTCGCCAACAGTGCAAATCCCACCAGCGCCGTGCTGCGCTCTACTAATTAAACGGCCTGTGTCTATCTCATAAAAAAACGAGTCGTGAAAGGAAAAAGATATTCATTCGTATCTCGGGTAACGCCAAGCCTTGATCCTAATAGGAAAACATGTATTCGATAGGCCGTCTTCCCAGGGCTCTGTAGGGGTATTATTCCGCAAATATGCATAGGGTGATCCAGGCTGCGATTTAATGTGTCGGTAAGTTTGTGTTGCTTCAAACACACACATCAAGTATAGCAGCACTATCGAGGCTCTTGGCCCACGCAAACAAAATCCATCGAGAAGACAACTGTGAAACGACACATAGCGACCAAGACTTAGTAGGATGAACACCTTGGACCAGGATGCATTAGTAGGTGAAAAATTCGGCGTAGGAATTCCATCCGGAATCACTTCTAGTCTATAAGATCGCTAGTATGCCACGCTAGATTGCATTTAACCTAGAAGCTTATCAGTTCCATGCTCGTTACTGGTACGGACAACGCTCCAAACTAACCGCAGCAAAGGACCTTCATAAATTTCTGGAATCCCGTCGGTTGAGGCTCTGCTGCTACTCCGTTGCCCGCGGTCGGCGATGCCACGGTCGTTTGGGGTGCCATCCTTGTTGGTAAGTTCTGGTTGCTGTTCTGGAATTGGGCTTGCGTTGAAGGAGTTGGTGTAGACATGTCCCGAAGGCCCCCCACCGCGCTACCTCGCTGCGCTCCCGTGGCGCCGAGGGCGTTTTGCCGGCGCTTGTCCGTCTGCCTGGCTGGAGACGGAGGTGGGGGCTGCGCGGCGTTTAAACGCTCGTGGGTAAGGCCGCCAGAGTTGTTGTTGATACGAGTCTGGCTGTGCATCTCTCGAGCAGAGACACCTGGCTGCTTATTCGGGTTGTGATAAGGTCCAGGCTTGTGCATAGCATCCCAGCCTTTGGTCGATGATTCCTTGTTAATCTTCATCCAGTCGTACTCGCCATCCTCGACCTCGCCAGTATTCTTCAGAGCCTGGGTGAAGAGCTCGCGGAGATAATCGTAGTCAGGAGTATCTTCAAAGCCAAGGTTCCTCACGTACGTAAGATACTTGTTGAACTCTTCCGGGAAACCTTCACACAGATCTTTTATGGGGGTGGTCTGCTTCTTTTCACCAATCTTCTCATATTTCTGCTTGTTTGTGGCAGCCTTCAAGCCCTGCCACGGAAGACCACCTCGGAGGAAGTACATGAACACATGGCCGAGAGCCTCAAGATCGTCTCGTCGTGACTGTTCGCGTCCAAGATGGGTGTTGATACTCATGTATCGTGCAGTTCCGGACAAAGACTTTCGCTCTCGATACGGAATGTGCTGCTTCGTCTTCGGGTCTCGGTACTGCTTAGCCATACCAAAGTCGACAACGTGAATAACGTTCGCGGCTTTGGTACCCGGGCGACCAATGAGGAAGTTATCGGGCTTGATATCTCTGTAGATGAGATTCTTCTCGTGGATGGTTTGCACTCGGGAAAGCTAAAATCCGGTTTAGTTCCTGCGCGTAATTGACTCAATTAACTCAGGGGTGGTTACCATCTGCTTCGCTACCATGACAACTGTCTTAATAGTGAATCTTCGGTTGCAGTGATCGAACAGGTCTTCCAACGAAGGTCCTAGCAAATCTATGACAAGAATATTATGAAGGCCTTCCTGTCCAAAATAATAGACATTAGGGATGCCGGCTGCGAGACGAAGCTTGTTAGTCGCGGAAAACGGTATGAGTGGAAGGCATTAATCAACTTACGACATCCGACAAGAATCTTGTATGTACGGTATTCATCTCGTAATTGCGGCGCATCACTCTTCCGTGGCTCCTACGAGGTGTTAGTGGTCAGAACAGGCTGTCTTGCGTTGGTCATGTAGTGGTTGGAGATTGACTCAAGTGGAAAGCAGCCTTGTCGACGGCAAGGGAAAGGAGAGGGACAAGAAAAAGAAAAAGAAAATCAAGGACAGATTACTTACAAACTTGATAGCAACTTGCTGATTGTTCAGTAGATTGGTGCCTTCGAAAATGACACCAAATGATCCTTCACCAATCTTCTTCCCTACTCTATAGTGGACGCCCACAACGTTTGAGGAGGACGACGCCATTGTGGACGTATGAAGCCGTTGTGGTTGTCGATTGGAAGTCGGAGACCAGGGAACAGGAGCAACACTGTCGAATGGAGGCTACGAGAGAAGAACGAGTGTCGCTGATCCGACACGAGTATCCTGGATACTCGAAACGACTCAGAAAAACCGAAAGCTCATCCCCTCGAGTTTTTGTCTAGTTAATTATTAAGGCTCGAGAAGCTGAACTGACGGGATTAGTCAATCCTTGCCAGATGGTTGTTGGGTGAATTGATAGATCGGGATGGATTGAAAAAAGTGACTTGAGAAAGCGAAGATCAGGAAGGGAGGAATTTGGGGAGAAGCGGTCGGGGAACGGCAGTGGCTAGAGTGACCAGCGGAAAGTGGCAGAGTGGCAGAGTGGCTAAGGAAAGAAGGCCCAAACTGCGCCGTTGCGACCCCCTTTAGCCTTGATTTCCACTTCTTAGGTACCCAGGTGCAGGTGAGATGTTCACGGGTACCTTAGGTACATACATAATGTATCTACGTACCTGAAATTCAATTGGATCAATCCGTATTCAGGGCGGGGCCTGTCTATAGTAAGTAATTTTAGGTAGTGCTGGGGGGCCACCTGAATCACCACCGGAACAGAAGCTTTACTGAATGTGGGCAGTAAAAAGGCTGGGCATTGGGGCAATGGAGGGGCCATGGCTCCAACTCACCCGGCCAGGGTCTTCAAATTCCAATCACAACCGTCCGACGCAACAATTCAATTGTCAGTTGCCGGAGTGAATAGGTAATAACTGGACGAATTGCAAAAGCAGTACCTTTAATAATATTTTAGGTAACTTTAGCTGCAATGTGCATCTCTATTCAGAAAAGATGTCCTGCAAAACATTTCGACAAAGGCGGGGAGTCCAAAATATGTTAAAAAGGAGAGGAAGTACATACGTAAACCATAAACCGTACACAAATATCGGTCTGTCCGTTACATGCATGGCCTGGACCCTTGACTTTTGAAGTTGCTATTAGTTCAGGAGCTAGGTACATTTAATGCTAACCTTGTTCCATCCCATGTTCATTATTCCGAAAAATCATTGGTGCCCCTGGCGGTAAATGTCAAGAAGCATAGGTCTTGTCCAATACTTTAGATGAACAGATAAAAATTTCCATCTTTACAAAACTATATTTTACATCGTCCGAATCTGCACAGATACCTGCCTAAGGTAAATATCAATTGCTTGCTTTAACAGGTTTTTAGATGGATACAATAACCGTCACATCGATGATCGACTTATCACGGACCAACTGTTTCTCAGTTAGGTGCAAACGCAATGTACCTCCTATGTATGAAAGGGGTGTGAGATTGAAGGTTGATCCGAACCAGACCTGATTAGAAAAAAAAAAAAAAAAGTACAAGTAAGGGTTTCCATTTCCGGGCAAGTTCATTGTTCAATTGACGATTCTCGAACAGTTGAAAATAAAAAGTACTCTATTATGTACCAGGATTAGCTGAATCTCGACCCTATCCAAAACCAGGACTCGGATTCGGCCAATTACAATCATCCTTAGGTACCTGGTGACTTTCTAAGACACTAAAAACTCTTGAGTTTTGTTATCACCAGTCCAACTACCTAACCTAATGCTACCTGGTATAATACATGTTCACTGCTTATGCTGATGAATTATTCTGAAAAGAGGATATTTATGACTGTTATGTTAGGCTCTCCCCAAGACACAAATTATTTCCAATCAAGAAGCCAGTTATCGCCGATCCAAATGCATACGGGATTTCGAATCCGATCGATCCGCTTGCATTGATCTCTTAATTTTACCCTCCAGGACACTTATAATTGCAAGCTTCCTATGTAAGCGAAATGCCTACCTTAGGTTAGGTCACCTGGGTATCTCATCTCGTAGGGATGAATACTAATAGTACCTAATGTAGGTACTTTCAAATAAGTAAGTCCGCGCGCTCGTAATTGACGGGATTGATACGATTGATAGGATACACTTTTACCCCAGATACCGCGTTATTCAGGTACGTAAAGCAGTTATGTGTATCTCAAACTCGTGATATTGAGGCTCTCTCTAATTCGCCCACATATGGATCGACATCATTTATTTACATCATTACCATCGGATAGTAATCCGAAAGGTCCAATAAGAAAATTTTCATGTACCAACAAAGCGGTCTTACATGAGCCAATCTCCAAGCAAGGCATATTTCCATATACCTAGATTTTCACTCATATATAGGTATATATATACCTATATATTCGTGTCCAGGACCAGCAGAGCAGGTACCTAAGGTAAATCTTATCTTGACAACTCAGCGGCAACACAGCAGGAGTTTGCTGCGTACGAGTTCGAAGCGACACGTCAAATTCTACTTTTGTATACCGTCCCTCAAGATACTTTGCCAAGCTTATCAATCCCCAAAGCTGAAAAACAGCCTCGTCATTGGTGCCGGGTTTTTCCGACCGAAGCAGAGCTGAAATCGGAAGCAAACATACCTACATAGCATAGTAGGTAAGATACCGTACATATGCAAGTTCGTAGTAAGGTAGCAAGGGTTTCAGACTCAGCAACCAACGCCCTCATTATTGGAGGTTAGAGTTAAGTAACGCAAAAGCCCCAAGCCGCCGACATATGCGCGGTCCCGAAATCTTGTTTCGACTTCGTCTCGGCTCCCACGAATAGATTCAACTCGTCTCTATTCGATAGAAAGAGGTGAGGGAATATATGTACATAAAGCCACTTCCGAGGTAGTGAAAAGAATAACTCACTACCGATCCTCCTTGCGTTTTAGTTCCGTCGTTAGAGGTTACATACCACCGGGAAAAAAACGAGGCGTCGTCATTGTATCTTGGAGTACCTAGAGTAGACTTGTAAGACAAGCACCGCATACAAAACACGTAACCTAGCCTTGGTTTAAGTGAAAAGAGGGATGTGTCACTCAACCTCACCACATGAATGTCTCCACCAGTTTATTTTTAGTCGTTGGGAGTGAGGGGAAGATATAAACAAAAATAAAAAATTAAGGGAAAGTAATCCCTTGATCAGTTCACGAGATCGATGCCTACGCAATCATTGGAAATAGATGGTCCCTATAGGCTACCTCGTTTATATTGGGATTTGATCCGACTCTCCGCCGGTGAGGTTAAGTCATAACCATCCTAGGTTAGGTATCTCATTATATGACCTTGACTTCGGAGCCATTGTCGTCTTTCATCCACCCCGTCTCGCTCGGGGGAAGCTCCGTGACAATGGATGTTAGGTGTTTGCCAACTCAAGCCGCCGTCCTGCATAGCAACGGCAGTACGTGGGATACCTAAGGAATGCATTTATGTTCAAAAGTAAGCCAGATCGATTTGAGATCACTTGTAGTGACCTACTTATAAAGGTTATTTATATGCATAGTATGGCTACATGCAGAAATATAAACCTGGTTACGACATGGATACCTAGGTACCTAGGTACTTAGCTGGTATACGTTGAAAACTAATACGCAGTAATAGTAAAGGCATGTTGATAGATCTAGTTCCTTAAGTAATGTACCTACTGAATATTCATCATGAAAGTTTGCGATGCTGGAGGTTTCATCATGTGTCAATATCCACCATCCTCGAGTCTATAACACTCTAGCTACGGCCAGTCACGAGTTATCCCCTGATTGATCACAAGCCAGGTTTTCGTAGATCATTCTAGGAAACCGTCTTATATTAAGGTGGTAGTAAATTCGTATGGCTATTGCCTGAAGAATCTTATAACTATACTATACATGTCACCTCTCCTCGTCGCTTATCCTCATCTACGTACACAACTGGTCACGATACCATACCTTTCTGGACTTTTACGGGAGCAGCGTCTATAGGCATTGGGTATATATAAAGACTACGTCAACTAAACCTAGGGCGTGTCTTGTAATTTTTGAAAAGTTACGGTAGCATTTAGACAAAATAATCGAATCCTAGTTGGGTAACACAAATCGAGTAGCTATTCTAATAAAACTCGCAGCCCTACGACCACGAGCCTACGTTCATTACTCTTCCGTAAAGGGCATAACCGTGAATACCTTACCAGATAGGAGGTACCTAGGTAATCATGCTATACCTAAGGTACCTTTAAGTCGAATACCGTTTAGAGTCCCTAGTGCATTGCCCAGCCAAAGCCCAAATATAAAATATCAGAAATAAGATCTACCATTGTCTTACTAATAAACTCCTCTCGATTCATCAAGTTATTTTCCACCTACTCGTTCACCAAGCATACTCTAAAATAGGCTATATGATTCGAAAGCTCTCGTACATACCCTAATAAATCGGGGGCTAGGTACATCAAGACTGAGAATGAGGACACGGTTGAGGTATGCTTGGGGTTGGCTACGCATCTTGTTGCTAGGATGTCTTAGTAACCTTAAATCTTCAACAGCCTCATATCCGTTGAGATTTTTTTTTTTTTAAAAAAAAAGGATTTGTCACAAAAGCTACGGGGAGCATTGGAATTAAAATTAAAAACGAATCGATGAATAAAACTATAAACTCAAAGAGTCATCATCCTCATGAATCTATGATGCTCTCGTGTGATATAAATCATGCCTTGCAGAAACCATCTTTTTTAGACCCTCTTCCCCCTGAACACCGTTCCATTCGCATATAAAGCGACCAATATCCATGCCTGAAATGCCCGGACAGCATGCGTCGTCAAGTCTGTACCCTAATGTGGCTTAATAGTATGTCCTACGCACTATCCCGAAGATGGCTGTAGCAGCCACGATGCTATTATAGCTGGACAACATTGTTCAGCAGTCGGACTTCCTCTCCGGGCTTGAATGCCGGCAATCCTATGTATGGGCATCCGTCACATCGGAAAGCATCGCCTAGCGAACAGTTTCCGCAGGATCCAACCTTGCCCTTGACGGTGAAGTCTACTTCATTTAGATCGTTCAAGTCAAGCTTGAGAGCTTGAAGTTTCTCGTCCGCCTGCTTCCTTCTTGCTGCGTCTTCAGCCTCGAGCTTTTGAGCCAAACCGCACGTGCAGTCCTTGCAGGCACGCCGTCGTTTGCCGACCTTAGGTACGCATTCCGCAGCTGTGATCTAAGTTAGGACCAAATACTGAATGAAGCATATGGGGAAAGACTACTTACGAATAGCCAATGGCTTGTTCAGATCTTCCTCCGTCAACAGGGTATCTTCGTCAATGAGTTCGTCATCGTCATCAGGAGCATCGAAGTCATAGCTGAGGTCCACGAAACCAACACCAGCAGGGGTTGACTTGACAGGTGGAGGAACCATGTCAAGACTAGCATCTTTTCCATTGGCCTGGTGTACGGTAACATTCTTCACAGCAGGACCAGCAGCGCTTCTCTTCTTGTTCTTGCCCAGTCCTAGTTTAAGAGGAACAGCACTGGCAGCGCCATCATCTGGCTTTGAGAAACCATCGGCACCGGGCACCAAACCGGACAGGAGGGCCTCGCGCGCATCTGGTCCTTGGCTGTTCTGTACTAGAGAGCCGTCTTGGGCTTGGATCTTTCCTCCAACTTTAAGGGTTGGTACAATCTTGGCGAAAACATCGCGGTTGAGAAGGAGCGTTGATTCGGCACGGGTGCCATCAGCATCCGTGAGGACCAAGATAAAGTCATATGTTGCGTCGGGAAGATTGACGAGACCGGCGGAAAGACGGTCAAGCATTTGTAAGTCGGTGACTGAGCGGTCGTGAGCGGCTAAGACATCTCGTAACTTTTCTTCGTGACTGGCGATAGACGGAGGGGCGAGTAGGAGGGTTCGGGGGCCCGAAGAGCCATTCTGGGACGGGGTTGAACTGGATACGTCGAAGTCGGATGTGTTATCAATCGTGACAATTGAGGGGGACATGATGGCGGCTTTATGCGCCCTTTGCGCTGCCTAGATGAAAAATGTGGTAAAAGGATTGTCTTGTCGGTGAACTCGACGAATTTAAGAGGTAACAACGCCGACCGCTTTTGGTGAGTTATGTGCCTTGGTTCGCGGGGCAAAATGGTATATGGGCAAAGGCGATTCTTATTCTTATTCTTATTTTATTTTTACGGCGGAAATTCTTCAGGTCGTTACTTGGGTTTACCTTTATTTATTTTAAGTAGAAAAAGGTCAATCGGCGTTTGGATTACAAATTGATTTTTGACAAGTTCTATTTCAGATAATGGAGCGGAGATGAAAGTAGCACTAGATTACCTAAGTCGAAGACTTTCACACAAAGACACAGTAGAAGTCAAGTAGGGGGTACTTTGATAGGTTGATAGGTGGTAATACAAGGAGAGCGAAGTTGCTAAGTGAATTGAGATAAAAAAAATTATTGACTGTGACGAAATTGTTTCTCCGCGCTACTTATCAGATCCGATTCCGGCAACAGGTAGGTACATATGTACCTAATTTCGTACTGCAGCCATACCCCAGGTGAGTAGGTACGTAACCTGCATTTTCTAAGTGATGATTGGCTAGGTCGATAAAACCCGATTTCCGGGGTGCTGATTGGCGTTCAAACCCGTAACGCCTTTGACGTCTCCTTCCTACGGGGCTTCTATCAATCAGCCTGATAACATAAGGTAACTTCCAAGTTTTTACAATGTTTGTCTGATTTTACATAACTTTCATGATCAAGAGCAAGCCACGAACATAAAACTTACAGGTTTGCTTTTGACTCACTACCTACCTTAGGTCCTCTTCAACACAAAGGTACGGCGCATATACAAGATTCTGGTTTGACAACCTCATATAAAATATCTACTTAACCTAAGGTAATGCATAACCCTTCCCACCTCTTATAGCAAGCCTTGGTTGTGGTGACCTCTAGATGAAAGCATCGCATCCTCGGACCTGTTTCTAGAATGTAAGACTTGAGTTTATATAAGTGTGATTCAGAGATGAAGTATATACGAACCTTCAACTACATATGCAAAGGGTGCCTAACTCGAGAACAAAGCAGTGGACCCTTTTGTTTCACATTCGTTTACACACGATCTCTTTGAATTGCGACACGTCATTTTGATCTTAAGTACCGGCTCTCCGGCGCCTTCTCTTCCAATACTTCCCGTAGTCGAGTGCAATCTTGTATCCAAGCAGCAGAGGCCCGGGCAAGATGAATATGGACTTTACAACGTTCCCAGCCGAACTTAGGCTGTCAATAATAGAAATGGTGGCTGATTCGCTGACGGGAAGAACAATTGAATACACTACCGTTTCTCGAGAGTGGCAACCAATCTTCGAGAAAAGGCACTTCGAGCGGATTCTTCTTTCACCTGCGCGTCTGAACAGCTTTGCGCAGATTGTGCAAGGATCGAGAAGGAAACTAGTCAAGCATATCTGGTTGAGAGCAGAACTAGGCGCTTCGCATCCCGATAGGGTCAACGCCGGATTCCGACCTAACCAGAGTCTTGCAGACGAATCTGACTTCAACAACGCAATCGAGAGACTCCTTCGAATACTTAGCACCTGGGAGAGACCTTGTCATTTAAACGCTGAAGGATTAACACTTGAACTGTCCGCATGGTCTCTCCGCGATTATGAGTATGGCTTCCGTCATCAGAGATTTGTGCATGATCCGTACTCAGAACCCAACAAGGACCTCAGGTTCCCCCCTCTAGAATTTCGAAATCTGCTGTCCCTGTTGATGCTTGATCACACCTCGCCCGAGGAAGTGGCCCCTTCACGTTCTGGTAACAACTTGGAAATGAAGGTGTTAGGTCCGACGATTGAAGATGCCCCTAAAGTTGATGTAGTCACCAAGTTCCTTCTCCGTCGGCAGTATTACAGCCATATATCCCCGGATCGTATCGCTCAAATTTTCGAAAGGCTGACGGGGCTACAACAAATTATTTACGAGCCACCAGAAAGAGTAGATGATACCACGGATCTGTGGCAGGGGAAAAGTAAGTGAATATCTACCTGTACTGTTCCTCCAAATTACCTAGGTAGCTATCGCAAGCATGTACACTGACTCTGATTGTTTAGGCCATTGGCTTCTTTCCGATTATAGCCTCCCACAGACGCTTAGGCAGCTGTCCATATTCGAAGATCCTTTTCACCACAACGCCTTGACAACCCGAAACCAAACAGGCAGCGCATATAGCCCTGGGATCGCTATGGTATTGTTCAAAGAGAGCCGAAATTTGGAGCATTTGTCAGCGTCTTTCGTTGTAGATGCCAAGGACTTCTTCCAACCATTCTGGCCGTCAACCCTAACTTCTACAAGCCAAAGCTGGGATAAGCTCGAGACCATAGCTCTCACGTCGAGCCTTCTAAAGCCGTATGAATCATCAGGAGAAGTAAATGACTTATTCTACGCTGCGGGTATGGCTGCGAGAAACATGCCTGCTCTTCGAGTGATGGAGATTTGGAATGGGCTGGGAACGACGTACAGTGGTTTCTTTCGTTATCATAGCGATGAAAATGGCAGCACGATTACATGGCGGGGTACTTGGGAACTTGACCTGGAGCCACGGGTTATCCAGTGCTGGATCGAGACGGTGCGCAAGAATACCCACCATCTCAACGTGGGAGTTCGCGATATGGAATTGCCATTCGATGGCACAAGCTTTCCGGCTTCCGTTCTTCGTCACCTGAAGTTGAAAGAGCGGATTGTACATCCGGTGTCGTTCTGTCAGCTCCAACTTCTAGGGGAGCCGAAAAGACACAAGTAATAAATAGCTTCCTACCCGAGATTATAAATACTCGCTGGTCTTTACTCGGTTTAGGTGCTGGAGGTACCTAACCTAATAATGTATTACACTACTACGAATTGAATTATTGGGTTTGATTGGTCTCATCCTCCTCCTTCAGGATTGCTCAATACAGCCAACATGAGGTGCATGAATCGCCCCATTAAAATTACTACTATGTAGTGTACCTTGCTTCGTCAATTCAGTGCCTACTAGGTACCTACCTAATGTAGTGTAATGTAACAAAAGAGACAAAGGGATAATGATATTCGAGCCTACCTACCTAGGTAAATTCCCTATCATCTTAGCATACCATAGAACAAACTAGACTGAGGATATATCACTTGTCGCAATTCCGAGACAGACGAGATAGATATCGCAACAATGCGTTATTCGTCCTTGTCGAACTGTCACGTCTGACTACGCCAAAATGCATAAAATGTAAGAATGATCGGCTCTAACTACCTGTGACTTGGTTACTCAACTTTAGGTACATAAGACGCAGCAGCTGTGGTACCTTGTCTGGGGAAGTCAGACTGCCAAGGGAATAAATAAATGTGGATTTCCCCGCATTATAATGCAGCGGCTCATCATTGCTTATTAGGTACCTACCTCCCAGTATTGTACAATGCAGAAAAAGGGTACTACCTACTGCTTTCTACTATGTATCTAGGTACCTATGCCCAGGTGCATTGGGGTTGGAAAATACCTGGGGTAATAAATGGGGCCTTTTAACATTTCCGTTTTTCTGCGCGTGTGACATAATAAAACCTGCATGTGGCCATTTTCGTTGTCATTTTGATATTATTCTAATGCTTGCGTGCCTGAGGCTGAATACCAAAGCTGGAAGGACGCATGGATGGTAAAGGTTCCCAACAAACAGACAGAAGGCGGGGGGGAGAGGAGGCGAGGGGAGGAGGAGGGGACGTAATAGTCGTTTATGATGCAATTGGAAAGAAGTTCAAGAAGTTTCTCCAGCTTTGGTCTTTGGTCGCCCGACCGGTTGTTTTTTTGAGGGGAGGGGGGGGGGGTTCGGATTGAGCGGGTAAATTTCCCAAAGATCGACAAAAGCCATCCGAAAGACTTGCGATGATTACTCTGCTAACTGTTTCGACTTACCTAATTCTAGCTGCAGATTACGCCCTTATTGGTTCTTTATTCGCTCTCGACTTCTCTGCTTTATTACTATTATATATTATATTATACTTAGTATAGTATAGTAGTGCATTTAGTGTATGTAGGTATGTGCCGTTGTGGTCATGCAAAGCAGGTTCAGGGATGCCCCTTGTCTCTCCCCGCTAAATTGTTCGGTAATGGTTCCCGGTCGCTGAGCTAATTGTAGCAATCGAAAGCATGTCGAACAGTCATTGCGCCGGTTCTGTTGGGGAAATGGTTAATACGTTGCTAGTTGTCGCTGGTTGTGACTGACATGGGCAGCCGACCCCTTTTTTCTCGCAAAAAGGAGAGAAGTTGGAAGTTTCCTGAACTTTCTTTTGTGACGGTTTCATCGTCCGTTCCAGTGCCGTTCTTTCAACGGCGAAGGCCGCGAAGGGCCTAAGGGGGTGGGCGCGAGGGGCGTAATTGCTTTTTCCCCGTCTTGGATCGATTTTGAGGGAATTGTCCAATAGGGTCATTCGCTCACACCACCCGCTAAACCATCTTTAAAGCACCTTGAAGCTTGCGTCAATCGGTCACGCGACTGGTCGACTTCCAATTGCCCCATCGAAAGATCAGCTCACCCTGGTCAACGTTAGGTGGTCCTAGTGGTCCCAGTGGTCCTGGTGTCGTTCGAGAACTCGCGTGCCTCCCTTGCAATCTTGCAACAGCTTGAATTTCCCACCTTATTCCGCCTCATAGTATAGTATCGACCGTAGTCTCCGTTTCTTCTCAGCAATATGAGTAATATCAGCACGTATTCTGACTCGATCCAAAAGGGGGCACGAGATGTAAGTGAAGTGGATGCAGAGAGGGTCCCTCTCAATGGCATCTCCGATGTCTTAAAGGGCAGACCAGACCCTACCCGATCTCTCTTGAGCTTCTCCATATTGTCTCCAACTGAGTACAAGCATACCTCATAGGCTCATACGTAACTACATCACTACATCACTACATAGCTACAGCATATAAACACTTCGGCCAAGGGCATCTTGATGCAACCCAATTCCTCCTTGAACTAATTACCTACCTTACTGCCATAGCAACCCCATCCTCAGATCGAATTTATCCACTCTTCTTTAATCCTCACCAGCTGTACCACTACAGCTAGCTTTCGTATCGGACATCCTTGATTCGACTTGATCTTCTCTCCTCTCTTCAAACCTCCCTTCTCCACCACTTACTATTTATCTTCTTCTTCTTCTCGAATCCTTTTCTCCAATCTTTCTTTCTCTGGAAACAATCATCTCAGAGTTCATCCTATCATTGTCTATCTGTACGAGCCATCTTCTGCGAGTCTTTCATCCTACAATCCTCTTCAACCCTTCATCAAAAGTAAGTTCAACCCAGCTTACATCTCTAACAGTTCCCCTATTCTTCTCAACCCCGCATTGTCTTTGTGTGACGTGCTTCCCTTAAGTTGGCATGTTGTATGCCCAACGACAAACAGCCATCAATGTCTTTTAAGAAGCAAACACAAGATATACGTCCGAGTGTCACTCGTATTACATGGACTTCTTGCTAACCTATGTTATTGTAGTGACTCGATCTCACAAGTTCAACGACAAGGACCACTCTGGCCTTGCTGAGGGGTCTGTTTCCCCTCACGAGAACATCCCGAGGTTCTTCGCCAAACACGGCTTCGAGGGTGTCGACCCAAAGAAGACCAAGAAGAACGGCAACGGCAAGGGTAACTGGTAAGTCTTTCCCCTTATATGTCAATCCTCAAATTTGGGGAATGATATACACTATACTGGTTCGTTGATGGAGATATGCTAACTGGATGATTCCAGGGGCCCAGCAGGCGCTGAAATTGTCGATGTAGACTTCAACTTCGCCAATGCTCGCCGCCGTTCCAACAGTAGTGGCTTTACCACCCACCTTAGGGACTTGAAGACCAAGTTCGAAATCAATGAACCCGAACCCGTCTTCGAAGAAAGACTGCACGGTCCCGAGGCCGAGGACGAAAACAACCTGAGCAAGACCGAGACTTCTTCTAGCGCAGGAAGTTCCTCGGACGAGCAGAAATAATCACATCTCGGATTATCTACAACGCTAGATGAGGTTCCCTAGCCGGATTGACTTCATCCACCACAACTATCCCTCCTAGTTATTACTATTATGTGTACTTATGACGAAACCTCTATGAAGGATATTTCATTAAAAGAAAATCATCTGGCTGTCAAGCTGGCTGGAACTATGGGATGGGAATTTTTGGGGAGGTTTTATGAGACATGAGTACGTGTCCTTTCGTGTTCGCTACCTACCTAGGTACCTACCTTATGTATTGGGACAAGATTCGGTGGGCGGCGCAATTTTGTTATGACGGCTATTTGATGGAACAAAACCTATCACTAATGTATTATTATTATTAACATCATATGTCGCTATCAGTCTTGCAAGGAACTAGACTAAATGCCTATGTACTATCAAATCTCTGTTCAATCATCTCTCATTACTTAGCGTCTGTCTTGTTGTATGACTATTTTGACAATGTACAGGTTTATGCTAGCTAACCGTCAATTATTTCGACTATGAGTTGCATTTGTAACTACCTTCGTCCGCTTGTTTTTTTCTACTAAAACAAGAGTTTTAAGATGCAAAACGGGCATATATAGTATTAGGATGATACGAACTACCCGAACCCGTCCGAGCCATGCCATGTTCGCCAATCCTGCGCTCTGGTTAAACTGCTCGGATCAACTCGGACAGGAATCCTTTTCCTACCTAGGTATATCCAATATTTGATCAACCGAAACGCCTTTTTCCTCTAAGACCTCTTCGACAATTATTCTTCGATTTTAACATCCTCCAACCTAATGATGGAACCCAGTAATGCCCGCCGCGCCGCCTTCGTGAACTCGCCCTCAACCTTCATCTTCTCGATGCGGTGGGCTCCTATGTAAACCACGTTCTTGACCTCGTCGGAAACCCATACCACGAGGAACGTTTCCTCGGTGCCGTCCGCGTTCTTACCGAGGATGATTCTACTACTGCTATTATCATCATCACCACCACTACTAGCACCACTACCCTCCTCGTCTCCCTCCTCGAGACGCACCAGCCGCGGCACGCACATCCCCACAGCGCTCTTCATCATGAACGTCTCCGAGGTGCGGCGCACTATCATCCACGACTTCCTGTCGAGGCTCAACCCCGACGCCGACGGCGCCCCCGTGCGCAGCGTCAGCGTCACCGGGATCTTCACCCCCACGAGCCCCATGTCCTCGCCCGCCACCTCCTCGATGATCACGCGCTTGCGCGCCCCCTCGTTGTTGCGCACCCAGAACCACTGCCGCCCCAGCACCCGCTGCCGCCGGCTCAGCTGCGCGACGTTCGCCATGCGCACCTGCCGGTCCCGCGCCGTGATCTTGGGCGCGTGCGCGATCCGGTTCGGCGCCCCGTCGGGCCCTTCGCCCAGGCTGATCCGCAGCGCGTCGGCGTGCTCGGCCGTCTCCTCGCGCGGCGGCACGTGCACGCCGTCCCGGAGGCCGCGGACGAGCAGGGCCGCGGCCAGGGGGGTGAGGGTGGCGAGGAGGTCCGAGGAGGTGGCGTGCGGGGGGATGGGCACGGGAGCCGTGCGCGCGAGGACCAGGCCGTGGTCGAAGGCCTTCTCGTCGAGGGTCTGCAGGCTGACGCCGGTCTGGGTGCGGCCGGCGAGCAGGGCGTGCTGGATGGGGGCCGGGCCGCGGAGGTCCGGGAGGAAAGACGGGTGCAGGTTAAGTCCGCCGTACTCGGCTTGGCGGAGGAGGCGCGGGGGGACGAAGAGCCCGAAGGATACGGCGATTATGAGGTTGGTTTTTCGGGGCATCTAGGGAGGCGTTAGTATGAACGTGGGATGATGATGATGATGTGGCTTGGATAGTTGGGATATGGTGAATGTATTTATTTGTAAGGCGTATAAGGTATATGAGACATATAAGACATATATACTCCTTATATAACAAGAAAAAGAATATTGAACTCACATCCCATCCTGTAAAAGTATCTAGCCTGTGGATTGGGAGTTCTAGCTTCGTAACCAAGGCTACAATCGGTGCTGCGCGGATGGTTAGCACGTACGATCTCGGTGCGCCAGATAAATAGTGTCTTTTGAAATAAATATGAATACAAAATAGAGCGAAGGAAACTTACGAGACTTTGGTTTCTGGTTTCCTCTCCCCGTCATCTTAGTCGGCCGGGCTACGACGGTGATGCTCTGGATGAGTTCCGGGTTGCGTCTGCGTTCCTTGTCCAGCGCTTCGAGCGCAGCGCAGCTGAATTCGTCGGAGCCGCAGAATAAGATATGTAGCGGACCTGAGCGCTTTGCCTTGCTCCTGACTTCTTCCACTAGTGGTGTAGCGGTAGTTGTAGCAACGCTACTGCTGTACCTTCGCATCTGGAGACAAGCATTGTATATTCTCGATAACTGAACAGGCTTCCGCGTTGCTGGCCGAGGGGTGGCCGTAATGTCAGATTGCAGTAGTCGAGCATTTACTTTGCCTGCTCTTGATAGCCCATGCCATGATCTAGAACCGAACGGCACTGCGGCAGCTTGTCGCAGTATTGGCCGCATTTTGATATTCCCAGTTACTGTGTCTTCCTACTGCCTCTTCTTTCTGTAGGCCTAGGAATATCCTAGAGTTAGAGTTTTTAATACTCTTCACTCATATAAGCTATCATTCAGATCATTCAGGAGTGAGCTATGAGGTATCAGTTAGACTTGAACATAGCAATAACAAAGTAGGGAGACACACATTCTCTTAGTAAAGTTTTACATACCCCAGGAAATTGGTATCTAATTTATTCCTCAAACTAGAAACAATCTAATACCCGGTCTGCCATTAAACCGTTAAACGGCCATGTCTTGTGATGGTTCGGCTCAACTGAGGATTTAGCGAGATGTGAAAAAAAGAGCTGGATAATAAAACCTCTTGGCATTTCTATACGGTATTGGAAACGGTCCTTAAAATAGGTACCTCATAAACAATCGCCTACTAATTTAAAGGATATCTTATAAGAGCTTTAAATGCTGCATGTTATTATACCATATGAATACATCTAACTTAAAAAAACTTAATGAAGAGAAGACCTAATTTATTGCTGTATTTTTTGCTCTGCTCTGTTCAGCAGAAGGTATTATATAAGGTAAGGTAATGAGGTAGCGTTTTATCAAAACGGAATTACGTTAATTCCGAAGTTACTGTCTGACCGTTTGGCCAAACCGTTTGACACGATAGCTTTTAGTCACGATTCAATCAATCCCTGAAGATGCAACAACAGGTACCTTAGGTTAGGTACCTGCTATTATTTATTCATAGTTCTTTTCCTTTTCCTATTTTTTTTCTTTTTTCGAACCTGAATTAGCCGCCCTAACCGCTAACGGGGTATTTATAATATATTCTATTTGCAAACCTGAAGCCATGAATCCTTTTTTTCTTTTTTTCCTCGCTGTGAACGCCCCCAAACTTTCTCCTTAATCCTCCCGACGCTATTTCGATTGAGTTGCGGATAAGTATATCAAATACGCCCCCCCTCCCCAGCCCTAAAAATAATCGACCATGTAAGCCATAACGGCACGGCCCGGCTTAGCTATGCCGTACTATGATAGCTGTGGAGGCGAAGCACGGAACCGTCCCGATGCTTGTTATATGTGTTTCATACGCCTATGGATGAAGCTGTAGGACACCAGTCATAACTTGAAAAGGGGGTGCATGTGTAGTGGTAGGATGAGTGAATGCCTTGGGTGCACCGGTATGTCTGCTTTTACACTATCCTTCCATCCTCTAGATGCAGTGCTTGTAGTCCTTGAAGGTCGAACCGGGAGAACTCGTCGTCCGACTTAGCGCTCGGCGGTGATGGTATTGCATTCGAGGTCACGATTGGTTCCATGCGATATGAACCATCTTCTGAGCTATTGTTAATATTGCCTTTTATATGGGCGGCAGGTGGCATCAGGGGTAGGTCGCCTGAAAGGCTATTGTGTCTATAAGTCGGTTGGTCCCTGTCGTGTTGAGAGCTGCGCCAACTCGCTGTTGTTTTTCGGGAGTTGTTGTGTAAGCTTGCCGTCGCTCGATCGGACCAGGATCGAAGTTGCGTAGAGAAGTTGTTGAATAACGGACCGAAGGTCGCCGCGCAGGCACATATGAGACCTGTGTTCACTTCGAGAATGGAAAAGGTAAAGCTGATCCCGGACCACCTAGGATATTAGTTAGCAGTGATTTGGGCATATATTTAGACATATATTAGGTATATGTTAATCGGAACAGAGGTAACATGTTACTGGGTGACGTAAGGGGATAAAGGAGGCTATATCCATACCAAGGCCGGTCGTAGGATAGCGAGTCATACGTCGAGATTGCCCAGCGAACACAGGCTACGGCCCAGGCGCTATCTTAAGTCAGTGACTCATTTATTATAAGGGAGCATCATGGTCCTCTCACACAAGACCACAACCAAGCACAAGGCTGAGCCCTATCTTCTGCCTGGTCGTTCGAAACTGTAGCCTCCACACCATAACTAGGGGCAAGATACCGATAATGAGGTCGCTTGTCATATGGCCAGCCCCGTAAATGATATTGGCCACGACTCGGTTGATACACCATCCGGGGAGGTCCATATCCCATTTCTTCGCGATAGGGTGACAGCCGAAAAACTCGGTAAGGGCATTGCAGGTCAGGTAGCCGAGCGTGTAGAACATGGTGAGATAGCACGCTATCCTGAATTTCTGGTTGACGCCGAAGAGCTGCAGATACAGCAGGAGCAATGCGCATTTGAAGCCTGCCAGACTCGTCACGTAGAATTCCGACGAGATCCCAATCCATAGATAGTATTCCGAATTGAGCTCCGGAGTGAATTGCCATATGTGCAAGCCCATGCCGTGATAGGTGGCAATTCCCATGAGTATGGCATGGACGATGATACTAACCATCGTCGCCGCGACCACATCTAGGTATCCCGACGGAATGAGAGTAATCCTAACGAGATGTTTGGGAATGAACACCTACAGTCATCGATACCCCACGGCCGCCTTACGACGTAGCTCCTGCAGTAGAATCTTATAAGCACGAATATGAAAGTGATGAAAGGCATCACTATGGCCGTCCTCCACACATGTATGCCATTCTCGGCGGGAAGCGTCGGCACCACTACGTTCTCGCTCATTCTGGCTCGACCCCCGATAGAATTGTAGACATGGGAGACTGATTGATTGACTGAATGCCTTCGCGTCGCAGACACGAGTGAGAGAATCGGGTCAAATAGAAGTTAGATAAGCGAAAGGGAGGAAAGCGGCTGAGGCCGACGTTATAAAAGTTTTCGCAGCCCTTAGCCAGCTTCTGTGCCGATGAGTCGACGAGGTGTCATCGTGCGAGGTGAGAACCAATTACGATTGACGCCGCCTCATCCCCGACAGTGTTCGGGATACTGCAGTCATACTGAAGTGTTCTTCTTCGGCTTTAAATGCGTGCCAGTCCCTCGGAGAGGGTGTGGATAAGTAGTGTGTCGAGGTATGCAGGAGAGGGGGCTTACGGCATAGGGCAAAGATGTGCATTACCGTATCGTGGGCTGCAGCGCCCAAAAGTATGGGCGGGCTTACCCACATCGCCACATGTTTCGCGGGGGTACCGGCTTGCTGGTAAATGGGGGAGTTCATTACCACTTGGGTACCGCCCGTTGATATGCTGTCAGATCGTTGAGGCATGCCGATGCATACGCTCTTGGATTGGTGGTAAGAATCACGGGCACTAATGCTACACAAAACAGTTTCTCGATTCCGTCCGTAATCCTTCTCCGTTGATCTATCTAGGACTCCAAGCTTTTACATGCCTCCATATTTTAATAGAATATCATGATATAGACAGGATCTGTTTTACGATAGGGGGCCAGATGGGCTTGTTCGATAGGCAAATCAATCCCGCGAATTCCTTTAGACTATCATTCGCAAGAGGATTCTGATCGCGCATCTCAGAAACGGCCGCGGCAAGTTTCATCTAGAGAAGAGTTGGAGGTGAGACGGTATTCGCTTTTTTCTGTGCAACCGAGAGAGTCACCAACTATGCTCAGGGAGCACTGCGATTGGAAGAAGGCCATGAATAGATTGGTTGCTTCCAGTGGCTTATTGTGATTTGAGTAAGATGTGAACCGGTGTGGTTATTCCATGTCACAAGCAAGAATGAGAGGGCGCGATACTACGAAATATCATGTCTGTGTAATGTGATATAGACACGGGCCGTAGAGCATCTAATGAAGATAGGTGTTGATGATGATTGAACTCCCCGTCTGTAACTCTTAATGAATACGCCACACCACCATAACCCCCGCCCAGCGATTCAGAACGTTCCGGACGTGAGACGGCGTTTCTTGCATAAAATAGTCACTCATATACACCGGATTCAATCTCACCGGGGTATCACAAAGCTCTACGGTAGTAAATTATCACATATAATAATAATGCTCATGGTAGATAGCCTGTTCTAATTGAGTACAAAAAACTCAACCCCTATATGTAGTCTAGTTCAGGTGAAAGTGTTACATTAACAGAATCAGAATACTCATCCGTGGTTTTGAAGATATGATTTTTCCATCCAGCGAGCCTTTGCCTTAGGTACCTCATATTGAATTCTGCCATCATCGTATAATGGAGGTATCTATTGCATCCCCGGAATCCCACGAACGCACCCCAATAGGGGATCCCAGCGCCGCGTCCAAGATTAGCAACAGACCCAGGCTGAACCATTAGGTACAGAATGCATTATGAAGCACCAAAGGTCTTGTTGTCGATAGGAAATACTACCATGTGCGTTCCTCCTCTCCCAAACTGCCGGCCGTGCAGGTTCTCCAGCTCATGTAAATGGCCGGGTCCAAGCCGAGCTGACGGAAAAACCAGAAATATTCCTTCGCCAGCATAGCGAACCGCCAAATACTACCCAACGGTGTTACCATCCGAATAACCCCCGGACCCTATATCTAGCTGCTCATTCGCTCATTTAGTTCCTTCGCCTCGCAAGAGATGAATTGACTGGCTTGTGTCCAAAATTCTCTTCTATTTATGCCAGCAACTCATTTCAGCGATGCGCATTAGTTAATCATAACAAATACCTTAGGATTCTGTAGCACAAGCTCTCTTATTTTAGATGGCGTTCAGCTTCTCCCCCTTTTTGGTGTATCTAAGGATAAACGAGTCCCGAGGCTCCTTTGCGCTGTATAACGTTAGTTAGGTAGGCAACTAAGTGATTTGCTAGCTTACTACCTCCATGAATTTATCTGTATAAGGGGTGAAAGTGCGTGTTTAGACCCATCATAGTCTGATCAGGAGTTAGAATCACGGGTCGTGCTTCTTATTTGGCCTTAGGTGTCAAGATTCTAGATGAGACGTCTAGGACAAAGTATACGTTCAGTGCCTATTGTATAACTCTGGTCCCCAGAGCTATTTTTAGTTAGAATTTCTTGCGAAACAACTAATGTCTTCATACTTCTTACTCTACCACGTGACATTAGGAGTCGAGGAGATATATAGATTAGGTACTTAAGGTACGAACAGTTATACCTTTTAGCGTTTCATAGTAACTGACATGCTAATGTTGTAAAGTAAACTACTATAGTACTTAGCCTTTAAGCTGCACTCCTTAATTTGATGTCGTTACACATCTATACCCGGTTCACGGTAGCTATCAATGTGTGCCTCTCAACTTTCGGAATTACTATAACCCTTAAAAGGAATTTATGTTAATAGAAAAGGGAATAGGGATGATGTAAGGCAGTACCACGTAGGTAGCCAGTAAGAGAAGTCAAACATGAGTGGTACATAAGTAGTGCTTGCAAAACGCTCGCTGAGTGGTGCTATTTGTAGCAACTAGCTGGCCTTTGTTATAATAGTAACTCCGGAGGCTAAGGTTCTATTTCGTAGGCAGAAGTCATCAGAGTCATAAACTCATGCCGAGGTGAATGCTATTGTGGCTATAGCCTAGGTACCTACCGACCTAACCTAATGTTGTAACTGTAACTGAGATAGGATAACATACCGTAGGGATTTATCAGTAAAGACTCTTTGGCCGTTGTTGCATAGGAACGAATTTCGTTATAGTCGTAAGACTCTGATGACTACCTAGAGGTACCTACACATACCTAGCCCCTATCTAAAAGACGGCAGGGAAAAGAAGCCAAATACGCAGAATTGAGAGTTTATTGAGTCTTGTAGTGTGCTATCTTTATACATTCGATAGAATCTAAGTTAATCCATCGAATTGATCCATAGTAAGGTATTGTCTTACCTCTGACATAGCGGTGGACGTGTGGTGTATGTATCTGCCTACCTAAACTATCTTTCTACAAGAATGAAAGCATTGTGTCTAGGTTAGAGTGATGAATATATTAGCAAAAGCCGCATTTAGGATATTGCGCGAGTATAAGGAGAGTATTAGGATTTGAGGAGAGTATAAAAGTGCGCAAGGCGATATCAGGTAGGTAGGCGGATAATCTTTAGCTACCTTAGGAGGTAGATAATAAATATATCCCTACGTTAGAGTTATAGACGAGATTTATAGAAGAAAATAATCTCTCAGCTTGTATAGGTACCTCTAGGTGGGAGGTAGCTATTAATATTGTAGATTCGAGTAGATTTGGAATTTCCGGTGGAGCAATGAAGTTGGTCCTGTGTCTTCTAAGCCTGTTGAACACTGCCTGCATGCGAAACCGACGAGGTCCGACGCATTTCAAGTGAGGACTATTCAATTCGTTCTTTTTACCATTTGAATTCGAACTAAAACAAGCGTGATGAGAATTTCCAAGGCAATTTTGGCGAGGTAAGTCGTATCATATTGTGGGTTTAGCGCTTATTGGAAATGAAGAATATTCGTGCCGGATCACCAGCGCTTATAATTTTGACCGGTCTGGGGAGCATATTGGTTATACGCCGTTAGGCCCGTTGAAAAGGCCTCGCAGCGAAACGCCTCGGTCAATCGTTAATTTACTTTTACGATATCGATAACCCTTCGGTATACCTTCCTCCTGACCGCTTATCAATTGCGAATAAGTATCGCAAATCTTATGATGAAGTTTAAGAGAGATAGATCGAAGGAGAGAGAAAGAAAGCATCATGGTGTGTGTGATTTAATAATGTATGCCAACATTTCGTGAAACGTAGGCCTCAGCTGGCCACATCAGATCCAGGATCACCAAACTGAATGAATTCACCGGGGCGCGCCACCACGGAGACACACGTCATAAGGTATATATCTGCCCAACGGTGTGGAAGTCAGGTGTTTCCTGCCTGATATGGAATATAAAACGAGTAGCTTCATCACGGCTTCCTTATTCCCTCACTCGCGGATGGGAAAGTATGAGTGAACCAGGACAAGAGAGAGAGGAGAGATTTCTGCCTACAAAATCTTTCTCTTCTCTCTCTCTCTCTCTTCTCTTACCCACATCTTACAACCTTGAAAGATGATACAGTCGACTATCATTTAATTTGGACCAGAAGCATCGAGTATGTCATCAGATATTGTCCAGTAATACACAGTAGAGTCTATCGTCCAATCTATACGTTAGATATAATAATTCCCAAGGTTTAAACGAAAATGGATCACGCCGTTCAAGACTCGCCTCAACCTCACTCTCCGATGACTGCAGAGACCCAATACGGGAGCTTTGCTCAATGGAGCAGCAGCACGCCAAGTAATAACACCGGGAATCCCAGCTGCTCTGAGCGGTGGAAGCGCAGAATATTTGAGTGCGTTGTCCCTTTTGGCCCCGATACCTACCTACCTACCTCCCTATGATGATTTGGTTTCTTTTTCTCCTTCTTTTTTTTTTGGCGAGGGCAAACGTAAATCTCGCTAATACCTATGACCGCCCCCCCACAGCATCTTCTGTTTCCGTATCCGTGCCGAGCCAGAAGAGAGTACCTCGGCAGCGCCAGGCGGCGGCGGCGGCGGCGAGGAACCGGAGAACCGATACGTAGAGCTGGTGCCGACCATCAAAGTGACTCCCGCGGAGCAGTCAGAAACGGTGCAGCCGGCGCCGACCCCCAGAGTGCCCCCGGCGGTGTATACCCGCGACTATCGCAGACCGCCGCGGGCAGATTATCATATACTCTTGAAGGTCGGGTCCGAGCACAGTAACCACCAGCAGCAGGGACAGCTGTCGCAAGGGCGGCAGCGGCAGCAGCAGCAGCAACAGGCACAGTTACTGATACCGGCGGAAGGGACCCAGGACGGGCCGCAGAGGAGCGTCAGCAGCGTATATAGCTCCCGCGGAGGGGCGACCGGGAACTGCCTAACCGAGCCCTGCGGCTGCTGCGCTTATTGGTGCCATAAGATCTGCTGCAGCGATGATGATTGAAGGTTGCCAAGGCGCTTCTAACTGCTGCTCTACGAGGTGGCGAGCGAGCGTTCATTTCTGGGAAAATGCTCGGCATCACGGAAAGGCGTTGATGGATTACTTGGAAAAGAAACAGCTATCGGTACTCATTCTTATTGAGGCTATAATTAGAGTTCCATGCGGCCTAATAAATGTTGGGAGTTTGTGCCCGACTGCCCTTGAAGAGCGTGGGTTTTTATGATATTAATACAGGATAGGGGCATGGCTATGGACCTCCTATATGTTGGTTTTTTTGGGCTATAGCGTATGGAGTACCTAGTTCTGATAGACATAGCGAGTACAAACCGAATCGAGCAAGTGATCACGCGGTTTTGCGCATGGGCTTTCTGATGTACATTGAGACGTCATGTAAAGACTCATGATATCTAAGGGGTTCCTCGTCATACTCACCTTCCAACATTCGTTGGACACGCACGGACGCATGGTCGGCACTACAAGCATCGGTAAGAGCGATTAGCAAACAGTATTTATTTTTTAAGGCCAATGGGTAGCAGCAGCAGCAGCAGCAATACTTACCAGGCTTGAGCCTCTGGCCCGTTCATTTCCATCATCCTGTGTTGGATAATAGCGACCGGGCGCGCTATATCAGCAATGATCTGCCGGACAGGGATATTGGGGTCGACAGAGACCACGAGGCATGTGTCGTCCACTTCGAGAAAAGCGCGGGGGTCCTCCAGCACCGTGATTCCCGCCTCTGCCAGGATCCTCTTGTCGCAGGGTAAATAAGCCGGATCCTGCGCGAAGCACGGGAACGGGGGTTCGAACGGCTTGCTTCTCGACAGCGAGTTCTTCGCGTTGCGAAGCATTCTGGAAATCTTGTTGTCGGCCTCTTTCGTTTTCCGCAACAGCTGCTGGAGGCTGAGGACGAGCGCGTGCTGGACCATCGACGGACGAGATGCCCTGGAGCCGGTGGCTAGGGTGCCCAGGGCGAAGGCGACGATCTTCTTGACGTTGGATAGCTGCGCTTTTTTCGACTTGAGCAGCTTTTTGAGCTGGGCGTACTGCTCGCTTGTTTCCCACTGCTGTCTTACATCGTCGAATGCCTCGCTCAGCTTCGCTGTATGGAAGCCGGTGGACACGGTTTCGTCGATTGAAGGCATTCTGTGGTGGTGCACTACGGGGCGCGGGCCTGGCCACGTAACTCCTATTGCGAGACAAGCTTTCTGGGGGTTGACAGTGTTCATATCTTCCTGAGCAAGGACGTATTGTATCGAACGATAGTATATATACGGCCCTAAGCTTTCACGAAGTTAGTAAATGGGCTCTAATTTGGAAATGTAAAATTATCGAGGTCTTACCGGCTGTCACCATGATTACACCGTTTATCTACCCAAACCGGCGGCATATTTGGGTCGAGTATGACCTCGAAATCTTCGCCCTTCATATTCTTGAAACGGAGCTTGTTACCTTCGAGCTCATTGTCTCTGTACTTGTCAAGTTGCTCGGCCACTCTTCGAATGGCATCTTTGGTGAATAGCGGGATGCCTCTATTGTACATCTCCATGATATCATTGGAGATAGCTTTGACTTCGGTATCATCTTTTTGTTTCTGTCTCCTCGACATGTTGGAGTGGTGGGAGAGGTATTGCAATATCGAGAAGAGACGCAGGGAAATGATCGTAGCGTCCTAATAAGGAAAAATAGGCGTTGAGCGTAGGGGAAATGTCCTTTTTAGTCCGGGCCCTTCATATTAATAAATACAGGAATGTAAGGATGAGGATTACATTGGGGGAGGGGGTGGTGTGAGAGACGCTGGTGTTGCTAAGCAACGTTATACATTCGGTAGACAAGTCATTATGACAACTCACGATGCGACGAGTGATGGGTTCTGTGAACGCTTTCTTGTAGCAATTTGAACACTTCATCTAGTGTATGATGTTGTTTCTTCCACATCTAAGTAAAAGTCATCGGTGCATGGAACATTAGTATGGGTTAGGTACCTATCTGCATGCATGTACAGATCCGTAGTCGTACACAAAACTTCATTGTGACGATACGTACCTAGGTAACTAAAGGATGTACCTGAGCTGTATGAAATAAAGGAGTAGAACTGAACTACTAAAGATCTTATGGAGTTGTAGTGATTTTGTCATGAGGGTGTTCCCGATAGACAACTCGTAAATTGGAAACACGGACCATTACTGTCTCAGACAGCTATCCACATTACTAGGTATGTAGGGGATTGGTAAAAATAGAAAAATATCACAGAATTAGTTCAAAAAGTTGCCTTTCGTTTTTGCGAGTTGCTCGTCGTAATCTAGTAGAGGCATATTAGATGGGAAATTTTGGAATATGGATGGTTTTAAAAAGGGGGAGGGGATAGGGAAAAAAAAAAAAAAGCGATGAGCAAAGCCTTACATGGTTGAAAAGCAAGCCATCCCTTCGCAGGACCTCCGACCTGTAGAGCAGTATAAGCAGCTTCGTCATCGTCAATAAGAATCTTCTTATGCCCCGAAGCCGAAGCCGCGTCGGCGAGTAACTGAGCCTGGCACGTCCTCTCCAGGCTGATGAACCAGAACGCGGCCTCATCGACGCTCCCACCGACCGTAAGTAGGCCGTGGTTCTGCAGAATCACGGCCTTCCCATCACCCAGCGCCTTGGCGATCCTCCGCCCTTCCTCGTCGTCGAGCACGACGCCCCGGAAGTCGCGGTACACCCCGTGGCTCCGGTAGAACCGGCAGGCGTCCTGCGTGATCATCTCGAGCTCGCGGCCGAAGGCCGAGAAGGCCTTCCCGTGCACGCTGTGGGCGTGGCACGCGGCGTGCACGTCCGGCCGCGCCCGGTGGATCTGCGAGTGGATCGCGAACGCCGCCGCGTTCACCGGCTCGTCCCCGGCCACCACGTTGCCGTCTTCGTCGCAGAGGATTAGGTCGGATACCTTGATCAGCGAGAAGTGCATCGAGAGCGGGTTGAGCCCTATAATCGCCTAATGGTTAAAACGTCTGATTTCTTTCCTTTTCACCCTTCACCCCGAATGGCTTGCACCTTACAGAAATGGTCCGTTAGAATGGGGTCCCGGACGGAGATGTGTCCCGCGACGCCCTCGTCGAACCCGCGGTCGGCGAAGACCCGAAATGCTGCTGCTAAGTGCTGCTTTCGATAGAGTCGCTCGTCTTCGAGGTCCTCGAACTCGGGGTACGTTCTTATGTTAAGTTTCTTCCCACTCTTCGTAGTGCCGGCAACTTGGACTTGGGGAGGGTTCTCAACCCTCTTCTTTACGCTAGATCCGTTCGCCCAGGTTTTCTCAGTGGTGGGGAAGGTTGGAGCTGGCGTAGTGATTGTCTCTGTGGTGGACATTTTGTAGGCATAAGCTTGTTCAATTCACTAGATATCCAGAGTAATAAGCTGGTCGCAGTGTCTTGACGGTACCTTAGGTATATAACATGAAAGATAAGTCTTTATGGGAAGCCTTTTGATCTGGGATTATAAGTACCGTATTAGTAACACATCTCCGCTTGGCGGGGAAGTTGTAATGAACAATATCTCCCACCAATTGCGAGCTTCATAGACAATGTTGTCGGAGTTCTACTCCAAATCACTCGAAACTAATTGGTGAAGATGACGGAACCATACAGTGTTCGTACTGTCCATCCTTTGGAGTGCAACGAATATTATATACAGACCAATAATTATTGACTATTATATATTGTTGGCGTATCTACAATGCTTGTTGTCTATGGTAAAGTAATTAACAGCCTAGAGAGCTTTCTGATTCTATAAACAGGTAACTACTGTTCATCCCTACTCGTCTCACCAGCCGAGACACTATTGTATTCGTTTTCCTGATACTTCTTCTTATCCCCCGGGCCCTTCCATCCCGTAGCGGCTTGAATTACCGTAACGAAGATAGCCAGGACCACGGCAGCCTGAAACAAAACTTTAAGCCCGTCAACGTAACCTTGTACTGCGATTGTCTGCTCTATAGGTCCAAGACCACCATTGAAGACCAAAGCAGGACTACCAATAAGCTTCCTGATCAGGTCACTTCTGTCCTTCGGGCCGTCGGGACCATCAATTCCCTCGAAACCCTTTTGCAAAGACTCTCGCAAAGTCCTGGAAAATATACCGCCACCAATTGCGCTGCCGAAGCTGCCTGCAAATCCTCTAAATGTGCCGAGCAAGCTCGTAGCGATATAGTGGGTATCCGGTAAGGTTAGATGTAACAGATGCGCGAGCGTGTAATTCAACGCTGCACCAGTGAAGAGACCGTTGAAGAAGACAACGACAACGTAAACGTAAATTGGGACATCTGGGGTGGACACTAATGAAAGCACGAAGAGACTTGCGGCAAAGAGAACGAAAGATATGAGGCAGGAAGCCCAAAAACTTCCAGTACGACGAATGTGTAACCACTGGAATGCAATTAGCAGAATGTTAAAACTAACAGGGATGGGAATAGCTTACACCAGCAAGAAGTCCACCCAGGCCGAATCCCAAATTGGTCGGTATGAGAATACTACCGCTAGTAGCAGGGGTAAAACCGCGCACTGCAAGGGCGGTGATGGGAGCATAAAATAGCACAGTCCAGCGGGCCGCCATGAAACCAAGTTGGGAAACGCATGTTAATATGGCACCTCGGTTCTGGATGACAGAAATCGGAATGATAGGATCAACGGCAACATAGCACTCAATCAACACAAAGATGATGAGTGTTGCCAACGAGACGACAAGCGGAATGACTTCAATTGTACCAGATAGTCCGTATAGGAAAAGCACAACGGTACCGGTCTATGCGACGTTAGCAAGGCGGCAATTTGTACTTAAATATGATGCTTACCAGGAACGCAGCCCCCGCATAATCGATTCGCTTCAGTTTTGTTGACAGGGAACCTTCCTTGGACGTTTGCCCTGACGAGAATGTGTGTGGGATACTGAAGAAGATTCCCAACCCGGCAATTAAGCTGGGAGGAACTTGAATCCAAAAGAGAGCTCTCTAGATGATGATGTGAGTCTACGTGTTTTAGCTTTGGGGAGATAGCACCCTTACCCAACCAGTGACAGGTATCAGTGCGCCGGACAAAACAGCTCCCAGCGAAACACCTGTAGTGAACCCGGCATTCCTAGCCAATTAATTAGAATCGCCCACTTCCAAACTCATATTTCGATATGTATGATGTGCTTGAATCGAGGTCATATGTCCCACTTACAAGAGTCCAACGAACAGTCCACGCTTTCGTTTCGTCGTCAGCTCGAGGATAAGAACGATAGCCAAGGCCGTGGAACCTCCACCGCCTAATCCCGTGACAAGTCGGCCTAAAATAAATACCGGGAACGTGCGAGCCTGCGACGTGATGAAGCATCCAGCGGCGAAGAGCGTAGACGAGACTAGGATCATAGAACGAGGCGAAAAGATAGAAGCCAACTTTCCCACTAAGGGCGTCGACGAGGACATGGCCACAAGGTACGATGTTGTGAACCACATCGCGTTCTCATACGAGTTCAAGTCGGCGGCTATCGTCGACTGCGCCATGGTAATACCAGACATGTTCGTAGCTATTCGTGCACGGCGTTAGTAAATTTTAATAAATAAGAACTCGAGGTCACACCAACCTTGTAAGAAGATCAGAAGATAGACGCTAAGGATGATAGCGAGGCCTCGCGCCCGGCTAACCCTCTGGTTCGCGGTGTCCAAGTCCGGGGAGTCTTCATCTTGCGAGGACTCGGAGGTCGCAGATGACGCGCTACCCGCGGCCGGAGGGCTAGACTCGGAGCGTAAAAGCGGCGTCTCCTCCGTAGCGGAATAATCTACTGAGGGACAATCATTGGAGTCAGCAGGCACTCCCGGCCCAGCCTTGGAGGGAAAGCTTCTAGAAGACTCGGGTTGAGAGACCATGATGACCTCAAGAATACCAAAGAACTTGGACCCACAACTTCCAATGCCGCGGTGCTGTCAGGGGTACCGTAGTAACGCAGTCCTGTCTAGGTGTAGGTACCTTATTCCTCCTCTCTACCTAGGTATTTACCTACAGGTCTGACGTAAAATGGAAGATTATCTTGCACGAAGATGCATAGGTTAGGTAAGTAGATAAGACTAAAGTGAATTAAAAATGATGGAATGAGAATGTTTTATGATGTCGTTCGCTTGAAAGTTAAAGACGGAAGGCATTTACCCAGATGCCTGTTATGGATTAGCTGATTGGTGATTGGTAAGCTGAAAATAATTCGACAATACCGGGAGTCTGGTAGTATTCCATTCTATGGCATATGGCTCAAGCGTTTTGTATTGATTTACATATTGACCAATAAGGGCTTTCTTCATGATCCCTAACCCCATAAATGTTGCCAGTTTTGGTTGCCCCGAGACTTCCGGCAAGGCAATCTCTAGGGTGCACTAACTCTCACGGGAACTTACCCGTGGGCTACTCAAAGACAATACCACCCTCGAATTGAATCTCCATAGAGCCCTTTGCCTGTTCGTACCGCCGCATCCCCCGCGCATCAGGTATTCGCTTGGGCCATATAATATATTTTTCGCAATAATAATTGCGCAAAGAGAACTTCGTTGTATGACTTGATTCCTGAACGTAACACACTTGTTGTTGAGGATCGTCGCTTAGCTCGTCAGCTTGGATCAAGTCCTCAGGGGCCGATACGCAAATTATATACATCCTTTTACTCCTGTAGCATTCTGCTAAAATCCTATTAGCAAGGAGAGACCTTCGTCAACGCTTGTGATCTTACCTGGGCAATAGAAGTTTTTAACGAACGAGTCCGCTGCATGCCTCTAAAAGAGAATTTCCAAAATACCACCAAAGACAGGTAGGTATATAAAGTAAAGCAAGCCAAAGATTCCCAATGGGCGTCCCCATTGCTAGAAGGATAAAGATCCTAAAACGAAATACATCCTGCTAGCCAGAATCGACTTAGTATTTTTTTTATCACCAGAAGTCCACGTAGAATTGTTACGCCGACTAGCCGCTGACGCAACTATTGTAAATACAGTCGTTATATATTATATTTAGGCCTTGGTTCTCTGCATTCTTGTTTCAACCGGGACTGTCTGGGCTACTTGAACTAGCAGGACTGCCGAGACTGTCCCGATTCATATCTTGTAGCTCTGTTGCTGTCCCAGGGTCAGAGCTTTTTCTCCCGGGGAGAGTGGTGCTCCCCTTACTTAAGGCAACCGAAAAACGCTTGAGAAAACCAGCTTTGTCCTCGTCCATCGGCATCACGCCCACCGAAGCCCTTCGCCGCGCCGCGAGAATAGTGTCGAGATCCATATCTCGATTAGCTCGGTCCTGTATTTTAGACTGATCCTCGGCGCCGACTCGAGCGTCAACCAACGCACGGGCATCCCGTTTTAAGTCTAAAAAGAGAGAGAATAATCCGGTAACAACAAGAAGAGCGGGAACCAAGCTGAAAGCCGTCTGAATACTTCCTCCTCGTTCGGTGATGGCATAAATTACATACGGCCAAAATGCCGGCCCCGAGGCTCCCATAGTGATCCACGCCGCGGCTCGTTTCGTACGTTTTCCCTGTCCGCGAAGGCCCAGTGTGAATATGAGGGGCCACATAGGCCCCTCAAAAAAGAAGAAAAGTATCAACGGGATGGCAATAAGATTCGGGTTGGTCTCATGGAGAGCTGCCATTAAGATGCCACAGATAATGCTCAGTCCGGTTGTAATACTTAAAATAGTGCGTGGCTGTGGCACTTTTGGATGAGTTGGAGATAAATAAGTGAGATACGCGGTAATAAAACGGGAAACGGCAAAAGCAGTATGAGCGATGAGAAGGTAATTCGGAACCGATAGAGCGAGATCAGGCGGTGGCTGCGGCAATTTCTCTGTCGCAGACTCGGAGGTGGACGGGGATTGCACGCGATACTGGTGCGTTAAAATTTCGTGGAAGAAGATACTGGTGGTTTCTTGGCCTGCAACATATGTCCATTGGGCCAAAACAGCCAACGTCAAAGTCCAGGTCCGAAGTTCCAACCCAGCAAAGCTACGCTTTTTGGGATCCACCGGCAGATACCGTGTGGAGTGCTCCATCTCAGCATCAGTCACCTCTGGTAGAGGCATATAATAAAAGAAAAGGGCCAATCCCGCACAGAGAAGTGTGATGGCCAAGTACGTCCATTGGACATCTAGTAGTGATAGAGCCTCCGTACCGTCGGTGCTGTTGGAAGTCTCTGGGGTGAAGAAGATTCTCTGAGCCATAAGTCCGCTCAAAACGGTGGTAATAGCCTGAATTCCCTGGGCGAGGCAAAGTCTCATTTCTGCATAATCCATTGGGCCGCAAAATACAAGAAATGGATTGGCCCCTGTTTCGATGATCGCTAGACCAAATCCGACAACGAAATTACAGATCATGAAGCCGGCGAATGAAGTCAGAACAGCGCTTGGCCAAAACATAATTGTTCCCACGCCGTAGAAACAGAGCCCTACGATAAATGTTGCTCTGTAACCACCGATCTGGTCTGGGCCATTCTTCTTCCTTCTTGACCGGGAGTGCTCGTCATGTCGCAGAATCCACTCGCCGACAAGTAGTGGGCCAATTAGATAGCCCCCTCCAAAGTAGATTGAAGATAACCCTATCGTTTCGGCAACTGACATGCCTGAGACCGAGGAGACGGCATTGTTGAGCTGGTTTAGAAGACCATAAGAGAAGCCCCATAACAAAAACAAGATCGTGACAACAGTACAGTATTTGAAAGAGTCGCGGACAGATGTCCTGATCATGCTCTTTGGCCGACGCATATTAACAAAGCCGAAGTAAACCGAGTTTTCAAATGCCGAGTAGGTCCCCGTAGCGCTCGTTAGCGCAGTAGGCGATCGATCGAGGTGATCCGACGGAGGAAGTGTATGTGAGTTCAAATCTGGAGAGGTTAAAAAGTCGAGAGCAGACACCTGGCTGTCCCGACTACCTGCAGCATGTGTCTGGGAGGGTGGTGCAATCTGGTCCTCTGTTAACATTGTAGAAGTCGGAAGCCGCGCGGTGTTCGCACTTCCATTCCCATCTGTCGAGGTGTCCCTATCGTATGTCCGGGTCGCGTTAGGATCAACCAGCATGGCGGGTAAGATGCGGCGAACTAGAGGTTTCAGTGTTGGGATGCATGCGCATATTATACCGACATTGACCTCGACAGCAGACCACATGAGAGAGAACGATGCGTTCCAAGCGAACTGAGATGAATCCCCAAAAGTTGCCTCTGGGTTACTAGAAACTGTCGCAGAGACCTGAGTTATGGCTTGCTCGAGGTAATAGATTCGAACAACATCAACTATGGTAACGAATATGCCCAAGGCGAAGGTAAAAATCAAGATGATCTTCTGTCGACGTGGAAGCCTCATACTAGTCAGAACAGGTAATGGCAAAGCTAAGATGGCGAGGTCCGTTACGACATTGACCGGAGCTGAGCATATAAACTCGGTAAGCAGAGGGATGCAGTATGCCGTATCGGGATATGGATCAAACGCCGCTTGGACCGGACGGCATTGGAAGATATTGATTAACGTCAAAACCGCACCAGCCAGGTTGACAATAACCAAAACAGCCCAAGAGGCTAGTCGTAGTACCTTCTGCGTGTTCTTGGACAGGCGGAGGTAAAATATCAGGACGGACGTCTTCGTAGCCATTAAGGCCGGGTTCTAAGGTATGGTTAGATTCAAGCTCAACGAAGCCTCTACTGTAAGGCTTGACCTACATATAAAACTGAAAAAGCATATTCGGAGCGGCGCAGAACGTTCCGGTTTTCAGCGGGTATATCCTCATCGTGTCGGCCAAGTCCCTTGCTAGCACCTAGATCGATAGCAAAGCTGAGAGCAAAAGCAATGGCCCAAGCAATGACAATGAAGTAATCGTCCCAAGTAACACTTCGTACGATACGGATCCGACAGAACAGCCTTGCCGCAACAATGCAACTAGTCAGGACAAGCGTCGCTATGGTCACAGCGAAGACCGCAGGACCGCGATTGGGAAAATCGCCGGACGACATATTTAGTATGAGGATGTCGTTTGCGACTAGATACCTCAGGTAAGGCCATTAGAACGTATCCGCTCCACGGAGGAGATGAGGAAGATGCCTTAGAGGAAGGAGAATTATAGTAGTATATTCAACCGAAGCGGTATCGTTAAAGTAATGGGAACAGATATGCTTCCAAAGGTTTAGTTATTCTATGTGGGGACCATTTAAGTGAATAAGATCATGTAGCACTAATTAGTCGACTTGTAATCAGCGAGCTTATATAAGTGCAGCCCGGTGGGACGTTGAGGACGAATTGTCGTTGAGATCGTGATTGGAGTAAGGAGACCGGGTACTCCAAGGGGTGGTTGATTGCACCCAATGTTAGCCAAAAGCCGTGGAGATTAGCCAGAGAGGTCGAAGAAAACGAAGAATACAAAGACAGAGGGACAGAGAGACACAGGAGAGTGGAGTAAATAAAATATATATATAGTAAAAATGTGAAAATGGAAAATCAAAATAAAAGAGAAACGGTAAGAAAGATTCGTCTCTAGCGGTGAGAAGAGCTGGAGCTATCGTAAATGAGGCAGACGAGACCGTCTACCCCGCGGCCAACATAGGTGAGCGACAATGAGCTGGATAGAGGGAGAAAGAAAAGTAGTGGGAGATGCCAGATGGCGGTAGGATGAAAAATGGAAACGGATGCACAAAGACTCGTGTGAGTTGTAATTGCGAATTTGGATATGTCCGTGTGTGCGTAAGGGTGTATACGTGTATGTGCAATGAGAAGAAGAGAAAAAAAAAAAAAAAAGAAGGAAAAGAACCTAAAGGATTGAAAGAATAGCTACTAGTGTAAACCCAGAAAAGCCGCAAATTTGGCCTGCTGCAAATGCACTGATTGCTAGATGTCGGTAATGAGATGTTTTTTTCCCTTTCTCTGCAATTCGATTTTCTCAGCTTGGCGTATTTGGAGGAGTAGCCCAGATTGCCTTGTTGTCCTGCAGATTCGGAAAGTGAAGACCTTTTCAGGTATGAGGTGTACCTAACCTAACCTAAAGCTGGCAATTGTAGCCACCGTAGCCACCCTTGGCTGCTTGGGCACTAAGAAATCAGGACCCAGGTGTGATCTTGGTACGGAGAGGGCCTATGTACATAATAGGTAGCGTCAAAAAAAGATACCCCATACCTCCTTTGGCCACTACAGTATGGGCTTTATGTTTTTTTTTTCTTGGACGTGGGCACTTTGCTACGCAGGAAAAAAAAAATTTGTTAGCTAGCTGCTCTCACAGCCTTCACTAACTCGGTTAACTCTGGTGGAGCTCGTTAGCTTCCGCTGGGATGACGTTGATACGCTTAGAAATAAACAGGGATTGCGAGCCTCTCCACTTTAACAAACCGCTAGTTACCCCGGATTGGCCCCGGATCTACGTCGCATCTTAACGGTTTGTTTCAGTTGGTTGGAACGGTTAACGAAGACCGTTTAGGGTCCCGAAGAACGTGGGCTTTGTTTTCGCTAACCTTTAGCATCTTATTGCACGAAGAGACTCGAGTCTTCTTTGTCCGCTTAAAACTGTTTATACCTAATCGCCTAATAGATGCATGTATGTATCATGCTCCCGCTACGTACTGAATACTTGAACATAATAGGTAAGGTATGGTCTGGCCTACATGTATCTAAGTCTGCAAATATTCTAACTTTAGGTGCTTTATCCACTTGTATGGTAGACGGACGAAGCCCGAGTCGAGAACCCTATGTACGCCTATGATAGGTACCTAACCTAATGCATGACGAGAAAACGTGTTGAATTGTCAAAATGTATGGTTTGCTGTAGGTACTTAATTCGGCGGATTTGCGTCTTGCCATCTCTACCAACCGCTATTATCCTCACTATGGTTCGCAAACACACAACGTGGTGAAACTTACCTAAGGTACCTCATATATAACTGACTGCATTATGTACTACCTGCTATATGAGGTACCTAATTTATTTACATTCGAAGAAGGTAAGTACCTAACCTGGTAACTTGCGCCGTATTACATTTATCTTTAGGTTGGTTGGTTAATATCATACAACCGTGTCTTTACGTTATATTCAACCAATGATAAGCACTATAAATCTCCCCGCTTTCAATATGTTTTCCTCCGTTTAACCAATCAATTTAAATCGAGCAATGCATTGTGCCCTTCTCGTACTTGAGGACATAGCGCATTCAATTATGACGAAGCCATGTTTTTTCCCCTTTGTGATTGGAAAGTTCTAAAATGGTAATCCGCCTGAAGCTTCACGTTCTGTTGCCAGACGCTTTGATTTGAAGTCTAGACAAATCCTATGAATGCATCCCGATCAGTAAGGTTTGAATTAGCGTCTACGTTGACTCGATTCTAGTTTTAGCAACATGCTTAGACCTATCTTATTACTCTCGATGCTCCACTTCGATACGCGTGACCACGATCTAGACTGAACACGACTTTCAAACATCTTGATGTGCAATCATTTTAGACTAGTGGGTTGGATCTTCCACGTTGATCAAGATTATAAGCCGAGAGAGGGGAACACCTGACCCCAAACGTTAGGCTGGATTAGTTCAGTTTAGTTAAGCTTTGCTCAAAATAGTTCAATTTGTATACCGACGCATTACAACGCCTAATAATCGAGAACAAGAAAATGCTAAATCTTTCATTAGAAAAAAAAATAAAAATAAAAATAAAAATAAATCGACTTCTCGCGCAATGGCCTTGACTCCGTCTGTAACAAAGAATAAAGCCAAGTACGCCCCATAGTCCATAAGGGTTGATCTCCATTGCATACCTAAAGCTAAGGATCTCACGACCCCTTTACGCACAACACAAGGGGATGGAGAATGTCGTCAGATCTGATCTTCCCCATATCCCCTCTCCATTCCCAGTTAAGCTTAAAATAATGCTGATATTACCGACTACACCCTACAGGCATGAAGCTGTAAGCTTGTACAACAACAAGACTTGGTAAAATCTTTGAGCGAACCAGCTAGTAATCCACATGCCACAATGCCGTTGATACATGAAAACCCATAGTCCATAGATAGCATACTGGAGAATTTTACTGAACTATCACTTTAACCATGGGTGAATCTGGCGTAAATTCCCATAAGCACCATCATATTACCGTAACTAGTGATTCATCTTTAGTGCGTATCACCGAAAAGTGAAATGGACAAAAGAAGCTATCCATAGTATAATAAAGATCCTGGACTGGTTGGACTATTTCCCCAACTACGAACTAGTCAGTCACCACTCTGGCAACACAACCCTCTCTTCTCCTAGGTATCAATATTTTTGTTTTTCGAAACTGTAAAAAAACTCCCTCGATTATGAAGAACGATAGTGTTGCCGTTGTTGAATTAAGCTATAGCTTCAATGCAATGCGACCCGAAGTATGCAGTAGCCATATTAGGAAGGTGCAGATATGTGGAATACCAAACTACCTCCTACATCGATATCAGAGATAGAAACCTACCAAGTAGGTAATTAGGTACCTAGTTTGACCAAAGAACTGATTTTCTATAGATGTATGGGCCTAATTGTAATATACCTGTGTATTTCGACTCTTAAAATGATGCGCTATTCGCTTATGCATCCTCGCTACTACGTATGGTTCAAATACCTACCTACCTACCTAGGTCAACTCATATCATTACATTCCATATTATTTATCGTTAATAATTCATACGTGAAATCCTACTTGGGCTGTCAAATAACCCTCCCAATTAGAAGTCATCCGAGGATTGAACTGAGGTAATGACAAGATTACATAAAGGTGCACATAGAAGGAAGGCTCCTGAACCGAAGCTACCTCGTGTACCGATATGCAGGTAGGTACCTAATCTAACCTAACTCAGAGATCTCATATTACCTCATGGCACTTTCTTTCTTCGAGATTGGAGCTGTATTGAAATAAGGAAGCTATAAGGAGTTACTGGAAAGCGCCTGCCAAATCATTCTCCGCACCGCTATAGAAACCTTTAAGGCACCACTTTTAAAGTACCACTTTTGAAGCATCAATCTATCTACCTTATATATATACCTTATATAAACATGATCACTGATAACTTTGAAGTATGAGTGCTCCCTATTAACTTATACGAAACTGTTCTGTCAATATGAGTACCACATCCCATTCGATCCAGGCCTTCTACCCTCGCGAGGATCAGTCGGGCCCCAAAACGAGACACACTGGTGCTGTGAACTCACGTATTCTAGGTGATGGGTTCACGTCGTCTGAAGTGGAAACAGTTATAGATCCCCTTTCACGACCATGGACGCCACCACGATCATATGAGCAATGTCCCATCTCACTCCTCCAGACAGGTCCCTTCAACTATGAAATCTCCGGCAGGATTGTAAATTTTTCGAGCAATCCCCAAGAGCAAGGCTATTATTTCCTTGTCGTGTCCGATGGATCGGGCGCTATTGCAGTATGTCTTTTAAAAATCTAGCAAACCACGTACCTCACACATTTCATTTCCTCATGTTGACAGACCTCGCAGGTTAAACTCTATTACGGGAAGGCGTCTGATTACCAATTACTCTTCGGCCAGAGAGTTACAGTTTGGGCGACTTTCATTGCCAATTCTGCACAGGGTAGCTCGGGAAGCATACCATTTTGTGCATCGTCTACTAAGATTTATCCTGGTCGCAGTATTGCAACACACATCACCTTTCATAAGGACCCTCTCAACTCAGATGGCCACCGTATACTACGCTGTCCTTTAGACTGTAACTTAAGGGATTATACCTACCTGCCTGCTCTTATGACTTTAAAGGCTTATCTTTCGACTGGATACGATATGGCAGAGGGGAAGATCCTCGTCTGCGTGCGAAGTGTTGGGCCACGCAGAACTGTCCACTCAAAAAAACGGCAATGTGATCTCGATATGGTGGACATAACCATCTTCGACGATACGGCAACTTGCATCCTGAAGCTTTGGCAGGATAAAGTCCACTCGGCCAAAACGTGGACTCCGAATCAAACTATTCTCCTGATATCAAAGCCTACCTGTCGAGAGGATGACCCGCAGTCTGGGCTTGGTATTGGCTACACCTCAATGATTGAGGTGGACCCTGAATTCCCTGACGCGGACTGGCTTAGAAACAAGGTGAGAAGTATGAAGATGAAGCAGAGCGTACATGTTCCCTTCCCTATTGATATATGGGATATTGACCTTGCCATTCGTGGCCCTAACCGAACATTATTCACCATCGCCGATATTGAGGACCAGGTGCGTAATCCTGAGTCTGAATCCGACTTCACCGGGAAGTTAAATGTGATTATTGTTGAGATGGGGTTGATGGAGCAGTGGCGCAAACGTACTTTTTGCTGCTTTGAGTGGTGAGTACAAAGGAACGTTCCATTTGGCCCCGTCTAAACATCTACTCAGCTGTGGCATACCTGTCTACGCAAATAAACCTGTCGCAATTTGTAAAAACTGCGATACACAGCGAAATCTATCGCCTAACCCACGCATAATTGGATCGGTGATCGATGAAAGCGGCATGATTATGGCTGGCAAGCTCGTGTGGCATAATGATGCTTGGACTCAACTTTTCTTCGGGGACAAATCGAGCGAGACGCTAATTGCGAATGACTCGGAAACTGACCTCGTGGAGCAATCGTGGGAAGATCTGACAATTCTCAGCACCGCCGCACTTCGAGATATCGAGGAACGGCTGCTTTATGCACGCATCACTTTAACTTTCGGCTGGTCATCTCAGCTTGAACGACTCTGTATTATGGGTGTCGAATGGTAGTGGATATACATTTAAAGCATTTAAAGATCATTGCGAGAAGATGCTTAAGCTAGAAGAATGTGCCGAGTTGAACTACCTGAAAAACTCAGGGACGGGGATGATCCGGCTGACAGCTGACATGGCATCGGCATGAGAGAAGAATGTTAGGTAAAAGTATATTACTCGGTAGCTTTCTTCATTTTCCCATCGTTTGCTCTGGTTTCAATTACACTTCCCTTAGAGGTGTATATAGGCAACATAGAGGGGTTTCGGCTACCATGGGTCTGAAAAAGCTTAAACTCATTTTCCACGACGCCCACCCACATGCTCTAATTGTCGTTAACATTATGCCATCATATTACAGTGGTAGTGGAAGGCGTTAGCATAAATCATTAGGTCCTTCCATCTTTATTACATGGGCAGTCATTCCAACCCCTTTGTTGAACTCTTGATACCCTTGGAATATTAACTCTCAAATCAGACTACTCCCATCTCATTTGTCTCCGAACAAACTGAACCGGAACCGACCTCCCTTCAGTTTCTGCGAAGACCGCCCAAATGACTGCTGGGAGTTGATGCGGCGATGGGATGATGGTGGAGGTACAAATTCGTCATCATCATCGTCGTCTTCTTCTTGGTAACTCATGGGCCTCGTGTGCTGTCGCGCAAGCGGAGCCAGGTGCTGTTGGGGCTGCTCCCGCGGAGTGGGAGGAGGTAATGGGTCGCCGCGCATGGCACGCTCGACGTCTTGATGTTGCCGTTGGTAATCGTCGTGTTTGCCCTTAGCTTCTAAGAACCGGGTCTCCGCATCGGCACGTCGTTCTTGAAGCGCCCGAATCTCTGCGTCCAGACGGTCCATCTCGTCCTGCTCGCGGTGCATTATTTCGGCGTACTCGTGCACCTTCTGCATTAGCGGCTGCAGCACGCAATCCATGACACTAGGGCTCTTAAGCCGCTGGATGGATGCGCCTAGGCTAGCATTGGGGACCGCTAAGTTGGGGTCCGATGACGAGGGTGCTGCTTTGGCCTGAGCTTGGGCTTGCTGGATCTGCGGGTGGTTCGGCGGGTAGCCTGTAGAGTTTCGCGGGGGAGACGATCCGCCAGAGCTGCTTGGTGGTCGCGGTCCTGATACGGGTTTGCCAGGACCGGTGCGACGGCCATTCTGGCGCTGGATTCTACCGTCACCGCTGGTGCGGTCTGCTACGAGCATCTCCTCAGAACGATTGCTGCCTGTATACGAGGGGGGTCGCGATTGATTTGGAGTGTTTCCTCCCTGCGGGGGAAACGAGCTTGTCAATGGCGGTCTACTCTGGGAAGGGCTGTTATTGGGTTGGCCGCCCTGGTTAAATCGCTGCTGCTGCTGTTGTTGTGGTTGTTGTTGAAGTGGGGGTATTTGTGAGGGCTGGCCTTGCATCGCAGCGCCGTGGTTTGCGCTAGGGGGTTGGTTCGCACCTGGGCCGGACATGGGACCTCGATTGCTGTCGAGGAAATTATAAAAATCGTCGTGGCTGTCGAAGCGCGGGGCTTTCCCGCTGTTGTGGTACGCGGCGGCCGCTACTGCGTCGTCGTAGTCACGTGGTTGTTGGGCCTGGCGCGGGCGAGGCCTAGAAGAGGGTGAATTCATAGTGGTACGGTGACGGGATGTACTACTACTACTCATTTCAGTCCACGACCTTAACCGCGGGTGTATGTGTGTAGGGTGTGTACACTGCGGGAACGAAAATACGAGAGGCGTTCACGGGTACGGTTTAGGTATGGAGCAGATAGGACGGGATAGGTAGTAGTTGGTGGCTATCGCAAAGTGCGAGAGAGACAAACAAAACAAAGGAATTTGAAAATTTGGGAAATTATGGGAGCGGTGTCGATTCAGTTGAATTTTGACAGATTTATGACAGCTAAACTATCCGGATTGTACATAGGGGAGGTTGGGTGCGCGATTCTTGTCCCCACTATCAATTGGCCCAGCCTCTTTTTTCTGAGAAGGGGGAAAGAAAAAAAAACGAATAATCGGTGGGCTGGATGGATGACGGACACCCTTCCCGCTCCCGCGCATGTTTCTGTTTCGTTGATCGATCTACGAATTGAAATTCCCCTTCTTTTCTTCAGTGCAATTGGACAAACGCACATATACTGCAAGTCTCCGAACATACACGAATTAGAGGTGCGTTAAGGTGATACGATACAGTGCTTAGCTTCGATCATCTTCGCTTTTGTTGGTGCCAGAGAAGCTATGCGCTTGGACCATCTAGCTACCTCATACGTAGCAGCGTAGCAGCGTAGTCAAGCCGAACCAATCATGACTTTCAATTGATTTAAGAAAGGTACACGTAGCTGGTGTACCTCGTACTTAACAGCACGCCAGCACGCCAATCCCGGTGCTTGTTGAACGTTGCATTGGGTACCGGAGCTGGGGAGGTCAAAAGTGGAAGTATTTGACACTACCTATATGGTAGTCAACAGTAATGACAGTAATAAGAGCTTATAGGCTGCGTTTAACCATCTACAATTATAATCAATCTGAGGTAGTCAATAATCACGTACCTACCTAGGTATACACTTGGACTAATGACTGGATAGGTACCTACCTAGATTTGCAGTCTATGTTAACAATCAAGACAATCCAAATCTTTGTTAGCTTACCTGTCATATAGACGATAAATAAATCGCATTGAATAAGAAGAAAACAAGGGACTTGATGTACGTACTTTGGCAAGGCATGTAGAAAGACTCGATTTATCCATAAAAGCCTAATGCCAGTGGTATTTCATTCTCAAAGATCGCTCAAGACTTTAAAGAACTGGTGCCTACCTTAGGTAGGTATATAATGATAACACCCAACCCTGAAATAGCTACTAGGGATATTTTTAATAACATACCAATAGGTTGTAAGAGATAAATGACCGCGTCTCTTATAATAGCGTCGTATTGTCCTCATTTGAGTGTAAACAAGTGAGCATCAGCCCTCCAACACTATACGTGTCTAGGTACTTACTGTACCTAATCTAAGGTATATCATAAAGAGTTCGTTGATCCGATTATAATCAGTTTATTATCATACATCTAGATCCTAGAGAGTCTATCATTAGTTCCAACATAACTTAGAAACAATTACTATAAAGACTCGGACGCGTTCCGTCTCATTGAAGCCCGAACTACACCTTGACAACACTGCCTTTGTCACCATATACACTATTCCATACTCAATAGTTATATGTATTAACGTTATCATGAAAGTACAAGATGGTTTTAAAAACGTCACGAAACAATTTTCTTGGGCTTCGTTGATTCTAATTTCTTTCATTCCTATATAAACTCGCCATTCAACCTGCCCACATTCCAACTCAAAGCTCGTAGCAAGAAATCAGGTATCTGCCTAGTATCTAATCTTGCCTTGCCTCCGAATTAGAACTCTTTGCCTATCAACCCCTTCAACCCAGTTTAAGGCCTCTATCCAAGTAATACATCTCGTCTCGTATCGGTATTCACTATCCTGAAATGGAGCCCGAAGAAGACACGCATGTCCAAGCCAAGGCTTTTACCCCATCGCAGGGAGTACTCAACTTGGCCTGTTATAAGTTCAGGGCCGACACATGGTTTACTCTCTCCGACTCCATGCCGGTTGACGCCTGGCCTCGTGCATGGCACACAGCCGTAGAGAGCGTCTGGTTGTTCGCCCTTCCAACGCCCGACCGCTTCCATCCGTTACCCAACCCGTGGAAGCTCGCCCTGAAGCTTCGGGGCGGCAAGTTGATAGTTTTCGGGATCATCGACTGCGCCCTACAGGCACCCAAGCCAACCTCGTCGCATATGGTAATTTTCCATCCCTACACCGACGAAGAGAGCCCTCCCAGCGATGCCGACAGACTTGTTAGAAACAGCGTGTACACGATAGAATGCAGCATGCGGACAACCATGCCGTTAATGCACTTTGTAAATTTCATAAACAGGCGTGGTGACATAATTAATTACACTCTTCTGAGTAGTGCGCAGTCTCTCATTGGTCCCCGCGGCCGCCGCTTCTGGATCCACAGGGTCCTGGAGAGGATGGAGCCGATCCTCCAGCGTGATCGCAATATCCATGCTTTCCCTGACGATGCGGGGCCTTTCCATGAGAAGGCGGACCGTCTCATGCGCCGCTGCTGGCTCCCGGGAAAGATACACACGGGTCATTTTGGGTCCGATGATGAGGAGGATAATCCCCTCAGGATAGTCCCGGGTGCTGATATTCTCGGCGGAGCTTTCATATTGCCCAACTAGGCGACCGATCAACGAAGGTCTACCTTACCTATAATTTAGGTCCGAAGTAGGGATAAGACAGGTTAGGTACCTAACTATGATCTGTGAGATCCTGGACTAAAATTAAGCATCTTGATTATCCTAGTAGTTGTTCTAGTCCCCCCTTTTCCCCTCGCCACCCCCCGAAAAAATGGGGGGTTTAGTTTCTAAAGATGGAAACACAGCTTTGAATAGGGTTTACCTATCACCGTCTTCTGTGTTATCTTAGGTAGATATCTATTACCACTACTATTATCATAATAATTCATTCACTCGAGGTCTGTGAACCAGGTACCCGATATCCTATTGTTAGCTGACCCGCCAGATAATGCAGGAAAACCCTGTTTTCTTTCGTCTCGTGCAAGTGTAAGTGTACTGCCACAGCCTCTTGGAACATTGAACCTCATCCACGCCGTTGCCACTTACAACATAAAAGCATACCTAAATTACCTAGAGAATCCTTTCTACCCGTACGTAATGCAAGTTTGCTTTTGTGGCGTCGCGCCACGGTGTACTGTCGACCTCTTGGCTCTAGGTAACAGCCCTATCATTCCCTATGGCAACCTGGTAATAGGATCTGCTCATCATCCTTTGAATTATTGTCTCCTGTCTCTTATATCTCGGTGACGTTAATTGTACTACCTAACGAGGCGTAGTTCCGTCTACGCGACCGCGCGAGTATGTGCCAGCCTACTTGGCATAACTACATAGGTAGGTATTCAGCCTACTATGCTTGGTAAAAATAGACACTTCTGCTACTGCCATGGACTCTCGTACGTATGCTAATTATTCTTTGCTTTGTGATAGGAATTATGAGGCTTGCCTTCGGCGCCATGAGTGACGCCCTTACGTTTAGGAAGTCAGCCTTACCGCTGTCGCGTTTGGATATATTTTTCGCTATATCATGGTATATAAGTATAATAAATTCTACCGTTTGGTTTAGAACCCGACCTTTCATGTCAACAGCATACACCATATCGCTGCGCTGATTATCAGTCGTTTAAATTTTCGATCATTCTTCCAATTTCTGATCCTCTTACCAACTCTTTGGCTCCCCTAATCTTCGTCGCAACCCCCAACTAGGCATAATGAAGTCGAACTCGATAGTCTCTCGCCCTTCTCTTTTCTTCCTATTCTCATGTGTGACGGCAACGCCTCTTTTAAACAGTAGAGATGACGGCTGGCAGGGAGACGGAAATGTTGCAATGGCACTTTCCGATGACAGTAAGTCGGCAAGTCAAAATAGGATAGTCGTTGAAAGTCAAAAAGTGCCGGGCTTACAAGACTACAGAGATGAATTGGGGATCGGCCATCCCCTCGGATGTGATCACCCAGCTGCACGATCACTGCCATAGTGATGGCACCTGCGAGAAAGCGTGGACAACAGATACCACCGGTGAGATTCTGCGTGCTGAAGTTGTTTCCCTGAAGATGCCTGGCTAATTCGTATAAAATGTGCGTAGTCATCGTGGATAGCAACGCCGGAGGGGACATGTACGCCGGCGAACTCACGATCGAAATCCTGGATGCGCAATTCGAAGTATGGTCCAAGCAAGGACTTATCAAGGTTATACAAGAGTCGTACGGGCACACGCAGAGCTATGAGACCCATAGTTATGTTTCTGAATACCGTTGTGGCGAGGTTGCTTGCAACCCATCCGGTAAGTCGATCATATGCCGATTGAGATTATACCAAATCATTAGGTATAATTAGGCACTTACTTACTTCTTCCAACTTTAGAGAAAAGGCGGATGGACCAGTGGTATGGTTCAAGCTCTGCCAACATCCAGTTTCGGGATGGCGATGCCCTTCGAGGGTTTATACGCTTGAAGGTGTCCGTCCACAGGTAAGCCAACAATCTAACGAATTATATCTCACAGTTAATGAATGTTTTTTTTTTCACACTGACACTGTTGATAGGAAAGGCATTGGGGCAGGAAGCGGTATCTGCGCCCAACTCATAGGTGTCGGAGCCGCCGTTGCTGGGGCTGTCGCTCCGGTCCTTGGCCCGGCCATGTCTTTAGCATCTCTGATGTGTCTGGCTCTATGAAGCAAAGCTCCTTTATCGCCTTCCCTTCCTCTCTTTGACATCTCTGTCTAGTATATTTTTACTCTATCAATACGGATGCTGATGTATGTCAATTGAACTGCTTTATCTTTGCTTTTTATATCAGTTGTTCGTTTGATTTACCCGGTAAAGCCATCATATCAGGTACCGCTGGTATCAACTCTACACGTTTAGAATACGAGATTATCCTGACGCGGATCTTTGCATTTTATATACATACTGTTTTAGGGGTAGAGACAAATGTATGACATACTACCTAATATAGTGATGAAACGAATAATATACACACTGCGCCAGGAAAAGTACCTCCAATACCATTGCATACGATGAAAGCACTGAACATAGAAAAATCCGTAGTTATGTACCATTAAAACCCTCCGTAAACACGAGTCGTATAATATCACAACGCTGAAGCACATCCTTGGCCCCTCTAGCGAAGGGGATCATATTATTCAAGTTAATGTTTAGATTCAACCTTAGGCTAATTTCGTCATGCTTGGTTTTCTATCGCCAACCTCATTCGCTGCTTGGTCTCTAAGCACCTTTCGAAGGATCTTGCCGGACTATATTTGACTGTTAGCAATCAAGTTCTCTAGACATGTGTGCCTGGCTTGACTCGCCGGATTCTTAGGAATGGCCTCGATAAACTTTACGCCGCCTTTTAGTCGCTTATAGTTGACTACCTTCGACTCCATCCACTGGACGATTTCCTGCTCGGTCGGCTTAACTTCAGGGTCTGGTACAATGTACGCGCGGGGTAACTCCTCGCCGTTGATCGTAACGCCCACGACAGCGGCGTCGCGGACACCTTTATTTTCCAGCAGCACGGCCTCAAGCTCAGCCGGCGCTACTTGATTGCCCTTCACCTTGATAAGCTCCTTGATGCGGTCGACGATATGGAGTAATCCACCCGGTTCGTATTTTTCTACGAACCCAACGTCGCCGGTTTTCAGCCAACGGGTGCCATCTGGATCGACATGCAGGGTGTCTGCTGTAGCTTCGGGCTTCTTCCAGTAGCCCTTTAGCAGCGTAGGCCCAGTAATCCATATCTCGCCTCTCTCGTTAGCTCGGGTGATTTCGCCCGAGCCGTCGATCCTCATGATGCGCGCTTTGCAGTTCGCCAACAACTCGCCAACGGCCGCTGATCTACCAGGCATTTTAGGATGCCAGCCCGTGCTTGCGCATGTCAATTCCGTCATGCCCCATCCCTGGCGAAGAGTCAAAGCGCCTTCGGGCCAGAGTTTAGAGACTTCCTCGCCGACTTCGGCTCCTAACGGCGCGGCACCGGAGGTTATGCTCTCAAGCGAGCTAATATCGTACTTGCGGCTCAGAGGACTTTTAGCAAGCATAACTATAATCGGCGGCACGGAGGTGAGAGAGTCGATACGGAACTTCTCGATGCACTGCAGCATCTTTTCGAAGTTGAACGAAGACATAATGTACACCGGAACGCCTTCTTTCGGATAGATGCATATAAAGAAAGTCTGGCCGTATGCGTGATACATCGGTAAAAACCCTAAACGGCGGTACCGTTTCTTCTTCTCATCGTACTCGGGATCTAATCGCTCCATCTGGTTAACTCCGAGGCCGTTCGCTACGTAGGAAAAATGCGTAATTTCAACGCCTTTAGGCACTCCCGTTGTCCCCGAGCTGTAATTAAGAGCACATAGCGCCGTTTTTGAATTGGCGGGCTCAATCCAGTCAAATTTAGCTGCATCACCTTCTGGGGCAAGGAGAGAGGTCCAATGTCGAGTTCCAAGTCGCGCTTTGCCCAGTCGATTATCGAGCGCGCTTGTGTCAAAGCTATATATCTGGCTCCTCGACAGGCCGGCTACTTCAGCAGCTTCGATGGCAATTTCTATGCTCGCGTCGGCTGCAATTAGAAACGAAGCACCGCTGTCCTTCAGCTGATAAGCAAGTTCCCGGGGGACGAAACTGGGGTTAGCACCAGTGAAGACACCCCCCGCCATTTGAATCCCCATGAAAATGACGGGGGTGAAGAGCGAGTTGCCAGAGAAGAGGAGAACACGATCCCCAGGCTTCAGACCTGCTCGAATTAATCCCAAGGCCAGCCGCTTTGACCATAGTCGAAAGCCAGATTGAGTTATGAAGTGGGTTTCCGGATGGTCAACGTCGATGAACTGTGGCTCATCCGGGAGCGTGTCGAAGCAGGACCTAAATACCCATTTTTGCACCGAACAGTTCGGTATCGGCACCGTCCATCTTGATTCAAGAACCATTGTCAAGAGAACAGATCGTAATAATAGGAAGTAAATGAAGTTAGGTAGGAGAGGAGAGAAATCCTTCCCAATCCACCTTTTCAAGTCGAAGTATCAAATTCAAAGAGCCTCACTGGAAAAAAAAAGTTGGTTCATCAAGTATTCGTCGCGCCGCAAATATGGTTACGTCAAAAGGGAGTGTTGGTTGTATTAGCAACTGTATCGAACACAACACAACGTCACTATCACAATGATTCAATGATTAAAAGTTTCTTGCGATTCCGAGATATAAATGAGAGCAAGAAACACAGCTGTATAAGAGAAATCGTATTAATAAAGCTCTCCCTCGGATGCGGCGGGGTGCGGAGCCAAATTAATGCCGTTGCTGGGTGCTGGGTGCTGGGTGCCGTGGCCCTCGTACTGTGATGCAGGCCATGGTTTCTTTTCGCTATGAGAGCCTTGCCATTGGCTCTAGACCGTACACTTATAGGAGACATTGGCAGTAACGAATAGGATTGGGCTGATATCGTCCCGCGCCGCTATCCCCGCAAATCAGACTCGAAGTTATGGAGAAATCGCCTAAGGATGGCCGGGTGGTAGCCAAGAACCGAGGCTTGTCCGCCCCTTTTCATTCCTACTAAGGCAATCACTGATGCTGTACCTATCGTGTCGTCGTCCAAACTAGGGAGGAAATATAAGAGATATGCATGGCTACCATACCCGGAGCTCGGTGTTTTCTCACAAACCGAAGCCTCGCTGGAGATTTAGTGCAGCCATGTTTTGCGAAGCAATTTATTCAAACTAATATTCTAGCACCTGAGGTCTATTTAGCGTGAGTTTGGTCCGGTTTGCGGCGCGTTTCTTGAGACAATGCGTACAGCATTACGCCATGTATCATACATTAGCTGTACCACGTATTGTACGTGCTTCGGGTAAAGACCGAGATTATTATTGGTTGAGGATTTCTAGTTGGGAATTATTCCTGGTGGCAGTAGGCCTTTGTGACACACTTCTCTAAACCCGTGGACGTAGGCAGGAAGTCATATCATATATCGTAGGAGGTACACAGTAAAATGTAGAAGTCACTAGCAATAATCGCCTTGTATTTCAGCCGACCGTTACCTTTTCTTTTTTCCAATTTTGTATGCCCAGGGTTACACCTCGCTAGCTACACATTCTATCTGACACTCGTCATCGCGTACAAGCAAGCCATCGACAACCAATTCGTTCCATCTCGCTTGTTACTTCTCATGCCAATTCAGCTACTTGGCTTAAATTTATCTTGTGCCACGTCGCTAGATCGGCACCCAAGCTTCGTACATGGTAGCTGAATATTGCCTGTAGTTTCAAACATTGCTAAATAGTTGTGTCAGCCACCTCTGTGGCCATTGCGGCAATACTCTCTGCTGCTTTCGAAAACAAAAGCATATTGTTTGCGTAAGAGATGTATTCTATTTGTTCCAACAATTTCTGATTAGGTTTGAAATATCGCAAAGTATAGACAATAGTCTTATATCCGTAGATTGACGTGCTTGTCATTTTGATACACGATATCTACCACAGCAACCCTTTCTACTATGCGGAAGCCTTTGTATATTCGCACAACTTGTTTAAGTTATGTGAGTATAATGTTTGGATTGTCATATATTGGTTATATTTAACTAAATTTAGTCAAACGAATCTCCTTCAGCAAACTTACCTCTGAGGCAATTAATAGGGGGAACATAAAAAAGGCGTTCAACGGTTCGTACTTCGTCCATTACAGCCATCTTCAAATCTATAAGAGCGTAATAAATATAATATTTAAATCATTTACTCTATATATGTTGATCTAACTGTAATACACAGGCAAATATAAATAGGTAGTCTTTAAGTCTTTATCAAAAAGTGTGAACCGCGACACTTCTCTTTTTTTTTTAAAAAAAAAAACATATCAAATGGATATCTAACCAGCCTCAACTCTACAGTGTTCTAAATGGGACACCTAGAACAAATGTCGCTTTCACTATATAGAGGCGGAAGCTCCTAATAACAGGCAGTTAAAGTTGGGTTTTCTCACGGAATGGAATAACGAAGTCATTTCGTACATATTTGGTTCAATTCAACCGTAAGACGCCGAATGTCATCAACGAAACGCTTTCAAAGCGCGACACTAAATTTCCAATAGGGCTTTCACCTCAACTGCTATTTCCTTGTTCTTGCAATACCGTATTTCTTAATGGTTGTATTAGGGCACGTTCGTAGAGCACCAGGGCTATTTTCGCATCATGCGAAGATGACACGTTTAGATAGACTCTGTTTAACGGCCGTTTTTACGACGGCACTATCAAAGATAGGAGTATCTTATCTTAATCGAGAGTACCTTACTCACCTTAGAGTAACTGCCATAGTCTATTCTTTCCCGAAGGGTTCTTGATAACTTTTCCATAGCGAGCATAGAAAGAAATTGGCAGGTATGGCCGCATCGCCTGCGTGACGACAGGTACCCAACTCTTCGTGTTACGAGCAAGAGCTAAATGTCTATTAGAGGAAGTCGCATAACACCTAGGGCAATATTCACACATACATAGCTTCCCCGGTCAGAAGCGCGGGTCATTCACATTAGCAAACTACAACGCGGTCCCGATTTTCTTGATTGCCCCGTTTTCGAGTTCTTTCGTAAGGAAGCTACAACTAGAGTCGTGATAATTCTTTCCGGCGAATATATATTGAAGCACGCCCTGTTCCCCAGACTCATCTTCCTATTCCCCTTCTACCGTATTCCTGATTCAACCCCTACAAGCAGTACAATAGGCAGGCAGAGAACATTAGTATACGATAACCGCCTCCTTGCGACTTTTCGTCTGACTTTACCGATCTTCCAATTATTCGACCAAGTTCAATGCTACACCATGGCCCAGCAGGGGAGTAACGTCCGTCTCAATATCGCACGTATGAGACTTGCCTATTGGAGGGTGATGATGATCACACACGTCAGTCTCTGGGCTGGTCTCCGAACTTGCTCCCAGAGAGATTATGACCTCATCCACAGCTGTTCTGTCGACTTCGTCGGATATGACAATACAAGCTTCCTCATGAAGATCGTAAGTCTTCCCACGAATTTGTTCCTTACGCGACAGGTGGTGATAGCTCAGCTAATAACACAACGCAGGTTCATCAACTTCACCCGGATAGCCTCACACCGGTATGTACAAATTGGTTGCTAGACATATATAATTTCTAATGCCTATTTTGCAGACAACCTATTGGACGAGACGCTGTGACCTCGCTTGCAGACAAATGGTTCTCGGTAATGGAGCACAGTCCCCAGGAGTATTCACGGCGGTATATCCTCTAATATATCATGACATGAAAAGCAAGCTTTTACCCTGCCCCTAAAAACGTAATAAGTAGCATGTCTTTGCTAATATATAAGCCTCTAATAGTTCATATTAAGATCCGTATCCCCGAAGAGTGCCCAGGTGTGTCAAGCGGCACCACAGGCTTCCTGTGGTCTATCCCGAGCAAGATGAAGTTCATCGAAGGGCCGTCAAATGCCATCATCATCCACGATTGCACCGCTAGTCCAGAGGGCACACTCCAGCTTATACCCCACATCGCCAGCCGCAAATGGGACATTCTTCTCTTGGAGGAGACCGAGCCCTACGAGTGTAAGTTACTATAGCCCCTTTGGCCGGACGATTCGTTTAATCTAACATCATTCCAGATCCGTGGTTGGTCACCGCCATACATGATTCGGGCTCATTCGCCGACTTGCGGCATGATCCGACCGACCCCCGACAACAAAGAGCACTCGAGTCCCTCGAACGCGGCGGAAGGCCTTGATACCCAAACATCCATCACGTGAATCGTCTCTCCATGGTTAAGCAGGAGAGCTTCCATGGCGACTCAACCAAGTGCAAGTAATTCAACATTTTCATAATGTACCTACATTCAAAAGCCCCTCGACGTCAAGAGGAACGCATTTCTACGAGCCAGCATCAAGGGGTAGGTATGTATTTATCAGACGTAGGTACTACGACAAGATCGCGGTTATACACCGAATTTCGTTCTATAGAGGTAATCACTCTTTCTAGGTAGAGTCGATAAATACGAGCGCTAGGTACAACATTACTCAAATACAAGTCCGCCTAGTAGAGTACCTTGCCAGTCGCATCAGTGACGGGCATCCCGCCGGGAAGCTCCTTGAGCCCTAGATACCGACGGTTAGCATAGTTATGACATATAACACGTAGAGCCCAGAGGCAATAAAAACATTACTTACAGCCGTCAATGTCCTCGTCAACGACGACCTGCTTGGTGCACTGGTTGGCCTGCGAGATGGACTGGGTCTTGAGCTGGGGGCAGTTGATGTTGCAGTTGGAGTCCATGGCCTTCTGGAGCGCGCCGCCCTTCCAGCCGAACATGTAATCGCCGTGGTTTCCGTACCCGGTCGGGTCGCCGAACGACCAGACGAAGGGCTGGCTGCCGTCGGTCGGCCAGTCGTTGGGGTTGTTGAACGCGCGCGTGTCCCAGATTACCTCGTAGAAGAGCTGGGGAATCTTCACGGGGTGAGTCGAGGGGCAGGCACCGCCGTTCTCGAAGGTGCCGCTCGCAGGGTACGCAACGTGGCTCGAGTGGTCCGGTGAATCGAGATTCTTGCCGTCCCAGCACCTGTAAAGGGTTAGTGGATCATTGTCGTTACCAGGGGGGTGACGGATAGGTTTGGCTCACGTAGGGAATCGAATGTTGGCCATGATACCAGCCTTGCAGGGCTTCTTGGGCATATCAAGAGTCTCACCAGTGCGGGTGAGGATTGTATCAAGACAGGTGTAGGTAAGCTGGCGGAACTTCTTGGCCTGAGCCTCGGTTCGGTACGTTGGGTCTCCGACGATCATTCGGAAACCCTAGAGGGTAAATTCACAATTAGCTTATATGGTTATATAAGGTATTTTCACCAAGACCCGAGGGCAACTCACAGGCTTGAAAGCGGTGACCTTTCCGTTGTTGTAGCTGGGAGTGTAGTAAACAGTCATGCCTCCCTTAGCCCCCTCGAAGCCGGAGTTAGCCATCTGCGGCACTCTCTTAAATGTGCCGTTGCGGGCACGGAAGTAGAGAACGGCTGTCCAGTAGTTGGACAAGTCCTCGGCGAATGTGCACGTAGTACATGTGGCCTGGCTTGGAATATCCATGCGCGGATATTCCATGGACTGATTGAAGGCGTTACCACCGATGATCTGGTGGACGTGCGGCGAGCCAGTGACGCCGGGGAAGACCAACGGGTCAAGACGCTCGACGACCAGTTGCGAACACGAGAATCGTAGGAGCGCATGGGCGCTGGGCGCGAGCAGCGCCAGGCTGGCGGCTAGCGAGTTCACGGTCAGCTGCATCCTGAGAAGAGTGAAGACGATCGTTACAGACAGGCTCGGCCAGGCTCATCATCACGATGCGGAAGTCGTCGCCTATTTAAACTCGTGGCCGGGCGAACACGTCTCCCTTTTCCAGACACCCTCAAGTATTTTCTTCATTCCTTTCCCACATGATGCTGCCGTACCATTGCTGGTGTCGTCGTATAGAAGCGTGGCGGTTAATATCGGGAATATAGCCGAGATCAGCCCCGACCCTGGTTTCTCATAGGGAGCTACGAGCCGCGAATATGCATTCGTGAGGATGGACAGGGGATTGTCATGTTGTTCCTGAAATGGCAGCGGAATATTATAACTGCATATTGCCGTTGACAAGGCTTGGTTGCCACGAGCCGTGAGGAACTCATGGAGGGCTAAGCGATAGTGACTCCAAACGTTGACGGCGCGGCCAAAGCATCGCCTTGCCCTATCACCCCAAGGATCGCAGCTTGGGGACAAACCATATCCAGACCATGTATGTTAGTTACTATTATGGTAACAATAACATCCAAGAAGTCCCATCTCAGCAAGCTTCTACGGGTCTGCCTCCGTGATATCAGATAAAGCTTAGTTTAGGTAACTGTATGGCCCGTTTCTTGGTTGCAAGTCAATGGTCAGGTGATAATAGGACGTGTCTGCATCCGATCTTGGCGCATTAGCAGCATTCATATAGCTCGCAACCCCAGATTGTGTAGCACCGGCAGTGGAAATAGAAACTTGCATAACTTGGTTCGGCGTCTCATTTAGGTATTGTCTATTTCCCCGGGTAAATTCAGATGCATGACTTGACTTCTGTTTGGCCACTACTCTTCAGATCGTCAGATCGTCCCAGGGGACATATTCCAGATCCGAGCAGAGCATATCATTTCTTTGAGGTTATGTAGAAACCTAGTACATTTACCACGACTCCTATACAAGGTGTATTGGCTCATTCCCTTTGTAAAATTTTGTTACTTAATTCCAATAAGGCAAGTCAGAATAGGCACGCGTCTTAAGTATCTAGTAGATACCTAGGTGATTAGATATCCCAACTCTTTGAGGTAGTATTACAATACATTGGATCATTATGGGATTAGTTACCTCTTAACAAGTATCTGGAAAATATACGAAATAAGTAGTAGTGACTTTATCATTCCCTCCCACGCGAACGGTAGCCCTAACGCGTGCAAAAGTGTGCCTATGTACAAGTACTTCCGCTTAACGCTACCCAACAGCATCCCAACTTCAACGACAGAAATCCAAAGCTGGGTCATTCGGATGCATCACATCCCGAACCTTACCTGATAGAATTCCCGTACCTCAGAATTTGCCCTTGTTCCATCAATAAGGTCTTTCGAACTACCTTCGATCTTAAGACCTGCCAGACTCCTCGCTCGCGACAAGGCCACGTAGACTTGCCCTTCAACAAATGCCTTCGACACATCCACGATGACACGGTCGAGTGTCATCGACTGGCTCTTATGAATGGACATCGCCCACGCTGGTGCTAGGGGTATCTGCGTGCGGCTGAGAAAGCTATACGGCTTTTTATCTCCCAAGTAAATTATGGAGCAGTCTTGTGTAATTGTTACCATCTCATCGTCAAACCTGACGACAGGCCAGACTTTCTCCTCGACCTGATTCATGAACTCATCAGTTTCAGTCGAAGTAATATAACTCATCATATCTTCGAGTTGTTTCGTAGGATCAGTATCTCTCCTATTCTGCACGATGTTCGTGGGCCGCGAGGGGTCAAACTCTTCGAACCCACAGATAATACCTTGGCGGCCGTTACAGAGTCCTCGCTTCAGGTTTATATTTTGAAGTAGCACAACAAGCATACCTTCCTTCAACTCAAGACGTCTTTCGTATTTATGCTGGCCGAGTGCTAGTAAGGAATTGTCTTCTACTCGCTGGTTTTTGCTTCTGAGGTGTGGATGGGCTTTTTGATTCCATCGGAAATTGTCCTTACATGTATAAGTATACTTCTTCGTTTGCAGCTTTCTAAATTCCTTATAGTTAAACTCTCGCACTTCATTACGAGATGCATAGAGCCTAGTTGCGGCGGTTGTATCGCACGGGTGATCCATAAGCAGGTTAGTTTGATATTCTGTCAATGGATCCCCAACTCGAATTGTTTGTAAGGCTTTGATAAATGTCTCATCTTTCTGCCGGTGGATCGACTTGAGAGCAAAATGAACGAAATTGCATTCTTTCCAAGCCCGACTTTTGAAAGCCCATTTGTCCTTATCGTAAGAACGACCATGCTCTATACATGTATAGAACCCCTCCGTACGATCTATGATCATCTCTCTCCCGCATTCGAAGCAAAAGTAGAAAGGTTGCACAGGTGGAAGCTGATAGAAATCACCAGTGACAACTACCTGAACGCCACCGAAAGCCTTATCATACCTTCTAACATATTTCATAATTGTGTTAAGCCGCTCAAAGTGGAAATTTTCGACCATGCTTATTTCGTCGATAACCAGAACATGTGTGCCCCTGATGCGTCCATAAGCAGGTTTCCTTTCCGCTTCTTTCACAAGGGTCTTTATGCCCTCCTTCATTGAATTTGGGGACCATCCAGCATACGACCATATGGTGGAACCGCCAACCTGCAAGGCCGCCCGACCGGTTGGAGCAATGATATCGACGACCTTTCCTTGGTCTTGTAGCTTTTTAGTGAAGGCCTTCAGTACAGTCGACTTGCCACATCCAGCCGATCCAGTATAGAATACATTACGTCCACTCATAATGATGTCCACCAGTTCGGCCTGCTCAGGACAGAGAGGAAGTTGTTCTGTTTCCGACATACGGGCAATAGAAAAGGAGAACGATCGGATTGAGGGGGTTAAAGGCAAATGCAAACGGCAGCTTCGTAGTAGCGTTCTGCCTGTAGAAGGATTCGTTCTCGGTAGTTTCTTCGGGCACGATGCCCAACAGCGTGCAAAGAACATAGTTGCGCGGACGCACGATATTCAGGTCGTTCAGCTTCGACTTAGGTCATAACATAGTATGTCGAAAGTATTACCAGGTTTATACAAAATTCAAAAGCTCAAATAGGTAGCTCTCAAGCACATGTAGGGTATTGATCTATCAGGAGCAAACGGACGCTTATTGGCTTAAAGCGAAGTATCTTGTACAGGCCTGAATTTTATGTCTCTATACCTAGTAACACAAGTTAGATGAACTACATTTCCTACCCGTGACCTATCAGCTATGAAGCCTAAGGTATCTAGAAATTATCCGCAATGATTAAAAGCGAAATGGCATATTGAGAACGATGGGCCAATCCTCAAAATAAGTAAATTTACATATGTCTCTGTACTGAGTTGTTTTAAAGTCCATCCGAATATAAAGTAAAGGGACATCTGAATTGTCATAGAATAGTTGTTAATGTAAAGGTAAGGTTAGAACCTATACATGGTTCCACTGATAGTAGAAGTATAAGTACATGTTATCATGTGACAATGCCACTACCTAGGTACCTATCCGTCATTTTCTAGCTCAGCCTCTCTGGTTTCGAGGTCTGACTGGTCGTCTTCCAACAGAACTTCGTCTTCCAGATACAATCTTCCTCCTCGTGAGCCTTGTTTCACCCAACGACGCCAGTTTCGGCGTCTACCAAAACGATTGCCATAATTCCGTCTGAAAGAGCGTCTATGCCCACGTAGGTAGGTACCAAGAATAACGATGCCCTCATCGTTACTCCAAACGTATATTCTTTTTTTTCTAAACTCAAAAAATAACACATGCTTCCTTCCAATCTAGGGGAGGGGGGTAATCGAACGGGATTTTCTTCTCAGGACGGTAGGATATCGTATAGCTATATCGTATAGCTCCAGGACGGGCGTGTAGAGTAGATAGATGGATGTGGATGTTCGTTTCGTATCTCTTTGTATGGTATGGAATGCTTGTTGTATTGTCTAGGTTCTCTCAAGATTCCAAACCTTAACGGAGTGGAGCTACCAATTGTCAAGACTGCTTTCAGCAAAGCCTTTATAACATTGTCCCTGATTTTCGCATCCGCAATGAAATCGTTCAACTTCTTTAGCAATGCTCCTTAATGTCAGAAAGATCCCGTGATGTATGTCGTGCGCAGAGCGAATACTAGAGACAGTAGCAACTGTATAGAGTGGTGTACATTCTAGGGTATAGCTGGTCTTGTTGTGTGCTGTTTTCGGTTGGAGGATTCGGACAGTACGGGCATGGTGAGTAGGCAGGCCCATGGGGCGCCGAAGAGTCAGGTTAACCGCGCGATAGAAATTGGATTTGAGTGTGGTCCGCATGAAGATTGTCTCCTCAAGGCTAGGGCAAGAGCCTTAGCAAGCGGATGCAGAGTGGTAGGCTTTAGAGTTAACGAATGAATTAAACAAATGTAGCATTAAGCCAAATTCAAACATGGGAGGTGTGGGGGACTGTAGGATGGAAGATAGATTTCTTCGGTCAAGTGAAATACTAGTTCTGCCCCTAGTACTCCAGTCGTCTCTCGCGCCACCGATGCGCTTGGGGCAGATCAGTGTAGTGATTCTCGCATATAGTCCTCCCAACCCGGTAAGACGTAGTCGTAAACGTTCTCATGCTTTGCCGTATCGATCATCACGCAAATCCATCTCCATTGTCTGAGTTGTATTAAATATTAATCATAGTATAGCTGCACTGTTGATGGATTTGCAGGTCCCGTACTGAAATTGAATAGGGTTTGTTGGATTGACAATATTATATAGACGTAACGAAAGAATGAAATACTATTGGTTGAATTGAACTGTGTGTGTAATTATCTAAAAGAGGATGATCCACGAGTTGTGGAAGGAAAACGTATCTACCCAATTGTGGGTGGATAGGAGAAATAAAATAGAAGTAAAGAATGTCAGATCAGACGAGAGAAATTGCATCGACTTTATAACCAGAGATTTAGGCAGGGAGAAAGATCGAACTTGCCTAAAAAGAACTGAAAATACGCCGTTTGGAAAGCACGTAGGCGTTATGATGTTAGGCAAGGTACCTTTTACCCAAAGGTAGGTGCCTACCTAAATATAAGGCGCCTGCCTGAGGTACCAAGGTCAATGTATAATACAGGTACCTGTAGGGAAAGTGCCTTAGAAATACTTCAAGGCTCAAGGTATTAGCTCATGTACCTGTTAACCTCAGAGGCATTGCCAGCTGCCCTCGTAGTACACTTATACCTATTGTTAGATACCTGTTATGGTGTTCGACGGCTAACTTCTGTCCATTCTAGGTATGTTACTGTTGAGCAAGTCATACATAAACGCTATCAACCATACAGCTGAATCTGGTAACAGCTACCTCTATATGTCATGTATTAAACACTTCCGCTTAACCATGGTATATTTACCTGTTATTAACGAAGCCAGAAAAAAAAAAGAGAAAAAAATCACCCCTTAATTCCCAGAAAAGGCAGTTTTGAGCTCATTAACACAATCGGTAACAAACTGCTTTGATGTTGGATTGGATCCATCCCAATGACCGAATGGATGCCCCTGGCCCTTGTAGACCTTGATATTGCTAGGAGTGCCAGCGTCTATCAGCTTTTCATGATATGCAATCCCCTCCGAGACGAGAGGGTCGATCTCAGCACAACGGATGATAGCTGGAGCTAAGTTAGCATGCGAATCCGCGACGATTGGAGAGGCGCGGAAGTCTTTGGCCTTCTCTTCGCGGCTTTCGTCCGTTCCCAACCACAGGTTATAGAACCATACTAGGCGGTTGAGAGGCAACATCGGAGCAAACTCGAAGTCGATGTAGCTCCTGTACGGTGTCGTCGCAGGGTCGCATGAACCCTCCTTCGGAACAAATCTCGCGTCAATTACCGGCACGATGAGTAGCTGCACGGCAAGCCGTGGTAAAGTCGGATCGTCCCGAGCTTGCAACGCCAGAACAGCCGCGAGACATGCCCCTGCGGACAATCCTCCGACGCCTACGCGCGATGGATCTATCCTTAACATTCCTGTGTTTTGGAAAACCCATTTTAGCGCCTGAAAACTGTCTGTAGCCGAGACTGGATGAGGATATTCGGGCGCAAGTCGGTATGCAACATTTATCACAATGCAGCCAACTCTCTGGCAGAGCTTGCGGCACAGAGATTCGTCCGAGTCAAGGCCCCCTATCACAAAACCACCACCATGAAAGTTCACCAGTGCCGGTAACAGGCCTTGCCGTTCAAGCCCAGTACTGGCAATTGCTTCAGATGTTGGCACATACACCTGTACAGCTATCTCGCCGGGAGGGTTCGAGACCGGAACTTGGTATATCTTAGCACTGGCAACGTCCGGCGCCGGTTTGGCGACTTCAGCTGTCGGGAAGTCATATTTTTTTCGGTCACGATTATACTCCTCGTATGGAACTTGATCAGCCCGTAGGCGTGGCGCTGTGAATTTGGTTATTAGCTAGTTATTTAAATAAAAAAACATAGTTGCACATATAAAAGCAATTTCATGATATTCAATACCTTGGTAGCGAAGGTAGATCTCGGCGAAGGCCGGATCGAGTCTGTCGACTAAAGTAGGATGTAACGGGTTGACGAGAGATGAAACATCGTTGGAGCCCATGACTAGTGAGGTATTCGAGTTTATGTTTAAAATGCTGGCTTCGATAAATTGTATTGCGTGCCACTTACACGTTGTAGAGAACCTTTAGGATATGATGGTAAACAACCTAAGCTGGAGACCCATCTATTTTGAACCGTACGTCCCCGCAAATTAGACAATCCGCAAGGTCAAACCTAGATGCCTCCAGAGTTTCCATATCCCTAGAAAGAGGAGACATGGTATTGAGCTTCCGGTTATGATACGCCCCGCCCCTACCCGGCCGGCCGCGTGTCTAAGTTCCCATACTGTTTGTTCCTGATCTTTCTCGTGACGCTCTACATGCATAATACAGCCCATCGTGGGGGTCGGGGTAACAGTAACACACGGGTAGGCAAGTTATGACAGGTAGCCAAGAAATAAAAGTCAACTAGACATGCTGTGGGTATCCGTCGGCTTATCCGAGGGGTATTCCCGCAGGATCCTTGTGTGGGGGGGAGTATTGATATAATATCGAAGACACTGTATGCTCATTATATACGACGGCGTGACTAATTGAAACTCGGTAGAGAACGTCACTAAAATATATTAGAAATAAAGTCAAACCAATTAGCCAACAATATAAATAGTTGCTCCAGATCACGGGCAAGGCAACAGCCCCCTACCCCACCCCCACAAATATCTATAGATGATTGAGGCTCAACATTGGCAGGTAGAATAGTTCAACAGTATTATTAGATTTCAATCCTGTGACTGCGATCTACACCTATAATCTGATATTCTTCGCATATAAGGTATTTAACACAATATCTAGTTCTGTGAAGAACATTATATATCAAACATCAACTACGGGAAACGTATGAACGGCTTTCCAGTTGCAAGGCCTGAATTGCCCTTTATATGATAATAACCAGGGTAAAGCGCCCCTTGATAGTAATATAGAGCTTCGAGGTGCTTAGCGCAGACCGTATACAGTAACTTCATCATATCGGAAGCTGTTAAAGATTTCTAGCACCGTCGTGAGGTTCTTCCTCATATATTGATGAGAAAACCAGGCGTTACCTCCGCTCTGCATTATAGATAGACCGAAATTATTGGATTATCATAAGAGTTATTTTTTTCTCATATAAATCTTCATTGATAAGTTCAAATTGACTCTCCAGGGTATTATCCCACATTTCCTCAAGTTTTCTATTTACGTTGCTACCACGTAACAGCTGCATTAAAACTGAAAAGTAACATATTCTCATTATTCCAATGGAGGAGCACACAAGGGTTATGGCTACCCTTCCATATATAATAGATATATTATGGAAGACTTCTAAGATTTTAGTATTGCTTAAATTGGTATCAATCCAGGTTATTATCAGACTGCCGGATCAGCCATTGACAATTTAAGACTTATCTAACCTATTGGTTGAGTCAACATAGGTAATTCTAGTCTCATCTCTTGCATTTGATAAAACCAATATCTATGAAACTAAAGCTATTGTCGACGAAACACGTAGTCCTAAAGAGGCCTTGATACTAATTCAACGCAAGTATCTAGCCTAATCAACAACACATTTATAGCTATCTCACAGGTATATAAGCGTTGTTTACGTTAAACCATAGTAGAATACAATTTATAATCCTAAAGTAGTCTATACGTAGACAACGTTGATGAACTAATAGCACTACTTAGGAGTGAGAGCTGAGTAGGTATAATGTACAATAACTAGTGGCACTTACCAAGCTGCTGAATTGATGATGTTTATCTATCATAGAGTTGTTATGATTCAAAATCCCGCACGTAGTTAAAACCTAATGAGACGCCGATTGCGGCCTGGGAAAATAACTTCGTGAACCAGACTACGATACGAGTCAGGGCTAAGAGAATATCATATTTTCTAGGATGCCGTTTCAATATAGCGCCGACGCCCCTCGTGCTTCTCTAGACACGTGGTTGGCATGAATGACGCTAGCGACATTACTTATGGAGGATTTTAGTGAGAGATGCATCTTCCAATGATAGTCAGATTTGTTCAGTGGCATTGTGCTTCGATTATCTGAGTTTGGCCCAATAGTTGTGTGATCTACCTAGCAGTCGCTAGGTGACTAAAAGCGGGTATTCGTCCATGCGTATTAGCAACAAAGGGTGTAGAGTATGTGACTAGACTTGAATATGAAGCTTGTGACAACATTACATAGATCATCTTGTGACCTAAATTACGTGGTGAATGAAATAAGACCTAGAAAAAAATTTGGTTCCTAGCTGCGTGGAAATTGGATGCGTTGTTGGAGTTTGAGGTTGACCTAACGAGGTATCCCTTGCAGCATTTGTACACAGTCCCCCTTGTCCATACGTGTTGGAAGAGGAGAGAAGAAAAATTATTGAGCTGAAACACTGCTGATGGCGCACTAGGAAGTAATAAGTGACGACGCCCAAAAGCAACTACAAGGTCAAATTGTAGTATACCTACCTCCTAGGTAACCTACCTACCTGCGATGTAATAGATACATCGGCTATTTGGGTTGAAACTTGCTTGCTGGATCGTTAAGCTACTGACTTGGCGAACTGTCGGTCCCCTTCGCTCCGCGCGACAAGTAAATAAAAATAAAAAGTACCATCCGTGGGTTCCCGATCACCAGTTCCCATTGCTTAGTTGGGCTCATTTATCACTGCAATGATAGGAGGACAAACGTCGTCAGCGAGTGATACAGAAGAATTATTGCTATCTCTTACTGGTACCGTAACTGGGTTGGTAGGGGGGGGGCTGAGTAAGTTTGGGTAGATACCAGACATCAGAATCAAGGGATTTTGTAAAGTCTGAAAATATGTACCGGTGACTATGGGGTTTCAAACCTTCGAACTAGGTATCTAACCTAACCCGGGTATTAGGTATTCCCCTAGTTTACCTACCGAGCGTACATGTAAATGAATACGTGGACCTAAGTAGAAGAAGAAGACGAAAAAAAGAAGAAAAGAAACTTGCAAATAAGCAACCTATTGGAAACCTCCAGAAATTAACTAGTTAGAGAAAAAAACGGATAGAAGAATTTCAAGTTACTATTACGAGCGTTATGTACCTAACCTAATGTACCTAAAGTACCTTCCGAAGGGATGAGGTCCTGTCCTTCCTTCTAGGTTAGGTGCCTCTAGGCTAGGTAGCCTGGCGCGTCCCCTTTTTTAAATCGGCATGGATCTCTGGTTGGATTGGATGGTTGGACAAGGGATTAGCGGCACGTGACTTTAAAGGATACCTAATACCTAGCATGTGGTGCGTGCACCACCAAAGCTGGATTTCTTCGCGACGAGCTGGATCTTGAGCCATCAGACAGAGAGAGAGCAGCAGCCCGGGAGGCCGTTTTAAAAAAGATTGTACAGTTTAGACTGCCCCAAAAACTTATTACATACCACCAACGAGCACAATGGCTGCCCCCGTAATTCATAATTTGACCCTGCCATCGCCATTGCACCCTCATCTCTATTTCCCATTTCCCATTCCATGATAATTTTCCTATTGAAATCCAAACCATCACCACCCTTCCCATCATCATCACCATCGTCACTTTTTCGCCAAACCCGTGCCCAGCCTACAAAACCACCCGCCTCGCCCGCAAAATCCTAAGGCACCGCACCACCCAGGGCCTATCTCCGACAGGGTACGGTAGATTGGCACCGACGCCTCTTAGGACAAGAAGCGCTTTTTGAACGTCGGATCTCGGGTGGATCACTTCACACACTTTGCCAGGTTGATGACCTGACCCAACCCAAACTAAATAGCAAAGTGCACAATCCCACCAAAGGGTTTTCCCCCAAGGAACATCTGACTTTCTCACATTCCTACCACATTTCCACACTTTTCTTTATTACCTTATTCGCGCATCACCACCACAACCCAAACTTCATCAAACCCATCGCGTATTTTTTCGCCATGCCTACTCCAAGCAAGGCCTCTGCCTCCGCCAAGGAGAAAGACCGACGAAAATCCACCGGCAAAACCTCGAATCTCATTACCCTGCGCGTCCCGGCTATTAGGCTTAAGAAGCTACTCGACCCGGCGTCCGTCAAGGAGGAGTCGCCGGCGAAGGATTCACCTGCTTCAACTACTCTACCCAGCGAAACCGTCCCTGCCGCGTCAAATGGCGACAATGTTTCCGCGTCGAGTCCCGACACACCGGCCGCCGCGGGAACGCCATCGCAGGTGTCCATGGGACCTCCGACAGAAGCGCCCAAGAAGAAAGGCGTGAAGAGAAATGCTGCTACCGCAAATGGATCCGACCTGACAGCTAAGATTAGAGGCAAACCCGGCCCTAAGAAGAAGCCTAGATTGTAAGTATTACCCGTTGCCCTCGTGAATTTCAAACTGTCGCTCTATCGACCCTTTCTACGACACTACATTCAATGGGCCTGTACTTTTAATATATGTTATTGTTGTGGCTATTTGCTAATTATTTCTATCAGAGAGGACGGGACTATTGATCCTAGCGGACGAGCCAATGGCGGCGCCTATCATAAACTCGGTCCCAAGGCAAATCAAGGTGCTATCAACGCTGGACTTCGCGCTCTTGATCGTTCGGGTGCTCCCTGTCGGAAGTGGAACAGAGGAGGCTTTAGGGTCAAAAGCTTTACGGGTGTGGTCTGGGAGATTCCTCGTTGGACCGCGCCACCTAAACCCCAGCCCCAACCTACTTCCGATGAAGCCGCTGCCTCTGCCGAGAGCAGCAATAAAGAAAATAAGGACGGAAGCCAGTTGAAAAGTGAGAACAGCAACAGCCATGTCGACGGTGAACAGCCAAGCATACCACCGAGCATACCACCAAGCATCAACGCCAGCTCGCCGGCTCCCACACCTGTCGCTACTACTTCTTAGGTGATGCTTTACGTCAACATTCTATTCTAATGACGCTACCGGCAGTCATGTGTATTTACTATAGGCTTACGGGGTTGACGAAAAAAAGCAAGGCGTTTAGGACCGTGGCTATGGTGCAGTCTTACGGATGACGAGGGGTCATATTATTCGCACTAATAGGCTGCGAGGCGCTTGCCTCAGGTCCCAATGCTGTTTCGGTTTAGAGGACAGATCCAGGTTTGCTTTACTCGGCGTTGAGAGGACGGGGAGGGGAACTGTGCGCTATGCTTCACGTTTTGGCGTTGTAAATATAAAAATACGGAAAGCTGGTACGGGTTAATCGTGAAGCAAAGTCATACATTATTTGTTCTCTCGGTTATGGTTTCTATGAATGCGTATACAATGTTATTATTGTCAGGTAGATGCCCTGGGGAATAGAAGGTCTACGCGACTATGGGTTGTGACCCCCTTTGTTATTCACATGATGAGCTTTGAAAACAACGAGAGTGCCTACCTCTAACTTAAAGTTAATGATACAATACTACTCTATATACCTAGGTAGTTAGTTATATTTTCTGTCGCAATCTTCATATCGTCTCAGTATTGGAAACGCCTATTTATGATGAGGGTACTTTCATACAGGAGATGGGATGTGATGAGGAAGAGCCACTTTAATGAATCTGCCGCTCCCAATCGTACTTGCAATGCGTACCTAAGGTATGTATGTATAACTCATAGAGAATCGCAATTACCTAGTATCTCATGTTTTTTACAAGCCAGCAACTACCTATCATACATACGGTACAGTTCCAAGGTCCATACGTTAGGTTAGGTACATGAGGTGGCTGAGGTGACAAGCAACCTAATGTGTATCTTGGCTTTGAATGTAATCTACCTGCATGTAATTTTCTCATGCCAGCCACTTGGAGATGTTTATATTAGGTATATATTGCAGAATGAGATATGTGTACCTATATCAAGACTGATAGATATTTATTAAATTTTAGCTGTGTTAATAGGTATAAGCTAGGTTAGGTACCTTTGATCTATACCTAATACCTAACGCGACAAGCGGACTACATAAGAGTGACCTCACATCTAGGTACGTTTTACCATCTCCCTACCGGTAGTCATTGAGTATAGTGTACCCACTTATATCGATTAACGCTCGATAAGCGCACGGTGCATACCTCCTACCTAAGGTACATGCATTTTATGTGAGTACCTACCTTAGGTAAGGCACTCTAGCAGTCTAAGTACCGTATGTACCCCCTTAGTGGGCGTTATCTGGGGAAAGAGCCCTGGTCGGGCCAAGTTGAGCAACAGCATCCGTGACCTCGTGATTGATGCTACCTAGGGTACCTATGCAGGTACTTACATCTCTATGTGCTGTACATTGCCTCTCTCGTCCTCTCTCTCTCTCTCTAACCTCTCTCAACCTTTGGTAATTTCTCCGCAACAACCCAGCACCAATTAACATAGACTCGACATCATCACTGCCCATCGATCACACCGCTTTCGAGATAAGCAGGAAAGCGCTCCTGATAATTACTAACGTCAATAGAAGTTGGGTCATGACATATACCCTTGTCACTTAATGCAGGTGTCCTTGCATCACGAAATCGGACCATCTCTTTCCTCGAACAAACCGACCATATCGTGTGCGCGAACTTGAAGCTATACACCCCTAATCTTATATTATTGCATTCAAGTTTATAATTCACCATATCGATACCGTAGCTTTTTAAAAATTCTACGTTTCTACCGCTCGTTCCGCTTTATTCGAATTGGTGCATTAAGAGCGAGAAAGATTCCAAGCGTATTGAACAGCAAGCTCTTGATTCCCCCTTGGTCGTGCTGCGATACAACTCGGACTAAAGGCCGATCATGGCAAACCCTTATCACCATGATCGCTTTCAAACAGATGTATCCTATACGCGTTCCTATTCACAACTGAGAGATCTGCCGAGTCCCCCTGCAGTCCCCGGAACTAGTGCAGGCTTTACGCCTTCGTCCCATTCGCCGCTCAACCGCCTTTCGTACCTCCTCAACTCTCAATACGAACCAACTTCGGATCTCTATAACGCCAATCCTTCCACCCAAATATCTAACAACGGCATAGATACAGATATGAATAACGGCTACTCAGATGGGGCTATACCCTCCCAGGCTCATGGGCCGCACTTACCATTGTATTCGAGGGCCTTCGAGCCGTTTATGCATAATGAAGGGCACAGGAAAGACATCTCGTTCACGCCATCATATTTAAATGGGTCGGATTATATGCAAAAACTCCAGGAAGCGCGCAAGGCAAAACAAGCGCAGAAAGAGGCTCAGCGTCAGGCGGGGAGTGGGTTGCCAGCTGGTATTACGACAACAGGGGCCCTTGCTAATAAACCAGCGGCCTCTCATTTGGGAATGACGTATGATTTGATCGAACGGGCGCCGGCTATGGAAGATGAGGTTACGGTGCCGCCTTTACCGACGAAATGGAATAAGGACGATAAGCAAGGTTCCCTAGAGGTTCTAGCGGACGGGCTGGAGGTCAGATACGCTTCAGGTCGCAATGCCAGGGAACAGGAACACGAAGCATGTGCGATTCGGGCAGACCATCCGATGCCCTGGCAAGCAGGTCTTTATTATTTTGAGGTTAGCCTTCTATCTAGGAGACGAGACGAGTATGTGTCAAACGAGGATTCCCAATACTTCCGGTTTAGTCTAACTTGTGTGAATATAGAACCACGGTTTGCATTGGCTTTTCGGCAAAGAACGTCCCTTTAGCCCGACCACCAGGCTGGGAGCCTGATTCATGGGGTTATCATGGCGATGACGGCGATATCTATTCAGGGGATAAAATTGGAAATCCCTACGAAGGAAGAAGCTTCGGGCCACCAGATACTATTGGATGTGGAGTCAACTTCCGAACCCGCGAGGCTTTTTTTACAAAGAATGGAAGGCAGTTTAGTATGTATACCCTATGCATACAAGCCTGTCGCATTTGCATGGCCACATTGGGATTAACATTGTGCACAGAAACTGCATTTCGAGACATAAAGGGAGACCTTTATCCTATGGTTGGCATGAAGAGACCAGGGGAACACGTTCGCGTCAACTTTGGTCAGAAGAGTTTCGTGTTCCAAATCGACGATCTGGTAAAGGTAATTGCCTGTGTTACCAGCGTGTTTGCTCTCGGTGTGTAAGCTGGTCGTAGCTAACTAGTTTTTAGAAAGAGCGGGAAGAGATGATGAAGGCCATCAATAGAACGAGGCAGGTCAACTCCTGTTCACCATTACGTTGCATGAAACTGACTTGCGCAATATAGTATCGAGAGGCTAGTATCGCCTCCTAGAAGTGAAACAGAGTTAATTCAGCAACTGGTAAGATGACAAGGATGTTTCAAAGAGTATTTTATTGGATAGCTGACTGTATCAGGTATTACAATTTTTACAGCATGACGGATATGTCGAAACGGCCCGGGCGTTTGCCGAAGAGATACACGCAGAGAAGCGAGACTTACGAACCGACGAGCGAACTCCTATACCTGGTGTCAACATCAAGGACGATGAAGATGCGTATCATAGGCAACGTATGTATCAGTTATGTCCTTGGTTTGTTTGTCTTTTACTGACCGAACTAGGTATCCGGAGAGCCATACTCGAGGGTGACATCGAGAAAGCTGTCAAGTACACCTATACTTACTATCCTGGTGTATTGGAGGATAATTACGATGTGTATTTTAAGCTGCGGTGTCGAACTTTCATCGAAATGGTGCGAAAATCGGCCGAGATGAGCAACTCGAGTACTAAAAAAAGTAACGGGCACCCATACGACGACACTCCTAACAAGATGGACGTCGATGAGAATGGCTTCTCGGACCAGATGGAAGAAGATGGTCTAGATAATCAAACAGACCAGGAGGACTGGCTTGTCAAGGCTGTCCAATATGGACAATCATTACAAGAGGATTTCAGGGATGAATCGAAGCCAGAGATCACCAAGACGCTCAACGAAGTGTTTTCCCTTCTTGCATATCCTAACCCCCTAGAGGTTAAGGAAGTTACGCCTTTACTAGACCGCAAAGGGAGAGTAGCTGTTGCTGAGGAGCTCAACTCAGCAATTCTCTGTAAGTCTAGGTATCCGCCTATGAAGCTGTGTATACGACTAACCAATCTACGTAGCGTCCTTAGGAAAGTCATCGCGGTCGGCGTTGGAGAACCTCTATGGACAAACAAGCGTTTTGTTGGATTATTTGCGCGAAGACGGCGGTCCGGGTTCATTCATCACCATTCAGTCGGTTATCGACTCAATACCCCAGCCATTCTGATAGGATGGCCTTAGTTTTTAACTTGGGGCGATGCGGTACAATATACTTCTGCTTCCTGCCGAGACCTTGTTCCCCGAACGAGCAAGGAGTACAAGATGTAGCGAGATTTGACCGGTGTTACTTGCTTCTTTTCAGCAACTGGATCACAGCTCACATGATAACTTGATGAGGCGAGGCTCCAAGCTTTCTTGTGTTGTTTTCACAGTAAAACTTTAGACCTAGCAGTACCAAGCGATGATAGAACTAGCCTACCTCACATCCCGTGGAAACGCAATAGAAGAGTGTCTAACACATCTCAATGTCAAAACATTTGCCTTGACTGGACATTTTATCCTCCCCTATACCAAGTTTCTCTCCAAGAAGTGCACATTTAGGATGTCAAAGGCAGGGTGATAGCATTATTTTCCTTTTCTTCAAGCTGGCTTTTTTTTTCTTTTCCTGAATTTGTTGCGCAAATTTGTCCTGTTGCGCCCCTTAGGATTTCCACAATAGGTTTCCGGTAGCCAGGTGCATATAAATGGCGGGGCAGAATCAAATGGAACACTTCCCTTTCAAGTCTGCTGTTGAATTAGTAGGCTATCCTATCACGGACTAACCGAGTTGATGGTTAGCTACTGAGGTAGGTTAGAATACCGATGTTTTAATGTACGAAGTATTGTAGGTCGCCCACGTTTTATTTATGGGCGAATAGACTTCACTATTAGTATGCACGATAGTAAATCCAGCGATTCATTCAGACTATGTAGTAAGCAATTAAATTAATCGTATATGAGGCATGTGAGAACGGCAGAGGCTCTTCGGAACCGATATACATATTAATAGTGGCTACGCGTCAGATGTACAACATGGTAAAATATTAAAAAGTTGATATGTGAGCAGAAAGACAAGGCAATAGCAGCTTGTAATGTCCATGGGATTCGATCGATCTACTACCTAATCCAGGGACCTACATAGTATGTAGTATGCTCCCGGCAGAATCAGGAAGATATATTCCAGGCATGCAACCTCCGCGACCCGGGAGGAACACTATTCACCGTGCACATGCACATGTTAGCAGTACCATGGCAGCGAGCCAAAGGGAAAATCCAATTAGATTACCCTTACCCCCCAAAGCAAACCCGCATCGCACGAGCTTGGCTTTGGAGAAAGTTATAAATAAGATCGAGATCTTTGAGTTTCTGATTTATTTTATTGTTCTATGCTGAGGTATCTTTCATCAAGTGGTTGGCCCCTTTGTCCGTTTCATCATGCGGCTTTGTTAAAGGTAGTCCAAGCCAAGCGCCCTAAGCCTCATCCCATTCATTGTATCCCGGAAAAAGAGAAACCCGTCCGCATGCATGCATTCGTGAGGAGAGAGGTAGTAAACAACTAAGAAAAAAGAGGTGGTGATGAAGGAAACGACGAAAAAAAAAAAAAGACATGATGATGCGATCGCTATGGCCTTCCCTTGAAAAAAGAAAAAAAAAATATGTCTAACCACCTCCTCCTACTTCCTATTTCCGCCCGCCCTTGCTACCCGTGTTGCAAGACAGACAGCATTGCAGCAGCGAACGGGGGAGAGGGGAGCACTTCGCGAATCGAGCCGTGTGCCCTAACTGCAACGGTGCCAATAAAACCACCATCACTAACCCCCCATCGCCCCTCTCACTACAAGCAACCAGGTGCCCCCCCCTCTTCCCGTCCCTCCTCTCCCCCCTCGTGACTCGAACGATCGAAAAGCGCAGTGGAGGTAGGTAAATGTAAACAACAGACCCGGAAAAATTAAGTATTAGGTATTGATGATTGGAGAGTTTCTCTTTTTTTCTGCCTTTGTGAAGTGATCAAAGCTCCCCTCCCCCTTCCCTTCAAACCTTTACCGGAATTCGGTCCCCACGTATTATTATATAGGTAGGTAGAACAAGCGATGATGATGATGATGATGATGATGATGTGGATGTGGATGTGCGTCTAGAAGGGTTCTCCCGGGTTATGCCGATTGAGTTGGAGTTCGTTACCGAAGTTTCTCGCTGCTCGGTCGCTGGCTTCGGATGGTGGGGGGAAAGAGCGGCAGGGGAAAGAAGGGGAGGGAGGAGGAAGGGGGAAAAAATAAAAATAAAATAAAAAACGGCCTAACGTCATGACTTGGTTATGTTCGTGACCCCTCCTGGACTTCCACCACCCCCCAAACCCAAATTAAAGGATGCCAATGTCAGTCAGGTGCCAAATTCAGCGAAGTAGCACAAAAAGACTGAGGTGATAATGACCATGATCATAGTGATGACGCGCCAACCCGGTGTTTGGCCGTCTTCGCCGTAGGTCTTTTTTCTCCAAGCCTCGGTTGCGTTTGTCGTGTACCCCGATGTTTCTTTCCAATGCGGTGGTGAGAAGTAACCAAAGAACGATAGTGACAACAATAGTAATAATAATGTAAATGGCTATTATGTAGGATGGTATAGTATAGCTGTCGCAGCACAACAACAACACAACGTAGAGGGCTCTTCGGGATCGGGCATGGGGAGGGAAAGGGGGGGTTGCGAAGTAGGGTAGGTTAGGTGAGAGGTAGGTAGGTAAAAATCACGAGATGGCAATGCCTTCCAGGTCTCGCATCAGCACCGCCATCTGCGCGCGCTTCGCGGCTTCGGCCACCAAGTTGAGGTTCTGGATGAAGGCGTCCGTGCTAGGCGCCTTCTGCACTGCTGGAGGGGGCGGTGGTGCGAAGCCTTGCGTCACCGTGGTCGTCGCGACCGTTGTCGTCGATGGGAGTTGGCGGTGGGCCATGGTGGGCGAAGTGATCGGGGCGTTCATGTTGTTCGGTTTTTTTTTTCTTGAGGGGTTGTAGGTGTATAGGTTAGATACCTAGCTAAGGTAGAGAGAGTAGTGTTGTATAATTTGTTCACGGAGGAATGAATGTGCACAACGAGTTAGTTATGCGTTTTCTGGTCTCACGTCGGCCTTTTTATCCTGCCGCAAGTTCTTGTGGTAGGTAGTATAAAAGCACGAGATGGTGCGATGTCGTACGACAGGTGGAGTTTTTCTGCTAGTGTACAGAAGCGGTTTTAGATAGTAGTTTGCCAATGGTAATGTGAAGCTTTCGTAGGTGTGTTTGAGGGGATGTGGAGGTAAAGAAGGATGAGTTGGTTTTTTTTTTTTTCGCAAGTCTAGCAGCAAGTTGGCGGTAACGGCCTTTTTTAAAAGACGAGTCTGACTCTGAGCCAAGGCGTCGATCACGACGCAACGCAGAAATTATTTTGGGTTAAGCGGTGACGAAATTGGTGTGAAATACGCGAAGAATATATCTTGTTGTTAGTCCCTTTTCAACAAGGAAGAAAGGTGGGTTAAGTTAAGGAACAAGCTTGATGTTTGTTTCCAAAGTATTGTTTCTTCTTTCTTTGCAGCAAAATATTTACATATATAAAATACACCTAGGAAGAGTATTAAGGGAAGTAGTCGCAAGAGGGGAGAAATGGAAGGAGTTTAATATTATATGTATCTTGCAAGTATTTAAGTACCTCTCCTCAGAGGTAGTAGGAGGTAGGTATTAAGGTATCGTGATCAGTAGTGGCTGTTTTTCCCTTTGTTCGTTCTAAGCTTGTCTGATATCAATTCGAAGTGGAGGGTCTTTTTTTTTACTGTACTGACCCCCAATTCCCTCCAATACGCACGCATTCTAGACCAGGGGTTCCCAACCGGCCCTTAATTTTTAACGAGCGGCTGCAAGAGGTTGCATGCAGATTGTCGAATGGGCTGGATCTGGATGAACAGTCAAGATTTATGGATATCGAGCCATTTAATATACATACTATATTAATATGTAGTAGCAACTAACCAGAAAACACATTTAAGAAAAGACTGCATATAGGGTCCGTCGTAGCAAGTCAGGCGAGATCCGAACGATATACCTACTGTCTAACGGACAGATTCCATGTTCACTCGGCACAAAGTTCTGTAATAATGTGTGATAACGGCCATCCGAACATGGTATCGCATGATTAAACCAGTTGAGTTAGGCGAGTTCTATTTACATAGTATTCGCGCCAACCACCCGGAGATTAATGGCATGACCGAGGATAACCTATTTGAGTTAGTTTATTACATACCTAACCCAAGGCAGGTGAGGAGGTAGTTATCCCAATATTTGTGTATAGCACGTAAAGCTGTATGGTGTAAGTCGTCAGACGGGTTCTAACAAGTATTCAAGTTCAACTACCTCATATCACCAAGGTCACCGAATAAGCCTTTGGCAAGCCTTACATAATATTAGTGGTACTCTTGATCCCAGTAACCAGCTTTTAGCGACTATGCATGTGCGCAATTTATCTTATACCTACCTACCTACCTACCTATAATCTTGGTATGCGCAATACCTAATCCAGGTATAATACGTTACCTATGTCTTATAAGACACTTGCAGGCACTTACTTATTACATATACTCAGCTTCATTTTGGTACGCCAAACTATTAAAATAATTCCGCAAGCAATCAAGAACGCAGGAAAGGCTTGTAGCAAATGAGTACTACGCAGCTAAGCAGCTAGGGACATCACAGATGCGACTTTGGCAATGGAACATTACGTTTGGCGTCCTGGGCTTTCGGGGTATCGGTCCCCCTTCGTTGATCTCAGATCTTATTAGTGAGAATCGACATCATAGTACATCTAAAGGCCGACGTGGTAGCGGAAAGATTAATTGATCTCGTCGACCATAACCAGAAATAGCAAGAGTCTGTCCCTCCGCTTGAATCCGTATGAACTCATATCAACGTAGTTTATGATTTGGAAAAATACCTAAGGTAGATCGTGCGCATCCAGAATATAACCGCAGTTTTCAAGCATCGTCGGTAGTCTCGTGTGAACGGATGGACGGCTCGGGGACCGTTGCGCAGGTGAAACAATCAAAGCAAATCAATATTGTCTATAATACTCTTCATTATGTTCTAGTCCAACTATCCAACTACTACCGTATCCCCCCACCACTCGAAATATTTTTCCACCGGGAGAACGAGAGCGTGGTGTTTTTTTCAGCTCTTCTATCATTCCCGTAAGTATTTCTCTTGGCGATGGAACAATGGGAATATACGTGATGTTCTCGAAGAATTGCGGACGGGGTTTGAAGCTACCTAAGTGAGTTAATATGTCTGACCACCAAGAGGACAACCGGCATTTGGATATAAAAGATGGATGGTATGAGCTGAATTGATGCCCGACATCTGCAAGTCGGAATATCTCATCTATCATAGATGATTTATCAACGTGGACTTCGGTATATATTTCGTTCCACTTTTTCTTTTAACGAGATGACCCCCACGGATGGGATACGAAGTACCTAGGGTACATAGATATTGTCCCTGAGGTAGGTAAGGTTATGTATGTACCTAAGTACCGAACTAAACGCAAAACAGAATTCACCCCGCAATGCGCCCCGGACTCTTGGATGTCTAGCATCATCGCAATTAGCTTGTGATCGGCGCTGTCCTGCTTCCGTGCGAATCCCTCTACCTAATATCAGTAGTGCAGGGATATTCATTTGAGCAATAGATGCCATCTCCAAGCGTGGTATGTTTAATGATGTTGTTTAACATTCTAACCTACTCGATTTCAAGCCCACCAACGATATACATGTACTTACCTACCTCATTTGTTAAAGCATCGTACAACCTTGTATTGTACCTCGGAACCACATGAGATACCCATTTGAGGACTTGAGGACTTCTAAGGACCCTGAAAAATGTCTGCGTGTCCCACATAACGCCCGAAACTAGCGGAATCTAGTGAGTCTAGGTTTTGGGATACGTAAATTTGTCGGAAACTTGCTGAGTGACTCGCTAAATCTTCGGTTTAGGTACTCGGTTTTGTACAGTACCTTTGTACATACTACTTAGGTACATACCTAGGTAGTGGCTCAAGCCGCAATCCATCTTATCATCATCCTTCGATAAGATAAGATAAGATTGGATACTGATAATGGAACCTTACCTCATTTCAAAATGACGGAGTTTTGCGGAGTTGCGATTAGAAAATACAACATTCGCGCGCAATCTGAGATTGGCATATTCAAAATCCAATTCCTCATAAATCTTCGGAATAAAACGGTTCAATAACGCGCCACGGTTTCTCCTCCGCAATGTCTTCGAAAACTCCTAGCGCCTCTAGTCCTAAGCCACCTGGCGCATCCGGCTGGTTAGCTATACCAGCTCCCTTGGCTCGACTATTCAAGAGATTCCCTCTCTTAACCTATCCTCCTAACGAGCTTCCTATTCGCTCACCCAGGGCCAGGGATATTGCGACTCTTTATGTCTTTATTTCGGATCAGGACGCTCTAAATGGCTTACCAAGCTTCAACCCATCTTGCCTCAAATGGCAAGTACGTCACAAGCATATCGTTTGAGCTTCAAGTTCCTATACCTAATAGCCGATAACAGACTTTTCTCAAGCTAGCCGGAGTCGGTTTCCGAGTAATACCTTCGAATAACCACGCTTCGCCCAGCGGCGCATTGCCGTTCTTGATTCCTCCGTCGAGTCCAAACAGTTTTGTCGCATCTAGACCCATTCCGTCTACCAAGCTGGAGCAGTACGCGACTGAACACGGTACGCGCAAGCTCTCCGAGATATCGAGCCTGAAACTCGAAGCCTATGAGGCACTTCTCGACCACCGGATACGGAATGCGTGGCTCTATTCTCTATATCTATCCCGTCCAAATTCCGCCCTGCTTTCGCGCCTCTACATCACGCCGGTTTCTGCGTCGCACGTTGTGAAGACGACAATCTTATACCAGTTGCGCCACGCAGCAGAAGCAGAGATATCACGATCTATAGGCACGCTAGTTGTTAATTCAGAAAGGCTGTACGACGGTGCGAGGGAAGCATTTGAGGCCTTGTCGACGATGCTCGGTTCAGGCGATTGGTTCTTCGAGACGCCCGAGCCGAGTTTGTTCGACGCCGCAGTATTCAGCTACACCCACCTCTCACTCGACCAGGGGCTGAAGTGGGAGGATCGGAGACTTACCGAAATCGTAGGGGAGTTCTCGAATCTGGTCGAACACCGCAACAGAATATTACAGAGATGTTGGGGCTAGGACTTAACTTGAACAAAGCAACCCACAGTGGTTAGGTGTAATGAGGTGTACTGTATGGTATATGTAATCCTGTAATAAGCCACTATATGTTGGACTGATGCTTATACGAATTCACGAGATGTGGAGATAGACAAATAATATACCCGCTCGGAGTCTTAGCACTGCACCTTGAATGCCATGCATATAAGTGCGTGTGATAGAAATGGGAATCTTGCTAGCTCAGTACAAAAGGCTCATCCCTTAGTCGTTACATTAATACTTAGGTACCTTAGAGGTAAGTACGTATTGAAAGGCTTCCTAGACTACGTTACTGACTGTATCATTGACGGTGCTTTCCCGTGCCATAGACAACGTTTATAAGTCGAGAGTCCTCTAATTGCTAAGTTGGACTGTTAGTTGATATATGTTAGGGTTGCGAATGAAAACATCAAAAAAGGATAATTGGGTATTCGCAGGGTCGTCTCGGGGCGCTTTATCTAACCCCAATACCTTCATGCTTGCCTTACCTGTGTCTTAGTTATATTCCCCCTAGCCCCTATCTCCTTTGAAGGAGTAAACCAAGTTGACAAATTCAAACAGCAGCTTAGTATGGCAAAGCACTACCTACGCTCAGCTATAGTCGTGTTGATTACCTATCATAAGGCATATAATTTCTATTAGCCTTATATATTGAACTACGTCTACAAACTACGTAGGTGCCTTTAAGAGTATTGTTTGATACTAGATGTTTTTAATGCCACATGGACTCACAGCTAAGCAACGGACCATCACGTAGGGTGTTATGTTTGGAAAGAGCCTGCCGTTATGTTAAGATATATTCTGAAAACTAAATCCTATCTCACCACTTTTAGGAAAGTGGTATAGATACGTACTTCGCCAGCTAAAAAAGAATCATATCGCTCTCCTAAAAATACCGAAGCTGCTGTTTGCCTTTTTTTTAGGGTATATCAAAATAGTCGCCTGTACTCCCACTGCGTACCAAGAACATCACACCTCCAAAGAAGCCCCCTGAGTGAGCACCGTGCACTCATTTTGACCCGGAGCCTGTACTATTATTGTCTTGCGTCCCGGTGCTGTTGCTTTTCTTTGTCGATTTCGAGCTCCCCCCGGATGACCGCCAGGAATTATCAACGAGACTAAGCCCTCCGACCTTACGGTAAACTGTCTGAGAAAAAGGTCATATGAGTACACGCTTACCTTGGCCTTTCTTCTTGGAGTTTTTGGATCCCCCAGACGGAGTATAGTCATCGGGGGAATTGCTTGCGAACATCGTGGGATTGGTAGGTAGTAATAAAGTGGTAAGACTGGTAGGCTTTTGTGGGTATTTCTGCAGTATAGCAGGCAATGCCGTTGACCAGATGGTTGTTGTTGTGGGTGGTAGTGGTGGACGGGTTTGATCGAAAGCTTCAAGAAAGTTTTCGATGGATCGCTATATATACGTTATGGTTAGGGGAAAGAAAAAACGGTTTCCAAATTCCCTTAAATCAGAATTAGTTGTAAAACTGATTCAAAGCACTTGCACACTCGGCGAATGGGGATTGCCAGTTAATCTTGAGGTGTCTACACATGATCCGACATAATACACGAGAACCGATAACCGAAGCCCCTGACTCTGAACCTGACCACGCAAGCTTGAATCACACATACCGAAAACATTCTTTGCTGTAAGTGTGGCATACGGATTTAGAGAAATATCATCTATTAATCCCCCTACAAGAAGCATTTCCAACTTCCAGTTATAAAACATGATCGAGACTTGCTCAGTGTTTCCATAAGGTATTTATACATGGCCTGAACGTGATTCGGCTTAAAGACGGAATCATCACATTAGGTAAAGAAGAGAAATTAACCTCGTAAATTCAATACATCTCATACTCACACCTAGAGCCAGGGATTCCACCTTCGTATACTATGCAGTTTCTCAGCACTGCTTCCGCACACAGTAAGCCAGTCGTTCTTGCTCGCCTGCTGCCATTCGAAATCGTGGTCTTGCCCCGGACACCGGTAGCAATTCCAACCGTACGCCTCGGCGTACAGGTCTAGCAGTTCGTCTTTATGGAGCTTCTCCCACCCGTCTAGGCTGAGCACCACGCTCTCCTCCCAAGCGACTACTTCGAATATCGACGGGCCGGTCTGCCGAGAACACATTACGCAACACGCTCTTCTGGGCTTCGGCGATGGAGGCAAGGGGGGCAGAGGCTGTTTATGCAAGTGCTGCGACTCGTGGGTTAGACTTCCTAATTTGACCTCACTGGACGCGTTGTGGCGCTTCAGCCGATGTAGTTGGACGGCGACTCGTTTGGCCATTTGTACGTCCAGCACGAAGTGTTTCACCAAGGCCAGCCTTTGTATCCTGGGGAACGGTGGCCAGCGGTGCTGAGCTGCCAGTTCTGCCTTCTTATCCAAAGCCTGCCCAACGATAAGCAGAGGTCCCGGAGAGGGGACTGAGCAAGGTGGGAATCGAGGTTGCATACCATCTCATCTTGTAGTCTGTGCATCATTAGTTCCTCCCGAAGCAGAGCGTCTAGAGTTCTACGCCAATCGAATGTGATATCGAGACCGTCGTCTTCTACTTGTAGACCGACGATATCGGTGTCGTTGATAATATAGCCCCCTGCCATGCCCTGTTTCAAGATACCCTCGCCTAACCTGAGGTGCGCAACTCGGTTCTCAAAGCTATATTGGCTCCATAATGTCTGGATATCTCTTTTATTCAACGAATTCGTAATGGAGGCTCCCGAGGTCTGAAACCGAACGCGACTCGTTCCAAGGCGGCGGCTCGCGCAAGCGTCGTCAGACAGTTTATAATCGACTTGACATCGCGACCCCGAGTAGAGGGTGATTGTTAGCTTAGGGATCCAATATTGCCAGAAGTGGCGTTCGATACGGCGCATCTGTCTCCTTGCCATATGCCGTAAGGTGGTCCATTGATATGCAGGGTCCTGGTTATAGTCGTCTACCAAAAGGTCTAAGATCCGCTCGATCAACTCCAGGGGCAGCCTCTGCCAGAGATCTGCTGCCGGGGTCATTCTGGGCTATCTGATTTTGGAAGACGAATCAACTGAGACCATACTAATTATCAAAATGCCCCGGAATTCTCCAGCTAAGAGCGTGCGGTGATGATATATACCAGCTCTCTACGGGACTTTATACCCACCATCATAAGCCATTGGTTACGTACTATATAGAAGCTTTTTACAAGCATGTCGGTATTTATCCAGAGACTAGGATCGACCAGGCCTCTCCAGCTAGGAGTCAAACATATGACATCCATCCATCCGTCCGCCTTCCCTTGGATACCTGGCGCTGGAATATTGGACACATGTTTGCGTAAAACGGCGAGTTGCCAAAATCCCAGGTTACATCAATGACGACGGAGTCGCGACTTGGAGTAGCTAATGCTGGATCGGTTATATAAAATTCCACCGAGCCAACGAGTCGATATCGGGGTGTGTCGTACTGCTTCTGACCACCCGGTAGATCGGCCCGTTTGCGTTGGCTATGCTTCCCCAAATAGAGGAGGTGCTCAACTTATTCATTCCCAAACCCACATATAATAGTCCCGAGAAATTTCGACCAGAGATCCTTCTTTTCCCTCTATATGCGACTAATCTGACCCGATTGTTCGAATTGCTTCATTCTCAGCGGCTGCGTCGCTTCGCACCAGCGTCCATGAGACCAGGGGAGTCTTGAATGATCAAGGGTAGATCGTGGGCGTCCCACTCTTCGAGTTTTGGGTGTCATTTTCGGGTCAGATCGTAAGGCGAATGGGTGAATTCGCTAAAACATACAGGATACTAAATCAGATTATATGATCTGCAGACCTTATAATATCACTTTTGATAGAGCTGATTATTCACTCCAACGCATTCTCGTAGCTTAGGATCATTATTATATATTATCAGTGTGGATCATGTAGCTCCGTTTTTATCTTCAAGCTCACATACACGAAGAGTTCTAGGTACTAGCAATCCAACTAGGCGACAAAGCTGAAGAATGCCCATCATCACATACATGCAGGACCCGGCTCTCTGGTCCTCTGCCAAAAAATATCGCAGCTGATTCCACTTTTTCCGCGAAAAGGATCTTCTGTGCTTGGTATATATAAGTTAAATATCATTTCATAACCATTGATACGCTTTGTTTTCGCGTCTTTAACTATTTAATCAGGGCATAAATCATCATAATGTGTTGTTTCGTCGTTAAGTTAGACTTTCGGGGGAGTCGTAGAATCGTAATATACATCGTCGTACCTGTTTCTGTTGCCTTGTCTATGTTTGCTCTGTTGTATGTGGGCAATGCTCGAGTCCCCTTTTGCTCGAGTTAACTCCCTCGCCGTACGCCAAAACCTTGCCGGGTAGGTAAGTTCTTTTTCATGAATTAGAATTTAGTCCCGATTCCTTTTAATTTTTTCATCTTCTCATTATTATCTCAATCCGGCCATCGCAACATTATGCATGGACTTGACGTCGTAATCAAGGTCGTGCCGACTGTCTTGGGGATTATCTCGAGGTCTTACGCTGGCCTGTGAGCCGGGCCTCGGTCTTCGAGAGCTTAAACTTGAATTTGAAAATCTCCTGTGTCTCCTCCCTTCCCGTTCGTATCTCGTCTCTCCAATTGTGCTTGCTGATTCGGATGGCGGGATACTTTCGGAGGCGCTGAACTGTGCTTCGTCGCCGTCGATTACGGACTGGGGAATGTTGGACATTCTCTTGTTCTCTGCTTGGTTCGCCCTGTGACGCTTGTACTCTTCTAGCGCCCTCCTTAAAATTTGACGCATGAAGGCCTTATTGACGTTCCTCCTCACGCGGTCGAAATAACGCACCACATCACCAATTACCATGACTTGAGCATCGTGGTCGACATCGACGATATCGGCATAGTTGGCACGGGAGTCCTCTTTCACGCGGAGCTTTCCGGGGCGCAGTTCGATTCCTATGGGGGAATACGGCAGGCGTTGTCCTACACCGCCCTGGTCGAGGCCTGGGGTCGGATCACCGTTGGCGAAGACGTATCCTTGCTGAAAATGGTCAATTCCTGGCTTGGCAAACTCATGTTTGCCTCCCACGGAAATAGGTCTGATTGAGGTCACGGTCAGTCAACTATTGATGAAACCGATCCCTTGTGAAGCTAACTCGCTTGCGATTCTGTGCTTTACGTGCAAACACTCGAGTGGTTCAAAAGGGAGTTCGTGATATCGGCGAAATTGGGAGGATGAGAGTGAGAGCAGTGCTGGTGAACCAAAAATCAATTAGGGTCGATTTTTACTTACATGCAAGCGCAATGGTGAGGAAAGGTATCGCTATGGCGCAAAACAATGAAGCGAGTATATCCGAGACATTTCCATTCCCACTCGAACTCTGGAGAGTCGGCCCAAAGGAATTCGAACACCTAGAAATGCGAGATTTAGCACATCTATCCCAGAAACTCTTTTTTTTTTTTTACGTTTTAAAGTAAATTTAGGGTGAGAACTCACGTCGCCGATTTGCAATTTGGACGCGGGCCCAATATCGTATCCCTTAAGGGCTGCGGAATAAAACGTCAGCGACACATATTTTTTTCACATATCCAAAATGAACGGGCTCGCACCGGGGAACGGTGAAAATCATAGAATTGTTTTGGTTGTCCATAACTACAAATCAAACTTACTCAGCGGATGAGCATCTGGCCCGTCCCGCGGCCCCTCGGACGCATCGTCCCCATAGCCTGAGTCACTTCTAATAGTAGCTTGATCGCGGGGTCCCATCTCTGACGAGAGAGAAGAGAAGCCAGAAGAAAGGGAAGAAAAGAGGGAAGGGGGCATTAAGAAGGAGGGCCGATTTCGTTCGGAATTATATTAGGGAATTACGGGAGGGAGGGAGAAGAAGAAACAGTAATCGGGGGAGGGGAGTTTTTTCTTGCTAGTATATGCTTAGCACGTGTTGATGGTGAATGAAACCCCTTATTATTTGTCGGAATGTCTAAGCGGTGATGCTGCCCAACTCCATCAACTCCACCAGAGATGCATTTCGCCTGTAGTTGTCAATGGCCACAGCTCACGATGAGGCTCCACTGCCTGCCGATATCCTAGTTAAGCGGTACATAGGGTCAGCCCAGATCACAAGGGGGACAACGGACGCCGGGGGTGAGGCGGCGAAGTGGATCCTGAAGCCCTTCAGTTAGCCAGAGAAAATCGACCACATTGTCACCGCCATTTGGCTCCCACCAACTCCTACCCGTTTCTTGAGATAAGAGAAATTTCACCAGCCATGCAATAGGTGAGACGCGTCCCCTTCACTCCTCTTCACTCCCCTTCCCTTGCAACGCCATACCCCCTCTCTTCCGCCTTAGCTCTGGAACATTCCTCCTTGATCGGGTCTGGCGTGTCCGATAGCCGCCTATGGACTCGAAGAGAAATCTGGAAAATCTGGGCTTTCCCGGCCCGCTGCGGGGTGTTCGATTCCACTTGGTTACTAACTTTCTGCATTTTCTATTTCCTCGCCCACAACGGACGCGGTTCCATGATGCGATGCGAAGCACGAACCCGCGATTGCGGTACACACTGACGTCAAAACGAACCAACAATTAATCGGCTCCAACGAGAAACGGAAGAGCCGATTGTAGGTGGCGGGCTACTATGTGCACTGCACTCTTGGAACCCACCCCAGCCTCCTCAGCGGAGCTCTCTTGGTGAAGCCCCGTGATGTCGGGCCCGGTGCGCGACAACGTGGACAGACACATCACAAAGACAAGTCCGTATAAAAAGCGTGACCTGATGCGCCACCCTTCGCGAAATCATGCCCTGTGGCTATAACCGGATCGGTCCCTGCATAGCAGCAGCATCGTTATTTGTGATATTTTTATTCATCAAATCTGGTTCAGGCTTGTGTGTAGATGGCTTCATAGGGGTCTGATTAAGATGCATTATCGATCACTGCCTCCCAGGAGTATTATTGAAAATGAGTTCTCATCGTCTGGTTGTTTTTGGTAATTTGTGCATGCAGACGACTATTAAAGAGGCAATGGCAGGTTAGATCTCTAAAAGTAGTATGGACTAGCAGTCTGGAACTCGCCGATGCAGCATTATCGTACCATTTTGTCCAACTTTTAGTCTATTTCTGTTAATGCATTGTACGGAATGTCAACGCCAGGCGACATAGGTTTACGTGAGTCACCCACATCCATCCATCGTCACCCTTTTCGCCCTTTTCGTGTAGGATGCTCTTTACGACGACACGTAGGGTTTGGCGTTAGGCGATAAATTCTAAGAATAGGAAGTCGTACCTAGTATAATACTTGCTTGTGATCAACAATCTTGACGCGAGAAATACCGACGATCATTGTATTTTCCTAATGTTCCGTGTTCCAATGCGTCCCACAACGACCCATTGAATGCATTAGGTATCTGCCCAACCTAAGGTAAGGTACATTAAGCAGCATATCGTATATATACTGGCAAAAGAGACAAGTGATGCTAATGCATTATCCATTCACAAATACCTATCATGTGTTACCATCAAGGTGAACATACCAGGTAGGTAGCTTGTAAGCTAGGCCAGCTTAAAGGTAGCCAGATTAGCTCGTATCTGCGGCTAGTCCGCTTCACTATTATAAAAACTGCCTATTCGTGTATATTGGGTGCCTTACTTAGGGGTCCGATTTGCACGGAACCAGAGAAGCATACAGAATGGAACCGGGAGTTCAGAGAGGACGGGGAAAGGAACTGAATCCCCCTCTCTTGGCTTTGCACAAATAGTTCTTACCATGTACCTACATAGCAGAAATGCAGTTAGCACTCTGCGGCACGTGAGGCTGGAGTTTCTATGGGGTCGATTATGTTTGCATCTTGCAGGAATTCGAAGACGTGAGTTGTGGAGACAATGATGCATGTTAGAAATCATTTATGTCAGAAAATATTTCCCGATACTTGCTAGGTACGCTTGGTTTGGGTAGCGAGAAAGCTGATTTAGGTTTTTTAGGAAGATCCGAAAATAACTCATCCTTGGATTTCACTTTTTGTGAACGAACTATAGTACTCTCAGCGTAAATGCTTATGTATTAACGACTCCAACGCTTAGGAGGACGTATCCACCGGAGACATCCGTCTAGTTTTTCTATCATATTACCCAGTAAAATGGAAGAACATATGGAGAGAGTTATATATATCAGTAAGAAGTACTATGTTTATCTTGGCAATTAAGAAAATTTTAGTTAATGGGGATGTTCAACCATCCACTCCAACCCAGCAGTCGCCTTAAGTCAGGTACATAACTATCACCATATGTTCTCGTTGTTAGGTATCCTATCAGGTTGCCAGTTTGGAGCTTTCGTGTCTAAGTCAAGTTCAAGTTTATCTCAGAGCAGTGAAGGTGTTTCCCTACCGCTTGGTTTCATCTCGTGCTGCTACCTAACTAGAGAAAACCTATTCTATCATCCAAGTTTATATGATCTCTTTCTCGTACCTCTCGTACTTCTCGTATTTCTCTAGCCTTAATGCCTAATATGAGTTTTACAGGATAGAGACTTTTCTCGGAGCGTTTTGCTAGATATTTACTTAGGTTAGGTTAGGTTAGGTACTTGTCATCAAAACCATAGACGAAACCGAGACGAAGTCAAGTCTGCTCCTCCCTATCAGCGTGATGGCTGTCGCGAAAGGTTATGAATACTAGGTACCTCCCTGGTATGGAGGTAGCATGTTCAATCATACTATTGCCAGCGTAGATTACCCCAGACAAGCCAACCAAATACCCCTGGCTTCGATTTAAATCTCCGAGACTTTTTTTTTAATTAACGAGATCTCTTCGGCATTACCCCTGGCTTCCCCAGAGAACGCCAGGAGTTGATCCAGCACCGGTGGTTCCCGACCCACTCAATCCGGGGGACCACCCCTATCTCGTCTATCACCAAGGAAATCCTCTCGCTACTGTGTCTAACCACCAAGCAACATGCGGCTTGTGGGTTTGGGCAGCGGGCCCTCTTATTTCCCACCTCCTTGTCCTGTTTCGCCACCTTATACTCAATAAAGCTGCCAGTGCTAGGCTACGACGACGAAGACCCGCGCATGAAGTGTAACCAGAACCTATGGGGCCAGGGGGCAATTATAGGATATATGGTAGACCTTCGAGGACCTGTAAGTAGCAGCAGTCTGCTAAATCCTATTTCCGCGCCACACTCCCTTCACGAGAACCACGCCGCTGTGGAAGGATGACCTTGCTTCCCAAATTTGAATGGGAGAAATTGCTTCAGACGTTTAGTCTCTTTCATCTTGACAGTGGTTCATTAGCGATGGTGCGATGAATGGGACGGCAATGGGAGGCGCTAGTTCGAGGTTTGGGAGCCAAACAGGACATGAATCAAAGGTTGGAATGAGATGGGGGTTCTCCAGTAAATACGGCGCAGAGGTGGACCTCGCAACCGAAGACTGGTGGTGGCAAGACCACGTATTCTGCCACCTTGAAGGTGCCTAGAATGTCGCCGTTCCGAACCTGAAGCTTGGCCACTATTTGGTTCGACACGGGACTATCGACCTTAAGGTGAGTCTGCAGATCTACTTCGAGTGTGCCCATTATTGGAGACGGTGATGCCACCACACCCCCCAATCCGAGGATTACCTCGTTGAATTCCCCGGTGCCTATCACGGGTGCCGGGTGGCGAGTAGATTATATGTTCAGCTAATCGGATGCCGTTTGTTTGTAAGCATTGAGATCTTCTTTTTTTTTTTTTTTTTTCCTATGTTGTAAGTTATCTCTTTAATAATCAATCCTTTTCTTCCCATCATGGCGTGACTCAGAAGGTGTTACCATTACTTCGTTAGCGCACTATGCTTTCCTAACGCCAATATATTCAAATATATGCCGCCTCTAGAGCACAATAATCTACAAAGGAAGTCTTTCATGCTTATAACTCTTCTTTCCTTCGCCTTCGCCATAAGCTGCCGTAACATGACCTTGGCCTCGGATCTTGTATTTGTAGATCATCAGGCCTTCCAAGCCCACAGGACCTCGGGAATGGATTTTATTCGTGCTGATGCCGACTTCTGTCCCGAAACCGTACCTCATACCATCAGCAAAGCGAGTTGAGGCATTCCAGTACACGCCTGCGGCATCTACGCTCGACATAAACTGCTCTGCGAGTTCGGACGAGCTGGTTAATATTACGTCTGTATGCTTGGAACCATGGGTGTTGATATGGGCAATTGCTTCGTGGATGTCTGCAACTGCCTTGACTGCGAGCGTAAGGCTAAGAAATTCAGTATCGTAGTCAGCGCTTTGGGCGTCCTCGATCTTTGTAGAAACATCAGAAGATATCTTGCCGGAAAGCGCCGCTTTGGTCTTGGTATCACAACGTAAGACGACGTCTTTTGCAATTAGGGCCTCAGCTACCGGGGGGAGAAGTGTGTTCAGAGCGGATTCCTGCACCAATAATGTTTCCAAGCTGTTGCACGCCGCGGGATAACTGGTCTTGGAGTCAACGATTACATCTGCTGCCATCTTGGGGTCTGCCGATTGCTCGAGGAAGATAGAGCACAAGCCGTCGGCATGACCGAGTACCGGAATCTTGGTGGATGATTTGATATATCGGACCAATTCGTTCGAGCCCCGGGGTATCACAAGATCGATGTATTGGTCTAGATCTAGCAGCTGAGGTATTACATCTCTTGTGGTGACTAGTTGGACGGCTCCGTTAGGGACCTCGGTTTTGTCTAGAGCTGCAGATATGGCCTTTGAAATAGCAACGAATGATTCTGTTGATTCTTTGCCGCCTTTCAAGATAGCAGCATTGCCTGATTTTACGGCAAGGGAGGCAATATTAGCAATAACCTCAGGCCGCGCCTCAAAGATGATCAGGAGAACACCAATAGGGCAGGTGACTCTTGTCAACTCCAGTCCATCATCGAGCTTTGTTCTTAAGGTAATCTTGCCGACTTCAACGCGATCAATTAGTTTACTGCATATTTAGTCTAACAGTCCAATTGTACTAGATTGGTGACTCACCAGGGTCGTCGAGGTCTCGAACGTCCAGTATCCCTTTCAGCATATCTTCCCATTTCCCTTTCTTACCGAGGTCTAACCTCGATACCAAACTTTGACTAAGTTGGCCATGCTCTGCTGCTAGGCGTGCAGCTTCTAGATCACGAGCATTGGCGGCAAGTATGTCATCCTTAGCAGCGATTAAGCTCGTGTGAATAGCCGTTAAGGCGTCATTTCTTGCAGATTCAGATAAAGTGGCGAGAATGTGGGATGCTTCCTTTGCCGATTTGGCAGCTTCCGAAGGAGATGCGTTTGTGAGAGACATTGTACCTAGGTAGTATTAGGTATAATTGAGGAATGTGGAATGTGTCTATATTCGGAAAAGTATTATCAAAACATTGCATTGTTGAAAGTATCGTCGAAGGTACCTAACCTAACCTAACCTAGCCTAATTAACAGAATCATGGCGTAGAGAGAATAATGTGTGGCGCTTGTTAACGCCCTCTGCGCCCTACATGTATTAGTTTGAGCTACATACCCCACAGTTACTAGATGAGGTACTTTCATACTATGTACAACATTGAACCCAAGACTTTGGATCGGGGGTTTACAACTTGCTTCCGTGCAACCCAATTCAAACATCGTCACCTAATGGGAAATACCATGCCAACATCTAGTAACATATCAAGTTAAAAACTTACTGCACAAGAGCAGATATACACCTTCAAAGTTGCGGAGCTTTCCAGGTGCGATAGCCGATAGGAATTCACCTTCCGAATAAACAGGCCAATTCTTATAAGGGTCATCATTAAGCATCGGGTAGATGTTGAAAGCTTTGATACGCCCATAGATAGCCGATCTACCGTATAGATATGCAGCACTTACATATCTCTTCGGATATAACCAGAACCTGTTTCTCCGGCATAAGATTCATCCAATTAGATTTCGCAACAATGCGGCGGCATGAAGCAAAATGATCTAGGAAACCCCCAGATGAAATAATTCAACTTCAAGTGGCCAACTATGGTTCTGCCAAACAATCATTTGTATCACTGTTGTCTTTCCATATACGGATATAAGTCCTTGGTATACGTTATGGATCTAGGCGATGGGCTTTTACCAACTATGGTCTGGCGCATCGGAAGCCGTACCCGAACGGAATCACCAACCGAACAGGACCCTCAGTCGTGATCTCGGGTTTGTCGGCATTGGACTTGCAATGCACTACAATTCCCGTTTTTTTGCTGATTTTTCCCCACACAAAATTAAAGTAGCAAATCATTCAGCCATGTCAACAGACAAAGCTCATCGCTAAGGTCTTTTTTTTACTTAACCCCCTGACAGTTGCCTTTTCTAATATTCATGTTGTTCTGCTCATCTATTATTATCAGCCTCAAACCTCTCCACAAGCAATTCCCATTATCATAGCTACCTACCTAAGTGCCAGGTACCTTACCTATGTACCTATCTTCTAATTCCCATACACGTTGGTAGAAAAGCCTCCACCACCAAGGGGCTTTCTGATATCTCGATAACCATTGCCCCTTAAGTCTTTTGTTCTTTTATATATACCTACCTTATATACTCGACTCCACCGATATCGGCTATCAGTTATTACTAGCTTAATGCCCACATACCGCTAAGTGCCACTGCCTTAACGAGCAAAAAAAAAAAAATGAATATGCATGTCGACCCAGAAAAGATGGACGAGAAAGCAGAGGACACTAAGTCAACGGGAGCGCGCCTAGAAGATAAAGATGAAGATGCTGCAGAGTCTATAACCACTTCTAACGGTGACGTGGAAGAGGAATCTATAGACGCCGTTCCTGTTCAGCTATTCACTCCAAATGGCATGTCGGTAGATGAAGAGGCCGCGGCTACCGTACCAACGGAGCGAGCCAGGTCGCAAGCGTCATCTGCTCGATCTAAACCATTGTCTGTAGTGCCAAGATTGAAACGACGAGGTTTCCTCGCGCAGTTGACTCTCATCCCAGAGGTCGAACGACCTCGCGATTATCCAAACAAGGTGAAGTGGACGATAACGGTCTTCATAGCTTTGGCAGCGTGTGCGGCGCCAATGGGGTCTGCCATTTTTTATCGTAAGCATATAAATACCTTCCATTATAGTGTAGCACGAACCCCCTTCAGCCAACGTGAACTAGAGGACTCACCTGATCATATTAGCTGCCCTTCCGGAAATGTCGAAGGATCTCGGTGCCTCACCGACAGTCGTAAATTTGACGGTAGCATTATACATGTTAGCAATGTCAATATTCCCTCTCTGGTGGAGTTCTTTCTCCGAGACTCTAGGCCGCCGTAATATCTATCTTTCGTCCTTCTTCTTAAACGTGGTCTTCTCGCTACTGAGTGGCCTAAGTGTCAACATTAGCATGTTGATTGTGTTTCGTATCCTCTCGGGCGGAGCTGCCGCCTCCGTCCAAGCCGTTGGTGCCGGCACGATTGCCGATTGCTGGGAACCCCGAGAACGTGGCCGTGCTATGGGGTATTTCTACCTTGGGCCACTTATGGGACCCCTATTATCTCCGATCATAGGCGGCGCTCTCACGGAGGGGTTTGGTTGGAGAAGTACCATGTGGTTCCTAACTGTTTATGGGGCTGTTGTTTTTATCCTCGTCCTGTTTTGCCTGCCGGAGACCTTGGCAAAGCGTAAGCCAGCGGTTGCGACTGAAGCATCTCATCCTGACGGCCTGTCGCGCGTTTCTACTACGCGCTCCGTGCAGGTGCGCACTAAGCAGGCACTCGCGCAGTTTAAGAAGTGCTTCGTCGACCCTCTTGAGATAATTATGTACCTGCGTTTCCCCGCTGTGGCAACTACGGTGTTTTATGCTGCGGTTACTTTTGGGTCCCTGTACATACTTAACATATCTCTTCAGTCGGCATTCTCTTCGGCCCCGTATGGTTATTCGGCCATAATCATAGGGCTTTTGTACCTGCCAAGCTCGCTAGGTTACTTTGCAGCGTCACTGCTTGGCGGGCGATGGATCGACCGGATCATGGTCCGGGCAGCGGAGAAGGCCCAGAGATATGACGCCAATGGGAAGCTCATATATCTACCCGAAGATCGCATGCGCGAGAATGCATGGATCTCTGCCACACTGTATCCCGGGGCGCTAATTTGGTCTGGCTGGACATTACAATACGGAATTCACTGGATGGCACCGTCCGTAGCCAACTTCTTTTTCGGTGTTGGCAGCATGCTCGTCTTTAGCGCTGCCACCACTATGCTTACCGAATTCATGCCGCGAAGAAGTAGCAGTGGTGTTGCTCTTAACAACTTTGTGCGAAACATATTCAGCTGCGTGGGCGGTATAGTTGGCCAGCCTCTCATAGACGCCATGGGCGTTGGGTGGCTGATGACTATGGTGGGCTTGATCGGATGGGTGAGTGGCAACCTTGCGATCTGGCTCCTCGGAAAGAACAGTCGGAAATGGAGAGAGCAGATGGATAAGGCTCTGAGTAAATGAGCCCGATAATGATCTTGGATTATTTAGCCAGAGCGAGCTTAGAAGGCCCTGTTGATGACATAACGAGACAATGTAGATGACGATGACGATGGAATTTTTTTTGGAGCATATAGGTTGGGGTAGAGTATCATATTTAGTCGCAAAGTGTTATTTTTGGTATATAACCAATTGTTACCGAGGTCCATTCGCTTTGGCCCCAGGATACGAAAATATACGAAAATTTAATGTAAACATTTATTTGCTAATATTCGAAGAAGCAAAGTCTTCATATCTACTTAGCGACTTCAGAATTCTCAGAAAATAGCTTGCCCAAAGCCTCCAAACTAACATTCCCTCCGCTAAACACGATGCCCACATCCCAGCCGTCCTCACCAGCCTCCCTCTCGACCATGGCCCTGAAGTCCTCATTGTACAAGGCGACGGCGAGCGGGACGGCGGAGCTGGGCTCGACGACGACCTTGAGGCGCTCGTAGGCGAGCCGCAAGGCGCGGATGATCTCGGCTTCGCTGACGCTGTAAAAGCCGGCCACGAGGCGGCGCTCGTAGATGACCGACCAAGGCACGCGGCCGAGCGGCGTCCGCAGGCCGTCGGCGACCGTCAGCGAGGACACGGCCTCCACGCGCACGCCCGACTCGTATCCCCGCTTCGCGTCGTCGGCGCCCTGGAACGACGGCTCCGATCCGAAGACTCGGATCCCCGTGCCTTCGCAGGAGAGGGCTACGCCGGAGAGCACTGTCGGGTGTTAGTGTTGTTGAGTACTTAACCTAAAGTACCTGTCATAATGGTTCTTTGTAAGGGGGGGAGAATTGTAATAAGTATGCCTCCCGGATAGCAGGATTGTTGTGGGAGAGAGGCAATCAAATATACGACCACTTACTACCACCACCGCCGCAAGGAGCAATAATAGCATCAAGCCCCTTCCTCTTCTTCCTCGTCGTCTCCCCCCCCTTCTCCCCAGTCGTCTTCTCCTTCTCATGCTCCTCGGCAATCATAGCCTCGACCTGCTCCTGGAACTCGAGGCCGAGGGTTCCCTGGCCCAATATGATGTCCGGGTGGTCGTAGGGGGGCACGAGGCGCGCGCCGGTGTCCTCGATGACCTTCGTGGTGACGGCTTCCCGCTCGACGCTCGTGCTGCCGCTGAACACCACCTTCGCACCATACCCCTTCGTCGCGGCGATCTTGGGCGGCGCCGAGATCGACGGCATCACGATGTACGCGTGGATGCCGTTAGCTCGGGCCGCGAGGGAGAGAGCTTGCGCGTGGTTTCCTTTAGGAGGTTAGGTATCTCAAATCAACTACCCCCGTGGAAGATACGTGATGAAAGTATTCCTTAGGTATTCTTAGAGGAGATAGAAAGCTTTCTTTTGAATGACAAGATATGTAGGTAGGTAGGTAGGTATGTTTTCCGCCGTCAAATGCGAAACTGGCAGCATAGAAGAAGAAGAGAATAAATAAATAAAAATTCACACGAACCAGAGCTATGCGTAACAACCCCCTTCTTCGCCCCTCCCCCCTCCAACCAGCCCGGCTCCCGCTTCAACCTCTCGACGGCGTGGAACGCGCCGCGGGCCTTGAACGCGCCCACCTTCTGGAAGTTCTCGCACTTGAACCAGAGCCTCAGCTTTGGTTTCGCCTTTGGTTTCGCTTTTCCTCCCCCTGCTCCTGCTCCTGCCTCTCCTTCCGACTCCGGGCCCGGGCCCGCGCCCGCGCCCACGTCGGAAGCTAGCGCCGACAGCGACGAGCTCGTAATCACCGGCGTCCGGTGCACGAACGGCTTGATGAGCTCCCTCGCCGCTGCTACGGATTCCCGCGTCAGGGGCGGCGACGTAGATGGGTCCGCCATGGTAGGACTTCTTACACCTTATTCCTTATTTGTGGAATTGGTCTAGTTTGAGACTGGTGGAGGATTGTTTAATAACTACCCCCTAAAACAGCAAGAGGGGGGAGTACCTAATAAGAGGCTGGTTCAAAGAGTGAATGAATGCAAGTCTTATACTATGAAAAGTGTATAGCACGTCAATCAGAACCCAGATACTCCCACCAGTTACTACGTACCTACCTAGGTATGTAAGGTAGGTAACTAACGGGATTATACTAAAAGTGGAAACGACTAAGTGAATGCCTAAGGCTGGCCAAGCCGCGAGACTTCATCCAGTCAAAAATCTACGATTTGTTATTGAGGGTCCGATAACGGAGAAGAAACCACTCGAGAGGATCCGCAAGGAGTAAAAACAGTCCGATGGATGGCAACTGATTTCAAAAAAGCTTCATTGATGATCCGACTAGGAACAGTTTTTTGGGGGGGAAATATCCGCAGATCTTCGCGAGACAATGTTGGGGAAAATCCCAAATATAAGTACAAATGCTCTCTTTCTCCCTCTCTCTCCCTTTGCCCCCGGGGGAATATGCTACCACCTTTTTAATTTTACCGTCCGATACCTGCTCTGAATTTAACGCCAAATGCACTTATTTTTGGTTTTCGGGTCGGAGAGATCTGTGAGAATAAAGTGATTAGTTATTGACAATAGTAACACAAAGTCAAGACTCTTCAAGAGTCCCTAGTGAGTGATTCTTACCTCACAGCCTTTCCGGCCTTCCAGATCTCCATGTTGCGGATCTCATCCATCTCAGCCTCGAACTTCTGTCGGTAATCCTTCTGGCCGTTGTACTCGAGCGATCGCTTGGTCTCGGTACCATCTCGAACGGAGTCGTACAGCTGGTTGAAGACGGGCTTCAGGGCGTCCTTGAATCGGGGGGTCCAGTCAATGGCACCTCGTCGAGCGGTAGTAGAGCAAGCCTCGTACATCCAGTCCATGCCGTTGGCACCAATCAGGGGGTATAAGCTCTGGGTAGCCTCCTCGACGGTCTCGTTGAAGGCCTCGCTGGGGCTGTGGCCACGCTCCCGGAGAACCTCGTATTGAGCCAGGAACATACCGTGGATACCACCCATCAGGCAGCCACGCTCACCGTACAGGTCGGAGTACACCTCCTTTTCGAAGGTGGTCTTGTAGAGGTAACCACTGCCGACGGCAACACCGAGGGCCTGGGCCTTCTCCTCGGCCTTACCAGTGACATCCTGGTAGACGGCGTAGGAGGAGTTGATACCACGGCCCTCGCGGAAGAGAGATCGAACGGTTCGGCCAGAGCCCTTAGGGGCAACAAGGATGACGTCAATATCCTTGGGGACATCGACCTTGGTGATATCCTTGAAGACGGGAGAGAAACCGTGGGAGAAGTACAGGGTCTGTAGTGTTAATTAAATTATTGGTTCCCAGAATCGGCGAATCATATTAGCATACCTTTCCCTTGGTAAGCTGGGGCTTGATGGCGGGCCAGGTCTCGCTCTGGGCAGCATCACTGAGAAGGTTCATGATGATGGTACCCTTGGAGATAGCCTCGTCGACCTCGAAGAGGTTCTTGCCGGGAACCCAGCCATCCTGCTCAGCATCCTTCCACGATTGGCCGTTCTTCCTGACACCAATGATGACGTTCAGGCCGTTGTCACGGAGGTTAAGGCCCTGACCGTGACCCTGAGAACCGTAGCCGATGAGGGCGAGGGTGTCGTTCTTGAAGTAGTCCTTTACATAACATTAGCTGTTGTCACTAATTTTGTCTAGGTTTAAATTTTAAGAAGGACTTACCAAGAGCTTCTCCTTGGGCCAGTCGGCACGCTCTATAAAGTATGTGTTAGTAGCCGTGACCTATATATAGGTAATATATAAAAATATATATAATATTTCTTCTATATAGGCTTTTAGTTAACCTACCATAAACCTCCTCCGGGGTTCCAGCGAAGTCAATGGTCTTGACACCGCGAACCTGCTGCTGAACAGCACCAGCCAAAGCAGGGCGAGCCTTGACAGTAGCCCTGGCGATGTTGGAGGCAGCAACGAAAGATCGCTGCTGGACGGCGGGCGAAGCCACTCGACGGGCCAATTGGCTACGAAGAGCCTTGGAAAACCCTCTGGAAGCCATCGTGAAAAGTATGCTGAGTGGAGATTAAGGTGAGAAGAGGTATTAAGAAAAGAAAACTCAAGGGGGTATTTTCACGATGTCTATAAATGCGCTGTTGTTTCACAGATCAAAGTTTTTTTAACCCACGTTTTTTCTTTATTTTTAATTTTCCCAGGGTCTTGGGAGCTTCTGCAAAAAAAATAGCTTAAACTGCGACTTCGGCGGTGAGTCGAATCAATCCACTGCCCGCAGCCAATGGTGGGGTTAAATCGCCGGTCCGGTCAAGGCTAAAGCAGGCGCAGTGGTTTTATCGTACAAGTACAGATACTATTATAATAGGTACCTACAACTTACAAGTAGGCAATTGGACCCTAGTACTTCACATTGAAAAATAGGTATATCGATATCCCTAAGGCTTAGGCACTTTGAGGCCTGGGGAATACTATAGGTAGGTAGGTACCTAACGGTACCTATGCTAAACAAGCAAGGGGAAATTGCACTGCTTCAATAAGCGGTGACCTATAACCAAAACAGTACAATACAGCAAGTACTATAATGGAAAGTTCGTTATATTCATGTGTTAGTATCTTTATCTATCATGTTATTGTCGTCGGTCGTCCCATGGAAGGCATTGTGTCGGCTGCGAAATGATTTGCAGCCCCTTCCCCCCAGAAGGCCAACAGCACAGACGAAAAGACAGTTCCCCCTGATGCCTTCAAGTAAAATGCGGTCCCTCATAAAACGCCTTGCTATGTGCCGTCTGCAAAGCTAGTCTAAAGCTTATTTTCTTCGTCTCATCTTGTCCTCTTTGATTCTAGCTCGACCGGTTTGCGTAAGGTTTCTCATTGTGCCGGCTCGAGTATAACATATAACCCGACTGGACCGGACGAAACAACCTCATGTTCGCGCCAAATATTCCGTTGCTAAGCTCCTTACCTGATCCTGCCATCTTTACCTGGTGACAAGTACGCGGTCATATGCAACTCCACGTATCGAACCGCCACCCATGGAAACACGCACATTCCGTCGGAAGTTGTCTCGGCTTGAACGCAGATCGTCTGCAGCCTCCTTGTTGAGAGGATCCGAAGCGTTTGGCTCGAGAAATAGGAATTGCAGTCCGACAATAACGGCGTTGAGGTTGAGTACTGGTTTCCAATCCTCGCGCAGGATATTTAGACACACTTTACCCTCGAGGTCGATGTTGGGGTGGTAGATTTTCTGCTGGCAGCGCACCTTGGGAGGTTCGTGCGGGTAGTTGGGGCCCATAGTAAAGGTGAAGGTGAAGAGTCCGCCATGGTAGATGCCCTCGTCCGGCGTGATTTCGAGTACGAAGTTGAGGATATCATCGGGGTCGGGGAATACCGTTTTCATAGTCGATCCCAGGGATAATTCTGAGAGGTCTAAGTGAAGTTGAGAAAAAGCCCTTGTCAGTATACAGAGTTAAGTCAAACAACATTAACATAAAATAATGGGATATTGCCGGCTTACCCTTTTGTACTCGTAGTTGAGCAGGTGTAACTTTCTTCTTCTTCCCGGCTGCGCCATCAGCATTTTCTGCCTTCTGCTGGGCAGATTTCTGCAAATCAACCGTTAGTATATACCATTTGGTTAGATGGACCAATTCTCGCAACTTACCATAGACCATATCTTTAACATCGTGGGGGAGTTGTCGTAGGGTGGGTGGAGACGGATTTATTAATATGAGAGTTATACGGGGTATTAAAGACGGGCGAAAGGTGAGGAGTAATAGTAGGCTAGGTATGTACCTAGGTAGGTTAGGTAGACTTTTTGACGTTGACGAAGCGAAAGAGAGTATTGGAAGGGGCAGAATAAGACAAAAATAGAAGGCTCAGGCTCAGACTCGGGCATAAGTTTGGAATTAGAAGCCTCGCGTTGCCACGCTGGGCAGTTATGACCCACTCAAACGGCACTGTAAGACAACCGTATGACTTGGAGGTAGGAAGATAAGATGTATTGTACCAATGCAAAAAAAGGCCTTAAAAGGGGTACTTAAGTAGCACGTTCTCCCCCGAAGTATACTTCAAAGGAGGTACCTATATAGAACCAGAGCTAATACTGTAAAGTAGAATGAAAAAAAAGAAGAATCAGATTAATATATAAGAAATAAAGTTCTTTTTTTTAATTATAAATTTAAACTTAATCTATTTTATTGTCTCTGTACGTAATATTAGAAGCTGTAAAACGTATATAAAGTTACGAAGTATTGTTGAAAGAAGATGTTCGCACGTACAATACTTAATGTAATATCCGTATTATCTACTTATCGAGGCACGCCCCGCCGTTCTATCCCCTCCACCAAACTTCAAAGAGGACCCTTCAGCAAACGTTACCATTCTGGGAAACATTTCAAAATCACAAAATCACAAAACGAGGGAACCTTCCCAAGGGAATTGTTAAACTATCTATTTCTTTCTAGCTAGAGATTAAGCTTATCCTCGGATAACGTGCCAACGACCCTGTTGGGCCAACTATTTATACACTTTTTAAATCCCAGAATTGGTCCTGAGACCTAAGCCGATTGCTCATCTAAGGTTGCTTTCCTTTGCCTTGATAATAACACCAGGCTACCTAGGTACCTAACCACCCTCAAGTCCTGTTTGGTCCTTGTTTAGATCCTATCCTCAGGTATCCAACTCCTTCCTTTTTCCAACCCCATGTGATAGCCTGATGGGCTGCCAACAACTATTGTACAATGATACTCGACAGAGAAGGAAGACTGCCAGTATGGACGACTACTTTTATACAAGATGAAAAATGAAAAATGACAAAGGACAGAGAAGTGAAAAAACAGAAAGGAAAATATACCAGACAAGGAAAAACAAGGTCGTACTCGTACACCGAGATTTCGGCAAAAGATACAGGAGTATAAGACGCTTAAAACTCCAAAAACTCCAACGGAAACCAAACCGTGTTGTAGAAAAATTTTTGGGTTCGGACCTCCTTGCATAATAAATGAATGGTATCGCTTATTGCGATGAAAGTTAGGGTATTATCCGCATGCGCGCATAAGTACGGGAAAGACAAGCGGTCGATTTAGAATCCTTTAAACGGATCGTCTCGGAAGTAGTCTTCTTCTCCTATCCTACTTCCAGCATAGTGGGAATCTGTACCGCGTGTACCACGAGAAGCGTAGCTGTCCCGACGTCTACTTCGGCTGCGACGGCGACGAGCTTCTTTGCTCCGTCGCCGAGCTCTGTATCGCCATTCTTCTTGCTCGTCTGGGTGGTCATCAAATCTCGGGAATGTTAATGGGCTGATGAAGGCCTCCATCCGCACGGTACCGATCGCTTCGAAGAAATTACCTGGCGGCCGAGACGACGCTTCCGACGTTCGTTGGGAGCCGGCTGTGCTCATACCCCAGGTTATGTTGCTTGAGCCCTGTGATTGGTAGATATCAGACGAGCCCGCTGTACCCACGCTGTTGCCCGCGGTGCTGTTCGTCGAGGCATGGTAGGAGCTGCTATGACTCGCTGGTCCTGAAAAGCCTCGGAATGAGAGTGGCGGGGGTACGTGGCCGCCAGTGTTGCTTCTCTTACGACCGTGAAGGACAACCTGGTTTGCCCGCTCATGTACTCTTTCATGCGACCTTTCATGGAATCTCGGGATGAGGGGAGGTTCCGCAACCTCATACGATGGCTCACGCTGATGAGTGGGGATTGGAGGGAACGACTCCTGTTGGGCTGATAGAGCTTCCTCGAAATGATGAGTGGTTGGGATAGGGTCGTGGCGAGCCATCAAACCAGGGTTCCTTCCCTTCGTCAGCCTAATCGAGTCACGAATTCCCGATCTTTTTGCTTTAACTTGAGGCGCTTCAAAATCAGGCGCCGGGCCGATCTTTGGCGCGTTAGCTGTTGGGATGATCTCAGGCACATCCTGCTGCGAATGAGCTAGGAACGATAGTGATGTCAACCAAAGGTAGTGCCTTTCTGCCGTTGTAGCAGTAAATTTCAACGCTCTCTGAGGTGTTAAGATGAGGATAGAGCGGTTGAAGATCTGGGTGCTGCCTTTAGGTGGGGGGTTGTCGTCTTTTACATCAAGCACAGACTGTATGATCACTGTAATACGGTCAGCACTGTCTGAAATCTAGCGGTTTGGCAGTACTTACGCTTTCGGCCAGGTTTGCCCATCAATGCATTGCCATTTGCAGGCTGTTTGCTGCTCCACAGAATTGCACGTTCATAAGGCGCAAGCCATACCCATCGCTTGTGGCGGTCATTACTATTCTCATCCGCGCGGCCGGCGCCATCGGCCATACCGAATGACTTGCGCCTTCTAACGTACTTATACATCCACTCACCCACCATCGTCTGCGCGATAGCATCTACCACGCTAGATGACTGTTGGTTGTCGGCGGAGCCTGTGTTTGTATTTTCGGTATTTGCAGTATTGGTTGAGGGTTGAGACTTGTGACTACTACGGTACCGAGATCCCCGACGTTCGCGTCGAGGAGTGGTGATGTCGTTGGTTGGTAGTGGTGGGAGGCCTGGACTTTCAGGAGCCTCTTCGGAGGGAGACATTGGTGGTGGTGAACGGCTAGCATGTCTCCTGGATCTCTGGTTCTGGGGCAACGCTGCTGCTGAACGAGCTTTGCGAATGCTACTAGTTCTATACACACCAACTTTTCGGCCTCGGCGGGGCCAATGTTCTCCATTGTAGGTAGGGCTCCGCTGGCCATCGCTCGGGGCACTGGCGCTAAATGGTGGCTTCCTCGAGCTCGCTCTAGTGGGAATTGGGAACGGAGGGTCCCGCGATTCTAGCAGATCGGGACTTCGGGAAAGGACTTGGTGTGAAGCGATACCGCTCTGGATCAATGCCGATTTTCGCATAACACTAGCTCGGGAACCCATGGCGTACCCAAGTGATTTTCCGGTTGTTCCAGTGGCCACTCTGAGAGACGGTTTTCGTGATAGACCCTCCGGGGCGTCGGCAAGACGGAAATTACCGTTCAGTTCAGGACTTCCGATTTTGCTCGCAACACTCGTCGAATGTCTGGCAGCGGCTTTACCTTGCTCGGGAGAAGTTGGGGGTATACTTGGTGCTACTCGCTTGTTAGGTTTACTAGGGCCAGTTTTGGGTCTCGGGGCAAGTGCCGTACGATATTCGGAGTCGCTCTGGTCACCATCGAATTCGTCCTGTTCATCAGAGCTTTGGACATCGAAGCCGGCAAATAGACTGCTAATGCGGAGCGGTCGCCTAACGGGTGCTTTAGCACTGGATAATGGTCCATCATCGTTGTTGCCAGGGTATGCGTCTCGCGTTACTAGGTCGTCAACCGTTGGCGATTCCGGAGGCGAGGAAGGAAAGTCGGCGGAGAAGCTTCGCCGGTTACTTGTGAGGCGGCGCGGATTTCGTGGAGGAACGTGTCCGGGAACGGGTGTGAAACTCTTACTCTCATCGATCATTGTAGTAGTAGGGATAGTGATAGGGGAGGAAGGTCTTGAAGAAATCGCAGACGGATGAAGATGTGGTGGCAATTTGTCAAGTCGTTTGTCAACTCGGATCTCATCTGTTTGTACGGAAGCGGATCTCATGGGATTCGACTGTAAAATAGAAACCTGGCATCCAAAGTCTTTGACATACTGAGGTAAGAGGTGCTCATGCAGACTCGTTGGCCTGCTACCTGGGGGAACAATGCTAATACTCGGTATTGAAAGTGGCGCGGAGACCTGCTGAGGTTCAGGTGCGACGGGGTCTGTCTGAGTGGCAGCTGATATTAGAAGCGTAGCAGCGGCGGGCCTCGTTTCCACAACAACTGGCTGAGACATTGCTAGCAAAGGCGCCCTTTCTAAGGTCTGAGATGCAGCTGATACCATCTGCTTCGCCTTGGGAAGCTCCACTGGTACTTGCTTATTTAGAGATACCCTCTTCCGACTCTGATTTGCCTCAATCTCACCCTCAGCTCGACATAGACTTTCCAGGCCCAACTTCTCACTCTTCAAAGCAGGTTCCGGTGTTGCTGGCTTTGCCGGTACTACTTTAGGGGATGGAGGTGGTGAAAATTGGACACCCGTGTCAATATACTGTACCTTCTGAGATACCACAGAGTTCTCATCATCTTCGCGAATTCCACCCTCGAGCCTATCGAGTACAGTTTGGTTCATAAACAACCTACTTCGCACAATGCTACCTGGCCGCATCAAGCTATCATTGCTCTGGTTACGCCGATGAGACTTCGACATCATACTGTCTCGACTTTGGTTCCGGTTGTGTCTTGCGAACGAGATTATACTCTGGCGACCATCCGGATCCGTCTGGTAGTCATCGTCGTCGTCGAAGTTGAGCTCATCAGCAAGACTGTACCCATTCATCTTGCCAAAGCCGGGACCGCTCATCACTGAATAGCGAACGCTATTAGTCATGCTCATCGTTCGTACACTACTGCCATCGTTCTCCTTTTCGGTGTCACTCTCGAGTTTATCATGATTTCCGCTCATTTGCGATGCCTGCAAATTAGCAACCTCTTCTAGAACGACTCGAAGTCGTGTCTCAGCGACGTGTAGTCTCCGCTCATATCGGCGTTTTTCTTCGTCCCAGGCATCCTTTTCCTTAGCCCAAAGGTCATGGACTCTCTGAGAATCTTCTTCTTGCGTTCGGACTTTCTTCTGGGCAGCTTCGAGTCGCCTCCTAGTTTCGGTTATTGCGTCGACTGCTTCATCGCGTTCCTTCGCCAACTCGCCTATGGCCGATGAACTCCCTCCTTCGAGTAGGGATAATTGTCGTTTTAAAGATCTACTTTCCTTGGAGGTATTTGATAGGTTTGTCTGAAGAGCCTCATATTCCTCCTGAGTAGCATGTAGTGTGCTTTCGAGGCTTTCGATTATCTTAAGTTTCTCTTCCTGGTCCCTTCGTAAGGACAGGATCTCTGAAACTAGATTCGCATGAAGGGTAGGTGTAAATCGGCGAGGGTCAAGAATGCCGAAATTATCATCGGCTTTGACATCTTTCGAAGTTCGCTTGCTTTTCTTCTCCATCTTATCCAGTGGCAACGGAGGACGAGGAGAACCTGAACCACCAGGCGGAGTAGCAGAACGGCGCGACTTCCTTGAACTTCGTGAGGATGCCCGGTAAGGTCTATTATTGGGAGCTGGTGGTGATGCGGCCGCAACACTGCTCAACTCATCTTCGGTTTCCCATACGGCCATGTCTGCTGATATTCACGATCTAGCCCGGTTTCCCGGTCGAAGATAGTGGCGTCTATGAGACACAGAACAGAGCAGCAGAGCAAATCAACTCACGTCGACCCTAGATTTGCACTTCTTTTGTTCAATCTTAGAAAAGGGTCCAAACGCCAGGCTCCACAAACCAACCCCTGTTACCAGTGGGGTGATTTGTTCTGCGTGGGAGAGAGTGACGATGCGATGTGCGAGTGGGCTCTGCGTTTAATACAATTAAACTCCACAATTAGCACTATTCCTTGCAGAGGCATGGGATGCCAGGGATGGATGCGGGCTTGGACACTTTAAAGCATACCAGGCGTAATAAATGGTAAGTGATGGAAATTACCGATTCTAACTTGTAGTGTCATCCTCGGTCCAGTTATTTTACAGAGTATGATTCCATCGTATCTGTTACATTTGATCTTTATGCTTAGAACGATAAGCTCATGCAGCTTCAGATCTGCATCTAGCTCGAGAGATCAAGAGCAGACTCAATCATAAAAATGAGAGAAAAAGAAAGGGAAAAAAAGATCTGCGCTCACCTAAGCTCTTTTAGGTACGATTAAAAGTTTTAATAGTTTGTCCTGTACAGCTCTTGGACGAGTACCGACGATTGATAACGGCAAAGTCGAGTAAACATCAACGCATCATCCCTAGGCTTGACACATCGTTATAGAATCAGAAGCAGTATAGATACACTTCAGCCTCCTCAAGCCAATTAGACGAGGCTCGACGTGATGTATGCACATATGAAAAGATATACTGAAGCACACAACAATATAAGAAGACTAGTACCTATGGAAGACCACAATTAGCTATATTACGCCGCAACTAGTTGGGTTCTGATAGTTCCAAAGAAAAGACTATGGAGACCATAAGATCGGTGGTTCTCAACTTACAAAGATCCGAGATAAAAGTTTGTACAACGAAATGAAACGGTTTGTCAAGATATGCTAGTCAAAGAAGGGAAGTTCGCGCTTATGTGAATATAATCAAGAAAAATAAAATCGGAAGCATAGGCCGGCAGTCGTTGCGTTATGTCGGACATCCAAGGCGCTCGGTCGAATATGCACGAGTTGGGGTAATGGGTTTCCCCAGAGAACGCAAGGACAAGACAGGTAAGACAGAACGAATGGGCTGGCAGACGGTAGAACAAACCGAAAAAAGAAAAAAAAAAGGAGAGGATGTAGTGCGCGGTTTGCAACCGTACCGGATCGTCGTCGTAACTAAGACGGGATGGAAAAGCAAGATAGGGTGGTGGTGGAACAGGCTGACATCAAGATGCCAGAAGCAAAGAAAATAGCCTAACAACAAACCAGGTTCTAGCGTTGTATGTACGCTACGAAGTGATCCGTAATAAAAGCGCAAGAGGCAAGAAATGACCATACACGGAACATGGCCCGAGGGTTGGACGAAGCGGGATGTGCGTTACTAGGTCCTCTGCATATGTGGGGAGCAACGATAGAAGTTCAATCTCTTCTATATTCTGTCAAGTGCTTCTATGCCCGTAATAACCTCGTGTTCGCGAAGCCCAATCACCAACCCCAGACAAGCATTCTACAGCATCGCAGCCTATAAGGTTGCTTACTTACGAGGTGACGGGCAAGTGATAGATAGGTACCTATGCTTGACAAGATTATCAGGGGTTAAAATTTTGACCAAGCGGTTCCAAATCCGTGGAATAAGGAATAAGGAATAAGCAGGCAGGCAGGTGCTAAAAATCAAGAACGATATTGTACAATATAATATCGGACGGGGACTCCCCTGAATGTACACTAATATGGAACTGTCGCTCCATGGCCCGCTGTAATAGCTTGGTTTCTTGGCATGTACACTACCGCAGCGAGGCCATGCCGTTTCTAGGGAGTTTAGAACCGCGACCTGAACCGGGAGGCGGGGCTTAAACTGTAAAGGGATGGCAATATAGAGGCTACCGTCGAAGTAGCAAAGTAGTACGGAATACATGGAGACTAATCACTGGCAGAAATGCGCCGATAATTTAACGGACCTTAAGGAGGGAGGGATGTAATTGGAAACAAGTTGTTCCAACCACAAGAGGCGATGAGCTTGCTGGTTGGGTTGGAGAGCTCCTAATGGCTGTTTCCCTCATGCAATGAATATCTCTACCAAATAAAGCATATCCTATCGATTTGCTAAAGAAAGCCTTTGTGTTTATGTGGTACGTAGGATTTTGGCACCTGCAAAGAGCCGCTTCCACGCACATTCGGCGCATTAGCGCATTTGGACAGGCGACAGCGGACAACCTGCCGAATGTGGACCGGTCACAAGTAATTTACAGGGAATATTAAGATATTAAGAGTATTTCAGTGTAGGGGGTTCGCCTGAGAGAAGTGAGGCGTATCCCGCTCCCCTGGGTGACGAATTTTGAAGAAGGAAACTCGACCGAATTCCGAACAAGTCCAAATGAGTGGGCTACTACCCGAGTATGATAACACACTTATAACTGGAGTGATTCGAACGTGATGTCGAATAGGAAGCCGTGGCAGCTAGGTATTTACGATGCCGATCTGACATGTTTCCCCAACTGTGCCTCCTATTTCAAACTACTGCATGCTGTAGTACTACTGTACATGTAACCACCTACCTATCTATGTCCTACGATTGGATAAGTACCTAGTAATTCGTAATTTGACTTATTTAGGTAGATAATCCTGCTACGCGAAGCAATGGTAGACAGACGTTCAGATCTTTTTTATCCACTCATTAATGTTAAGTGCATATGCAAGGCACAAGCGTTGATATTGTAGACATGCATGGGACGGACCATCCACAAGGGACCACCATACAAGGGCAACCTCGCCGAAGAACATTTTAGCCATGATCAGTTAGCCTTATTAAGAATAGAATGCAACTCTTTAAGAAAGATCATTAAAACCACACATATACCACCAGGGCTTCGTGGTGTACCTATTAGGAAGAGATATCGCTTGTGGATTTAGCTGTGTACCTTAGGTAGGTAACATAGTATTTTGAACTGCAAGTCAACTTCCCCCGGATTGTAGAGTCTGTGGGTGATGAGCACGGATAATCATAGACAGCTAGCTACCTAGGTACCTACCTAAACTAAGATCGGATATATTGTATGCAGCTAGAGCCCAATTGCTCGGATGGTGGACACGCAGAGCCTACAGTGATACCCAATGCCGAGTTCTACAATAATTGCACCTTCAATATGTATCTTACAAGGCCTCTTAATACGCAATACGTAACCAAGATAAAGCTGTATCGCAAACCCTTCGGAATATTCCATCGGCGTTGTTCCATGCTAACCAAACAAGCCTATAAGTCATTTTTCAACTGTGAGTTATATACCAGCTTCCCTTATTATAGTAGGCTATAAATGTCCTTTGATAATACGCAAAAACGGTAGTTTCCTTCGCTTTGTCCGTAACACAGTCTGCAAATCTTGAAGCCGTCAGGGTGCAAAGAACCAGCCTATCAAACTTGACAGGTATGTCTCGGAACCTCCCGGTCGCAGGTATATAGGCCGAGAAGTTGGGCTTTCAGGTAATATTTCTGAGGCTGCCCAAACATATTGTTGATGAATTGGCGAAGGGACTAGTCATATCTATATCGATTTCACATGTTTCAATAGCAACAACGTGCGCGCAGATGTAGTCGATGCAGAGGACCCGACAAAATCACTCTTCCATTAACAACCGGATGCAACAGTGACCGATGCGATGTGACGGACCTGCATCACCCCGGTTTGGAGAACGGAGCCCTGTGCGCTACTACGGTTAACCAAGCACCTTTCGGTCCAAGCCTTGCCCGTAGTATTTTCAGGGGGAAAGTGAAGCACGTGTTTCCACGCCACTAGCCAGGCCTGAAGACAGACAGTCGGGAAGAAACAGTTTTTTTCACACTTTGGAACGCCTGATCTTCTATGTAATTACTAATAATACCTGACTTTGGCGCCTTGCGAGGCTTGGTTATTAGCAAACCGTCATGTTTGACGAAAGTAAGCCACCCGCGCGGCTGAATGACACCTACCTCTATTAGGCTCAAGTAAATTACAGCCCCTAATAATAAACTCATCCTTGAATATCTCAGATATATGATGATATATATTATGCCAGCGAAGATATCGTATTCCTTTCCCCTATCAGGACTTTCATGGCCCGCCTTAAACAGGTATTATATAGCATTCATGGGCTAATAACCGGTATTCTATAGCACAGTCATCTAAAACGGTATATACTGTAAATAGGCCTCTAAGTAAATACCCAGTGAAGGACGATTAAACAAACAAAAATGAGGACTTACAATCAACCCTGACGCCATTAATCGTCCTAGTTTCAGCATTTACATAAATCAGGCCAGTTTTAGCTAGCCGAGGCCGAATATGGCGTCTCCAACACGTTGGACGCCAAGTCTAGGTTACAGCAGTAGGATCAGAAGCCCAACTTGTTCCAAGATCTATGACAACCTAGCGATCCTCTACCAAAAGCTACTTCCCCGTTCCAACGTGGTACTAAATTAGAAGAGGGCCTATCCAATATGACCCCCCCTCTTAGCTCCTAACCAACCTCGGCGGTCTACCTTGCCCGTTACGTCTTTCTCAAGAAAGGCTAAAATGAGATATCGGGTTTAATGCGAGGGAAGCTCTCACTAGGAACTTCTGAAACTTAGCTTGGCTACCTAGAGGTAGGTAGGTAAATCATTCTTTCCTTACGAAAGACTGATCCGATCCCCCTCTCTCTCATCACAGCCGGTAAATGATCCGTGAAGGATTTCGAGAATACTCCCGACAGTCCGGGGTCTCTTAGAAATGAGCCAACGCCAATCAAGGCCTTCGTCAGCTTTTGACAAGCATACAATACAACAACAAGGTACGGAAGAATTCCGTGGCAAACATATCCGGGCTTGGATCAAATAACGCTAACAAAGCAGCTCGTTGGGAAGATAGCCACGGCCAACAGCCACGTTATTATGGTTTCTTTCCTGTGCCCGCGGCTCGTCTCTCGCGTCGCGTGAGATTTTACGCGTACTCGCGAAGTAACCTCCCTGCGATCTCTCGTCTTTGAGGAGGTCGCTTTACACGAGGATTTGGGGAAATCCCACCTCCCTAAAAAGACCTTCACGATTCCGAAGGTGAGTTCCGCGAGTCAGTATGACCGGTAGTGGTATTTTCTCCTTCCACTATGTAAAGATGAGAAGGGAGGGAGATAAGGGCGCACGTACTATGGTATGAGTTGTTGCCCAGGTGGTCAGTGCTCATCGCGCCGTCGGATGCGATCGACCTTGCTTGTATGCAAGGAGAATCACATCTTCGGGGCTTGTTCCACTTTCAACACACTTGCATACGAACCCCCGAGTTCGCAATCAAGGAAAAGGGAAAAAAAAACACCAACACGCAAAGTAGATGATAGGTAAACTGAGTCCTCATATCCGATGTTACGTGTCCGCGTTAACTTACAACGTAAGCTCATAGGCCCACGGCCGAGATCCGTAACGACTTCTCTTACTGGTTGGTTACCTGGTATCTGCTGTTATGCAACGCTTTGCTAAATAGGGGTAGGTATGCTAATGCATACGAGTACCCCCGGATTTTCACGTCTTTGTTGATCCTCCACGAAAGGCCTTCGACGGGTCCCGTTTGCTTTCGCAACTACCTAGTCCGAGGACTCCAACGGCTGGTTCTCTACGCAAAATCAATGTGTATGCGGACTCCAATCAAGGGGGGTTTCTTGTCTTTAACGATAGTACGTACATGCAAGGTTAGGTAGATTTTAAGCCGTCAAGAAAATATCCATTTATGCACGTGCAGTATCCGGGAAGCACACTACTAAGGTTCTTACGGGTTCTTGCGCAAGGGAACGTTGAGGCTCAATCCTCTCCGCATAACGAAAAGTAATATAGCTGGACTGTGCTTCGAGAGCAATAAGCATAGCTCTACTACCGCATGAGCTAGTCCAGGAATCGACCCGTTTTACTTAATGAAAACTCACCTGTCAGATTATACAGACTGACAGACCGCTTTTCATAAGTGGTTGGTTGGTTGAGAGAGCAGTGGCGTTTTCTGATTTCCACAGGGTGGACTCTTTTTGCTTTTAAATCTTCCTTACCCGATCACCCCTATCCAAGACAGTTCCACTTTGCGACTTCAAGGCTAGTTGAACATCGGTTGGCTGGCCTTACCGTCCGAGGTCCCGCAAGGTAAGACCAGCCTCGGCGCTCTAAACCTTTGAAGTCAGTCCAGACCCTTTGGCCACGGACTTGTATTACTGTTATGTCTACCTACCCTAGCCAACCAACACTTATTACCGTAGGATCTATACACGGTGGGAACTTGGCCAATTATGTGTACGTTTAGAAAATACATCAATAACAGGTACCTAGTTAGATATTTACGTGTTCAGACACAGTATTAAGTATTACACGAATGATGTGCTACCATCCCTCGCCCCACGGCGAGTTTTCGTAAACCGCTTGAGCGACGTAGGACCAGCATGGGATGGGTGTATATACGAACTTATATTCAAATAGCTCTGATGAGAACTCGTAAATGTTCTGCACGCCAAGTTCTTAACTCGTCTCTCTATCGACATCTCGATCTAAGATCATGCGTACACTTTACTTACACGCAACAATAAACCCTGAGTGGAGCCATACCAACGCTGCTGTCGATCTCGCCCTACGCGGCCCCATATACCGGTAGCCCGAAAAGGCTATTATATGGCTACCGTGGTTTTCTCACCTGAGGCTACATTAGAACTTCCGCGGCGTTGGGCTTATTGCTTACAGAACGTATGATTTTACGGCAGCCACAGTATTACTGCTTCTAGTATTAGCACGAGAGTGGCTTTAATTACCTAAAGAAACTCGAGATTACTTGGCAACATCACCAAGAAGACGCTGATATTACAGCCGCACACGGTACGTGTGAGATCCCACGCTTTTAGACGACATACAAATCACGAGTAACGCATGATCTAGTGAGTGTCTACTAGTCTTTCACGTTATCTTCAGGCAACAGGTATGTTTTCATATCTTAGAGAATGGGTGGCGAAATGGCCCATGAGTAAGTATACAAACTCGTCGCCCTCGGGTGGCATTTGGCCACTATGTAGGTTGGGAATAGCCGCCACCTAATTAGAACACGTTTAGAGTCATTGCGGAACGAATACGCAGCTTAGACTACCTAACAAACCCTTGTGTCCTACACTAGATACGTTCAAAGACACACGGTGCAGCCGTAAATAGAGACTAATTCAATATACCTCTAGTGTGAGTAAAGTTGGTAGACTCTTGAGTCTGAGTGGCAATGGCCACTTACAACATCACTTCATAAATACGATAGAGAAAGTTAGTACTAAGTCGCCGGGGATAGTACTAAAGAGACGTACACCGAACTCCTGGTTCATAATATTTGTAACAATTTACTACATTAGGTACCTACCTATATCAAGAATATATGCCCAAGAAATTGATAAATTACGTTCTATGCTCGCGCTAGGTACACGAAAGGAGACAATTTCCATGCTACATCTAATATGCACTATTTTAAATATAAGAGGTAGCTGAAGCAATAATAAATAATCTATTAGTTAATTGTCAGCACGTTTTTAGAAACAACCCATATACTTATGTGTTTATCAGCAATTCAACCTTCAATTTTACTTTAATACATCATTCACCTTTCATCATGCCTCGTTATGAACTAAGTAGAGAGGTCGTAGGTTTCATATTTTATTATGATGTAGTTATTCTAAATCTCAGCCGAAACCCCGTAGCATCGTTAGACGGTCAGCGATTGGTCTAGGTCAATATAATGACTTCAGAAGAAAATTACTTGTTTCTATCATATGCAATGTAACGATGTCCTAGAACCGAGGAGATACAACTGAAGATAGGGAAATTAAAGTAGTAAAACACGCTGGCGTTTCTATATTATACGGTAGTTAATCAACATCTAAGAACACACGGGTGTAATTACTTTGCAAAAGGGACATGCTAAGGACTTAGGACTGCCTGATTTCACGTATACATGGTATCTAACTGCTACGCTACCAAAAGAAAGACTATTAGATAGAAACACTTAGTACTTGAGGGACTTAGATACGTCGCGAATCTTCTCGTTGGTAATAATATATTCGAATACACGAAGACGTGAGCCACATAGTTACACTCTAAGAGTCCTTCGCATCCAGTAACATGATAGCTTATACCATGCTTATATATCTTAAGTTACTCTCAAGAGCACCTAAGATAGGTAGGTATCTAGCCTATAGTCCATGGAGTCGATTCATGATTGCAAGGCAACCAGTTATGGATACCAAACAGCAATGTCCCTACCCCGAATGACACGCAGAGTTTCATTGTGGAATCAAGATCGATGGTTTTCCTAATGACTACTAACAACCCTATATGTTGATGTGACTCAGTGTTAGTAAATGAGATCTCGTCGATGAGGATATTTTCTCGTTACGTGGTAATTAGTCCATTGCGACGATGTAGAGCGTCCTTCGTGCATTTGTTATAAAAAGATCCGTATTGCTATAAGAAAAGAGAGTTTCGTGAGATTAGTTTACGTCGGGCTTTGTTGGTAGACTTATTTGTAGCGGTATAGACGTTCATACAAGGTATATATGTAAGTGACAAGCTTATATACCTATTGTTGGTGAGAAGAGAAATGTTACAGCGCCGTAACATAATGCTTATATATTATACCAAGTTAGCTGCAAGATGCGTTAAGAGAAATAAATGCGTGGGATGTCAGGTATGCATGAGTAAAGTATCTTGCATGGCAATGTAGGTTCCTGCAACGAAGAGACCAATCCGCAAGAAATACCATAAATGCCGATCCAGTAGAATGACGAGATGTAGTCGTGGTTTAAAAGCCGATATTAGTGATATAACTTAGGTAGGTTAGGCTAGGTTAGGTACTCAACGGTTTCTGCATGTTGGGAAGCATACGAAGGCCATAACCGAAAATGGATTGTAAAGGGAGGATCTCGGCACATGCCATTGTCAACTCTCGGTAGTAAGAAGGGCGTACGGCTAACCCCACTCTCCCGATGGCCGAATCACTTCATCGTCTAAATCACTTCGCTACCTAATTAACATATTTCATAGATTTATTTTCATAGAGAGTGACTGGTCCGCTACGTTGCCACGTATAGAACTAGATAGAAAAAATGGCGACTTCCATTCCTGAAGCGCTCCGGAACGTGAAAGCCCTGACTTTCGACGTATTTGGCACGGTTGTAAATTATCGCTCGAGCGTCCAGCGAGAACTCGTGAAGCGCGCCCGGGAGAAGGTGGCGTCTCCGGCCTTCGGCACATTGCCCGAGCCGTCGCAGGCTCGCCTAAAAGCAATGACGGACGACGATTGGGCCACGTTTACTCAGGAATGGAGGACGACATACTACGTATTTACGCGGGAGTTCGTGCCCGGCAAGTCGGAGTGGAAGGACATCGACACTCACTTCTACGACGCACTGCGCGAGCTTCTGGACAAGTGGGGACTCGCCGGCATCTACGCGGACGACGAGGTGCGGTCCATCAACCAGATCTGGCACAAGCTCGATCCTTGGGACGACTCCGCGGCAGGCATCCAGCGGCTGGGGACGCGACTCGTCACATCGACGCTGTCCAACGGCAACCAATCGCTCCTCAGAGATCTCAACGAGTACGGGGGTCTGGGCTTCCGGAGAATAATATCAACTGCCGATTTTGGCGCGTATAAGCCGCACCCGAGTACGTATCTAGGCGCCGCGGATGCCCTTGGCTTTCGGCCCGACGAGGTGGCTATGGTTGCGGCTCACCTGGGGGACCTCGCCGGAGCGCGGGCGAACGGTCTCAGAACGATCTACGTCGAGCGGCCTATGGAAGAAGCTTGGGACGTTGGGGAGGACCGCTACAAGGAAGCTCGGGGATGGGTTGACCTCTGGATTGCTGAAGGCGAAGACGGTTTTCTTGAAGTCGCCAAGAGACTCGGTATACCTGAGTGAGAATTGGCGACTGCCTAACCTAGGCGCTGTGTATGCCTAATTATCCTTAATTACAAGATGAAACTAGGAACTTGTCGGTTTGATTATTCTTCATGGTCGGTAATCATATGTAATTTGAATGATATGCCAGGTATCATAGCGAGATGTGAGGAAGCCCGATAGCCCAACCAACCGTATCCAAGGGCTCCAAAATTCCGAGCCCGGGCGCTTGGATACCTATCTGAAAGCTGTCATTTTAATCGTAGCCGTAACCGTAGTCGTGGGAGGCAGGAGGTCTGAGAGCGCAGCACACTACCTACCTAGGTACCTAGAACGTTTTGTGATAACTTAGGTACAAAGTTAGGAGGTCTAGGTTAGGCACCTGTAGCGGATGAGCCCTGCTAACCAAGTAGAGACATTAAATACCTATATCTTAGTGGGGTATTCAAGTAGTGACATGGCGTGAATAAGATGCTATAACTACGGGCAATGGTGTTTATCGAAATTCGGTTGGTTATAATGGAATTTGTGAGTGAGGCTAATCACGATCGTCGTCATCTATAGATCTGTTTTACCGTGCAACATTGCACATTGTGGCTTATATGTGCCGTTTAAAATCAACCTGACGGTGTAAAAATAGAATATTGGGTAAATTTGATGCTGTTTAGTTTTCTTTTCAAACTTTGCTTGCCATGCGCTCGGTAGTATAGAAAGCCGAAAATATTAAGGATGATAACCCTTGAAGACAAGTGGTAATGGAATCTCCTTCGAACGAAGGAAACTGGTTTTTTAGTTATTTTGGGCAATTTGCTCTACCCCCAATAACGCAAACTGGACCCGGGGGAGAGGATTGGAGGCCCTTTCTTTACACCATCGGTTCACCACCGGTTCGTTGCTTATCTCAGACTACCCCTGAGACACTCTGGTAATAGAAAAAGAGTCGGGAAAACTCTACAGTCCTAAGAGATTCTAATACCGACCATATGTCCCAAAGGAGAAATCGGAGAAGGGATGGTTTGCTACCTGCATCTCGTCACATCAGCCTAGGTACCCCGAGGTTTAGAACGTGAGTGGCACGGGCGTCGGCGGGGCCAATTCCATGCTAATTCCATGGCAACCCCACAGAAGCTTTACCTGTACAGTTTTACTACTATTCACCTTTCGCACCAAGCGAGTTTGCGCATATGCAGTATCGCAAGTTAAGCGCCGCTAGGTCTGTACGCATAATATATGGGATGATGGCGCGTCCCTCACTCAACATGAATTCTTGGAGGGGTTTGCCAAGACGAGAAAAAAATGTCCTTGCGCCTGTGAAACGTAATCAAAATGGTGATTGGGAAGGTGACTGGAGATCAGCGGGCGTGACGGTTGAGATAGAATACCTCCATGTGAATGACCTACGCCGCACGCATACGCCGCAAATATGGTAGACTACCTACGTCTCCCTATGCTAGCCAATGGTAAGGGTAACGAAGGCAACTTAGATGATCAAAAGGGTAAAAAATTCCTAACCGAAGTGCGTGCCAGGAGATATGCGACTACGCCTATTCGTTGCTTGAAATGATGAGCTGTAGGCATGGTAGCATTGCCGCGGAATAAAAAGAGGTTGACGGAAGGATTTATCGTGGACCTGTGAGAATACTGCAGTTAAGACAGCATCTTTGATAGGGTTAGTCGTGATAGTCATCTGTTATATTAGTCGTTCAAAACTGGGTACTTGGTGATTGATGCACATCGATCGTTGGTGATTGAATACGGGTTTAGCACTGATTTTCGAAGCCGGCCGTATAATCCCACTGTCTTATTCTTTTCTTCCCAATCCTGCTCATCGAATAGTCCTAGCTTCATACGAGAGGAGATGTCTGACATGGAGTAACAGGCAAGTGGATGAGTTGGACCGTCAACAAAATTTCATAATCCGTATTGGACAGTATTTGCGGATTTGGAGGGACGTGGTACGGGACAAGAAGAAGACGCCGACATATCTGCGGGTATAGTAGCAATGAAAAATGCAAGATACACGCCGCGAAGACAGGATGCTGTAGCTCTTGGAACCCGTAAGCTCATTGCCCGAGACTACGCTCGGGCTTACATTGGCTGTTGAACCTGAGTTGTTTGAGGAGCCGCCGAATTCAAACATCCCACATCTTGAAAATGAAGTCCCGAAGAAAAAAAAAAAAACAAAAAAACAAAAAAACATTTGTTCTTGGACACACCGATAGGAGACCCATGCATCCTTTCAGTATGAAATGCAGGATAATCAGGATGATTTATAGCATAAGGCTTGAGAGGTAGAAAAGAGAAGAATGTAGTAGAAGGAATTAGAGAGAAAAAAAAAGGTCGAGAAATAGGAAACATAAAAGTAAAGATGCTTGCAGAGGATGAATACGTTAGGTTAGGTAGGTCTAGCAGAAGAGTGATATAGACACGTGCTTATTTGTGTATGTCCAGTTTGACTCAAAAAAAAAACTAAAATCTAAGCGCTTAAGATATTTACGGTTGCGGTTGTACAATTTAGTCGAGTCGTACAGTCGTACAGGTGTAGTCCAAGACGTTAAATGTTACCTATACAATACCAAAATACACCTATAGGTACCTCTTGGTATACCTACATTAAGTACGTGAAGGTAAGAACTTAAATCCCTCTTACGTACTCCTGCTAATTCTTACCGTATCCGATCTCACTCAGATTGGTAATCCGGGTACCTAACTTAATGTAAAAAGTATAGTGCTATTCAGTACCTACTGGTTGTTACCACCGGATGGAGTTTAAAAAAAAACTCTTTTTTTTTTCGGAGAAGTGTTAAATATATGGTTAATTTTTCCTTGTCTTTCATTTTCGTAACATTACCCATCTACGGTTTAATATACCTTAATATTGTAGAATACATTCTTAGCCCACGTACCTAGCATATACTTGGCATATATACACCTAGTTGGAAAAAAGAAATAAATAAATAAAAGAAAGAAGAAAAATACCAGGCTGACTGGAACCTTGCATGCTCATTCAACCCTATATCTTACGGCAATACAGGTAGGTTAGGTTAGGTACCTATTCTTTTCAATAGCATTTCAATTTCGTCAACGTGGTTCCACATTGGTTCAGACAGAAATCGACAAGGTTGATAATTACGAACTTGATCCTTGCATCTACACATTGGACGCATTGGACATATTCGCTACCTATTTGGTACGGTACGATACGATACAAATCCAGTTCCCGAGTTGTGGAACTTGTGCTCAGCCCAGAGAGGCGTAGATGCGTTAGAGACGTAGAGGTGACGGGGTGACGAGGCGTCGCGGCGTCAACAAAGTACATAGTAATATAGCGACAAGCAAACGACAGACCAATTCGTAAGAACAGCAACGGTTTTAATGGTTTAAGGGGTCAAATAATAATAAGACCTACGAAGCACGGCTTTATATAACGACCGAGCTGTTTGGTATTATTTTATCAATTTCATCAACTCCACAAGAGCTCTCTACCCCCTTGACGAGCTTGTCTAAGTTCGGTCCTTGGGTTCGGTCCTTAGGTCCCAGCTTTAACAGGTTAATTCCCAGGTTAGGGTCCCATAGTAGTGGTCTCTTCTTTCCCAGCGCCACCTGTGCTATTGCGCTGGAAATAGATGTTGATTGGCCGGCTGTTTTGATCAAGGACTCTAGGATAGCCATTGAAAAAAGACCCCAGGGCCTTCGCCAGGGAAACATTGGCTTTGGGTCAACTCTCTCCACCTCCGCTTCGCCAATTCAAAAAAGAAGAGAAAAAAAAAAACCATAATCATCCCGGCAACGGGTACATGTACCGCACCTCCGGCTAGCAACAAAACCCAGCATAACCCGGCACAAGGTACATAAGTGGTACTTCGTTACAGATAGCCATCCTCGCTCATTCTCGCCCATTCCCCGGCGCAGGTTTTCTTACATGTAGAGGTACCTAGTACCTCTGACCTAGTGCAAGCTAGTACGGCTAGTACAGGTTTTTCGTACATGTTCCTAGTTCTTAGGTTCCCTCAACTGTAAATCGGAGTCTGGAATCTGAGGTCCCTACTTAGGTACCTTAATACATTAGGTAGGTACAGTACCTAGGGTATTACGCTACCTCCTACTTACCTACCCAGCTACCTTACAAAGTTACAATACCCTACCCGTCTACGCTTAATTTTCCAGAGCTCAGGCCTTCCCAAAATCTCAATTCTCCACAATCTTCTACAAGGCCCTATCTCGTCTCCTGCTCCTTGCTTCCCTCCTTCTCCTTCTCCGTTTTTCGTCTTGAGCTAAAAAGTACGGACGTCGCTGCGATCAATACAGTCCTTTTTTACTCCTCATACTTTTTTCTCCCCGACGAATTGACTCGCCCCTCTCTTCCCATCTCGTCTTAGGTCCGACTCAACCTCACCAAACTCATCAAATCAGCTCAACTTAACTTAACTTAACATAGCCGAATACCTTCTACGGCCCGATCAACTTAGCCACCTCGTATACTCTCTACCCGTTGTTGAGTTTCTAATATCCTAACTATCTCTCTATCTCTCTCTTGTCTCTCGAGATCACTTTATCTCTCTTACCTCTGTCTCCATTTATTCACCAAGCCTGATAAAGCAACAACCACACACACACACACACAAAAAAAAGCAAAGAATACTACTCGGTCCTGTGCGACCACTTCCAGATTACAACATGGCGGGAAAAATGGTTCTTTATAAATTGGTGGTCCTCGGTGACAGTGGTGTTGGTAAAACAGCTTTGACAATCCAGTTATGTCTACAACATTTCGTTGAAACTGTAAGTCTTCGCCCTCCAAAATCAGATGACGCTCGCGACTAGCACCGAAGTCAACCCTCGTAACCTGCGCGCGTACCTGTGTGCTTACAATAACATCATCGCTAACCACGTTCAATAGTATGACCCTACAATTGAAGACTCATACCGAAAACAAGTAGTCATAGATGGCCAGTCCTGTATGTTAGAAGTATTGGATACCGCCGGCCAAGAAGAATACACAGCCCTACGAGATCAGTGGATTCGAGATGGCGAAGGTTTCGTACTAGTTTATAGTATTTCATCTCGGTCATCATTTTCCCGAATCAAGAGATTTCATCACCAGATTCAAAGGGTAAAGGAATCATGCTCTGCATCACCTACCTATCCCGGCTCGCCGATATCCACAGTAACTCCCCCCAGTGCTGTACCGATTATGCTGGTCGGTAATAAGAGCGATCGGGTAACAGAAAGAGAAGTTTCGACCCAAGAAGGCCACGCCCTGGCGAGGGAATTAGGTTGCGAGTTCGTCGAGGCGTCCGCAAAGAATTGCATAAATGTCGAGAAAGCTTTCTATGACGTCGTCAGAATCTTACGCAGACAGCGACAACAAGCATCCCGGCCGATGCCGCAAGCGGGCCGCCCGCGACCTCAGAATGGGGAAGCTCCCCATAGGGAACCTGGTGATAGGTACAGGAGGAACCGCCGAGGTGGAGGTGGAAACGGAGGTCGTTGCGTCATATTATAGATGGCGTCTTATCCTTAGCATTACGTGCGCCCTCGCGCGCTCACAACCAGCATTTCGATGACGAAATTGTTCCGGTGTTTGGTTGCGTGCTCCAAGCTCTAATAACAACCCCCCTAAAAAGATGACAGCAATCGAGCACGCACGCATACAAATACACACTTGGACTATACTATGTTCATACAACATACTTGGAGGATTATTATATTGCACTCCATACATCTACTAGCTATCGAGTCGGCGAATGGCGTACGAAAAAAAGCGGCATTATTAGGCGCAAAGTAACCTTGGTTTCCCCGAGTAGGGATGAGAAAGATGTATGTTTTATAGGCAAGATGGGTGGACGGCTACGTTGGTGTTTCGGAGTCAAGGCATACCTTGCCCCCAGGTTGAGATGAATTTTGCCAGTCAAATCTTAGGCACACTATGAAGACGTTTATATTGTTATCGACTATGTGTTGGATATGTGTTCACTTATTGGTGGATTTCTGTTTGGAAATCTCGGAAGAAGAAGAAAAAGCGCAGCTATCTGATAACTTGAGGTTTTAGGTTTACCTGATTTTCTTTACCTCAACTCGAACCTATAGAGCCTACCTAATGTATGCTCAGAATTGATCTACCCACTTGAACACATCTCGATTTTGCCCTGGCAAATGATTTCAAGGACCACTTTTCATAATTTATTTTGTAGCATGTTACCCTTGTCAAGAATACGACTCCCGATCTTCCCAGGCGTTCGTTACCCCTTGGATACCTCCTGGATAATAGACTACAGGGCCGCCTCATAACTACCAAACCCCTTCATAGATCATAAGAGGGTCTCCTAATGATTCAAAATTTTCGACTACGCCCTACCCCGATTGCTAATCCTTCGAAACACATGGAAAACTACTAACGTGTGCTAGGGCATTACGCGGAACCGGACCGGGGGGTTCGAGGCCAAAACGGCTCATAATCTGTCGTCTAATCCCGGGCGCCTGTGTGCCCAGAACCCACGAGGGAAAAAAAAAGAAAGGAAAAAGGAAAAGCATATTTCTCAACTTGCCATGCACGGAGCAGTACCTGTACAACGATAAACGGTGACCTTACCGATGATTGCGAAACTCACCTCGGGCAAAGGGGGTTTTTTTTTCTGATGACTTTTCATTTTGATGGAACGGCGAGAAGTTGTAGAGTTATAGAATATTGGTGGTTGGGCTTCCGATTTACTGATCGAGTGGGCTTTAATGTGCAATACTTACCTTAGGTTAGGTACCTAACCTAAGGTAGGTAGAGGGGAGAATCATAGTTCGCATAATTATGGACAGCTGTACATAACATAGTAAGAGAGGTTTTCTATGCAGTTTGGTGGTGTCAGAGGAAAGCGGACGCCAATCAAAAAGCGTCTAGGCCGTCTCAAAACAGTAAACAGTCCTGGCTTTTTTGAACAAAAGGTCGCAAGCTTTGTGGGGAATCCTTTTTGTCATTAGGCACCAACTCCTTGTAGTTGGTATTAGACCAACATAAAATTGTACCTTGTTCAGGTAGGCTCTGGTACGGTAATAAGGTGACCCTGTCTGGGCTCGGCATCTAAACCGAACAGACGCTACCGGCTAGGAGCTAGGGAAAGGAAGCAAAACAAGACATTGCCGGGAGATCATCATAGCTCTAAGCAAGCGAGCTACCTGCTACTAGTAACGCGGTATTGTGGGTAAGTCACAGCACAGGTCATAGGTAGAAAACAACTCGAGTGTACCTCCTGACGGTGGTGAGCTCGTCTTCATCGTGGGGATGGTGTCTCCTTTGCATGCATAGCATGGCATAGCATGGCATAGCATGGCATAGCATGTATGTACATATACGCATTTACGTGCGTCTGGGGCGGCGAATACCACCTAATATTATCTTAATAACCGTAGCGACAAGGGAGCTTCTTCTCGGCCCCGTGTTTACCTACTTAGCCGCGCGAGCTACGAGCTACAAGCTGCATGTACAATACAATACAATACAATACAATAAATACACTGGTTACCTAGGTACAGGTGATCGATGATGGAGGTACACAATGAAGTAAGCTACGACGGCTATGGCTACGGATGAAAATCCTCGACGGTGACGTGACGGCATCCGACATGTCGGCACCAACATCGAGTCTGGGCATGGTTAGTTGCCCAGGGGAAGTGTTGGCGTATCTTGCGTTGCCCTCTACTTTTATCATGTACCATCAATATCTTCGCATGTACTTTTGTTTTTCTATACGAACCCAACATGTTGTACAACCTGTCAGCGTAAAAATCATCGAATTATTATGATCCCATTACCGCGGCAGCTGTTGTGAGACGTATAGACTTTGGGGCTTGCTTCCCTTGCACCTCTGAACCCGGGCAGCGTCGGTAGTACATACCTAGGATGTTAGGCATGCTACTTGGACTATGACATAGCTTAGCTGGATGCATCGCGAGCGTGGCCAATCCCATGCCTCAGATGAGAACGGGACCTGTCCTCGGCACTCGTTATTCTAGGTGTGTTCTACATACCAGCATACCTAGCACAGTAGCTCGTCTTTGGGACCTTAGGTACATATGTAAGTATGATTGTCTGCCGGTACTACTTGCATACAAGCATGTATCGATATGTCGTGGCCGCAGAAGAGGCCGCTTGAAAGTCTTGTCGCATGGTCTTTAGTCTCTTTGTATACGCTTCACAGCTACCCCTTAGAACTAGCCATATACCTTACCTTACCTATCTAAGGTACCTACCTACCTACCTAGGTAGGTACCTAGGCAAAGAGTACCCAAGGTATGTTTACATGATAATATTACCTGTAGACTAGTAGATTAGAGGTAGATATAGATTTACCTAGAACCCAAATCGAAGTCTAGCGACGTGCCAAGTCTCTCATAAGAGAGGCGGGGAGCGGAAAGCGGACACTCCTTAGTTAAACGACAGCCGGAACCAAAACATGTAAGAATATGTTTTACCACATACTTCGGGCTTCACTTTCTACCTAGGTACCTAGGTATGCACCCTCCAATACTACCTAATGGCATACATACTGACATGTAGTAAAATAGTAAAATACCTGAATACATTGTACAATACAATTGGTTCTACGGCAGCTTAAACCAATCGATCCATGCAGATTGTGCAAGGGTGTCTTCCCGGACTACCTAGAAGATCTACCAGGTAGGTGAGAATAAGGTAACCATTTCATATCAAGGGGGACTTTGCGCATTCCGCAATTTCTCGGGTCCTGGCTTGCCTGCCGGAACGCGGAAATTCAACCCGAGGTGGCACGGCTTGCGTGCAGTCCGTGTCCCTTTGTGTCATGGTTCGTCCCTTGATAATAACGGACACGATCTTGGTGCCAGAATCTGATAACTGCGGGAGCCATCTCCTGTTAAGACATGGCATTAGATGAGCTATCCTATCACATCCCGCTTAACCTAGTAGGTACTTTTAACCTCTACAATACTAGGGAGGTGAACACAAGCATACATTAGGTACACTACCTCATAACACCCAGCCTATGCCTTGTCAATCTTAGTCAGTTTGGAAACCTCGTCAAGCTAGGATCGTCGGGTTAAACTTGGTTCTGGACACTTGGGATGACGCCGAGAATCGTACGCCCGCTCTTCTGGTGACAACGAAGCGGTCGACATCTAAAATCTGTCGTAAGACTGGCGGACTACAGCTGCCAACGCTCGGCTATTCCCGCAACCACCCGATCCCATTCACATCCCGTCGGCCTCGAGTGGGAACGCGCTACCGGTTTATCCGGAGCCGGGCGCGGCTTGTCGTGTCGTGTTTGCTTACAAGGCGTGACCGCGATTCGCATTTCTACATGTAGACCTCTCCCGGCATTCCTTATTCCTCCTCCCTTGCCCCACGAGTTTCGCAGATCGCTGAATCACTGGATACTACCACGTCTGACAACAGGCCGGAGAAAATCCGTAGTATAACCAACCCCCTATACTGGGTAATCTTACCTAGCCCAGTCTTATGTTTCATTAATATTGAATTGCTAAAGAAAATATTGCACGTTACCGACTTAGTAGCATGTTAAGTCATGGAAGTAGCCTTATGGGGATTACGGAGCCAAAGCGGAAGGTCGAGCGTTTTCTAGATATTTTACTTTAATGAAAAGAGTTAAACAAGCGAATGAAGGGAGAATAGGGAGAAGGAAATTTTCTATACCGCCAAGGGTTGCGTTATACCTTTTCGGACTAGGAAGCAACTTCAACACTAGGTAGTATTTCGTTAAGCCCTGTCGCTCATCATTGGTAACAAGTCCGGTTACCAAGTTTGTCTTTTTTTTCTCTCATTATTGACTGCAGATTAGTTTCTAGGCATTCATTCACTTCAATAGTTTATCCGACATGTGTTTTAACACCTGCGCCTATTTCCAACATGTAAATAGTATTACGGAGTTGTGTCCGAGGGTGTAGGGTTCTACTTACTAGCCCCCCCGGTGATCTCTAACCCGTCTTCCACCGAATGAAGAGTCATCGCGGGATTGTCCCTTTCTGCTTCTTGCAGACTTAGTACTGACATATCATGCGGGAACATCTTGACGTTTTCTGCTAGATCTCAGCCCAGCGCTTGAGCACCCATTATCATATGTTCCCTTTCCCATATACTGCTATGACCAAATACATAGGCGGCTCTGAAGGACCCTCCCTCCCTAATTATTACAGTTAGACAAGCATCCACGGCCCCACGGTAAGGGAAAGGCCCTTGACACACCGGACGACAGGACCATACTATGTACGCGTGGTTATACCAACCCCACAGCTCAAATCTTCCCAATGCCACGGACGCGGTTTAGGGGTCTAACCTATTCAATTCCCAAATCTACGGGCAATAATCTTCCTAGTCTCTCCCCCCTCCTTCCACCCCTCGAATGCTCGTAATTTCGTACGGTGGGGACCATGCTACATAGAAGCTACAAAGGTCCTTCCAAGAGGGTTAAGTGCCATCGAATCATAATACCCCCTTGAGCTTCTCTGCTCCCGAACGTCCAGCATCCCAATCCTTCACCACGAAGGCGTGTTGTACCTATTGTACAGTACAATATAGTACACTAACGTCTAGGGTGTGGGCTTTGGTCGGGAGCATGTAGATATAACAGGCATCTGGACAAGCGAGCGGTACCACATCGACACGTGGTAAAAGAAAAAAAAATTAAAAAAAAAAAAAGGCCTGCCCAGCCCATAGTAGGAAGTATTTATTGTTACAAGGACACATTCACCGTTCTGCTACTGCAAAAAGAGGGAACGAACCAGTACGTAAGTAGTAGTATATCTACAACATACCTCATACCGTTTCATCCCGCGCCGCAGAAATAAAACCGGCCGCAATTAAACCTATCGACCGGTCAGCTGGTGTACCTACCTAAGGTAATATAACCAAACCGACTTCCAAGTCCGCCGCGCGGAGTTCGAGATAGAGAGACAGGGAGAGAGAAAGAAAGAAATTCTCGGGATTTGAAGAAGAGAAAGACGGCTGTGTTTTCCCCTTTCCTCCATTTCCGTGGTGTGGTTTGTTTTTGTTCCCCATCCATCCCATCCCATCCATGAATCCGTGCGTTGGTTTCGTTTTATTCTCCTTCCTTTCTCGGTCGGCCCGTCCCGTCTTGTCTTCCTTTTTTTTTTCCACACTTATCGGCGACCAGTGTGGCGAGCAGCGACAATCGCCCAGGGGTCGAGATCCTTCCCGACAGCGAGTCTATGCTGGTTCGTGCGTTTGCGCGCGCGCGCGCTCGCGGGGGGGTGCCCTTTTAACAATATTCGGTAGTTACGGACGGGTATGTAGGTTTGACCAACACGGCGTTCTTGCTTCTTTTCTTCTTCTCGTTCGTCCTCATTGTTCCGTCAGCGTCTGGAATGGATGGAGTTGGTTTACGCCGAAGGCGCTGGAATAATTCTAGAAAACACATCCCTTCCCCCGTCGGCTGTGAACTTATCGGCCGATTCCTTCGGGGCTGTGCCTCGGCCTTTATGTTGTTGTCTTTCTATCCTACATCCCTCTTGTGTGTTGCTCGGACGCCGTGCGACGGGTAGGCGGAAGAGAAAGAGGGAGAGAGATGATTCCTTTCGTCTTTGAAGCCATTATTTGCGTTCTTTTCCTTACTAATCCCCACATAATTTCGGGCTTTATCGTTCGGCGTTTTCGCTCCTGCGAGCAGACTTTCCTCTCTAACGTCAGGGAATCCAGCCGTGTCTATTCTTCAGCTGAGCCGTGGGATTGCGTATCCGGGGAGTTTCTGAGTTGTCTTGTGTGGGGCGCCTTTGCTTTATGCGGTAGGTCTAGCATGACTTGGGAAATATTCGTATTACTTACCAGCGGTGATTTGTCTTGATCTGTGTTATAAATAGAAGTCGTAGTGCTATTCCCACTTCTGATATCTCGATATATCTTGATAAATCCTGCAGGTATGTGCCGATTGAGTTATCGCATGGAAAGACACCTCTTGCCCAAAAATATCGACCACTACGAGAAAACATTCCATCTTTGCCCGTCTCTGGACCGGGAAGATTCATGTCACATAGATGGGGTGTATGTACGTACGTCACTCTGCATAGGTGGTTGGCGTGTGTCATGTTTCTCACAAGTCCCCCCACGACTGCTGAGCCTGCTGCATGCCTCTACGTGGGTGGTCGTCCCCTGAAAATCTGGGTAGATAATCAGACCGCTTTGCCTGCAGGGAAAGCAATATTGTCTATGCAGAATCCTATGCAGAGTAAGCGTGTTTGTCATAGATACTGACCCTTCTAGAATGCGGAGTGCATTCAACAGATCTAAGGGTTCAATTAACTGACCCCCCTTTCCCTCTTCTCGTACGATACATCCGTAGGTGATGAAGTATCCTTGGGTTGGGTACCTAGGGTACCTACCCTATGTAGGTAGCTGAGCAATCATTCCAGAAGGAAATAGTAATCCGGAGTTACATTCGTCTTCCGGTTTGGCGTGATTCCGAGCTGCCAACTTGGGTAATTCCTTTTAGACATGTTGTGCTTTAGGTATTGTCTTATGTACGTAGTTACCTATCAATCTTATACAAATGTATTCTCTGCTTCGGCTAGGTATATGATATCTACCAAGTCTCAACTACCTAGTATTTCTCAGAGTCTACCGTTCCCATTCACCTACACTTATAGCCAAATTTAGCCATTAAACAGGAACAAGAAGGTTGAGTGATGAGCTTTCCTACCTCTTATGGAAAGCTAAAGTGTCCTTAGGGTATGTGATATCGTAGGACTCATAACGCATCATCCAGTGTAGACTTACAGCACGGCGTTATAAGAGACAACAAGTTAACCTGCAAACACCCCTTTTGCCCAAATCAAATAGTTTAGAATGGTATTTCCTATTAGCCTAGTCGTATAGACCCTTAGCTTAGCTAACCGAATTCAAGCCTATCATAAGGATAACACACCACGTGTCTGCGTAAGAACTTTACTAGGATGAGATGTGCTGGCACCATTGAACTCTTGGACTGACCTAAAAAATTTCTTACAGGATACATTAACAGCACATCTAATCTAGGCTCAGATATGTCTCTTCATGGATCCACCAGGACGAGCCGTAATACCCTCGGTCCCTGCGTAGGATACTTGAAATAGTAGCCCTTTACCGTTGATAGTTATGCCGTCAACAGTATTAAAGAGGCGAAGGCACAGCTCTGGTTGGCCGGGTCATACGTAGATCTATCTCAATACGAGGAAAGAAAGAACAACTTTGGTTAAGGTATCCGAGAGATAGGCTCTATATTTGTAATGTTCATTGCTTTGTAGTGGCTGTTCTAAGTCGCTCAGCAACTGAACCCTCCCCTATTATGTTTATATGAGGTAGGGTTACTCTTAACCGTCACTTCACCTATCTAAAAACATATCATCCTATCAGGCCACACTCAAATATTGAGTAATAGCGGTCTAAATGTAAGTACCTACCTCGTACATACAGGTGCATATCTGCGGGAATACTCTAAGTTAATTCCGGCCGATGTATGCAACTACCGGAGGTGTAGGACAGCTATATAAGCTGCAGCTGCAGCTGCAGGATACCGATATACCTGCTTACACTGATACCTTATACCAGGTGCCCAAGGTAGCTGAGGGGAAGATGCGGTATACGGGTACGTGCATAGGTCTAGAGCTTCTAAGTGAATCTAGAAACCCAGGTAGATTAACTTAGACTCGATGGAGGCACTATTCGTGATGTATAGGAGATGTTGATCCTCGGTGGTACTTAGACACAGTCGGATACTAACAGGTACTATGCCAATAAACCTACCTGGCATAGGGAAACTATATGCTCGCTTTATAGACTTATCAACCTACATCCATTTAGCTGCCTATCTTTGCAGACATGGAACTCCGTCTCATTTATCCTACGCTAGCTTGTGAGGGGCGCCGGGATGGGCGATAGTAGGGATGAGCAACAAGAGTAGAATATAAGCAGTGGTAAGAGATACTCTCAGAATACTAGGTAGAGAAAGCTGTCGAAAATGAGGACAAATGTGAGTGCGTAGTGACTGGCTGCTTACCACGCTTGTTTAAATGGGTACGTCAATGAAATAGAAGCTGCATTGCTAGATTCGAATTTGGTATATTCAAAAGTCCAACGAAACTAAAGACAATCGTTCGATTTATAATGCTATATCATGTCCTGTCACATCTGCCTTGCATACAGTTCTACTCCCATCTTCAATTAAAATATACCCAACCTAATGTTTCCAGTGGCGGGGGAGTACAAAAATTGCTGCTATGTTTGGGTCTCTGTATAAGAAGAGTACCTATACTCTGATATAGACCTCGTCTCTCTTGTCTGATTCACCCTTCTTCTATTTACTCCTTACTGTTATACCTAAACGCCTCTCCAGTCCGACGACGGATGTATGCAGCAAGCAAGCGAAGCCTGCAGTGCGAGTCTTCCTCGGACCCCCAAAATGACCTTACACCTCGGCATAAGCATCGTGATACGTCGGCAACCAGTCATAGTAAGGTATAAGGTAGATATATATATACAGTAATCTACCAATCTTATGCGGACACCCACTATTTTCCCACCAAAACTTAGCAACTTCATTATATTATTACAGCCTTTAGAAAAATGGTAAAAATAAAATTCTTCTTGTCTTATAATATTTAATGATTAAATTTTATAAGAATATAATCTTTTAAGCAATGGAGTTTGACGTTCACGTTGTATTTTAAGATATATTTGACAAAATTCGTTTTCCACCAAAAAGTTACACTTTTTGTTAGAAGAAATATTTCTTTCCACTTTAGTACCATTTTATCGGGTAATAAACTCAAAGAATTAAAAAATAATATAATGCAGATAATATTTTAAAGAAATCTGATTAATATTAAATAATTTCATATTTTTACCATTTAAGTTGACTTTTTATTACTTTGTAAAGTTGATGTCTTTTGGTGAGGCTATAGTGGGGTATCCGCATAAGAATGGTAGGTTATTGTAGCTATATAGGGATGCACATTCAGAACGGACATGATATGCATGTTACAAGCATATAAGAACACACGTCTTGTTTGGGTAGGCCGGCTATATATTAAACATGTTCTCAAACTTCAAGTCAGAGACATATAAACGAGCGCCTACCTGACCTATATTATATCCAACTGTGCTTCTACAGTAGATGTTCTGATGATATTAAGAGGTCAAGACCTCATACACCGTAAATAACCATCAGGCCGTTGCGATCATATACGAGTATGCCATGAGCCTAACATCCTGCTAACAACTGTTATTTCAACTAGAAAGACCATCAGGTTCGATACTACGCTGACCACAATGTTCAAGACTGAGGCAAAGGGTGGCAAGAAGGTATGCAATATCAATAGTTCTCGAGTGGTCCTGGGTGCGGGTTTGAGGACTATCCGTAATAGAACACAATCACTGGGGATTCTTCAATTTGGAGCAGAAACCTCGTCTGACATCAATGTATAGAACCAGATGCGAGCTGTATCCGAGACATTGCCCTTGATATTGTCTTAGATTTGGCACGCTATATACCTAACCTGAGGTATCTGTTGAGTAGAGTTCGATCGCCGGCGTCTCGAATAGAATCCCAAAGCTTGGGTCGTATCGTGGTAGAAAAAAAATATGAACCACAAACGCGACAGATATAGGGCAAGTGTGGTTAGCAACACCACAATTGCCCTATATGCAACATCTTAACATGATTCTGTAGACGTATAAGATCCAAGTCACGTTGATAATGACTGTCAAGAATAACAGCGTCGGAACAGATCGTATTGTTCGTCTCTGGACCTCAGAGGCTCGAAGAAAAGGGTAACACAATACATAGCAAAAGACAGGCCAGCAGCGATAGCGACATTGGCAACCATCTACATAGGGGCCACTATAACTGCCCCCTTTCATTCGTATCTCCAAACCGAGACGCCGTACCGTAAAGATCCAGCCCCAGCACTCATCCTGCCGCGATCTCCAAGTCGCAGCAGGTGGTATGAAAAGAATCAACAAAAGCTGGTTGCCGACCAACTAACAATACCAAAGAAAAAAAAAGAGTCCAGACTAAGTAAATACCAGAAGTAGTAGTTTTAAGTAGACGAATATATTTCCCGTTTTGTCGCACATTTCCCGTATCCCATCATGATGCTAGATGTCATGCTAGATTGCGACTAGATTAGTCTCGTAAGGCATTTTCATCGCCAAATGGGCTGCCATCCCGCTGTGTCAAAGATTTACTCCTGTCGATCCGCGAGACCGAGTCCCCCATTACTGCACTAAGGGAGCTGTTATTTCTATCGGCACGAGGAGGCGGGTCCGCAAAGGGGCCCTGATCTACGACCGGTGTATCGTCAATTATTGTGACTGCATTGGACTCCCTTTCACGGTGTGATTCAATAACTTGCTCCAAGGCGTCTGAATTGCCCTCAGTGGTAGGAGAAGACTTCGATTTCACATCGACTGTCTTAGGCCCGCTACCAACACGGACCATCTGAGGGCGTACGGCAGTGGCAGTTGATGCGCTAGCATTTTTGAAAAAGGTAGCCCCGATACTGAAGGCTGGGGAAGGAGGTGGGTGATCGTATTTTTCGTAGTCGACGGCTGGAACGGGCGGCGTTGAACTACCGCTATTGCTGCTGGGAGCGCGAGATTTGACACTGATAATAGACGGCTTAAGGAAATTGCCCTTCTGAGCAGGGAGAGGAGATACTATAGCATTCTTTCCGTATATAGTGGATGCAACGCTTGATCGCGGAGCATATGACGTTCGGGCAACCGACGAACGATCGGTGTAGCCTGATATGCCCGAGTACGTCGAGTCTCGGAGGTCGCCGGGGACGAAGAAACGCTGCTCGTCGAAGGGGGAGTTACTACCGCTTTCTGAATGCGCGATAGGAATTGGTGGCACCGGAGGAACAAGCAGCGTAGGTGACGTAGGTGTAGCTCGATTGGTCACGCCAGGAATGTATGCAATCTGAATGATATTCGAAGCACGAGTAAGGACGGTGGATGCGATCGAGTGAACAGTGTGTGTCGATTCTCGTTTCGACCGGCCTGCATCCAACTCATTTCGCATGCCCATAGCCTCCTTGGTATGTTCCACGTCTCCTTGCCAGTGTTCTGTCTCGTACTGTGATCTCTTACTTTTGATATAGAATCTCCAGACCAGGTAGGCAATAATCGCAATAGCAGCTAAACCTCCCACCACGCCACCGGCAATCGCACCAGCATTCGGGCCTTTACTGGCTGTGGTGGCAGTACTACCGGCGGTTGGATCTTTTATACAGAAGGCCTGAGGACATTCGTTGCAGGACTGAATACTAAATTGACATATTTCATCATCGGCACAAGGAGGACACGTCGGCGCGCCAGTCTCGCATTTTATGCAGCCATTTTGTCTTTTGAAGAGTGGAGGGACATCATCGTCTAGACCTCGAGCGTTAGAGACGGCAATCCAGAGTAAATGAGTTAACTTACTTAGGGAAACCCCAACGAAGCCGGGAATACCTGCCATTGGTAACTGACAGAGGGAATTTTGCGCCCGAATGTGAAAGGTAACTCGACGATGTAAACTTGGAAGAAACTCGGAATCAATGCCTTAATACGGATCGACAATATGATACAAGACGCTGAAGACTTTGGCTTGGCGGTGAGATGACCCTACTGCAGATCGGTCTGGCTGGAAAGTCTTGATTGGCGATTGATATCTGAGAACCCGACACCTCTGCGTCGATGGTTGCGAAGTGGTATTGGACGACACGGAAGCGTCAAGCCTCGGTGTTGTTCGTCAAAATGTCGAATTGGCTAAGACTAGGGACGGAAGAAGGGGGAGGCACGGGAACGTTTGGCGTTACAGGCAATAATTTAATTGATGAGGAGGATAAACGAGTGACAGAGAGACTAGCTCAAAGAAATGAAGTCGAATAAGTGCAACCTAGGTTGCCATGGGAAAGAACATTTAACAACCACTGTAGTATCGATTGCAGCTTGTGCGAGTGATACCTTTTTTTGAATTTGAATTTGCAGCGTGGTTAGAGTATGACAAGAGAGATGAATTGGTAGAATTGGTAAGAAGGGAAGAATTGAACGAGGATGGATCCCGCATGACAGGTGCGGCAGAAGTTGGTTGGAGTTGGCAGAGGGGGGGGGGGGGGCTTGTCTGGAAAGGTGGGAGTGCGGTAGTGTGAAAGTGTTAGCCTACAAAGAGGAATGGGGCCAATGGGCAGGTGGAAACATAGCATAGCGGACAAGGTCTAATTCGGCTTCATTAATTGATTGTCCTGGGCAAAACAGCCATAAGGAGAAAGAATAATGGGTCGATTTATAGGTACGTACTGTTCTATGTGCTAACCTTTAGGTACCTAAAGCACTGTAAGTTTAGGTACTGGGTAGCTATTACTCAGCATTAACCAGCATTACCCAGCGTCACCCAGCACGGCAAACGTTGTACAGAATAGCAAAACTGCCAAATTAGGCGAAACAAACTCGTTTGGCAGGGGCCAATAGTGCTCTCTCATTGGATCGCTAGTCGCTGCTAAATAATCCTCTAGGACTTTTAGGATATTCTGTACCTTCTGATCCAGGAACAGCTCAAAACGTTCAAAACACAATTGAAAATAGACTTGTGCCAAAACGGGAGAACAAAGAGGAGATCGTCGATTGGTTCCATATTTCAAAGTTCTTCTTGTGGGCGGGTGGGATAAGCATATCTACCTTTAACCCGTCTTCTTTCAAAGAGTTCTCAAAAATAGAGAATAACTAGGTACCTAGTAGATAACTAAGGCAACTAATAGAAAAGAACTTATCTTTGTCAAGTTGGCGCACCACGTACACACATCCGGCCGGGTACATAAAAGGTCCCATATAGTACCTAACCTAGTACGGAATAGATCCCTAGGCAGGCAGGGCTAGAACCTCCTGGATCTACGAGGTCTACGCAACTGAGCACTGACCGTTCAATGATCCTGGTGTACTCTTCTGCTTGCATGTGTTGTGCGTTGCGTTATTTTGATAAAATAGTGTATGTAGTACTCCGAATCAAGTTCTTGGTGTTGTACGAAGCAATATCTTTTAAATGATCCGGCCCCTCGCCCAGAATTTTATCGGATTGGATGCTTGACCCTTGGGGGATGGAATTGTATCGCCGTGAGCAAGCAATCAATGTTGTATTTTCCCCGCCCGGAGATTTTTAAGAAGTTGGTTGCCGCTTTTCCGGGAATGATGGAAATGAAAATATAAAAAATCTACCCGCTACCCTTCTTGCTATTATTTCATAAGAGCCATTGCTCATTGATTAAGCCATATGTAGCTTTCTTTTTAGAATAACCAGATAAAATTACGAGAGACTGGGTACGGATTAGATCTCCCATCTTGAATTTTATAGACAGGGAACCGTATAAAAGAAAATTTCGCATGAAGAAAAGGACGGATAGTAGTGGTCGGCATATTTGTTAAGTAAAGTAATATAAGTACCTAGCTACTTTTAAACTAACATGCTGAATAGGTACAATAGGAATGAAGAAATGCTAGGCTTCTACCTACACGACTGGGATAGACACGGTTATAAAATAAGGATACACTTACTTTAGAGGTAGTTAGCTTATTCGTCGTCCGACATCTAAACAATACCTACTTGACCTACACTGAGAGTTCACCTCAACCTCTCGATCCTATTTAACGCATCAAATTTGATCATCAACATTTTTTAGCAACAAGAAAGATATAAATTCATGCGGTATGGTAGTCAAGGGCGCTGGTGGGTTAAGTTGATGCTCTGAACTCTGAGGCTGAACGCGATATGAATCGACATGACTTGACAATAACTATTTTGTTTAATCGATACTCGAGGAATTATATAGCTGTAATATTTCTGCATATACCTACCTACCTAATCTAGTATACATACCATCTTATACGAGGAAAAAGATTCGGTATTCACATGTAGATAAAACAACGTTGGTAAGGCTGGATGCAACGTTAGCTCGTTGTTAACCATGCATTTGGTAACGGCCTTGTGTTTAAGTAATGTATGGGATGATCAAGGTTTATAAGTAAAAATTTCGAGTTTCTCGTCTGCAGCAACTCTATAGCACATACATACCTCTAACATGTCTGCATGTGTAGTCGAAAGAAAGCATGGTTAAAGACTAGCAAGATATCTAATATATAGGTCTTAGGTAATGTCAAATAATAGTAATAGGTATTACGGATTACTAGTGCTGTCTACGTATAACTCGACGGCGCACCCCAAAGGGGTGCTGCGCTTTAATTAGGAAATCGGGCAGTAATTAAGCTAGCGTACCAAACTTCAAATACCAGTAAGAGGTTATTCCGATCCCTGTTACCTGCCAAAAGCGGAAGAGGAATAATAATATTTTATGAAATTTTATGAATGTTGGAAAATACTTCAAAACGCGTAAGAATTACACCTGTTCGGAAGTACTTCGGATCAAATCCCTAATCTTGCCCGTTTCCTTAATTAAAGCGCAGCACCCCTTTGGGGTGCGCCGTCGAGTTATACGTAGACAGCACTAGTACCTAGAGGCAGGACAAGATTAGCATACGCAACGCAACGCAACGAGGAAGTTATTTTCACCGAATCTTGCACCGCCTCATTCTTTTATCCACAAAGTATATGAGGTAACTAGGTACATAATGTATGTAGCTGCCCTAGGGAATATACCCCACCCAATGAGGCTACTACAAAGATCTCCACCTGCAAGCTCTCCTATTTCTAGCTATTTTTAGCCCCAAAGGACCCCTATGCTGCCTTAACATGTAAGACGAAAATTTACCTTTAACTTCACGTGGCCGTTGTGATTTTGATTTTCGAAGCCTTTAGCTGAGGGGTAAAACCGAATCCAAACTACTTATTAAACTCATGAATCTAGAATTAAAAAAATACATTCATTAGGTTAGGTAGTATTCACTCAGCAATGCTATAAAAAAACATACCTCCTACGAAAGTACACGTAGGACATTGGGGAATTTGTGGAGACTTAGTTTCAAGCTAGCAGCAAAAGCTGAGGTTGCCAACGAACGAACTACATAATCCTATGTATCATCCCCTGAAAAAATTACAATACAAAGAATATGTATTTAACAGATCTGTCTTTAATTTGTATTCCGCATGTACCATGTAATCTGCCTCTTGTAAAAGGGGCCAACTGCCGTTTGTTAGATAACATTACCTTTTAGGTACGTACCTGAGGTAGGTACTGAAGCGTATCACTTCTGAAGAGTATTGGGTTAGGTAAGTATGTATGTTATTCTCTAGAGAATTCGAGAAAAAACAAAAACAAAAACAAAAAAAGGCAGGACAATGAACGATGTTGGGTAGGAGTAATGCTTGTGTGCGGCTTGTCTCATTCTTTATCCCTGTGCTGACCGATATGCAGTGTCCGGTAGGCTATCCATGGGCATTGCGCCTTGTCGGATCGATACTATTTGCTAGTTGCTCGAATTTGTGGCTGAAGCCTGAAGGTTGGATTCATCTTGAAAAAAAAAAGGAACTAAAACTTTGTAAAGCTTTCCAAGGTACTGCATGCCTCTTGTTTTTTTTCTCTGCTTTACCAGGTAGATAATCCTCCGTCCCTCCACTGTATCGTCTTACCTCTAGGTACCTGTTACTCAGGTCAAAACACTATATGATACAATAGGAGAGATATCATCAGGGTGTGACATAGATGAATACCAAGTATCTGGGCCATCACGGGAGCTGGATACATACCTGAAAAAAAATTATATCAAGTGACACACTCCCTAATGTAGGGGACATAGATAAAGAGCAAGTGATGAATAAATTTGAGGCATCTGGCGGTTGGAGAACAGGTATGCAGGTTTTGGTTTTGGCCAATTAAATTGTCGGGTGGCGGCAGCGTTAGCGCAGATAATTTATAGAGCATGCAGTGAAAAGTAAATGGTTGATTCGCCTGTAATTGGTGCTAAGCCACATCAGCCCTGGCAAACAAGTGCGAATAAATGCTACATGTGTGTGTCAAGCTTGGAGGCGGTGGGTACCTGTAGATGAGGTACCAACTCACCTCTATTGTTTTTCTGCATGTCTCCTTTTATGTACTTGGTTTTTAGCGACCCTCTCGTACATATAATCATATGGGGGGTTGCGTCCCGACGCGGATCCCATCCCAACCTGAAAAAGAAAAACACGAACGACCGCCCTTCCTTCATCTTTCCCCTTAGAAACACCTAAAACATATTTTCACCCATCGCAAGGCCTCCCCCTATGTCTTCGAGCACCGGGTGATTGATTCATTAGACTGCTCGATACCCTTTCCCTCTTTTATTATTTATTCTTGCTGCAAGAAACTTGCTTGCAGACAGGACGCTTTTTTTTTTCTTTTTAATCTTTTTTGTCCTGTGGGGGGAAACTCTGATTCTTGCGTGGCCCCCTGGATCTTGCATCGCTCATAGAAGTGAAGTGTTCGAGGGATCGACATCGACATAACTCGAGCTTTGGGAAGCGAGAAAAAAAAAGTCAAGAAATATCGATACCTTAAACGGTTTGTCACCTTGTCATTTAAGACTGGTTGGTGTAGCCGACAGTCAAAATGGCTTATAACGGTGGTCGCGGTGACGAGTACGACGGGCATCGTCTTCAAGACATGCCCGCCGGCAGCACGGTAAAGTTTAACCTTAACTCTAACCATCGCTTTGGGAAAACCTACCCATCCATAAGGTCACACAGCTAATTTGAACCTCATGGCATATAGTATCACCTCCCCCCTGTTGACCAAGACGAGGATGAATCACAGCGTCATCTCCTGGGACAAACCCCCGGTCTCCACTACGAACAGGATCGGTTGGGTGCCAATGAAACTCCCGCACGCCCAGTTTCGGCTTACAGTCTTTCTGAATCTTACGCTACGAATGCTCCTCCTCCTACTCAGTCACCAGCACCTCAATATACCAGCGAGTACGGAGGTGGCTATGTCGGACATCAGCTTGAGGATACCGGTTTTGGATACGGACGGCCTGCATCTACGGTCGACAGCGACGAAAGTTGGCTACGTCGCCAGCAGCCCGGTGGCGGCGGCGGTGGGTTGAAGCGTTATGCTACCCGTAGGGTTAAGCTAGTTCAGGGATCCGTTCTCAGCGTCGATTATCCCGTACCGAGTGCTATCAAGAACGCCGTGCAGGCTAAGTATCGAGACACTGAGAGCGGCAGTGGAGAGTTCCTCAACATGCGATACACGGCTGCCACCTGCGACCCGAATGATTTTACTCTGAAAAATGGTTACGATCTTCGGCCTCGTATGTATAACAGACACACCGAGCTTCTGATCGCCATCACCTACTACAACGAAGACAAGCAGCTTTTTTCGCGAACTCTTCATGGTGTTATGCAGAATATCCGCGACATCGTCAACCTTAAAAAATCTACCTTCTGGAACAAGGGTGGCCCTGCCTGGCAAAAGATTGTTGTCTGTTTCGTTTTTGACGGTATCGACAAGGCCGACAAGGAGACGCTGGATGTATTGGCGACCATTGGTGTCTTCCAGGACGGTGTCGTGAAAAAGGAGGTTGGCGGAAAAGAGACAGCTGCTCACATCTTCGAGTACACTACCCAGCTGTCCGTTACGCCGAACCAGCAGCTTATTAGGCCGGTAGATGACAGCCCTCAGACCTTGCCGCCCGTCCAAATGATTTTCTGTCTGAAGCAGAAGAATACCAAGAAGATCAACTCTCACCGTTGGCTATTTAATGCGTTTGGCAGAATCTTAAACCCGGAAGTGTGCATTCTTCTCGATGCTGGTACTAAACCAGGACCCAAGTCACTGCTCGCCCTTTGGGAAGGCTTCTACAACGACAAAGATCTTGGTGGTGCTTGTGGTGAAATCCACGCCATGTTAGGCAAAGGCGGCAAGAAGTTAACGAACCCTCTTGTCGCCGTCCAGAACTTCGAGTACAAAATCTCTAATATTCTGGACAAGCCTCTTGAAAGTTCTTTCGGCTACGTGTCTGTGTTGCCTGGTGCTTTCTCTGCATATCGATTCCGGGCTATTATGGGTCGACCGCTAGACCAGTATTTCCATGGTGACCATACTCTTTCCAAGATTCTCGGTCCCAAGGGTATCGAAGGCATGAATATCTTCAAGAAGAACATGTTCTTAGCCGAAGATCGTATCTTGTGTTTCGAGCTTGTCGCTAAGGCTGGGTCCAAGTGGCATCTGTCGTATATCAAAGCTGCCAAGGGCGAGACTGATGTGCCCGAAGGTGCTCCCGAATTTATCAGCCAGCGACGACGTTGGCTCAACGGTTCCTTCGCCGCCACCCTGTACTCGCTGATGCACTTCGGTCGTATGTACAAGAGTGGTCACAACATCGTCCGCATGTTCTTCCTGCACATCCAGCTTATCTACAACGTCGTTAACGTCGCCTTCACTTGGTTCAGTTTGGCATCTTATTACCTGACAACAACGGTTCTTATGGATTTGGTCGGACAGCATACAGAACCCGGCCCAAATTCTAATGAGAAACATGGATGGCCCTTTGGGGACACAGCTACTCCCATTGTCAATCTCGTTCTTCAGTATCTGTACATTGCCTTCCTGGTTCTCCAGTTCATTCTTGCCCTTGGTAACCGTCCTAAGGGTTCCAAGTGGTCTTACATCGCATCGTTTGGTTTGTTCGGGTTTATTCAGCTCTACGTCCTCATTTTGTCCCTTTACTTAGTCGTGAAAGCTTTCCAACCAGAGAGTTTACCCAGCGGTGAAAGTGCTGGCGATGCGCTCAAGGACATGTTTACGGGCGAATCCGAGGTGGCTATTATTATCCTCGCGTTACTGGCGACATTTGGTTTGTACTTCATCGCATCGTTCATGTACCTCGACCCCTGGCACATGTTCCACTCGTTCCCGCAGTACTTGGTTCTCATGTCGACGTACATTAACATTCTGATGGTTTACGCTTTCAACAACTGGCACGATGTTTCATGGGGTACCAAGGGTTCAGATAAAGCCGAAGCTTTACCGAAGGCCGAAGTCGTGAAAGATGAAAAGGGTGAAGCGGCCATCGAAGAAATCGACAAGCCTCAGGAGGATATCGACAGCCAGTTCGAGCAGACAGTCAAGCGTGCCTTGGCTCCTTTCAAGCCGGAGCCCGAGGATGATAGCAAGGACCTTGAGGATTCGTACAAGTCTTTCCGAACATCATTGGTCGTTGCGTGGTTGTTCTCGAACGTTGCTCTCATTGTGGGCGTAACTAGTGATAAGCTGGCCACATTCGGTGTAGGAGTAAGTTTCCCCTGAACATAACATCAATAAGACAATGAGGGGCGGTATGCTAACTGATTTAAAGGTTACCACGTCAGACCGACAGGCGCAGTTCTTCAAGTTCCTTCTTATCGCCACGGCAGCTATGTCCTTTGTTCGTTTCATCGGATGCTGCTGGTTCTTGGGCAAGACCGGAATTATGTGCTGCTTCTCCAGGCGGTAGAGCGGCTGGCACTCATCGGCGCAATCAGTTCTTGCGAGATTTATACGCCTGCGATTTGTACAAATGTAGCCTATCTCCAGGACCTGGCGTCAAACACTATTTCTATGCTGGATAGAAGGGAGATATGTCTCGGTTTGCAGGACAGGATAAGGGGGATTCCGAAAAGTTGCGGCTACGCCGTAGGTCTGTTAACCGTGTGACATTGTTTAGGCGTTAATGGCCTTCTCCTTTTATATACACCTAATATTTCTGACCTGGATAGTCAGGTCAGTTTCTTACGAACCATTTTAGAAAATCGAAGTGTTTTTTATGGTTAGGTACCTCCTATCCTTATATTGCATGTGTGCCTCTTTAGGTACCTAAAGTACCTACCTAACCTACCCTAGGTACCTAAACTTGGGGGTTGAGCTAGGTACCTTCCTGTAGGTACCTAAGGTATTGTACCTACACTTACACCTAACCCCACTACATCACGTAAACTTGCATTTATTTGTACCAACATTACATGAATCTTTATAATTGAAAATACATATCATCTACCTCCTAAGGTAAATTTCGCCCCGCGTTCAGACGAACATCTAAATTATATACAAATTTTCATATAATTTCCAAGTCGAGCCCATGTGAAGAATTGGAATTATCTCTTGCCCAAAACTGCCGGTTAATATTTTCGTACCTAATAAACTACTATAACTGCCGCCCACTCGAGCCGATACCTCTCCTCTGCAAATTGCTATGGAGTCTTTAGAGACGATACAAGCCCGCCATCGTAAAGAGCAACGCGACTTACAAGCCAGAATCACGAACAAGAAGAAGAATGCGACGAAGAAGACGCGGAAAGGCGTCAACGACGAATGCGCCGAACTCGAGCGGCAGTTAAAAGAGAGGCAGGAACAGGAGCTTGCTGCGTTGAACGGAGAAGTCGATAATGAAGAAGGCACAACAGGCGAAATAGAAGAGCAAGAAGACGAAAAGCCGAACGGCGCGAGTCGGAAAGATGCGACGGACGGGATAGCGGAACAGCTGGATCGTACGAACCTCTCGCAATCACCAGAACCCAATTCCGCAACGACACAACCACCACCACTACCACCGCAGCAGCAGCAGCAACCCAAAAAGCGAAATCGCCAAAAAGAGCGCATGGCGCGACGTGCGGCAGAACAAGAAGCCGCCGCCGCCGCCGCGGAGCAAGAGGCAGCTAACATGACAGACCACCGGAAAATCGAGAAGACGTACCTGCTCAAGGAGTTCCAGGCGAACAACCTCGTCGAGAAGGAGATCCAGCCGGACGGGCACTGCCTGTTCTCCGCCGTAGCCGACCAGCTGGAAGCGCGGGGGGTGCCTCTGTCCCTAGGACTAGGCCTGGGCGAGAAAGCGAACCCCGAGACTGGCACAGAGAGAGAGGTCAAGGGCTTGCCGGCCTACAGGGTGGTTAGAAGGGTCGCGACGGACTACATGTCGGCGCACGCGGACGACTTCGCGCCGTTCCTGGAGGAGCCGCTGGACACGTACGTGCGCAAGATACGCGACACGGCGGAGTGGGGCGGGCAGCTCGAGCTGTCGGCGCTCGCGAACGCGTACGGCGTCGAGATCAAGGTCCTGCAGGACGGGAGGACCGAGACTATCGAGCCGAATCCCAGCGGCGCCGCGGGGAAGAAGGAGGAGAGGGGGGAGGAGAGGAAAAGGATTTGGCTCGCGTATTATCGCCATGGGTACGGGCTGGGCGAGCATTATAACTCGTTGAGGCAGGCGGATTAGGAAGGGAGGCAAAAGTAGAGGTGGGGTGTAAAGAAAAAAAAAGGAAACCAGGGTAATAGAAATAAAATAAAATAAAATGAGAGCTTGGGTATCGAGGCTTGTGGCCATCGTCGGCCTTGATTGGTTCTATTACGAGTAGGTAGGAGGTAGCTACGATTTACAACTATGTACCCGTACAAAATCAAATCAACCACGTCAAATAATAGACTCTACAGTGTACATCTTTTTACCTCGCGTCTAGAGGAGTTCGTAGGAGCCCTCGTGTGGACAATTCCATTATATACCTAGGTACCTAGGTAAGTATAAACTACTCCTACATGCCTTCGAATATAGAGTCTTTTCTCTCATCAAAGATACGTCTTCGCCGGGGATGGAAGGTTTTCCGTAGAAAATTCCCTAACGATAACTTGAGGTTGGATAGTCTCTTGTCGTCGTGAACTAGCCACAGTACGACGCCTGATATCGCCCAGGTACCCACCGCTAGTAAGGAAGTAGAGATCAGGAACGAAGATTGTCCTCGCGCTACATCATCGTAGGCAAATATATCCATGCTAAATAAAGACTTAGGGTAAGGGCGTTAGTCAAGAAGCTTCTTCCTATAAGTTAGATGATAGCGGGCAACATACGGAAACATAGCTCAGGGGAAGATAAAAGATGGTGACGATGGTGAATACTAGAATATACTGGTTTAATATCGTCGCTCGTGACGCCTCGCGTACCGAAGTAGCACTGAAGAGCTACGTTGTTTTATTAGCATATCCCGGTATGTATCCCAATTCTTGAGGTCTCTACTTACGCCATCCCTGAAACCCTTGATCTCTTCTTCCTTCTTTTCTATGCGATCCATGAGAGATTTTGAGGAGGCACTGTGGATTGCTATAACTTTCTCCCACGTCTCGTCGATTTTCTCGATAAAAGAAATCGGAGTATCTCTTGAACCGGTAGAATCACGGCGAGCTATGCTGAACTGGAAATTTGCATCAAAGTCTTGTTGGAGCTGTTGGAGCTCACGTCCACTTTCCTGGATCCACTCAGAGAATATCCTCAGCGTCTGGAGAACCGTGAAGTAGAGACGGGACCTGTCGAAGGTGCTATCAAACATGGTCGTGGCACCGTCGCGTCCTGGGTCAAATAGCTCGTCGATCTAGCTAGGTTAGTCAGGGTCCAAAAGGGATAATGACCAATATTAGCAACTATTACCTTCACACCAACCAACTTATCAATCTCATTCAGCGTTTCAACCCATTTACGCCTCCATAGAGGGAAGATAGAAAGTAAAATCCTGAGGAATACAGCAATGCCAGTGAATCTTCCTTGATTGGGCATATCTAGTGAACGCTCACTTTCCATGAAGAGGCGCCGGTACTCAGAGTCGCTTAGATAAAAAATGGTATATGGCGGCATGTCGGTCGTGTGAGAGGTCACTATTGCGAGAGAAAATCTCTCCTCGACGATCCCGATATTATCTAGGCCGTCTAGAGAAGCAAGCACGCCAGACACGCGAGAAGGGCGGAGTCCATTCTCAGGCGGTCTACCAGTGCTAGGTAAATACTGCTTCCCTGCTGACAGGACGCGAAGATGGAAATGCATATGAATCCAGTCGGATGATAGCCAGACTTCGCTGGTTTGCGTGAACCGCGGCCAGTCAGAGGTGTGACGGCTTAGGAAACGCAAGGCTTTCCTAGTTCCTAGAGTATCCTGCCCTGTATCACCGACGACGCTCATCTGAGAAAGAGCAAGGTATATGCAAGCGAAGCTAAGGAGTTGTCGTGCGTGGAACACTTGCCTTTATTGGTTGGGTTAGATGTAGTCGTCCATCTGATTTTAAAGTGAATGACTTACCATACCCGCCCAAAAACCTTTCCATCCCAAGGACAAGATCTATCAACATGCAGTCTGTCGTCGTCAGGCTGTTACACTCTGTTAGTTTGCTTTGGCTCGTGGGCCTAGGGGCTATCATTACCTGAAGTTGACGCAAAAGTGAGCGCTTCACGCTCAACCAGGGTGCTCGTGCAAAATGTGCCCCATAAGAATCATAACCTGACTGGTATAGCAAGGCTTTTGTGAAACCTGGGCAGTTTAGGAAGATGCCAGAATCTGCGAACTCGTCCGTTTCGAATGGCACCCCAACTTCATCCAAGTTCCGTATGGACTTTCCCTGATAGGCCCAGTCACTTTTAATCAGGGATGCGACCCGCGTGAGCTTTAGGGCGAGTTGTGGTTCTCTAATCTGGTCAATATGTCTCCATGGTACTTCTACCGCCTGAGCATCCTCACGACTAGTATCCTGAACTACTAGAGTGGTTTCGCCGCATCCTTCTTGTTCCCAGCCGTGTGCATGGATTAATTCGATTGGGTCGTATGATCCGGATAGAACGTGCGGGAGGTTGTATCTTGCTAGGAACATATCACACAACCGTACCGAGTCCGGATGCAATGTGTTTTGAATATACTTCTGCAGAGACGAAGGGTTAAATTTGATTTTTACAGGACTCGGTTGAGGCTGATTGGCGTTGACATGCGGGAAAGGAGACTTTAAGCTCTCTTCATTATCATCATATTTCTTCTGGAGTAGAGCTAGAAGCCGGTCCTGATTTACTGCCACTTCTGATAGCAGCTGGAGGATGCTTTCGTGGTAGCGTCCGATCCTCTGCTGCTCGAACGGCACGCATTGCGAATGAATGTTCTCCTTGTCTGATAACTGTCTAGGTGAGTTTGATACTTTCCTATTGGTTTTTATACGAAAATGTCTGGGTAGCCTAGAAGATTGACGAGTGTAGTTGGCTATTCGAGGGCGGTCTGGCCTTTTTGTAGATGCTAAAAGAGAAGGCTCGTCTACTTGGGCCGGTGATATGCTTGCCAGGTTCTCACTTCTGTCATCGGCGTTGTTTAGAGCCATTGGCTTATTCACTACTAATTACAGGTTTATAGAGGGAATTATTGATATTAATGGCTCTATTGTCGGTATGTTAAAATATAGCATGTCCTGCTTTGCTTTTACCAATGGGAATATGTAGAGTACATGTTGATTATCTACAAGGTACTTGACATAAGTTGTACTCTGTATTAGATAGCTGTTTGCGCCACAAATTCAATTACCCAAGATTATGTATGGAAAGCACTGCCACATCTCTTCTCATTTGCCGAGACGGGCCGCGCCGGGGTTAATGGGGTTAACAGAGTGGACGTAAGCGCAGGTGAGCAAATTTAACTAGTGTAATCTCTATCCAACTTCTTCGATTGATAGTACTAAACTTATTATTAACCATTAACGTCGTAACTTGTATTTCTAAGCCATTTGCGGGTTCGGTCGGCATCTGGCCCTTATTAATCATCCTACATGTCTAGAGCCCCCCACAAAGGAGTAGACAAACTACCTAAACTAAGAGGAAAGGAAAAAGAAGAGAGGGAGGGAGAAAAAAAAAAAAAAGAGTTCATAATCAAGTGATACCTACCTCTATCTACCTAACCTAACCTATATATCGTCCAAACTTGCCAGCTTGATAAATAATTTAATTACCCCCCTCATTTCCTTTACACTCCCACCTCTCTAGCAATCTATTACGCATCGGGAAACAAGGGATTCCCACTTAAAGCGCTATATCTAGAGAGAAAAAGTGTCAGTCGGACCAGTGGTATGATCCAGGAATTGCGTGCTTCGATGCGCAGTTGACAACACCGTACCACCCACCAGTTTCCATCCTATATTCCTCCTCGTGACTATGGCTTCGAGAGTCTTACTCTAATTCGTGGGGGTTGCAATCTGAAGGGAAAAGAGGCGTATTTGGTTTGGTGACAGTGCTGTCAGGGCCTGTCGTCGACGCCGCTTCAAAAAGGCTTACCTTTGACGATAACAGCAAGTCCGTAATACGCTTAGGTCGGCAACACAATTCGAGCTTGTGGTAAAGCAAACTTGAATTTTAAAGGCCAAATACCTAAGGTTACCTAAGGTTAGGTTAGGTACTGATAGTTCTACTTCCTGTCCTAGTCATTTCCCTTTCCCTTGAAAGTTTCAGTTGTTTGCCTACTCCTCTTATATATCAGGTACTTACCTCTTCTTACCTACCTCTTATACGTCTTGAGGCATACATCTCAAACCCTGTTCTCTCCCCTCAACCGAAGCCTAGCTTGTCGAAAAATATACTGACTTGCCCCTGGGTACCCAGGTATTTAACCCCTGGATTTTATCAGAAAGGAAATATTTTATTTCCTTTACCTTGTCAAGTCGCCTAGCTGCCAATCCTTAAACGGCAAGAATGGGGTTATTGTATGTCTTTCCTTGACCGATTGGGGTATGGGAACCGATCCGGTGATAAAGGCTATTAACACATACTTTTAGGGCTTTGGGAACGGCCCTTGATTGGCCTGAGGCGCAGAAGCACGCGAATCAGGTTAGGGAATGGGGCATTAAGGTAATTCCCCTCGCTGCATCAATCCTTACTATTCAACCAGTTGGCTGACTCATTGTAGCAACTATTGGAAATTTGGAATAAGGCTAAGCACAAGGAGCATGATGCTATGCTGTGGGGTGATGAGGTCTGCTTGCATCGTATTCTGCCCCTAATGAGTTAACCCTGCTAACAACTCCGTAGATAGAATATTTGGTCGTCAAGTACTCTAAGGATGAGCCTAAAGTTCTCCTTTCGCTTCGCCAAGCCGATATTCTCACGGCCCTAGCCGCCGACGAGGAGCTATCTGATAAGGGCGGCTGCGTTCCGGCATTACAGGAACTTGAATCACAGAGATCCAATCCTTTACCCGTCTTCCACCCCGAATTCGGCAGGTTTATGCTTGAGGCTACCCCGGGCAAGCCATGGGGCATTGGACTCAAAGAACTTCTGGGCGTCGAGCCTGATATGAAAAACAGGTATCGTTATACTACCCCTTTATGTGTCACCTCACATTAAATTAACTGGGTTCTAGGAGGAAGATAGCGAAAGAACACATGCAAGCTGAAGAATATCCTCTTACGCTCACAACATTTCCTCGCCTGGGCGTTCCGGGTGTCTTTACAGATCCTTACTACCCGCCATCTGGGCCAAGGCTTCGGTCACAATTCGTACCAGACGAAATTGCTAACCCACACATTCGGTTTCCGACACTGGCAGCCAACATACGCTGGCGGCGTGGCAGGAAAGTCCAGGTCAATGTTCCGGTATTCCACGATAAAAATACGCCAAATCCCTGGAAGGACCCTACTGTGAACTATGATCTACACAACTGGCCAGAGGATGACGATGTGAGAAACGGTGCGGCCCCGGACAACTTCATCCACATGGATGCCATGGCGTTTGGGATGGGAAGTTGCTGCTTACAGATTACATTTCAAGCGAAGAATATCATCGAAGGTCGAAGGATGTATGACCAGCTAAGCCCAATTGGACCTATTATGCTGGCTCTAACGGCGGCGACTCCTATTTATAAGGGGTTCCTAGCCGATACCGACGTTCGTTGGAATCAGATCAGCCGAGCTGTGGACGATCGAACACCAGAAGAATTAGGGGAGAAGGTTAGTTCTCCTAGGATAATTTGGCGAGCTCTATTAGTACTAACGGATCGACTAGCCTTTGAAAAACAGCCGCTGGCGCATACCGAAATCTCGTTATGCATCCAACTCTACTTATATAAGCACAGATGAGCGCCTTCGACAGGAATACTTGGATCCTAACCTTGTCATTGACGAAAATATTAAGGCGGAGTTGCTTGAGGGCGGCATGGATGACCGTCTTGCGACACACTTTGCGCATTTATTCATCCGAGATCCCATCGTAATATTCAGTGAAGACCTTAAGGAGCTTGACTTAACGAAGGCGGACCATTTTGAGAACATCCAAAGTACCAACTGGCAACATATGCGGTTCAAGCCACCGCCACCGGGCTCTGATATCGGTTGGAGGGTCGAGTTCCGCCCCATGGAGATACAAATCACGGACTTCGAGAACGCAGCTTTTGCCGTTTTCATGGTTCTAATAACGCGTGCAATTCTAAGCTTTGACTTAAATTTCTACATCCCAATCGTCAAGGTGGACGAGAACATGGAGACCGCCCATGCTAAAGATGCCGTTCTGGAGAAGAAATTCTACTTCCGGAAGAACCCGTTCGCGAACCGGCCCGCTCGCAGCAGCGCCACCTCGCGCTCCGGTTCACCCACGACTAGCCGGCCTCCGACGCCTTTCGGACCTGTTGAGGATGAATACACGCTGATGTCGGTCGACGAGATTATCAACGGCTCATCGTCGGATGAGCATAGCTTCCCGGGCCTTGTCCCCATCGTCGAGAGTTACCTTGACTCAGTGAATGTGGACGTACAGACACGATGCGAGCTCTCGTCGTATCTCGAGCTCATTCGCATGCGCGCTAGCGGCGAGCTCTGGACGGCAGCAAAGTGGATTCGACACTTTGTAGATGAACACTCCGCGTATAACCATGACAGCGTCGTGACGGATGAGATCAACAAGAGCCTCGTGAGCGCTGTGATCGATATCGGAGATAGGGAGCAGGAAGGCAGGGGCTGGAAAGACCTGCCCATCCCCAACATAGGCCACCTGCTAGGGCGGTTCCGATCCACCGGCGGATGTGGTGGCTCATAGGCTCGAACCTATCGGTTAGATCGTATGAGAGTTTCTCGATTTTGTAGAAGGACGGCATGGGATTACATATGTCTGCCCATCTATTAATCTGGCGCCTCGATTTGAGAGTATGCGATGGCGTTGTATTGCATCTAAGATGGTTTTGTTCGTTGGCGGCTATTTTGCCTAGACCTCCTGCAGGTATATACTATACCGAGCATAGACAGCGACTGTTTTTTGAATTTGTCTAAAGCAATCTGATTTATTGCGGCTTTCTCGCCGAATGCAATTGTCGAGCTATTATCTAAGTGACATAAGCGCGTCGTATACTTATTATAGGTTCAATACCTGTGTAGTAGGTACCTAACCTAATGACTGGTAATGTCTAAATTTCAGGGCTAGTCCAGTTACTCCTCGACGGGCTCGTGGGCTCACATAGCCCTTACTCTATCCTCTGCCCCTATCCTCATCAAGCGTTTGATATATATTGCATCAACCAAAGGAGTTATTAGGTGGGCCGATGATGACTTCACGCAATATTCCTTCAAGGTCCACTAGCCGATCTCAAAGATACAGTGGTGATAAGTTATACAGTCGATATCTGTCAATTACCAGTAAGGCTGTTAATCAAGATTAAGCCCAAATGACTTGCTCATCTTAGGTACCTCTTATGAACATTGGGTTGTGGACTGAGCCGTTACTAGGGGTATCATAGACGAGAAAGAAGCTTGCTCGATCTACTACTAGACGAGATGTTAGGTCTACAGGAGCGCTCCGCACCGACCTCCAAAAAAACAAGACATTTCTTTGTTTTGGCAAATATAGTTCTTTTGAAGTCTATTGGTGGATTGGGATTCTGTGTCTACCAGGACCAGGCTTTTGGGGGTTCACATTGCATCTAAAAGGTCATATGGAGAGATAATGACGGGAGGTGATGTATAAGGTATATAGATGTAATAGTGCCTCTTTCAACCCATGTTCTTTCTCATTCAAGGCGATAGATTCCCTTATATGTCAGCTTAGGCACTTACCCCCTAAAAACTACCCCTTTTCTTATGAAGCCCTTGTTTTCTAGAATGATGGGCGATTGTCCTAGAATTTGAGAAGCCCAGTACCTCTTCTTATTGGCAGTGAACTAGATAGTGCATCTCCTATTCTGGTAAAGGAGGATACGTTACAGGCTATTAGGTCTAGTCTTAGGTACACATCATTGGGGGGGAAGGCTATACACACCGTAGGTATAGAGGAGCTCGAAGTTTATTGTCTTCGTAGCTCGACGAACGCTCCGAACGCTCACATCATGTATATTTCGACTAGCTATCCCCTACCAGGTACCTACCTATTAGTCAAGCACTGTGGCTATAACGCATCTTATGTACCATAGCGGCCATGGGGATATCTATAGAGCCATTCTAAAAGTTTAAACTATTCTATCTCTGACAATCGTTACGTAAGGAAGGTATACATTCTAGCTTTAGAACCGTTCTAAATTTCAAGTCGTCCTACGTTTTGAAAGAAAATTTTCAGAAATTAAATGCCTTCCGTGGTCCTCGAACCTAAGCCTTTTAACTTTTAATTTTTATATTTGATTTCGTATGTAGCCTCATACGGCCAAGTATGCAACGTCGTTACAGGATCTCATTCAAGTAAAGCAATATGTATGTTAGCGGGTATGTATGTGCATAGCGGGTATCAACACCACCGAACCCGATCCGCCGAGCCTCCTGCACAGCTAGGTATCTACCTACCTATAGGTACGTCCTTTACGCCGAGTGCAGTTCAGACCCTTCCTGATTGAAACGACCGGTAAAAAAAGGGGGGGCACCTCCCGATCTCTACAAGACGGTGCCCGGAAACTGTCTCTCACATACCTATCCCACATCCCTGGCGAAGAGTAGAGTAGCTCTGCTCTGCTCTGAGCTTACCTATTGCAACGTAAGTGGCGGCTTATCTGCTTGTTTCAGAGTGCTGCGCGGTTCCCTGCGTGGGAAAAGTTTAACTACCTTGGTAACCTAAGGTACCTAGGGTCGTTGTCTCTGATCGCGTATGACCACGGGCTGGGCTGTGATACAAAAGCCGGGCCGGACCGCGAAAGGAAGAGCAGCAAGAAGACATGTCTCGTCTCTGCCCTTTAAAATTATTTTTTCTTGTCGTCTAGGCGTCTAGGTACTTTTCTTTCCCCGCGCCCTCATGAGCCGTTAGGTAGGTCTCGGTCCCGTAAGTGAGAGACAATGTCTGAAATAAAGGGGGAAAGGGGAAGGAGGAAGGAGGGGGGGTCTGTTTCGGCAAAGAGCGGATCAGATCTCGTACAAGATCTTGCAGGAAATGCGAGTAACGTTAGGTGTTCCCTGGCGGGGAGGAAATAACGTGTAGATGTCCTGAAGATCATTCCTACATGAGTACAGTATGCATACTCCAGGTATGACTGTTCCGTCGTACCGTCAATCTGGGCAAGATGGAAAGATAGGATGCATGCAGGTTTATGGCTAGCTAATGTTGAATAAGGGGAGAGGTGGATTAGGCCTATGTGGTTTTTACTATTTTCTTTTTTTACTGCTATTTATAAGAAGAAATTAACTTGGTGTGTAGGCTACGCTTGTACTTTAGGGTCCCCGCTGCCCTGGTATAGCATCACGAGTCTATCGACAATGCAGAATTATAGAAGAGTTATTGCAGGTATAACAAGGCAGTATCACCTGAAGAGAGCTTTGGAACATGAGGCTAATTAATCCTTGAATCATTCGCGGCTATTAGTGAGCAACATGGTATAAGCTATAGCTATCCCATATTTACATGTGCAAACACGCCGGGCACATGTTGCAACAACATGATATTCGCACCAATGCCTTATGATGCGACAGGATCATGTTACTGGCGTAAGTAATACAGGTTTCACCCTTCCGTCCAGATGCTAGGGTCAGTGAGACACATCAGAGGAAACCTCAGCCCATAAGCCCGGGGCACAAGTTCGTATTGACAGAGACGACCGCAACGACGCGCGTATAATACAATTCACAATGGCGTTTGACTCGTATCACCAGCCGCCCATCTCGTCACACAAAGTTGTCTTGTCAAGCCCCTTGGCCTCGAAGAGCCCCACTACACGGCATCCTTTCTTGGGCTGGCTTCCAAGGTTGTTGACTTAGCGTCGAGTTGGATCTCGAATTCGAATGCGATCACCCGATACTGAGTGTGCTAGTCTAGTGCCTTTAGTCCGGTAGCAAAGTGGACATCGTTGTCGAGGGGAAGGATGAGTCGAGCTAAGTTATACCCGCATTGAAAGGAGCATCTTTTTAGAAGAACGCTCACCTACTTTTCCAAACATACCCCTGAAGGGACTTGAGCGGTATCGGGGGAACCGATAGGCGTTGGGGATGTAGATTTGTCACAACCTCAAAGTAACTAATTTCTAGAGGTACCTACCTAATGTATGAGGTAGTCTTAGGTAAAAGACATCGTGATCGATCTACCGCATAGAGCATAACGGATAGAAACAACAACAACAATGACAGCAGCAACGGGAACGGCAATGCGGAATAAATCCCCAAATTCTAGATCCTTAAAATCGGCCATCTTGGATTCCCAACGGGGTAATAATAAGTTATTATACCTTAGGTATAGTTAATCGTCATCTAGTACTTTAGTTGTACAATATAAGCGCCGGGTATGAATACGATGTACGAAGAATGCTTTATAAACACTATACGTTAGGTACCTACCTAAGACAGTAAGGTTCTTTGCAGTAGCGTACCAGCCTGTCAAAAGATGGCGCGGCACTAGAAGCTGACAGCGAATTCCCATTACTCGTGGAGGTTACGAGGTGGAACCCCCCGAGGTCAATCTTGGCGAAGTTGATATCTGACAACGTGACAACGCAGAGATCTAGGTACTAGGGTCTACTAGGGAATAGGTACAGGTAGGGATTAAATGAGAGTGACTAGTACTAATTAGGGTCATTAACAATCGGGTAGGCTATTTGCATCGTACATATCTTAGGTTAGGTACCTAGGTACCTAAGGTACTCATACCAGGTAACTTGTGAAGAGAAAAAAAAAAAAGCATTCCGGAAGACATGCCCGCCACATCATCCGGCATGGCGTAGCGTGGCGACGGAACATACGGAAGGATTTAGAAAGGAGCCGCCGATGTGCAACAACGGACTATCGGATTTGGTAACTACACTAGTAGCCGATTGCATCTGAGGATAACTTTTACCTACCTCTATGTATACCTAAGGTAGTGTAGGTACCTTGTATAAATTGTTAGAGATATGCAGTTGTGTAGTATTTATGAGCGTGGGCGTGCGGCGTAGTGCATCGTAATGCATATAAATATAATATCATCGATCGGGAAGGCCGAAGTAGAGAACCGCGGAATACCAAGAGCGTCATTGCATTGGTGGTAAGTAAGATGGAGATAGAATGGGTAAAATAAAATAGGGTGAAAAGAAAAGGAAGATTTTGGCGAGGCTTTTCGGTGGGTAGGATTTGTTGTGTAAGACCAGATCACGGGAACCACGGGAACTACGAGAATATCGGAGTTGTATATGTACGCATTACATGTATTATGTGAATAAGACGGCGACCTGGCCGCATATAAGGTAGGTACAGGTAGGTATATTAGGTACCTTATATACCCAAGGTATATACTTATATAAGGGGCTTAAATTTGTTGTTGGTAGATTCGTAGATTGGGTTGGAGAAGCCCAAGAATGGGGAGAAGAGGGGGGTTTTAATGGTTGGTACACATTGTATTATTTATCCCTTACACTAAAAGGTACATTGATGAAAAAGGGTACCTAAGGCATACTGTAATCGTTCAAGAAGTACCCATACATGGCAAATGCAAGATGGAGAGTGGGGTTTGATCTTGGATCTGGAAAGGATCTCGATTGGTAGAAAATGAATGACCTGCTAAGCCACGTGGTGACGAAGTACAGGTACTTGCTTGACTGATCTATCAAGTACTGTTTATAAGTACCTACCTGTAACCTAAGGTTAGGTACTCTTAGGTTAGGTACCTAGAATTAGGTTGGGTTAGGTCTACTGTCTATGCTCTCTCTGTGCTGTATGCTATTTTATACTATCGTATACCTAATGCTTTAAGTATATGATTGCGGGGATACTTCTATTCAATTATATTTAAGCCTTCCAATATTATGCACTATCTAACAAGTCTAACAAATAAAGAAAAAGGTTGTAACCTCAACCCGTGCCTCGTGACTCGGCTATCTACCACCAGAAGCCTAAAAATGGTTATGGTCAAACACATAAGTATAAAGATTGGCATATAAATCTTCTTAAGACTTAGACTTGCATGAATTTAGAGGGAAAGGAAGTTCGAAGCGACCCCGAACGCTATACGTACACCCTGTACAGGTTCTAAACGCCCTGTCTATAATCAAAAGTTTATTAACATTGACATAAGGGTACTTGAAAAAGCGTCTACGATATACCTAAGCCGAGTGGATTGGTTGACAGCAATATCGAGCTCGAACGCCTCAGAGTTAGCTCAAAGCACCCCCGGCTCGTGTCATGTTCAATATAGGTTAGAATCGTCACCGGCTGATCTGACAATGAATCAAGGATCGAGCCATGTCTTAGATTTGTACAAGGTGAGATGTACGAGGCAGCTTACAAGAAACAGGGTAATTTACACACATTGAAGAACGCATCTAAAAGAGACACTATGCAGCATTTATTATCATGTACCTGTTATAGGCTTTAATATAATGTTAGCCGCTTGATATTTGATAGGTATAAGTACCTCAAGTAGATGATTGAAAAGAGGACAAAAAGAATACTTGATATTGAGTAGTTATATGAATGATCTGGTAAGAGGTAGGAAAGACGGAAGCGCAATACTTATCCAGTATTCACAACGCCTCGTAGATTCTCAACAAATTGTCAGGAGATAGAGGTACATGAGCAATACTTGTAGAGATGTGATGAATTATGCATATCTTACATAGCTGAGCAGTTGACAATGAAACTTAATCTTAAGATAAACGTTGACATCTGGCATCCCGCAAGTCATGACCCAAACCTAAACCTTGTCCGTGGTATATCCGCTAGTCAAAAAAGAATAACTAACAGGCAGATAGGAGGTAAGCTTAGCCGTACTAAGCTCCTAAGGTTAGGTACCTGTAGATAAGTTACCTTAAAAATATCGGGCGAATAATACGGATCATAGATAGATACCTGGTAGCAAGACTGTCCTGACAGGGAAACTAAAACCTTGTTAGGGTCTTTGACCGGGGAAAAGACAAATCTCAAGACCGAACGAAAACAAGCTACGGAGCAACGTCGATATAAGAATAAACCACGTGAAGCAGCAAACCTCGGTGAAGTTAAATCCTATAGGAACGACAAATTATAAATTACATTATTAAATGTACCTAATAGTTAGGGGGGCTACGTAACGCTGATTCATTCACCAGCTTGGAACTACCTAACTTGGTGTTCGGTCTGCTCGATACTTGCACAATCTCACTTATCCCCATAATGAGAGAAATACATATTACCTAGAAGAGGCAAAATAGTTGTATACCTCCTACTACCGTTAAGTTTAGGTGCATAATAATAAGAAGGAGTGGGAAGAGATCGCATACCACTTGCAGCTCCTAGCTGATCTCGAAATGTAACTAGCCCCTGCGGCGACAGGAACACAAAAGCAATTCGTGCCAACGCCCTACTTCTTGTGCGCCTTTCTCCTACCTACCTAGCTCTTCCTAGCTAACCTCTTATGTGTGTGGAGTGACTAGGCCAATCCCGACGTTACATGAGACCTATTTTGAGAATGGGTGACATGAAAGTGCGGCTTAACGCACGGGGAGAAAAAAAACAAAACAAAAAAAAATATTGGAGGATGTGGCATGCGACCTGCCGCCCACCGGCCAGAAAACTCTCAGCAAGTAGATACTTTCGTATGTGTAGGTTAGGAGGTAGGTATGTACCTAGATTAGGTCCAGCCGTGGAATGTTAGGTTAGGCAGGTTTAGGTACCAAACCTAACCTCACGCCAATGATGATGGGGAAAAGGGAGTGGAACAGGATACTGTGTATTACTAGGTTACCTGATATACCTACCTGCCTATGCTGAATATTACATTGAGGTAGTAGATATGGTTCTCGGCTTTGAGTTAGGGGTCGACAGAACCCCCCAGTCTTTCATTCCAGCCACACCCCCCTTCCCCCCCTTTTCCTTTTTCTTTTCCCATCCTTAGAGGCCACGATCCCCCCGTCGGGATGTTTGACAGACGAGATCTGGCTTGGGGGGACTGTGCAGATCCCGCCTGGCCTGCATCGCGGCGAACTTGATTTCATGCAGCCCCCTCTCTAGCGCATCCGGGGAACACATGTGCGACGGATAGGTACCTACCTAAGGTAGGTAAGGAGGGACGATGATGACCTGTCATCTCCGTTTCTTCTGTATGCTAACTCATTACCGGCCAAGGTTTTTTATTGCTTCTGCCACACGTCCTCGTAGAAGTCCTATTTCGTCTTCGCGCATCCATTGCATTAGGTGTTAAGCGGGACGGAATGCAATCACCCTCACGTACATATCTACCTACATATCTACCATAGATATATACCTAACATAAAAAGTACTGTGCCTTATAGCTACCCTCGCAATCTATGCTATGCTATGCTGATGCTATACTATGCAAACTATCGGGAAGCCGAAGGAAACCTTAGGAAGGAAGGAAAGAAAAGGAAAGGAAAGGGGGTGTAGGCATATTACGTCAAAGGCGATGACGTGCAGAGTGACAACAGCGTCTCCTTGCAGCCACGTAGGGGGAACGGTCGAGCATCCGGTAGTAATATATTGAGCCTCAGGCTCCACAACCTTTTACCTGACGCAGGCGGCAGGCCTCCATCGCAGCTAAAAGGTACCTACATTAGGTACCTATCTAACCTACCTACCTTAGGTAGCTGTAAACTGCGAGCCAAGACTATCGATATTTCCTTTGCTTCGTTTGAAGTCTCCTTTTCATGCCGTGACGCGCCGGCGGTGAGCTGGGCACCATGAATGACTTGGGCTCGAACGTGCGAATGGGATTCCTTCGCGTTTTCGTCCCGATCCTGTAGGCAGGCTTGCCACACAATAAGTCATGAAAGAAGGCTTGACGGCTTCTCGTTTCCCTTTGGCTACCTAACCTAGGTAGGTAGGCTGGATATAGTCGGTTGATGATGTGAAATGCACTCGAATATAATAATTGCACCTAGCGAAGCGAGTCTGTCTTGACCGAACACAATCTCACTCTAATAATCCACACGCAAGAACTTAGGCAGTTATTATTATTCAGTATACTTACTTAATTCTTTTATATCATAGTGGCGCATATCTTTACGTGAGGTGAGTAGGTATTATCATACTAGCCGCACGCATGGACGCATTAGACAAAAGAAAGAAAAAAAAGCAAAAAAAGACCCCGAGGTCTCAGATCAAAGTCTTACAAGCTTATCTATCTCTACCTGTTTTACGGTTTAGATTTACTTGAACTTATCTAGCAATGTCACCGTTGATGGCAAAGGTTAGAAAGGTAGATGAGATTCATCGGTGGTCTCAACTGGGAAACCAGCTATGAGGATTTCGTCGTTTCGAAGTCTTGGCCGAGTCCATTGGTGTTAGGTTAGGTATCTACCTACCTACTAAACACCCTTGCAGCGACATCGGTTTAACCGTTCGAAAGCGCATGCCATCAATCTGACAGGTCACGTCGCACGACGTCTGTGGAAAGGTCCCCTTCCCGCCGTATGGGCGCCGCGCGTGCTTAATTGCTGTAATCGCTTAGAGCGCCTCATCCAGATACAAACGCAGATATGTACCTAACATACATATGTCATATATAGGTACCTAACCTTACCTACCTCCTACGTAGGTCTCTTGTCTCGGCTTCATACTGTGTCACCGCGTACTGCACATAGCCACTCAAGTTTAGGTGCCTGTTATAGGAAGGGACGGGCATACTTTAAGATGGCAATAGATAAACGTATGAACGTATTAGAGCTAAAGTGAGGTTATTAACAGAATTATACATTGAGATACATTGCCTAGGGAGGTCGAGATATTTCCTGCTCATCTAGCTCATATTCATCACGTTGTGATTACTATCTCCTAACCACAAAAGCGTACCAGATCACCCCTCATGTTTCCCAATGCTATGATCTTGATGTCGAGTTTTTATGTATTAACGTCTATATTTATACTAAGATTCTAGTAGAAATCCTACTAGGAATGCTACCAACGAACTAAGTCTAGACAAAGTCGTCATCGTGGCATGACAGAGAGAGAGTGTGTGTGAGAGTGAGGGAGGGCTGATTAACTCGGATCTCATCTGTGAGACCTAAAAGGACTTGCGTCACTAACCCCGAATATAAGGACGAAAAAATAGTCTCGTCTGTCTCATTGGTAGTCGAATATCTTTTTTCTTTTTGATTCAAACCCATGCCGTCTTCTCAACTCATTGGACTTGCGCTGCTCAGATGCTAAATGTGACCTCCCAAATATTCTAACTCCATCAACCCAGTCCCCATTTGCCTGGATTCATAATCCTACCCAGAACGTCAAATTGAGAAACAGCCAGACGCCAAACGATGCCCTGACGTGACCTCCCGAGTTCCTTCGCCCAGATGAGGGTATATACAACGAAAGTGACGGTAGCAACAACAGAACTGAGTGAAAAGCGTAGTTCCGAATCGGGTATAATAATTAACACGTTATATGATGTTCCAGAGTAGGTACAAATGCGATATTTGCTGGATATTTGCTGGCGGCGTATACGATAAATCTCGGGAGATCGAGAACGCAGATGTCGACGAAATTATTGCCTGGGAGTAATTCCAGAGTGAAGACTGCGTATATATATAACCTTTGCTCTGTCCCCGGAAGGCTTAAAACAAGGGATTATTGCAATACCGCGTCTTCGAATTATTTGGATATAAAACCTAGACCTCGAAACTTAGACACGCTCTTCCACGGTCTTTGGTCGAATAGACCGTTGCTCCATCTGGCGTTTTCTTTCGAGTTTTGCGTAGTGAAGTCCACAAGCGTTGCACAACGTCCTTGCACCGTCTGGTCCTCGTCGCCATTCTGGCGTATCGATCCTATTGCAGCTATGGCATCGACCAGGAGGTGCAGCGCGCTAAAAAAAACATACATGTTAGCAAGTTGAGATTTTACCTATTATGGAATATGATGGACTTACGCCTCGCCGCTTCTTGACCTCACTAAGCCCGTAAGGTTGTTTCATGCCATCGCCATACATACTTATATCGTCGTCGCCCTCATATGGCCCTTTGCCGCGACCTTCCCGGGCCTTTTCGGTCGCTAGACTATGCTGCACTATTTCCCGAAGATTTTCGAGCGAACGCTTGATAAAATCTACATTTCCGAGCATACTTGAAACCTCCTGGTCACTAGGCAAGCGTTCCGGGATAGGCTGTCCACCGTGCTGCTCTGAGGCAATCTTACTATACGCCTCAGCGAAATTGCAGACCGTTCTTGACGTCCACACTAACTGCTGCATCTGTTAGCTATAGCACGATGTAGGAATTGATGGTATAACACTGACCTTATTCAAACAGTCCTGGTAGTTCCACGACTCAAAATGCCGATTTAGAGTAGCAGAATCATAGCGGCTTCTATGCATCCCGTACTCTTCATCGCTGTGGAGAGGTGGGCGTGGTTGATCGTAAGGCGGCAAAGAAGGGCCAATATGATGCGGAGAGATTGGCGCTCCAGGTAGGGGGTATTGACCTGGAGGATATTGGATTTGAGGCGAGGGGTTTGCATGAGAATTTGATGCCGCTTCCGGAGGCTTGGCAGTGTCCCGCTGCTCTTGGAACGCATACGTTGAATTTGGAGGACCAGGAGGGCCTGGAGGCGGTCCAATATCTGATCGCGGGGGATAACGGTAGAACTTATCGTCATGTGCTGGCGGAACGGGCCGTGATTCTAGTGGCAGCTCGTTTCTTAATGGAGGAGGAAGACCATGACCACTCGTTAACGTTGTAGGAGTTGGCGAATAATGACTCGGCTTAGCCCCGGAGAATACTTCTGATATAGAAGGGAGAGATTGCCGTTGGGAAGGTTCCACCTCATTCGGCGTTCTCCTGCTCTCCCCGGGAGAAATCATGCCGGGCATCTGTGGTGGAGGTTGTTGATGATAGGCGGGCGGGAATGGAGGCTTGTGATGGTATCCCGGAGCTGGATTCATTAAAGCTGTAGCTGCCATCGTCGGTACTTCGCGATGCCGGTCTACTGGTTCAGGAAATCGCTGGCTATACGTATCAAGTCTGCTGGCGGGGGGAAGACCACTGGTATGAAGATATTGATCAACTTTGCGTTCGACGAAACGATACCGGGCGCACTAGAGCGAGCGGCTCCAAATAATAACGGACCTTTGCCTAGTGCCAGATGCACCCGCTTCCATAGCGGGACTGCTACCAAGAACGGTACCCAAAATATCCAACTGATCAGCTAGGGCGACTCATACATCTAAACTGTCCGGGGCACTCGCGGGTGCGTAGCAAATTATCCTAATAGCAACCGTCCAGTCGAACTTTCCGATGTCTCAATAGCTGTGTGGATGCGAAACGAGGAAGAGGACAAAGGCGATTCAGGGTCGCTTCCGTAACACGGGTTACTCAAGCTGAGGCGATCCGAGTCTACAGCTGCTGTTGAAGAATGCTCTCTAGAATATACGAATACACTAAATAGCAGCGCAAGTATCTTTACACTATATCTTGAGATCCTATCTAGTTAGAGAGGCTGCGGTGTAATATGAATGTAGTGGAGTGGGAAGAGATAATGAGGAGATAGCGGATGTCTTTTTCTCTCTGAGATGTTGACGGAAACGACTTGAAATACGACACTAAATCGATTCAACCACAAGTAGTGGCGGTACGGCTTTCGCCCTTAAGACATTCTTTTAGAAACAGCTCTTACCTTAACAACTAAGTGGGTCTGGAATATAGCCCGAAGACGAGTGTCTGCTTTTGTTCTTTCGGATACGTGTATCGCTGTGGACGTCTCGCTATTTTACCCTTGTCTCGGATTCCCTAGTAGCTGATGTGTTTGCTTATATGAAGGATATCTTCCTCTTAGCTGATCTCAGTTGTCTGGCTGTCTGGCTGTATCGGATGTCGTAGCGGGCCTTCCCAGGATACCGGTATATCTCGTTGCAAAAAATAGAACAGATGGAGTGTAGTATCAAAGTATCCAGCAGGATTGAAGATGACGTCTACGGTAGGATGCAGCAAGCGAACCAAGATTTCCAGCTGTCGATATCTTCGTGGTCAACTTTAAGACCTCGTGACTTTGGAATGGGGATGAAGAAAAGAAGAGAAGAGAAGAAAAGGTTCGAAAGCGGTGACGAAAACGTAGGCGACGTGTTGTAGATATTAAGAAGAGTTTAGAGAAATAAGCACAGCAGATTGGAGCGAGATGTATGCTACTCTAGTATGGTACATCATACATAGATGGGCAAATAACCTATGCGTAATAAGGAACACCAACCTGTAGTGCACGTACATAACTTAGGACACCCCTGCCTACCCATTTACTAGGTATGTATCATCTGTACGTGCAGCAACTACGCAGGCCACAGTACGGAGACTTCAACCTTGGGTCGCTGGAAGTGGGGGAGACGGGGGGCACGAAATACACTATGTAGTCAGGACAAGGGTAAGAAATCTCACAAGTCACGGCTTCGCGGCCAGTGAGTTGGTACGGAGAACCTTCGCTTCTATCAGAATCCTAGAGGTTAGGAAGCTGAGATTGCCTGAGATTTCTGAGCCACACCCCTTCCCCACCATCAACACTGGATCTTGAGGATCACAGCCAGATCTCGCAGGTCTCGTCGAAACAGTACCATGTCTAGGCAAGGTAGGTAATCCGTTGAAGGCAGAAGAAGCAGCAGCAGAGACGGGCGTGGGTGCAAACCTGACAAATTTTTCGGGTAAGAAGGTACTTTCGCTAACAGCCAGGAAGAACAAAACCACCACATCTGATTGCGAGAAAAAAAAAAAAAAAAAAAAAAAAAAAGACCACGACCACGGTAATATGGTCGGCTATGATGAGCTGGGAATAGCTAGATGACGATCTTTTGTTTCTCAAACTTACGGTAGCCCCAGTTACATGGGATTTGTGGGCGAATCTTAACGTGAACGGATCGCTCCCGACGGCCCAAGTCTTAGGGACCAATACAATATAGGTATAAGCACCTAACTTGTGTAGGAATAGCGAGTCCCGAAACCTGTCAGGTCACGCCATTATCCTCACTGCGAAATAAGGTGGCACCACTTTTTGGCAATCCAAGGCTGTTAGACGGTGAAGGTAACAAGGCCCCCTTAGGTGGCGATGGGACCGCATCGACTAGCATCTCTTAACAACTCTTTGGCAGCTTAGATCGAAGATGAGATGGCGGTAGACCCTAGGGTTGACCGGGGGGGTTCCGCAAAGGGAGTCGTTCCTGATTGGGGAAGGAAGGGTATGATTCGGTACGCCTAAGGAACCCGACCTTTCATGACGATCTCTCGGTGACAATCCGCAACCTTGAATCCGAGTAAGGATGCGGATGGGTTTTCAGAGAAGGAAGCCCCATGCATCGACGCATCGACTAACCTAGAGAGCCTAGTGATATGACACCATACCATGAAGAGGTAGGTTAGGTATATGAGATGTGCATAAGTTTTTTTTTTCTTTCGGAATCTGATGACAGCCTGGCTAGTATATCGTAACATTGCTCGTACATTTTTTTTTTGGTACATTTCTTCATAGGTACGATGCAGAAGTTCGAGTCGAACAACTTTGTTCTTGGGCGACGAAGAACCTGCGGGTATCCTATTGACCTTTAGCAGCAGATACAATTTAGGTATTGTACATATTACAAAGTCTTAGAGGAAGCTGCAGGCGAGCATCACTGGTTGTTCGGAGAAGAAGAAAAAAGAATTGTAAGATTCGGAGACATGGGGGGGTGTGGACATGGGGAATGGAAGATGATGGGGTTACGAAAGAAGAACATGGCGAGCGAGCATGGCATGGCATGTGCAGCATGGGCTGAAGTTACCTATTATTACCATTATTACAGGTACTTTAGTACCTACCTGGTAGGTATCTAGGTACGTATTTACATTTACTTTGATGTACGTGTACGTATTTCTATGTACGTCGTTACGTAGTGTACCTAATCCCATGCAGTACGTACCGTACTACATAATACATACTACTACTTGCATACTTGCATTTAGGTATGTTAGGTCTAGGTACTTACATAGTAGGTAAGAGGTAGCTTGTAATGTTTTGTACAGTACAAGGTACACACGCTACACACATAGACACGATGGCTGGTGTGGTACCTAACTTACCAGCCTACCTGGTAGGCTAAGATGGATACCCAGATGGATCTCATTGAAATATTATGGGCCGTCTATGGGGCCGCTTTTTTTTCGCATGGTTTAGCTGTCCACTGCAGCCGTCGAAATCTACCCTCTCTACTTTAGTCTGGTGGAGAAGGTTGACAGGAACCAGGTATGGCCGCTGCAAGATGCCGAAAGTGCATGTACACTCGGAGTACCGCTCGATCCCTTTTGAGGTTATACTTGCAATTTTTATTTTTATTTCCTATTTCTTACTTCTTATTACTACTTACCAAGGTATCTTTTTATTTTCTTCTCTATTTTATTATTTATTCGTTTATATCATATATATTAATTATACATGCAAGTAGGTACTTAAGATGTACGTTTGATATGCCGGTATGTATAACAATAAGTACCTCCTATTATCTGTCATATGTTTCCTCGTGCGTTTCTTGACGAGTTCATTTTTTATTCCTAGTTTATTGCTGTTATCAATCGTAATTTTCTCTTAGGTCATTATATGCACCCCACAACGTTCAAACCCGCAGAGTTCGAAATGCTAAATCAAACACGTATTTCGTTTATTTCATATGCCATGCTAGGTACCATGGCATATTTAATGAAGCAGTACCATATCTAATAACCTTGTTGTTAGTGCGTTCATTTAGTAGCTTACATATAGTTCATCATTTTACGATAATTTCAATGACCTCATTCAGAGAGAGATTGGGAGGGGGGTTGTTTTAATGACTTGGGACTGAAGTACCCTACCCTAGCCCTGTGAAAATGGTACTGCAAAAATGCTGTGTAGGTGTAAGATAATGACCAAGCTTCTCAAACATTCGAATAAACCTTGAAACCTTCCATCGCCTACGAAACACCATCTCGAAGTACCTAACCTAGTGCGATGCTAAAAAGTGAGGGTTGCTAAGAAAATTCCCCATATGTACCTAAGGAAAAATAGGCGAGATCAAATCAGATCAGATCAGATAAAATCGTAGATTACGATAGCGTTAGGTTCTACGCAATGGGAGTAAGGGAAGCTTACCTTATTCGTTAGGTCACCTATCAACATTAGGTACTAATAAAAGTTGACAACCCGCCTCGCACCGCTAAATCTTGCCATTTTCTTATTTGTCTTGAAACACAAAATGCATATTTAAAGGCAGGTACTTACTAAGTAAACGCATACATATGCAACCGTTAGAGTCGGGAATACATATCGGAAAATATGTCTAAATATATTGAATAGGTACATACCTCCGGTAACGCATAGGTACTACTTACACAGTACCTACCTTCTAGGTTAAAAATGCTCAGGTGATAAAGGTTAGGTACCTCTTTGACAGTTTCATGTAACAACTCGCTACAAGCTTTCCAGGTCTTTTGAATTATAAACTTTGCTTAACTTTTTAAGGTATTCAGTTCCCGCATCTGCCGTTCTTTGACATTTAATATTAGGTTAGGAGGTACTTACATGCTATTTATAGCGACATATGAAAACTCGACCACCTACTTTCCTTCTCTTTTTCAATTCCTCTATGGTTGATATTTACTAGTATTGGCCTTATCACCGACGAACGCAAATATTAGGTTAGGTAGGTTTCTGCAAATTATGTATATAACCATATATACCTCTTAAAACAGGTCTTGGTCGGTATCATCGTCATCAGCCAATCCAAGATCACCATTCCATCCCGGGGTTTCGGTCAGATTTGGAGAACCATGTGGACAAATGGTTCGACTCGGGCTTAGCGTGCAATTAATCGATCAGGACTCGCTCCTCGGCTAGATTGCCCTGCGCCCCCATGCTACTAAACAAATTTTCGGAGATCTCGCATCCAGATTGGCTTGTTTGGACAGATTAGCGACCGATACGCTGAAAGGTAACTTGGTGACTTGAACCGCCCAGCTGGAATTCGTGACATTAGTGACGATTGTAGGAGCACTTGGGAATTGTATAACACAATTTTTATCGAGACGGCTCGGTTGTGTTTCTCTCGACGTGTCTTTCTATACCTCTGTCGAGTATATTAGAGTCTATTACCGCGTAAGCTACTTGATCCCGGAAAGTTGTGTTATTAAACTGGAAAGAGAAGAGAAAAAAAAGTTCGCTACCCCCTTAACCCGAGGTTGTTTTTTAGGCTTGCCCCTGGGTGATCAAGCAAGACCTACTATGTTAAGTATTGTCAAAACTCGTGGATTAGACAAAGACAACTACCTACCTAACCTATAGGTAAAAAGTAAAATATA